GTGTTGATGTTGTGTTGTGTTGATGTTGTGTTGTGTTGATGTTGTGTTGTGTTGATGTTGTGTTGTGTTGATGTTGTGTTGTGTTGATGTTGTGTTGTGTTGTGTTGTGTTGTACAGTCTATGATTTCTTATTCTTTCAAAACCTCGCAGAGTCTGACTACTGGCTAGCACAGACGGACACGGCACATGGCATGTGAAATACATCATAACTCGTCCCTAACCCTCTCATCGCTGACCAGATTCTTCTGGCTCGCCTCATCGGCCTCATTCAAATCTTCGTGCCCAGCTACAGTGTTGATCCCCTCCGTGTCCTGCTTTGCCTTTGCAGCTCGAATGACTGCGGCGATCTCTTCGTCGTATTGCGTCCATTCGGGAACCTGTCGTCTCGCTCGGTCCAACTTCGGTTCCTTGGTCTGGGGATTATTGCAGAGATCAATCGTCTTTGCTTTGGCGAGCGATTCGTCGCTGCACCACGTCTCGCACCATAGCCACTCTTGGGGCAAGCTGTGAATCGGCAGGTTATGTTGCATGTGGTTGGGCAGATCTTGGTCCAGGTTGGACAGACTGGCCGGATCGGCGGAAAGGGCTTGATACTGCTGTCTCAGTCGATCGCCCGCCGCAAGCTGGCGGAAGCGTTTCAAGTCGACGACGTACAGGGCCGAAATGTGGTACGGCTTTCCTCGGAGGTATGTCTGCCAGTATCCTTGCTTCCAGAAGCGGAAGCCTTCCATTTCCGTGCGCGAGTCGCACATGGGGGTGAATCCGTAGGGGGCTCCCTTCAGATCCACCTTGTTCAACTCCATCATGTCGGTCCGGACAATTTGATCAGCATCCACGAAGATGACTTTGTCCAGGTCGAGCGGGAAGAGCACGTCAAGAAACAAAATCTTATAGCCCCAGATCTCCCGCTGTTTTTCCCTCTGTCCTCGTAGCCAATACGGCCATTTGTATGTGACCATCTCGTACTCGAAGCCGTAATGCTCGGCCAGACACGGGAGCGTGGTCTTGAATGACGGCGACAGGAACTGCTCGATGAACCAGAACTTCACGCTGTGCTTGGTGTGCTTCATTACAGACACCATCATGATGTTGAGCATCCGCTCGTATAGATGTCCAGAGGCCACGGAGAATATGTTGATGTCAGCATTGGTCGAGGTTTTTTTGAAGCCCAACGAGGAAAGTGCCGAGGAGGCAAATGATGCGCCTTTGCTGAGGTAGTCCATGGCTCCACCGAATGCAGAGGCTTCCAGCACATCTTCCTCTTCCATGCCAGGCTTGCGAGACAGACGAGGAAACAAGGTCAAACCCTGGAAGGATAATAGGGCGACTGCAGTCGTCTCGTCACCCGGTTTGGCGGAGTAGCCATAGGGTCCAACACTCTCAATGTTAAAGATCTTTGATGACCTGCCAGGCTTCAACGATATCTGCCAGTATCCCGGGTTGGCTTTGAATTGGAAGTATCCCAAATTAGCCATGACAATAGTATCTGTGAAATGAGGCTCCTGCTCGGTCCCCAGTAACAGCTGTACACCACGCGGTGGTGGGCCGTTCGTGACATCACGCGCGTGCCCTTCAATAAGAATGTGCTCAAGCTCATACGTGGCATCGATATCGTCGCCCTCCACGAGGCTGCTAAGCTTGATATTGTCAAGATCGTGGATGGATTTCTTTGGAGCCACCAACCACGACGGTGGGACTATCATCCCAAGGTTGAAAAGTGTATCTCTGGGGATACCATTGAACGAAGCCTTGGGGCTTGCGAGTGAGCCATCAGAGTTGAAGCTTGGCTCTGCGCTGATCACCTGGCGAAAGAATCGTTTGACAGGCAGCTCGGTCAGTCTGTCCTTGGGGTTGAGAAAGATTCGGACGCTCACGCCGTTAACTTGCGACAGGGTTCGCAGGATTGGCACCCATTGCTGCACAATTTCGGAAGCTGGGTCGAGGACGGCAACAATCTGGATGGTTGGGTCCTGCGAGTTGGAGAGGTTGATCGACGTGTGGGTGCCGTTCCAGATCTTGAATCGATCCATCCTGATGAGAGGTGCAGACTCCCTCAAACCTTCTGGGAGATCGGATTTAAGGGATCGAGCGACAAGCGAGCTCACTTTGGCAAGACTCAAGGCGTCAGAGAACCGGTCCTCCAACGCAAGCCCGGTGATAGCAGTTGTGACCGGAGCCATCCTTTCCCTTCGTTCTACATCGAGCAATGACTCTAGATCAGCACTCCTCAAAGGCTGTTCAATGGGCCCGAGGAGGCGGCCATTGAGCCACAATCCATTCTGGCCTCCTGACAATCCAAGACCTTGCGCTAGCATTGCTGTTGAAGACCAGAATTCAGCAGAAGACTCACTTGAGCCATCTGCCGACGTGGTGTGGTCGTCGCTGAGCAGGTGCTGAAGTTGTGCAACTGTCACGTCGCGGGCACCGTTCTGCACAAGTGCGTGCAAGGCATTGGCATAGTTGGAGTTCTGCGTTTCACCGCTCGGATTGTGTAGTAGCAGAATCTCTATTTCCGGGTAACGTTGAGAAAACAACAGTGCCTCCGAAATCAAGCCTCGGCCGCGTTCGGAGTCGATGTTGGCAATAACGAAGAGGTGAGCTCGGTCACTCAATAACGTCGCCTCAGAGCCAACGATTCTAGGCAGCCGAGCAAACACATCGGCGAATTGGGTCATTAGCAGGCCAACATCGACGATATTGACATCCTTTGGATCATTGGGAAACACCAACTCATTGCGGCTCTTGACAGCCTGAAAGAGAAAGAACTCGGGTATCCAGGATTCTTCGAAAATGGCTTCTTGCAGGACCGCTTGTTGTAGGATTTGGACATCCGAGTACAGTCGGGCACTCATAAGCTCGAACCAATTGTCCATACGCGGAAGGACGACTCCATTGACCAGGAATGGCGGGTCCGGACCGTCCAAGGCCAAGCGCTTGAGGTAGTCATCTCTCGCCTGCAGTTGTAGACTAAGACTTTCATCGTCCAGGACAGCCTGGTAGGGTTGCGAGTGTTTCCCTTGTCGGACGGCACGACCTCTAATCGCGTTGTCAAAACTTTTCTCCGGGTTCGAGACCAGTTTCTTGGAGGCGACGACGTCAGAGAAGAAATTCATGAGGGCTGTCAAGCCATATGTGTCCAAGATGTGGTAAGCAACTTTGGCATAGGTGTTCGCTGTCTCACCTGTACCGGTGGGTATAAGAGCAATTCTCATTGGCACTGACCGTCTCACCAAATTTTGCAGTGATGTGGCAACCAGCTCAATGTCCTTAATATTACCCATGTCAATGGGCACGACGAGGTTGTGGATATCGCGGGCTATCTGGGGCAGTTGGCCCGGATACGTTCTCTGGAATAAAGTGCGTAGAGATTTGGACCATGCATTATAGCGCTTATCTTGCTCAAGATCATTCAGCCACATCAAGACCTCGTTAGACTCGGAGTCATCGCGCCAGTCAAACCGCTGCGGCAGTTCGTTGGTCTGTGCCTCAGCAATCACTTCGCTGGAGAGGAGACTTATAGCTTCCGAGGAGGTCAATCCGAGGTCTTTGAGCTCGCCAATAATGCGCCTTTCCCTTCTCAAGTGGTCGAGCAGGGAGTAGGCATTGATCTGGCGGGGCTCAATCTGTACGCCGTTGATCCAAAACACGTTGTAGCCTGAAGGCAAGAACCGCTCTCGATTCCCGCGATGTTCTAGGATGAATTCTTTGCTGGCATCGGCTGAAGCAAGGAGGGATGAATACTTGGGAAAATCCGACGTCACTTGCAGCAGGGTCTCAAGGGGATCTGAGCTTGCCGCGATGAAGTGGGCAGCGTTCAGACCAAGGTTTATCACCTCGGAAGTAGTCAATGGTTTGAGGTCTTTGAGGTTGTCGTCCTTGGCGTCTTCCAACGACAGCTGATTCGAGGCAACAGCTTCCGGCTTCTGAGCGTCACGGTCGTCAATAACGATATAGTCGGTTCGTTTCAGTACTAACTCGACGCCGTACCCGGAAACGTATACCGGGTTCGGTGACTCAAGACTCGACGGTCTGTAGCGGACCCTGTATGTTGATTTCCCCTGCCTTGCGGTCTGGCTCACGACGCCATGAAATTGACCAAACAACGGATGAGTGATGTCTGCGTATAGGATCGAGGCAGGACCCTCAGACGATGTACCAAGAACTCGATCGAACGGGAGATGGTCGTCAGCATCTGGCATTGTCACCCCCTGCTGAGCACGGTCCAGAGCAGGTGAGCAGAATTGCTGACCATCCAGGTAGACCCAGACAGGACAAACGGCATCCTGAGCAGCCATCAAATGGGGTTGGACGGAGTTGTTGTAGTATTGGAAATGAGCCTCGACCCTAGGCGCCGCAGCATGGAGAGCAAGGGCAAACTTGAAAGAGGAAAGCGACTCGGGGTTGGATATGTGAGCCTCATCTTGTAATACATCAAGAAATTTAGTGTACAGCTCTTGCTCCGTATGTAGATCCGTAAAGACGCCGTCGGCGATGCGATCGAGCAGGGGAAAATAGGAGGACGAATTCTCGAGTGCTGCTGTTTCTCTGCGTGCTTGTCAGCCCTTGAACGGGGGGTCGGGGAAGGGAGCATACAGCAACTCTACCAAGAAAGGCCCGGCGGAAAAGGAAGCCTGTAGGTCAACATTGATCGCAGGATTCATGTGTGAGGACGTAACAGCTGAGCACAACCGCACAAGAAGGAGCAGGGCGCATCTCCATGGCAAATTCGAGGTTCGCATGGTGACGAGGCTGTGTGGAAAGGAGCGCCTCTGTACGGAGTTCAATAGTTTAGTCGTACATATTGAAAACAGAAGCGAGGGAGCTGCAATTGGTGTGAGGCCTGACTCAGAGTGCTCTGGAGAACAGCCAGGCACGATATAGGGACCAAGTTGTGACTGAGTCAGGCGCAGACGGAAGTGAGGGCGAAGTGAGGGCAAAGTGAGGCCAGGTGGACTGAACTTGACGTTTATGTGAAACGGCGTGTTTTCTCGTGTTTCGTGTTGTTCATCTCCAACTTTACGAGATTCGACTTCAATTCCTGGCGCCCCAAACCTACATACCCTATTCCCTCTCCTCTTCCTTTCTATTCCTAGACAACTGAGAATCAAGCTTTATTTTGACTGTCGATGCTCCCTCTCACTGTAAGCCTCCTGGGAAAGTATCTTCCACTGTCTGGGTGTCGCAGGCGCCATCCACCGCGGGGTTTCGATCTCAAGCTCAAAATCCCCACGCTCTCCGTCTCCTCTGGCCCCCTGAGACGTCCGCTACGGCCCCAGGCAACTTATAGGTCTTCGAGGGAACGTCACTGTCCCAACTTGTTCATCGAGACGAGAAGCTACCTGCGGATTCTAACTGGTTTCAACCACTGAAGCTCATCATCTGGTTGTACTCGTCTGAGAATGGGAAACTGGAGCTTGATTATCTCGATTTTTGCGTGCCACCGAGTCAGACGGCCGCGGTAGGCTCTATAAAGATCTATTGTACCGTTACACGCGTTGATATTCCGTCCGTTCCGCATCGACGTACAGTACCATACCACCTGAGGAGAGCATATAGGTCGTGGCAACGTGACCAAGGACATACCTGACACGCCACCGGGACACCTGTTCGGCATCTTGACGCTCATGCGAGGCCTTGCATTCTTGTCGGATCAGGATCAGGATCAGTCACTGTCCTCATCACTCTCCCTCTGCCATATGTCTCGCCTGTTATGCCTTCTCGGGGTAGCAGATCCCAGAATGGTCTGACCGTGGTTCTGGCTGCTGCTGCGCACCTTTTTGATATTCGCCCGTTTGGCAGACTCGTTGATGCTGGCCATGAAGCTTGATGCGGGCGGCTCTGCTTCCGCTGCTGGGACGTCTTCTTGAGAATCATCCTCTTCTTCCGATTCAGGGACACTTTCGTCCTCGCTTGCGCTTTGTGCGTCTCTGTCGTCGCTGTCTTGCACATCTTCGTCTGTGTCCGCGGACCCCTCAGTGTCTTCTGCCTCAGCTCCGTTGTCGACCAAATCTCCTGCATTGCTGTCGCTCTTAGCGACTCTCTCTCCGTCACTTTCATATGGGACAGCTTGCTCGTCGTCGCTTGCCTCGGCGTCTTCGTCTGGAGTTTCTTCATCACTCTCAGTCCGAGTCACTTCATTTTCAAGGTCATCAGCAGAGTCTTCGGGAAGACTCTCTTGGGGGACCTCCTCATCTCCCTCCGCTTCGCTCTCGTTTCCGGCTTCGTCCACATCGGTGTCAGTGACGATACCTAACTCCTGAGAGCTCTTCCGCTTTCTGGCGTCCTCATCACCATCCTCAGACTCATCTTCCACGTCGTCATCTAATTGTCCGTTGTCTAAAGTGCGGATCTCTTCCAAAGGTGGTTTCGAGCTAATATGTCGGCGTTGGATGGGGATGTTCGGAGATTGTCGATCCTGACTTGGTTGACCACTTTTTCTCCTGCTACTTGTCTGAGACGGCTTCAGTGCGGAAGTATTTGTCTGTGTCTGCTCGAAGAGCTGGCTGGATCGCATGGGTTTGCTGGGAGTTTTGGTGGGAAGTGGATTGCGCTTGCGAGACACAGGTGCTGGGGAGGTATATTCTTCAGACGCCGAGCGTGAATTCTCCTCCTCCTCGTCTTCAGCCTCTGATTCGGCTTCTTGCGCATCTGAGCTGTCGTCCTGTGCGTGCTCGTCTTCGGGATCCTCCTCAGCCGGCTCAGCTTCATCATCTCCATCGTCATCTTCTCGGATGAATTCTTCAGAGAGGCCCTTTTTGGGAGTCCTTCGGCCCCTCAGCTCCCCACTCAGCCGTAGCGCCATCTTACTGGTCTTCAAGATCCGACTTGAACCAGGTGTCTTCTCTAACGCGTCGACCCTGACCCATCTACCGTGTTCCTTCTTCGCATGTAAAGCGCGGTAATGGTTCGAGCATTGTTGTGCAGACCGCGATCCCATCTTCTCGCTGACTTTGTTCCATGGAATCTGCGTTTGTTCGAGTTCGTTCCCATCTGCATCAGTGACGAATTCGCCTAGTATCTCGGCAAATTTGTCTCTCTCGGCTTTGGACCACTCGCCCGTCTCGACTTCACCGTACTGCAGTTTATGGCGCCAGCGTTGGCTCACGGCATCTGCATTCCTGCCAAGTCGTCGAGCAATCTCCACCCACTTCGTGCCCAGCTCTTTCTGCAGTCGAATGAGTTCCTTATCATCTTCCGCTGACCAGTTTTTCATGCCCTCGACATTCTGGAAATTCCGCTCGCGATAGCGCAGCATGGACCGCTTGTTCCTGTCGGGCAGCACATCGAGGTACTCCTTGAGAAACTCCGCTCTCTTGACAAAAGCCCAGCTCCAACTGGACCCTTTGCCTCGCTCAAGCGTGCCTGTCATCATATCGTTGAACTCTGTCCGGCTGATATTGTGGTACTCGCAGAACGTATCTCTCCATTTGTTAAGTTTATTGACCTCATCTTGGCTGAATGCGCCAATCCGTCCTTGCAAGCCATTGCCTCTCCCATGGCCAGCATCTTTCTCATGCCGGATGAGTGCCGCAGTTGCATAGAACTCTTCAGAGCAGTCGTGACACTTGACCAGCCCAATGTGCGCGGATCGTTTCTTCTGGTGTCTGCGGAGCTGGTCCTGGCTCGCGAAAACACGATGGCACCGAAGGCATTCGACGGTATTTGCAGGGTTCTGGCGCTCGGTTTTCTTGGTTCCCGTGCTCTTTCTCGCTTTCTTCGCTAGTGCGGCTGGTCTTGCCGTCTGTATCGACTCGTTATCCGATTCAGGAGCGCGGGTCACCTCGAATTCCGAGTCCTGGTGATCATCTCCGGTCGGAGCTTGGTCTCGTCCAGGAAACGTCCTTTTAGCGACAGATGTAGCTATATCGACAGGCGACATCCCGTCAGTGTCCGATACGTCAGCCTCGGATCGCTCGCCTTCGTTGACCGTGGCCTCTTTTGCTGGTGTCGAGTACTCCACGTCAGGCTCTGCACGCTTCTTTCCCTTCGGTGTCGCGTACATGGTTTTCCGAGACTTCTTGTGTCTGAATTTGGTGAATGAATCAGCTCCGACGTCCTCATCACCTACAACCATTGCCTCGTCCGAAGGGGGCGCCCGCGTCCGCCTCTGCTTCAATCCAGAAGGACCAGCGTGGCTAGTATGCGGAATAACGACCTCGGTTTGCTGCGTCCTTGGACGAGGAGGTGTAGGGTTAAGAGTTGGATGTTTGAGGTTGGAACCGGGTGTAAACTTTTGCGCCCAGTCGTCCATGCTGCCCTGTCTATTTTGCAGGCGCGGGACGATCTTATCAGTGATTTGCCGGCTTCTGGCCGCTGTTTCGACAGCTGAACCTTTGGGCGTTTCCGGTCTGGCCGGTTCAATGGATGGAATAGAAGTGGGTGGCGTGCTCCATGATGTCTTCTTGCGCCTCTTCGCCCTCTTGGGACTCTGTCGGCTGACTCCCTGCGCATCTTCCACGATTCGCTTGCGCTTCAACTTGCCCATGGTGATTGGCGTCTGCTTCGCTCTAGTCTCTTCTTCCTCGAAGATACTTGACGGCTCAGTCGACTGTCGGTCGGACACTTCGTTTGCTGCATCTCCGATGATCTCGGCGTCTTGCATTACGGTATCGCCAACTTCCTGGACATCCTGCGGCAAGCTCTCAACGCTGCTCCGCTGAGCATCTTCATCAGAGCGTGGTGTCACTTCCGGCGTTGCGAATTCCCCCGAGACATCGTCTGAGACGTCTTGCTGCGGCTCCTCAGCCTCATCGTCAACTTCTTCAGGTAACTCATTAGACTGTTGTCCAAGTGTGTCCTCCTTCTGAGTCATTTCACCATCGGCATTCGTCGCCGCTGCGATCTCCAGAGCACTATGCTGCTTCATATGTGTGAGCAACGAATCCTGGCGGCTCATCGCCTTGTTGCAGACGGCGCAGGTGAACCTTTTCGTGTGAATATTTGCATGCCTCATGGCCCCTTTCCGCTGGGCGAAAGTCAGGTCACACTCGTACACGTCTACCCAGGGACACGTATACCGGCCTTCGCTGGTGACCTTTGGCGGAGGGACCTCTGCGTTTTGCGAAGGATCCGTGCTCTGGGTAGCCTGAGTCTGAGCAGCAGTAGTTGTCTGAGTAGTGGGCGCCTGGGCAAATGTTTCTACCGTTGTGGTTGCGTGCGGGAGTTTCGCATGTCTGATGGCTCCCTGCTTTTGCGCGAAGGTCTGGGTGCAACCCTGAGAGTCAAACCAGGGACACAGATATCGCCCTTCGCTAGTCTGGCTTGGTGGGGGAAGCTTCGTGGTGCCTTCAGTTGGAGGTCCTGTAGCTAAAGGCTCAGTTACTGCCACCGATGCCAGCAGATTAAGAGCCTCGACCGCCGAGTCAGGGTCTGATGTCTGTGCTGACGCCTGAGCCGCATCCTCTTGGTCGCTGCCGCTGTCATCAGCACTTCCATCTTGGACTTCGGGGAGGTCGTGATGACCGAGGCCGTTGACCGCTTTAAAGCCATTTATTACACGCCCTGTCATTCGATGATCACCATCCTCCACATCGCTCTCGTCGGAAGTAGCGTAGATGTGGTATGTCTCAGGTTCTGTCTCCTTGAGTGGCCGATCTTCCTCGGTGGGATCTAAGGACTCTGGAGCGGGTTGCGACTCGCGAACCAGTACATCGCTTGCGGCTTCATTGCTCGTGTTATTGGGCGATCTCCTCGCTTTCCGCTCGCTTCTTTTGCGGCCTGCTTGCTTGTCTGCGGTCTGCTTTTTGCGTCGCGCCCGTTTCTGCGGCTTGGGTGAATCAGTGCGGCGTACCTCGTTCGGTGATGCATCGGAGACTCCGCGATCGGGTTCGACATGGGAAGTTGTGGGTTGTTCAGAAGCATCGCGGTCGTCCGATATCTTGGAGAGGTCAAATTCCACTAGAGGCACGGTCAGCTCAATTACTTCGCGATCCTCCGCAACTGAGAGAGCGTACTCACGGTCCTCTGTACCAGCTTGTGTCGCAAGATCGGCAGAATCGCCTTCTTGGCTCTGAGCGTTGCCCATGCTAGAATTAGAATTACGGTGGTGGTTTCATGTCATGTATAGCAGCGACTTCCGCGAAGTTCGCGGCTGAAACGCGAGCAAACATGGGCTGCGCATTGAAGATCGCGCAAGGTCAACTGGTCCAATCGATAGGAAAGTGAAGTGGAGGTGAGGCTCGACCCAAACTTCCCCACTAATCGTTCGCCAAAATTTTAGCGCGACTTCTAAAGTGGGGGCGTCGCTCGCGATCTGCAGCCTGACACCTGATACATGCGGGCAAGGCTGCGGCCATTTCCGATCACCTTCTTGAAACCCCAGTATCTGCTTCGCATCGGGCTGTACAGACCTGATCTGTATAAGCAGTTTCGCTAAGATGGTCCTCCTTCAAACCACCCCGCATATTCTCTCGGCCATCTCTTCCCTCTCGTCTACTGATATCTCGGCTCTAACGAACGACGAAACGACGCTCCCCACCACCTGTGAGCAACCGATTGAACACAAAACACTCATCGCGCTCTCCCGCCGGCTGCCCAGACCTCAAGTCCAAAGAAGCTCCACGCTGGACACCCTCCTCCGTGGAACTCATGTCTATATCCCTCCCGCACCACCAAAACCCCAACCCTCAGCAGAATACATCGCTCTCATGGATCGTCTGCGTAAGGAACAGGAACAGCGCGAATATGCCGGCCTAGTGTCGAAGCGAGAAACTGTAGGATTGCCCTCCGACGATGAGAAAGACGATATAAATCCCTCGCTGGTGCTCAATATCTTGCTCAGCATCGTCCTTTGCGCCTTGGCAGTATTTCACCTGACGAGGTGGTGGTCGAATGATGGGGTGCGCGTTCTGCTCTCCTTGGGGACAGGGATTGTGGTAGGTGTGGCTGAAGTGGTTGTGTACATGGCCTATCTGAGGAAGGTAGCGGTGAGCAAACAGAAGGAGAGGAGCAAAACAGAGCGAAAAACCGTGATTGGGGAATATACAGGAGAACAGAAATTAACGGATGCGCATGGTCGAGCCGTCTCCATCGACGCGGCCACGATGATGGAGAAGGAAGAGATCTGGGGAAGAGGCATCAATGGTGGGATGCGAAGGCGAGTGCGAGAAAAGTGGGAGAAAGAACAGAAAAATGCACAACGGAACGGTCTCAATTGAAATGGGATATGTATCAATCTAATATGGTTCCATGCCTCAGGGTCGACCTCACGCTTTCTCAAAATCATATACCCAACGTTGGAACCAACTCTTGACCTTCTTCAACTCTTTCAACCTCGGTTCCAATAGCAACATTCCCTGACACTCTTTCCCGACAAATCCGCCGTTCTTCCCGTCTCGCACAAATACCTGTCGTCCTCGCAGCCACGTCTCTTTGACCTGCCCCTTCATTGTCTTTCCCTGGTACGGGGAACACTTGTTCCGGAAGAGCATAGTTGAAGGTTGAACGACCCATTCCTTCGTGTCGTCAAAGACACAGATATCGGCGTCGAATCCCACAGCCAGGTCTCCTTTCTGTTTCTCGAGACCGACTTGCACGGCTGTATTGGTGCAGCACCATTTCACGACGTCAGTGATGGCTGAATCCGTATCCGCCAACCCGCGGCGAGACATTTCGGTCCACAAGATGGGTAGACCCATACCGACGGATGAGATGCCGCCCCACGCGGAGAAGAAGTCGCCTCGGTCGGCTTCTAATTGTAGCGACTTCGCCGTATCCTTGGGTTGACTAATATGCCCGGGTATATGCGAAGGGAGAATCTTGAGGTCCGGCGTGCAAGGAGAGTGATCTGACACCACCGTCTTGATGACGCCTTCTTCGGCAAACTGTCTTAACTCTTCCCAGAGTCTATCCTGGTTTGACTGGCTTCGGATAGGCGGGCAGCACTTATGCCGCGTGTCGCCGAGCGCTACTTGCTCGGCTGCCAAGGATAAGTAATGGGGGCAGGTCTCCGCCGTGATATTGATGCCTTGAGCTCGTGCTTTCCTCAGCAGTGGTATGGCTTCCATTGCCGACAAGTGCACGATGTGCAAAGCAAGGTTAGGAGCTAGGTGTGCTAAGGACAAAATCTCCTCGATAGCGTAAGTTTCGAACGAGGGTGGCCGCGACTCCAGGAATGTGCTGTAGGCGTTTAAAGGCCCGTGAGGCTGCATTGGGGGTAACGAAACCTGGACGTCGTCTCCCACCGAGTCTGCAATAGGCGGAATCATTTCGGCATGGAACATGACCGTGGTTGGCTCGTCGGCCAGTTCGGCAAAGACCTTCTGGATATCTGTCGACGAGACCGCGGGGAACTCCTCCACACCACTATCAATGAGGAATCCCTTGAACCCTCTGACACCTTCCCTCACGAGTGCCTTAAGCTCGGCCTCGTTACCGGGAATAATGCCTCCATAGAAGCCCACGTCGACCCAGCATTGTCCTTGCGCCGCCTTGATCTTCTCCTGTAAGTTGGCTACCGTGGTTGTAGGAGGAATCGCATTCAACGGCATGTCCACCACCGTCGTGACGCCGCCAAAAGCCGCTGCTTGGGTCCCCGTGTAGAAGCCTTCCCATTCTGTCCTCCCAGGCTCATTCAGATGCACGTGGGCGTCGACCAATCCGGGGAGCAGTATATGTGGAGAATAATCTGTATATGGGGTATGGGGAGGGAAGTCGGACGCAGGAACGATCGAATCATATGTCGCAATGATCTTGCCCGTGGCGTTGGATATGATCAATGTGGCGGGGGAAAGCCGACCTGACCTGATAGCTCGAGAAGAGGCTATGACGGTTATTGACGACTCGAAGTACCCATCTTCAGATAAGCCATTCGGTGGGGATCTCGGAGGCGTTGGATAGTTGTGGAAGGACCAGGACCTGGGAAAGCTAGTCATTGTTGCGGTAAGTAGAAGAGGCGCTGGCGCTTGCTGGGCTCGATGTATAGAGAGAATCGCAAAACACAACCAGGAAAGGTGAGAGCGCTGAGCATGTGAAATCGGGAGATATCCTTCTTATCAACAGTATGATAAGCGATATGCAGGTCAAATGCGTGTCTCAGCACTTGTTGATTCGGGCGAGTCTTGAAGCGGGATGGAACAAAGACGCCACCAAAGAAAGGATATACTACCACTGCATGGCCCATTCTTGCTTCGAGCCGTATCATCCACAGCCACGACGTGGGAGGATTGATATGATCGGGAACCCCAGGCAGGTCCCATGCCGGACGGTGGAGCGATACATGCGGAGGAGTCCGACAGATCAGGTATGCTCACCAGTCGCGATTGGTGAGGGAGACCAGACGACGCGCTGTGGAATATATGGGGCAGATATCTCTTACTCGATCTTATCGAGTAGCGATAAGAGAGTAAGGAAAGCAGAGGCGGCCGAAGAGGGTTTTGGTGGGAAAGGAAGACGGGAAAGCGTTGCGCTGACGTGCATCCGTTATCGTTGGGGAGCAGAGGGAGGCCCATGGGGGCAATGGTCCATGGCGCATGTGCCTGCGCCCGGCCACGCTTAACCGTTTTGTGGCTGGGGGTATCGGACCCTTGATAAGGAACTCGGATCTGCTAGCCCGTTTTCGGCCGTCGGCGACCTCTGCAATGTACCGCCATTACTCGATAAAACCCCCTTTTTACTCGATCAAAACTCCTGACTGGCACCGGTTGTGATTTGAAAATCCTCTCTTGCACAATTTTTGCGCTGCAACCGCATCATGTCAGAGTCAACCTTTCTCGCAGCCGCAGCCACCATTTACCGGTCGCTTGGAAGAACTCCGCGGTTTTTGCCTGCGCCCGCTGCTGCCCGGACTGATCGGTCTCGACTCCTCCGGCTCAGTTCAATGATGAGACCGGTAAATGTCTTTGCGGCTTGTGGAATCGCGTCGAGCAAAGGTACGCGAGGGAAATTGGATGAGCGCATGCAGTTGTGGCCGCTGCTCTGACGGCCGGTAAGCTTTGCGGTCGGAGTCCGCCGGAACGAGGTGACGATTTTCACATCACCATGGCTCTTTCGAATACCTTGATCTGAGACCACGAAAACGATGCATATCTCTCACCAGCGACTTGGAAAGGCAGGCATTCGAAAGTGTCATCAGTTCAAAGTGAGGAGAAGAGCAGAAAATGACGATCACGAGGCCAAGCAAAACAGGCACCTGTCACGTGCGCCCTTGCTGGGCGGAGAAGGTTCCCATTGCAGTTCGTATTGCCTGTTTTCGCGTTTGCTTCGAGTACAAACAAGTCATCATCATTCACATATGCTTTCTCACATTGCTGTACCTGTCCTGAGCAGCATGCACACGCATGAAACCCCTTTCGCCTCCGTTAATATGCGCTGTCAGTGGCAACTACCAATCGGGCAGTTGCTTGTAGTGATCTCCACCGAGGCTTGCTGGCACAGAACATTCATCAGTGTCCACTCCAGCCATCGTTACCGTCACACGCTTATCATGACTGTTGCTTACTCACAGGCACTCCAAAAGAAGCTGGTCATCTGCTACCCTGTCTGATCTTTTGAGGGAAACGCCTGCATACACTTCCGGTGGGTCAGGAATATGATGAGGTTCAATCGTAGCTTTTTACTTGTAGAGCATGTATGGTGGTTTCTTTATGACCAGCGGTTTAGCGGATCTCGACCGGAGAGCCTGGACCAGCTGCTGTGAGTGACTGTCGGTACTTCTCCCAAGTCTCCCTGCAGTCCCAGCACTCTCGGTACGCTAATGTCAACGGCTGCAATGGCCATGCAAGCTACCTAGTCAAAAAAGACCACAGCGGCACAGAACGCCTTCTATCACCAATTTTGTCGCAGCACTAGCAGTAATGGATTCCGACACCTGCAGATACTCTTCGTCTCCAAACTCCATTCAAGCTAAAGAGGAATAAGAGCAAAAACAATCAACAGCCAGGATTCCCAAGTGGTCACCCACCTTAGTACTAACTGACCGGCATATGGCTTAAGTACGGCTGAGCGAACGGGAAGCCCTGTTTTCCATATCCTATGGTCGATTGCGAAACGAGAATTTGCTTTTTGAAAGTATACCAAGCGTTTTAAATTTGACCCGAGCTTTTGTGCGATGTCATGGTGCGCTCTTTTCCAGACCTCAAAGGTCCACATTCTGAGACAAGCAAAAATAGATTTGTTCATCAATGCCGACCACAAATTGTAATACGGCTCGGCGAACATGTATCCCGGGAAGGAGAGTTCCATTTCGATCAATGCATAGAAACCATGCCCAGCCCAGCAACATCCAATCGGAACCTCGCTAAGTACTTACAATGTACGCGCAACCCGATCCCGAGGCGAAAGCATGGACAGCAAGATATCGCTCAATTCGGCGATGGAAGTCACCAACAAGATGCACCTGGTCTCGCTTCAGGCGTCAAGAACATAGTGACTGCGGCGGTCAAGGCACATGCTCAACTCAAAACCAAGAGATTTCCTGCTTGAGCTGATCAAAGTTCTACATGTCCTTTGCTACGACGTGTAGCCACCATGTTGGACACGATGGGCGCTCCGCAGCCGACTCACTAAATCGGTGGTCATTCCAGCATAATCTTTCGGAAAATAACGGTGGAACAGTTCCTGCCACCAGCGACGCTTCCTAAAGTTATTTAATCCGACATCTCGCAATAGCAGATCAGTGTATAGCAGTCCGTCAAAGACCAAGTCCGGACATCTCTCCCCCGCCCCACCGCCGGTAGGGGGATGTCGCAGTCGACAATATTCACTCTGAAAAATCGTCTGGTACTGGATCTCCTTGATGTCAAAGCTCGAACGCTCCAGGTGAGGGATACCGTCCTCGAAGAACGCTGTTATCCACAGTGCCTGCGCTTGTGCCACCGTGATAGCATTGAGTGCTAAATGTGAGCCAATGAATGCTATATTTCGCAACGCTAGCATTCTCGGTGCTGGAGGCACCATGAAGCGGTACAGCCTGAACGGGGTGGAAGTTTTGCTGTCCCTTGTCGAAACGATTGGGACCGAGCTCTTTGGCAGCGTTCTACCTGGACTTGATCGTAGTTCGGGGACAGCTTTCAAGATCTCCTCCATCGCCTGCTGTAGGAGAAAACTGCCCTCTGGGGCACCTAATCCCGGCATACCCAATTCCGCGATGATGCATTCTGGCAAGAACTCAATCGGCGGCGTCATCTTCCAACCCGTGCAGGAGACAAATGTATCGGCAAGAAGGACGGCACCGTTCGAAAGGAACACCTTTCTGCCCGACAAGAACGTCACATCGCCAATATGAACGTTGATCTTCTCTTGTTTCACCAATTCGAACCAATTTGTCTCGTAGTTGTGGACGCCAAGTGAGTTACCCATCCAGAACGTTGAGCTCCAGGGTTTCAATTTCGCCAATTCAGGATGCGTGGAATAGCCATTTGCTGACAGCACGGGAATGGCGAGCGTTCTCCAAAACCACTTCACCAACTGCCGGCCAAGCCATGTTCGGTGCAACAACCTTCGAACCCAAGGGAAGCCACCGCTACCCTCATCCCAGATGCAAGGCTCAAACAACGTGAAGAACCTTGTCGTCGCCATTTTCTGCAAAGAGAGCCCGAAAGGTAGCAGGACCGGCCACACCCAAGAGGGCCCGCCGCCGCCTGGTCGGATGACCATACTGACATGTGCTCCTGCCATTGCTGCAGTGTAGCAAGTGTCCCATGCAGATTTATTTGCTCCGACCACTACGACCTCCTTCGACAGTCGTATATCATTGGCCTGGTCTCTCAGCTGGCGCGAATGGAGGAATTTGCCTTTGAAGCTCTCCCTGCCCTCATAGTCAGGTATATGCGGCTCGGAAGTCAACCCGGTGGCGACAACGAGCCTTCTCGCGCGCAATGTCGATATTTTATGGCTCCCAACACCCATCTTGCGCACTCGAAGCAACCAGTCGCCACCTTCTCTCATCTCAGCCGACTCGACCTTCGTCCGTAACCTTATTCGCGACGTGAGGTCAAACTCTTTGGCAAATCGACACAAGTACTCATGCACAACGGCGCCAGGGATATGCTGCCCAGGCTGGACAGCGAAATGTTCCGGCGTCATCGGGAAGTCGCCGAATTCATACGAACCGATGATATTGTTGGTCTTGAGTCCCGGGTACAGACGTTCCTCTGCCCAGGTCCCGCCGATGGATTGCGCAGTGTCGAGGACGAGCATGGTATGATAGGGACAAACTTCGTGGTACGTCTTAGCCATGGCGAGGCCATGCCAACCTGCGAGCGCATTAGATTGTCCCGAAACAGACCTCGAGGATTTGATCCTTCCCATCTTATCCATTCTGCTTCGTCACACAAGGGCCGCTTACCTGCTCCTACGATGACCAGATCAAAGCTCTCCATGATGATGACAATGGTGGGCGCGAGCAGATGAATCTTATCATAACATCTGGTTCAGGGAGCCGCGCCGGATGGTCTCGAAGCCTTGACCCTTGATCTTTTGAATCTTCTGCTTTTACAATGCGCAACAACCGGCAAGATAGGTCTGCGCCCGAGGCGCCTACATCTACTCTTTGGCGCCTTTTCCTCCAGTGTGGGTATAAGTGAGATAATTTATAAACGACCAGATGAAGCGGTCGAGGTCCGCTCCTCGTCCAATATGTGCTGCGTGGCGTTCAACCCAGCACCGGCGGTCGAGTAACGCGATCGACTCGTACAACCGCTCCGTGCGTAAGTGCTGCTGATGCCTGACTTATTGGCGCCGGCGCCGTGTCACGCCCTGCAAATGAAGGCTTCAAGCTCGCACAGATGGAGCCATGCACAGTACGAGGAGGCGCCATGTGCGCCTTATCAAACCCCAGGTTCAGTTTCGGCTGCTCTCCGCACTCCACATTGGCAGTCGGATTAGAGCGTATGTAAGCAGACGTGACTATCTTTATGGCCGGCAGAGCGATTCGGCTTCTTCGCTGCATCAACGGTACATGGGGGAATGTCCTACCGAAGGCTATTCCGACCCGAGCGCGCCGTCTTCTGACCAAACCATGGTTTGAATCTGCGGGGTGCAGTACGAATAATTAATGGTTACATATTGACAACGTGCCACCGAACAAACAGAGGTCATGTACGACCCGGAAAGTGATTTGCAATCGGCAGGTCTGAAGGCGTCCTAGCACGACAGCCAAGGCACAGACCTTCACACAGTGGGGGCCCTGGCGTGGCCTGTGCACGAGTTTGAAGGATAAAAGGAAGCGAAGGAAGCAGAGCGATATCAGCTTGTTCGAAAGTGAAAGACGCGTACCCTGTACACTCCGCTGAATACCGATATCAAAATCCCGCCGCACCACATCTCACTTCATCTTGTCATTCCAGACCCTCGAGCGGAGCGGGGTGAACATCAATTCAGAGTATCATCACACCTCATCCCATCCCGTAATTTACCGCCTCATCGTTTGAGACTCCACGAGCGTCAAGTCTTGAGCTCCAAGCCCGCAACCATGGCCAACGCCCCAGTCCTCGATCTGGGGAAATACCCGACCGCGCAGGCCTTCGTGGCAAAATGTCACGAATTCTTCAACGAGGTCAAGAACCTGTGAGTGATCAGCTGTGCTTTTCTGCCCCCTGCATCTATCGAAACCGCCCGATCATGAAACCTCCCCATCCATTATCGACATTCGCTTGACTTTGAAGTACCGTTAACAACCCGAGCAGAACGCCCGGCCACGAGCTCGAAGCCCGCCTCAACGCCACCCACGGTCCCGGCACGCCCTACTACGACGCCTTCCGCGCGTACATCCTCGCCGGCCTGAAAGAAGGCTGGGTGGCCCAAACGGAACTCGACGGTCCGCGGTACCGGCGCGGTCGCATCGCGCCACCCACGCCCGAGAGCAACTTCATTTCCATCACCACCGTGTACATGTCGTCCGAGGACGAATACCGCGGCCAGTACCACGCCCACCCGTACGGCGAGATCAATTGCGTGATCTTGCTCGACGAGGGCAGCAAGGCCCAGTTGAAGGGGATGCAAGGGTGGCAGGGCGCCGGGTGGACGAGCCCCGGGCCTGGGACGCACCATTATCCAGAGGTAAGGGGTGGCGAGCTCGTGGCTTTGTTCTTCCTCCCGGCTGGGCGGATCAGTTATGAGGCAACGCCCGGGATGGCGCAACCGCCGTCACTGTAGCGACAGGCTGTGATCCTTACTGAAGGAAAGGGGATACACGTGGACGTGAAACCCGAGTGTTGGTAAACAAACGGACGGACGGACAGAAACAAGGTGCGGAGACGTGTGCATCGGCATCGATATGGATAGCCCCATGGACATGATGTATGTACTCAGTCGATCCATGAATCCGTCAAATGGAAACTTAGCGCCAACTTACAGGATTGCAAAGCACTCCGTATCAGCGGCGGCATTCCAGTCTTTGCTCATCAAAGAGTTGCTCACGCGCGGTGTTTGCACCATGTCCCCGGCCAGGCGATTCAAGAATAACTTCAGTCCATTGTGCATTCTTATATTGGCTGTGTAGAGGGGCGGCTGGGGACCACATGGCGTGTTTCAATGAGAGTAGCCGACTTTCTGAAAAGACTGTACGGAGTAGTATTGCATAAAACGTGTGTGCGTGAACGGATGACTCAAACTGACGCAACGGTATCGAGAAGCATAGATGACCTATTGGTGGCGTCTGGTGTAGGCGAAGCAGAAGCAGAAGCAGAAGCAGAAGCAGAAGCAGACGCAGAAGCAGAAGCAGACGCAGACGCAGAAGCAGAAGCAGACGCAGACGCAGAAGCAGAAGCAGACGCAGACGCAGACGCAGAAGCAGAAGCAGAAGCAGAAGCAGAAGCAGAAGCAGTAGATCCTCAGCATGAAAAGGAGCCTCCAGTAAGCAAGCGTCACGGTCCTGCAGTCAAATCACAAAATATATTAAGTCAAGCCTTCCGGGAAAGACAGCGTGAAAGTCTACCTCGGAAGGAGCCGAAAAGTCACCTGCTTGCCTGCCTTGGCTCAAACCCCCAAGCCGCAGGTCGAAGGCGGTTCTGAAATTCCGCAAGCCGAGAATGCCCCAATGCTGAATGTAGAACGAACGAGTATACCAACATCAACACCAACACCAACACCAACACCAGCCTCGCGTAACATGACACGCTTGTCTATCGACCACCAAATCATTTTCGCTAACTCAGCCATGTACCCCTGCACGCTTCTTCCTCCTTGCAATGAACCATTGAACCCCCCTGGGCAGCTGCGACGCTCCAGATCGATGACCCTGACAGCCGTGTCACGGTCGTACTCTATAAGGGCGTGCTGATCCAATCCGCCTGGAACCCCACCAAAATTTCCACACCGGGTGATCACCACGCAGATGAGTTGCTATACTCAAGGATGACGTCGGGTGTGAGGTAACCAGTGTCGATGAGAGCATCTCTGGGGTGCTGGCGGTATGAGCCGACGCCCGGAGGAAGCGAACGCTTCCTATAGCTCTGAATGGCGCCGCCAGCTGGGGTGAACTCAAAACTGCTGCTTGCGCGAGATATGCCGGCGGCGAGGACGCCAGCTCGGACACTAGGTGCATTCGTGCCAGCAGGGCGACTGGAGTACAGATTGCAAGTGTTGGCACCGTACCACTCCCACAATCGGCAACCTCCTGCGTAGCCAGACGCAGCATTCAGGATCTCGCACAAACGAGCGCAGTCGTCGGCAGTTGTGATGACACCTCCGAAGCCATAGGTCGTGGCGGCAGTGGACGTGGTGACTTGAGAGCCAGAAATGGAGCTCGTGTAATACGAGTAACCCGCGCAGGTGATCAGGAAAACATCGTTGCGGTATCCGCCCTGAATGAAGGGGCCGCCAGTACCGGTAGAGCCTCTGCCATAGACGCCGACAAATGTCCTGTCGTAATAGTTCGCGTTCGGCCCTCCGCAAAGATTGAGATCGTAACCCGGAGCGAGGAGATAAGTGGCATCGATGACACTGGGAGAGGTGGAAGTCAAGAGTCTGGCGGTGCGGACGTAGTTGCCGACGAAGCTGTTCGGGGTCAACAGGCCACTGCCGGCCTGCGCGGGGTAAAGCGAGCACTGTGAAAGAGAAGATGCCCAGTAGGCAACCGCGCAGGTTGCACCGGCCTGATTGCAAAGGTCCATGCACGCTTCGAGAGAATTAACGTTGTTGGTGGCAGTCGGGGCAGTGCCTGAAGCCGCGCTCATGAAGCATTCGATCTCATAGACCGCATTAGGCGCATTGGACAAAGCCACTTTCTGGTAATTATACGCCCCTGTTTGAACCGGGAGGGGCTGCACGGTTGGAGAGGTCGCGAAGTTGACGCCTGCGCAGAGCACACCAGTGGCCGCTGAAAGGGGTGTTACTGAGGACACGGTGACTATCGAGGCCAAGCTCGAGGCGTTCGGACCGGCAGGTGGGGTGTAAGGGACCGTAGAGGTCGTTGTTGTCGTTGTTGTCGTTGTGGTCGTTGTGGTCGTTGTGGTTGTTGTGGTCGTTGTGGTCGTTGTCGTCGTCGTCGGTGTTGTCGAGGAAGAGACGGCTGCTGTAGCCGAAGTGGTCGTAGTGGTCGTAGTGGTTGTAGTGGTCGTCGCTATTGCTGTAGTGGTGGTCGAGACTGTTGTTGTTGTTGTTGTTGCTGCCGCCGTGGTGCTGGTTGTCGTCGGAGCAACAGAGGAAGTCGACGTGTCAACAGTGGTGGAAGAAGAAGATACTAAGGACGAAGAAGTCAGTAAAGTTGTGCTACTACCAGAATCTGATAATGTGGTAGTAGCAACACTAGTGACCTGGGTAGTCAAGGGAGAAGAAGGAGCAGCAGTACTAATTTGGGAAGTCGTGCTGGTTGGGGCAGCAGTTGAAACAGAGGAACTCGTCGAGGTCGTACCAGCACCGGCAACGCTACTGGCCGTGGAAGTTGTCGTGCTTGCAGCAGCAGAAGTTGTAACTGTCGAGAGCGTCGAGCTAGTGGCAGCGGCGCTAGAGGTTGTATCAGCCGTTGAGAGAGTCGAGCTAGTTGTAGCAGCACCCGTAGTGGTGGTAGCAGCACTCGTAGTGGTGGTAGCAGCACTCGTAGTGGTGGAGACTGTGGTGGTCACACTCGAAGGTGTGGACGTTGTGGAGCTAGCAGGAGTAGCACTCGAGCTGGAGGGAGCAGTCGATCCTGTAGAGGAGGTCGTGGCTGAGGAGCTAGTGGTGGCGGCAGAGCTCGAGCTTGATGGTGCGCCTGTCGAAGTCGTGCTGGATGGTGCTCCAGTCGATAATGTGCTAGCAGAGGTGGGGATGATAGTACTTGACGTTGCTGACGTTGAGGCGGCAACAGTGGTAGAGACGGTACTGCTTGGGCTTGAGGTCTGCACCACAGAGCTTGTAATAACGCTGGAGGAGGTGACGCCACCAGTCGTACTCGGGCCTGTCGACGTTGTTGATGTCAGCCCGGCCCCACTCGTCGACGCGCCTTGAGAGATGGTTGACAGCGAGGAAGAAGCAGAAGACATTGCAGAAGTGGTCTGAATAACAGAGGCTGTCGTCGAACTTCCCGGACCGGACGCGCTAGTAGATACTGTATAAAGCTCTTGTCAGCCAATGATCCATCCCAGAGTAGATTTTGGGGAGAGAAATGACAAAAGTGCCCTAGAGACGCGTAGCCTACAAGCTGGCCAATGGGCACGAAAAGAATCGCTAACGAACGTGTCGTCTGGGACGAAACATACCAGCAGAGGAAGCCGCTGAGCTGGAAGTCACTGAGCTTAGCGCGACTGTAGACGTCGGTGGTATGGCTGATGAAGAGCTCGTAGTTGTGGACGACGCAGGTGAGGAGCTGGTGCTCGTTGGCGCAGGACTCGGTGTCGAGGTTGTCGCTGAAGATACAGATGGCGCAGTGGTAATGGCAGTGCTGGACACAGCCACCGTGGAAGAGGCCAAGGCACTAGAAGAAGTCGTGCTTGGGAGTGGGAGAGAGACACTTGTACTTGCTGCGATAACAACTGCGCTGGTGGTACTCGAGGAGGTGGCTGCAGAGCTTGAGAAGGCTGGCGAACTCGTACTTGTCGGTACGGTTGCAACCGAAGTCGAGGACAGAGTCGACGCCGGAGGATTTGGCGCAGATGATAAAGTGCTGATGCTCGATGTGGCGATTGACGAGCCCAAGGCAGATGAAAGGGTAGAGGCAAACACAACAACACTAGAAGCACTGGTGGAAACCACAGCGGGAGACGTACCAGAACTTGAAGCAATACTTGAAATGCTGGACGAGGAAGGCGTGGCGGAGCTTTGAGTGGTGCCTTGAATCGTAGTCGCAATGATTGTCGTCGTTGGGGGCACCCCAATGGTAGAGCTTGATGCCGCCACGACCGAGCTGGTGGAGCTGGATGCCACCGGGTTGGTCGTCTGGAAAGTTGGGACCGCCGTGGTTGTGGGGCCAGCCGAGGTAGTTGATGAGCTTCCAGCCACCGTGGATGAAGGGACAGCAATGGTAGTCGACGAGCTGCCAGCCGCCGCTGCTGAGGACGACGTGGCTGGTACGACCGAGCTGCTGCTTAAGGGCAGGGATGTTGTGCTTGCAATAAGGGCAGAAGTGGATGGAGAAGGAGAGGAAGACACTATACCTGCTGAAGTACTTGAGGCGGTGCTGCTCGAAGCTGCGCTTGACGAAGGCAGTGCTGAAGTAGCCGGGTTGGTACTTGTGTTGATCATGGATGTAGTGCTTGATCCACCAGCAGGGCCACTGCTAGTGCCAACCACGCCACCAGCAGATGAAGCGGTTGAGGTTATAACAGTAGTGCTAGATTGCGCCGGAGTGACAGCAGGCGAGCTCGATCGCAGACTTGTCGCGCTCGAAGAGCTTGAGGGCAGGGCCACGATTGCGGAGGAACCCGACAGCCCCGGAACCACGGAGGAAGAGCTCGACTGAGCCACAGCTCCAGCTGATGAAGTCGATTGTCCGATGGTAGTAGCTGCCGATGATGACTGGGATATTGCCGGGCTTGAGGAACTTGGCGGGACAACGACATTTGAAGAGGTCGAGGAGCTTACAGCAATCGGACCACCTGTTGCAGAAGTAGCCGAAGTCCCCGCGCTTGTCGATGAAGCCACGACGGGCGAAGTGGTTTGTGCCACGGTGCTGGAGACACCCGAGTCCGTTGTCGTGGTCATATCAACCGCCGTCGTGGATGACACATCGCTCGGAGCCGGGGTGCTTGAAGGGACGTCTGATGAGGTAGACGTGTCGGCTTCATTGCGTAGCGGTACAGGACAAGCAGTGGCGGCAATGCCTCCCAGGGTGACTACGTAGCAGTCCTCTCGTGGAGGATTGGGAAAGCCCGCGTAAACTTTGGCATCCCCACATTGGTAGAAGGTCGCCACACCTTGATCGGCAGTGTCCCAATTGAGGATACCATCAACGAAGGACAACACCGTTGTGACGTTGTTGGAGTCAGGGTCAGGAGTCAACAGAGCTGAGCTGTCGGTGGTGTTGCGGCCCACCACGTCCGTGCCGTCGGTCAATTGTCCCTGTTCCAAGAAGAACCGGGACGCAACGTCGCAAGCCAGGGCGGCGCCTCCTTCCTCCCCTGACAGAACCGCACCCGCTGTCGGGCCTGCAGGAGCTTGTCTTTTTACCTTCGCTCCGAGATTGCCGACTGCAACACCGACGATAACACCGTTCTCTGCTAGCGAGGCGGGGAGATCAGTGATGGTTCCCGATGGAAGACCCTCTCCAAGTGCCAATGGAGTCTGAGTAACTTCAACCAGGACTGTGTTGCCGCTCGCGTCTACTGATGTAGAAGTCAAGACTGGCGCGGGTGCTGGCGTTGTTTGCGGAGGGGGAACGGGAGTGAAAATCGGAGATGATGTGGACGAAGGGCCCAGAGAAGTGCTGCTCGAAGGTGGCACAGGAGTCATGGAGGCAGATGGTGCAGGGGTCGTCGACGAGGACCCGCCCGTAAGGATAGGACCAACGTCCGCACCGCTAGAGGACGCTCCTGTAGTTGAAGGATTGACAACTGTGGTAGAGATGGTGGAAATGATGGTTGTGCTGATATATGTGTTGGTAATGTACGTCGTTGGAGCATTGTTGATCATAACCGTATTGCTGTTGCCCCAGAGGTTCACAATCGAGGAAGCTGATTGAAAGAAGGAGCTGTAGTACCCCGCCTGTACAACAACGACGCTGGTGACCGAGGGGACGGGGCATGGTCCGCTAGGTCCGTATGTGACTGTGGACAGAGCTTGCGCGCTTACCGATGCCATATGCGCAGCGAGATAGGGTAAAAGGAGTGAAGATGATGGCCACATGATGGGCCACCCGGTTGCCTTTCTGCTGTATTCTGTGAACAAGACTGGAAAAGTGAAGGGACGGAAGTGGAGGACTGCAGAACTCCAAACCAAACGAATGACTGTCGACCGGTAAAAGTACAAGAGCAGATTGCACCGGTGGTTGGGTTTTGAGGACTCGCGCCTGGGCGACGCGAGATGATAACAACAACATCAGAATGCTGCATTCCAGTGAGCTACCCGTCGACCATGGCGCACGAGCCGTCCACGCCGAGTTCAAGCATTCAAGGGGCATCCGAGGAATGACAGTGCGCGCCCACGACATGAAAGGAAAGGAGAGATATGCCGCCATTCTTCAGCAAGCTCTGGACGCTTCGAGTGAAGCAGGGTTCAGGATTGGACTTCGAGGTTGACACTTACTGCAACCGACTTACTCTGTACCCAGTCCAGGATGGCCCTGTGGTGGGTTCATTCTTGGTCGAGGGAAGAAGCACATACAAGCACTATTGAGGGGTGCGAATACATGGACCCCAGCAAGAAGTGTGAATCGCTGTTGTCAAGCAAGAATATCGGAAGTTAGACTGAAGAAAGGCGCGAGCAGGTCAAACAAGGGGCAGGTGGACAGGAACGCCATGCAGTGTCAGTCTTGCTCACTTCCGTTCGGGTCTGCGGTAGCGGGTTCCGCCGCTCTGCGTTAGCTTTCATATCTTGAAGTCCTGTGTCGCTTCGGCAGGCCTCGAGAAAGAAGATGGTAGATACTGTGTACACATTAAAAAGACAGTCGCGGTGGATAGGAGAGGGAAGGGCAGTTGGGTGGCTATCACGTGAGCCCAGTAGAAGCTTGGCGCAATAAGGTTTGCGGCTAATCAGCCGCCAATCTCAGATGCAACATTTTGACGTCATTGTTTTGGGTTCCTGACGATGAGCAACATCAGCACCGACTTTCCAACAGTGGGAGACTGGGCGACACTGGGCGGCGTGCTGCACGGTGTTTCAGGTTCCTTGATTTTCCTCCCCCAGATCCGGGGTTCGGTTAATGCGCCATAGCTCGATGCTCGTCTCCCGGCCAGTCGTGCGAGTAAGCAGAAGATATGAACTAATTGGCGGTGGCTGTCGTCTTACTCGTCTGCGCTCAGTGGCTCTGCTTTCTATTGTTTGTTTGACATCGAGTCTATCGTTTGCGACATCACTTAGTGAGGCAAAGAGGTAGATACATTGGGTGTGAGTGATTATCGTGCAAGCGTTGCCAATGTTACTAATGACCACAGTCTTGCCCGTATAGACATCTTCGCCAGTATGATGCTGCAACTCTTGTCCGCCGCTTCGATCCTTCTGCTACGAGCCTCTGCCGTCCCCACTAAAGTCTCCCCTCAAGAGGAGGCATTGATTACACCCGCTCCAACTCGTACGCTTGCGGTCTATGGATCTTATGCAGGAGCACGGCGAGATGTTCTCAGCGATATCACGGCCGGTCTCGACTCATATGTCAACTCTGTGTTTTCCGAGTTGGGGAGCGCGATACCTTCGTACGTGTCCAATGGCTTGCTGCCCGGCCTACAGAACCTTCCCACTGGGAGCGATGTAGCCAGCTCGGTAGGAGTCAGCAGCTCGGATCTTGCTGCTTCTCCCACACAGGTATTGAACATTCCAGGATATGGAAACTGGACATCTTCGGGCTGGAACTTGCGTATACATGGGAACGTGTTCAAACAGCCCAACATTTCCAATGACACTGTGGACGACCTCGCCAATTTCTTCCTGATCGACACCAGTGTTGCGGATCTTCCACCATCCCAGCAGGACCAAGCCCGCAACCTTACGCGAGAGATTTATGTTGTGCAGCAAGGGCATCAATCCGTCACAATGGATATAGTGCCAGGTCCGCAATTCGGTTCGAGTGGGCAACCTGGAGGAGGGGGCGGCGAGACTCCAGCGGGTGGAGAGCAGGTCATCACGTTGCCGTATCCAACCACCCCTGAAGGCGACTTTGACGTCTTCGTACCAGTCGACAGCAATTCGCTTGCATTAACATCTGGTGCTGGCGAGATGCCCCCACAGAGGCTGAATGTGTACACTCAGGGGACTGACACAGGCAATGCAACCTCGTACCTTGTCTCAGACCAGGGCCTCACCATCATCTCCGACATTGACGACATCCTGCGCGTCACCAAGATCTACCAGCCGAAAGAGGGCCTCCTCAACTCCTTCGCCCGTCCCTTTACTCCCTGGATGAACATGCCCGACATCTACCGCAACTGGTCCGTCAGCCTGCCAAACATGCACTTCCACTACCTCACCACGACACCCGAACAAATCACCCGCAACTACATGGAATACATCTATGCGAACTACCCTGGCGGCAGCTTCGACACCCGGCCCCTCAACTTCAGCGATGTCTCTGCGACGCTTTCCATCCGCAAGTTCCTCCTCGACAAGATCTTCCAAACATTTCCAAATCGGAAATTCATCCTCGTGGCGGACACGAGTAACTCGGACGTCATGCGGGATTATCCCGAGTTGGCGACACAATATCCGGGCCAAGTACAGTGTATATTCCTGCGAAATACCTCAGCCACCGACCCGGGTGACAAATTTCCATACAACACTGAGGGGTTCAAGAATCTGAATCAGAACAGCTACATGTTCTTCAAGGTGCCGGATGATCTGGCCGGTTTGGATATCGTGAACGGCCAGTGTTGGAATACCACCATCCCGCAGAATTTGACATTTGGGTATCAGGGCCTGCCTTTTGGGTTGTCAACGGGTGACGGCAATTCCAGTAGCAATGATAACGCTGCCGGGAGGTTGTTGGGCGATCGTGGTCTGTTGGAGAGATCCAGCACGCTCGCGATGCTTGTGCTGGGCCTGGTCGCTTTCAACAGCTTCTGATCTGTTCCGCTGACTTTGACGCGGGTGACTTGCCTTCCAAACGTCGTCACTGTTGGTGCTGGGCAGGTTCTTCTTCGAAGGAACAAATCGTCACGATGGTGAAATCGTCATGCATGTTCAAGACGACAACGCTCCCAAGACTGAAGGGATAGGTCAGCGCCCCGCTGCTTGAGGCGCTGTTGTTCGTGCTCGAGCTTGACGTCGAATGTCTGCTGGCTGTGCGGAAGTCCTCCGGAAGTTCAACAACTCTTCCAGCCCGAGGAGCCGATGAAGGAGACGGCTTGGAGCAGAAGCATCCCATGATGAATTGCTTGGGCAGGCGTCTACAGCCAGAGTGCAACAAGTGTGTTGGATCGTGGAAGGAGCCCGTGTGCACAATGGACGTGGCATGAGAGGTTAAGACGGCGCGACGAGCGCATGCGGCCGTTGTCCGTGGACTCTTTATAAAGTCCTCGATGAGGACCTATGCGTGGCAGCCGTCTGGGCGTGAGTTTGGCAGTCAAGAAAAGCATGGCCGAACCAAACAGCTGTAAACCTAGATCCAGCATCTCCGCAGAATTTGCCTACAAAATGATGAGTCCGCCCCGGATGGGACGGACGCCCATGAATGACTTGACAAAGTATTCATTATATGTAGGGAAGTACTTATAACCGAAGCAGCTACTGGCATTTCCCAGCGATTATGTCTCTCTGTATCTCGCGTAAGATGGCATTTAGACCTCGTGGCCTATGCTACGCCGAAGAAGCTGCTGGGTTAGTTGTCCCATGGCCCATCCTGGTTCAACGACCTGGACAGTCAGAAGCTTGATCGAGGTCTTCATGCTCATCATCGACGCGACAGAGCGCGATCTCAGGAGACGACCCTAACATCCGGCCTGCTATATCAGTAGCACGGAGTCCTCGGTATCGTCACATCTAACCCAGGGAGATGGTGAAACTTAGAGCTCTCACCCTGTTCATACCTAAATAAAGACCGAATCTTTTCTGAAGCCCATCTTCCCATTCCTAGAGCTCCGCTTTGCGCGCTGTGAACTGACCCGGTTGTATTCGCCGTCTGTTCTTTACCTTGCAGGGGACAGCCCTCAACAATATCTCATGCACAGCTTCATCCTTAATTCCCGGCACACGCACGGCGTGTATGCGTTGACACGCTGGTGATCTGAAGAGGGCGCATGGAATGCTGTCAAAGCAGGAAGCGAAGTAAGAGGGGAGTGCAGGGCGTCGGTAAAGCGGCAGCTCAACACCTCCAGATACGGCCATCCAACTCGCCTGCATCTCCACGCAACTCCAATTGACCTGACCTGAACTGACCTTGACTTGGACGTCACTTTGAAATTGAAGCTTCTCGACGGACACTCCACGACACATCTGCGCCCTACTTTTACGGGCCACACCCAAACGCCACGCACCTGCGCCTGGGGCAGTGCTGTACATGTAGACGCGGAGGCCTCGCGCACACCCAAACCCAGTGCTCGCACATCCTCCACCCTTCACACTCACTCCAACCTCGACAATGCCTCAAGACCTCCCGCCCTCAGGCGGTTATGAAGCCGTCCAATACCGCGTACGTTGGGCCACTATCTTCTTCCCCTCCTCGCCAGGTCATCACAGGATCGCACCACCGCACCGCGGGACTCACTAACATCTGCCCCCTCCCTTCTAGCGCAACATCCCGACCCGCGGCCTCCGCCCGTTATGGTACCTCGTCGGCATGCTCGGCGTTGTGACCTACGGCTGGCGGCAGATCTTCCTGGGCCAGCGCGAAAAGACCGAGATGGCCCGCGAGAAGATGTGGGCCCGCATCCACTTGACACCCCTTCTACAGGCGGAGGAGGATAGAGATCAGGTCCGAAGATATTACGCCGATTTGAAGAGAGAAAAGGAGTTACTAGGCAGTCAGAGTGGGGCCTATAATAGTGATCGGTATGTTCGTCTCCCGCTGGGTTCTCGACCTTCTTCTAGTTGCTGTTGGGTGGTTTGTGGGCTTGAGAGTTTTGGAGCTCGGAGTCGAGATGGGTTTGTGGGCGAGAGTACAAGCAAGCGATGCGTCGAAAGACTTGTGAGCTCTCGAACCGCGCAAGGAAAAAAAGGCTGGGAAAGTCCCCTCACGGCCATGATGAGGGATGTGGAGAGGCCAGACCGGCAAGGACAGGGTGGATTCTGCTGTGTCTCTTTCTCTGCCTCTGTCGTTATGTCGAAAAGACCTCGGTAACTAATGCGCCTTCCAACTAGGTTCGTGAGACCGACATATGCGGCCACGCCGGCCAGGACTGTGGAATAGACGTGCGGCGGATGCTACGCAGAGCAGAGCATAGCGCAGCAGGGCATATGAGAATACCTACCTACCTACCTACCTCTTTACTCGCAGTAAAAGAGACCGGCTCAACTACAACACGAAGCCCCAGTACCTCCCAATTTTCGCGCCAAAAGACCGTTAAGCTCGTGCGAACATCCGAGCGTCCCATCGGCATGAAGACAAGGCCCGACATCGACAGTGCTGGGCACGAAGCTCGTACGCAATCTCACATTCCGCCGTAGAGTATGTATGTTCATGTACATAGATAGCTTTGAAAAAGAAAGGTGCCGTTGTCCAGAGACCCAAGCGGCTGTCTACCGCAAACCACGCAACGATACAAGCAATTCTACGGCCTTCCCCAAACGGTCCGTGAGCTTCGCAATGCATCACGTTCAGATTTGAGGTTCAGTAAGTAGCCTGAGCGACGTGCATACAGACAGACACGCCAGACCATTGGCTATTAGTCATTATCCATTTCTTGGTCTTTAATTACCCACCTACCTACCCATGTACTTGTCTTTTGCGCAAACCCGCAGGACAGAGTCCCTTGCCGCCCCAAGCCGTCGAGCTTGCGCCCGCCCAGGAAGTCTCAACCCACCCAACCCGGGTCTTCGACACCATTTTTCTCACGTTCAATGCGTCTGTGCTTCTGATTCTGCCTCTAATTCCCTATGGTTGTCGCATCCCCTGTATCCTCGCCCGACCGCCGCAACGCCTGTCTCAAAAGTCCTACACTGCCGCCGGTCGGTTGCGCGGTCACGGCACTTTTCGTCTGTAGCTTGGAATTGGAACCTTCCCGCACCGGTGGCAGCGAAGTCCCCCGTTCGGTGTCGACGGTCGCAGGGGGTCTGTGTTGTCTTGGTCTGACGTTGTCCTCCGCAGTAGTTGAGAAACAAGGTCTACCCAGCGTACTACTACGCGCCCGGGGCGTTCGAAATGCACCATTGAGAGGACTGTCGGCCGTTCGGTCACGCACGTCGCTCTGCATTGGGCATGGACGGCCCTTGTGCGTCTCTGCCCGTCGAGGCAATCCGTGGGATATGTGGCCGGAGGGGAAAGTCCACGGAGTACCCGATCGAGGGCTCCCCCTCGTGCTTGACAGCGTGCTCGTACCGTGGTGCACCCTTCACGGAATCGGCGCATTTCATGCAATCCTCGAGGACTCGGCTGGTCGGTTCATGTGGATGAGAGACACCGCACTGGTCGCAGCGTGTCGCTGTCGCTCCATGTCCACGCGAATCGTCAGCCGTCGATGCACATCCCCGAAGTCATGCGGTCAGCGGCACAACAGTTACGCCGAAAATAAATGCGGCTCTGTCTCGCGATTGCAGGTCATGAAAAGCCAACATCCTTTACAGTAGATGATGTGTGGTGGAAGCTCGTCCACGCTCACAACCGACCATTCCTCTTCGACTTCGCTCTCCGGCGTCATGAAATCCCGAACATGCCATGCACGATATCCGGAATATCCAAACGGGGTACCTGATGATACCCGTCAGCCTGTCCAATCTATCCCTGTCCACATCTGCCGTCAGCGTCCTCGTCCTCGCAACATGCGCCCTGCGGGGCTCCTAGGTCGCAAACATATCCGCCACACCTGCGAGATCGGCCTCTGCAGTACCACCACCTTGATGTCCTTGCCCATTCTCCTCTACTCCCTGCATACCCAGCATTTCTCTCTGCTTGTACTTCTCCAACAGCTTACTCTGCTGTTTTTTGGTGTCAATCTTTCCCAGCTCGCTGACGCGAACGCCCCTTACACCCTCCAGCAAGGTCAATATGATGGCGCGCAGTTTCTTAGCTCGGCCACTGCCGCCAGCTCCCTCCTTGAGAAGCTGTCCCGCGGCTTTGTCGACTTTGGCCTCGTCCATTCCCGGCAAACTCATAATCACATCGCGCGGAGTGGATGTGAGGGCGTGTCGATCATGGGCTGGCGTGCTTTCTGTAGCTGGAACGTGGGCGGGGAGGCCATACGAGAGCCAGATGGTGGCGATGAGTTGAGCATAATACTGCTGCTGGTCGGCAAAATAGCCGTCATGCAAACAAGTAATGGCCGTCTTGAGCATCTCCGTCGAGATGAATTCTCGCACCGCACCGGCTTGGTCGCCGGCGAGATATTGCTCTGACGCAAAATCGGGGACAAGACGTTGCACGGCTTGAAGCATCGTGTAGCTGGACTTCATGTCCTTGAAGGCGACGGCGTGACTGATGAAGGTCAGAAGCTTGTCGAGGATTTGTACATTGGATAACAGAAATTCGCGCATTGTCTGCTGGTCGGCCTCCTTCAAGTAATTGCCATTCACAATTGACTTTTTCGTGCTCAACTGCTGCTCGCGCTTCGGGTTCAGCCAGTGGGCTACCAGATTGACAGCCTTGTAAGTCGTCTGTCTCAGTACTGAATCGTCTCGCATTTCATCTCCCAGGTTTTCGTCATCGTGCTTGGTCTGCTTCAGTTGGCTCATCTTCTCCCATTCCTGGGAGAGCTTGGTGTCCATTTGCCCGAGCAGGGACCATATGATAGGGGTCAAGAACTGTTGTCGACTCTCCGGCGGACATTCATCGATCATTTTCGGCAGCATCTGGATCATCACGGAGAAATGGTGGGGGCTGAGGGGCGTTGCCGTGTCGATAGCTGCCTGCGCGATCAATTCCGGGAGCTGCTGCAGATTGTAAAAGGCCGGGCCCAGTCTGCCCAGCGTGTGGAGAATGCTGTAACACTGTTCGAGATTGTTTCGTATCCTTCCTCGCACTGAAGAAGCAAACCCTTCAAGCGCAAGTTTCGTGGCTTTCACCTTGTTGTGGAATTCTCCCATTGAGCCAGCCGAGATGCCTGATTGCCAGTATCTATCTCGCATTACTCTGCGTATGATATCTTGTCGGTCAGGAGGCACGTTCGGCCACGACGATGGATTGTGCAACTGATGGTTGAAACTCGTTAGGCGGAGGACATATTCCAGCATATTGGGAATCATGGGTGCCCACAGGTCGCATATCATCTTGTGCAGGTCAGAACCCTGTGCGAGTCTCTCGGTGGATATGCTGAGCAGTATGCGCGTCTCCCTCAAAGGCAGCCTGATGTAACCGGACAGCATTTCCTGCTGTATCTCCGACCCCCGGCTGTCGTACCGCACTTGACTCCAGTCCTCGATCCTGTCCGCTTGTAAAGACGCCATGTAAGGTCCAACCTGGTCGAAAGCCTGAGAGTGAGCGAACCACTCTAGGCTTCCCAAAATTTCCTGTAGGCTTTGGTCCGCCCACGCTGTGGCGAGGGGTTGAACAAAATCTTGCAGCTTAGCTTGACGTCGAGCATTATCAATCGACGTCGCCCGTTGAATGACCGAGAATAGGATGGATTTCAGGTCAATCTGCAGTCTCTCATTGGCACCGATTTGGCTGATAAGGTCGGAGAATTTTGATTGAAGTTGATCGTAGAAGGTAACGAAGTAATCGGCATGCTGAAGCGATAGTCGCCTCAGTTCAGCCGTTGCATAGCTGTGGAGATCGTCGACGGCTTCGGCGTAAACGGGATTTTGTTGCGGCGTCGTGATGAATGATGACAGTATGTGCTCGAGGACTCTGAAGGCAAACCCAGTGTCTTTCTGCAAAACTCTGTATGACGCGTCCACCGCAGTTTTGATCAGCCGCTCCTTTATCTGCGGGTCTTTGAAGGCTCTCTTTTCCATCGTGTTGAGCATCCAAGCCCTCAGATTCTCCCGTATTCTTTGTCTCATTTGCTCTTGCTCAGACGTGGGGCTGTGTCGCTGTTCATCTTGAAACCTGTCAAATCCCTTGAATGCGGCGTCGACCCAGGAGAAATAAGCGTCAGCCTGCAAAATCGCCATAGAAACTCTCTCGTATCTTGCCGCATCGAACTGTTGCTCTGCTGACTCGATCTCGTCCAGGACAGCGTCCACGCGTCCCAAAGTCCCGAACATGGCTGCTTCTGGTCCTGCGAAGGCGATCCACTCTATGGCAGCCGCGCATAGTCTGCGGTAGTTCAGGTAAAAGCCTTGACGTTCCGGAAAAAGCTCGATCTCTTCATTCACGAAGGTAACCACAGGGTTTTGGACTTCCTCTGGAAAGTGTTCGTACTGTATGAGTCTCGTGGAGACGACTTGGAGGAGTGGGCCCATGCAGTCGACAATGGCAGGCGTAGCTCTCCAAGAGGACACCTCCAGCAACTTCACCCAGGCATGGATCACTGGAATGGAGACTATAAGACTCTCATGCTCCGCAACAGCTGTCAACAGTTGGAGGAAGGGTGAGAGATCAAAAATGGCGGCGGTAGGAGGTGTGTATTGGTACATGTGATCACCGAGCAAAGATAGAAGCTCAGAGAGCTTCTTCGAGACCACGTATTTGGGGCTCTCTATCTCATCCACCGACACGACGGACCAGACGTATAGCTTTCCAAGCATAGCGATACTGTCCGGGTGGACTAGAGGGAAGACCAGCGCTTGGACTTCGAGTTCTTCCAGGCGGAGCCTTCCGTACAAAGAGAGTAGAGCATCGAGGGCAGCTATGATGAGGTCTGTATCTGACGACGTGAGAAAGTTGCATGTCGCTTCTAAAGCATTGGACTGGGAGATGGCTGGAGTCATTACCCAGATGAAGCATGACCTCAATGTGGCAAGGGCTTTGAGAACAACCTCCCTAAGCTGGCCATCGTTATGCAGATTTCCCACCGACTCATTGATGAGCCTGGTGATTCTTGTAAGCCAGCCTTCGTCTCCAAAACGCAAGTTGTGTGTAGTTCCGCCGATCTTAATCCCCCCAGAGAAGTTGGAACTTGGTGTAAAGATCTCGACCAGCGCGGAGTTCAGATCTCGTCCTCGTAACACGGCAATACTGTCATCGCGGATAAAAGTATCCTCGGACAGGTTTTCGAGGATGGTCAGAACAAAGTCTTTGTGGACGAGACCTTGGGACCACAGCTGTGCAAGCTGCTCGTCCAGGTCGAACCAGTCAAGCGCCCAGCTTCGTTTGGCCAGCTCAATCCATAACTCCGCAACCTTGTTGCGGATGAAAGCAAGATACTCGGCCCTGACAGATCGACCGAGTTCAAGTACGCAGTTGCGGAGCTGGATGGCTTGGTGCTCGGAGAGGTGATGTGTCTCGTGGCGAATGACGTGGCTTAGCAGAGACAAGCCAAAGTGCTGCACCAGAGGAGGCTGGGATAGATCGGTAGAAAGAGAAAAGCCACATTCGAGGGCACTTTCTCTGCTGGCCTTCAGGTGTTCCAGGTAATCAGAGGCAAGCCTCCGGAAGTCATTATTGGTACTAGGATCGTGGATCGCCTGTAATGCGTCCAGGATTCTAGATCTGTCAAAGCGCGACTGATCTGTGCTTTCTGTGATTTCTGTCATCTTCAGTATTCTAGCGCGTGCACGAACGCTTCCTAAGGAATGTTGGGGAAGACCAGTCTACGTGGCATGCCGGTCAAGAATGGATCAGCCGGCGGTTGAGGCGGGACCTTTCGTTGGTGGTGCTGCCTCAAAGCAGGCCTTTCGGTATTTAGTGAAAAGAAGATGAACGAGCTTTTCACCAAGTTGTTAATGACTGACTGCTGATCGTGATGATGTTGTTGTAGTCTGTGAAAGTGAAGGATATTTCGGGGGTCAAGATTTGTAACGCCGATAAAAACTGCCCCCTCCTGCACCGTGCACCGATGAAAAGATGATCACAAAAGTCACATAGTAACCCTGTCGGCCCACGATAAGCACGGTCGACAGTGAAGCATATGCTAATAGGACGCCCAGTTGCTTCGAAAGCTGGAGGCACACGACGAGAGTTGATGGCAGCGCCAAAAGAGGTCGGAACCCGCAGGCTCGAAAGAGAAATTTAGCCGAGCTGGGTAGCCTTGCAGACAGGTGGCAAGGCTGACCACGTGCGCATGGCGCCGGTGAGGTCGAGGGACGAGGGGGAGAATTGGCAGCAGGGCCAGCCTATCAATTAGGAAACATTTTGTTCTGTATGGGCAGAAGACGGCACTACTGGCACGTCTATGTTCATACGCTGCTCACGTCCAAGACGCAGCCCTGATATTCATCGATCGCGCTACTGCTGCACCCCTGCCATGCCCCGACCCATCTTCCGAGCTCTGCCTTCCCGCCGGTTGTGGCCCGCTCCTCCCCTCCCTCTACCTTGTTCCTTGCGCCTTCGAGCAGCCTGCGTTGCGGCATCGCGACTGGGACCTGCAGTACTTCCACCACTGCGACCGCCACGTCCCCAGGTGCGGTTGCCTCTGGGTTCTGCCTGTCCCATGCCACGTGGCCCACTAACCCCTTCTCCTTCCTCGCTGTCTTCGGGCGTGTTGCTGCTCTGCCATCTGCTAGAGACAATCGTCGCCTGATTTCCCTTGAACGTCTGCGTCGCGGCATATTTCTTCTCCAATCGGTCTTGCAGCTTGGGATCCTTCTTTAACATGATTGCCCATCCCTCAAGTTGCTCGTCACTCAGGCCCGTGTCCCTCTTCAGATCTTGCCGCATCTTTGAGATACGAGTCTTGCTGTCCCGGGCGTAGAGTTCTTGGTTGTCTCGCCACGCGCGGAAAAGGGTCTCCTCATGTGGGTTCTGGTCCGGAAGCCTCTCCGGCCGTGGGCGCTCGTCAGTGTCAAGTGTTGCATCCACTGTGCCACCGACATCAGCGACATCGTACGTGTCATCGCGCTCGTCGTCGTCTGAGTCAAATGCAGCCAAAGCAGATATGATAGCTGCTTTCCGCTGGGCATGCTCATCTTGAGTCTCGGCTTGGCTAAGACTGATTTCCTTCCTTCCTCTGTGTAATCTCTTTGAAGAAACTTGAAGCCTGTCGAAATCATCACCATCAAATAAATTCTCCCTCTGCGGAAGTAGAGGCGGTGTCGAACGGGGTGCAAGATTGAATGGGTGTCCGGCCGTTGCTGCTACAGGTTCGGCGTGCGAGCCTTGATCGCGCAGGTCAGCTGGCAAAGAATCAGGCTCCAGCAGCGCCGCGATTACGGTCTCCACGTCGTCGCCGAAATGATCGAGGAGCTTGAGAATGTAGTGGTTCGGCAAGTCTGGAAAGAGGTCGTGCACTTGCGATATCTGAGAGGCCTTGTGCATATGCATGTCCTCGTTCGGATCAGCCTTGCCCTTGCCCTTGGAGACTTTCTTGCGCCGCGGCTCTGTCGGTGGATGTAGATGCTTGTTGTTTTCTCGATAGGTGGTGAGGAACTCGAGCAATCCTTGGCCACGTTTCCCCGTTGCGATGGCGGAGTTCGCTGCGAGGTGCTTGAGAAAAGAAGTGCTGCAGACCAGACTGGAGCACAGCGTCGGCTGGCGGGGTTTGCTTTTTGCTGTCCGGTCCGCTTCTGATTTCATGAAGTAGAGGTGGTCTAGCAGGAGCGATCCATGTGAGGAGCTGTCCACCATAAGACTACGCAAGCAGTAGAAGAGGTGCTCAGTCAACACCTTTCCAGGCGAACTCGTCTCATGTGTTCTTCGAAGCTGGTTGTATGCCTCCATCACGGTCTCCAAATAATCGGAGCCGGTCATGAGATTAAGGCCTGTGTCTGGGGACAACTTGACTAGCTCATTGATTCTGTGGACCTTCTCCTCCAATGCCTTTGAGTTGAGGGATTCCGGCAGCTCTCTCGAGAGACTCCTCTTCCAATCTGCCACAGCCTGCGTCAGTTGCTTCTGGTCCCTTTTCCAGACCAGCTTCAGAACAGCTTTCCAATCCGCCACGATTGCATAGGTTGCACTGGCCGTCTCTAGGAAGTGGATGAGCTTGTCATTGGGACAGTCAAAGGGAACATCCGTGACAAGAAGCAGCCTTCTCAGAAGCAAGTATGCCCGCTTGAACAGGATTCGCTCTTTATGCGACTTCGACGACGCGGCATCCTTCCCAGAATTTGACTCGAAATACGAGAGTAGAAAATCAACACCGCTGCCACTCTGTGAGAATTTGAACTTGGAAAAGTCCTTTTCTTGTAGACGCAGTCGAAACTCCAGACTGAACAACCATGACTCGAGGCACGCTTCCCACTCTCCATCGACTAGACTGGCTTTCACATTCGCATCAGGGTACAATGCCAAAGGAGGCACTGTGTCCTGTATGCCAGCGACCTCCTCCATTTGTGTCGAGAAAGAAGACGTTGCCGCAGAGAGAACTCCTGGCTCAGTGTAAAAGAACGCTCCTTCAACGAAAGGTTCAAAAGTCGAGTCATAACGAGGTACGGAGTACATGCATGAAATCACCATGAATGATCACTAGATGACTAAGGCAGCGCCTCGCCACAAACGGCTTAGCATCGCCACGGATCTAGCCGCAGCGCCAAGATTTCAGCGCACCATGCGTTCTTTGACAAAACACCACCTTCTGATTTCCGCTCGTCGAAAAGCTCTCACTTAATAACCGATCATCACATTACCGAACCGCGAGTTCAGGTCTTGATCGGCATCGACACCGTCTCAAACACAATCTCTACCTTTACTACCGCCACAACTCCAGACAAAATAAACATGTCGTTCCAAAAGCCCGAGAAGGATTTCGGCGAGGGCCCGGTACGCCAGAATCAACCACGACTCTTTCAAATCCCCTACGAGCGCTAATCTAATTTCTTGTGTACTATAGAAAATCCACAAAATCCGCATTACCCTCACGAGCCGCAAGGTCCAGTCCCTCGAAAAGGTGTGCACCGAACTCCTCGAGCGCGCCAAGTCCAAGAATCTCCGCGTCAAGGGGCCCGTCCGCCTGCCCACGAAGACCCTCAAGGTGACCACCCGCAAGACGCCCTGCGGTGAGGGGTCCAAGACGTGGGACATGTTCGAGATGAGGATCCACAAGCGTTTGATCGACTTGAATGCCCCGACCGAGGTGGTCAAGCAGATCATCATTAACATTGAGGCCGGGGTCGAGGTGGAGGTTACGATTGCTGCTTAAATAGTTGCATGCATGAGGATCTTGGGCGGGAAATATGGCAAGTGAGCGAATGAGCCGCAGAAGACCTTGGCTGTGAGACTGTAGTGGATTGAGACGAGATGGGGGCCTTTGGTCACTCCAGAGTACGAGAAGAATCAAGGCAATCATCCGAAAAGGTCTGCGATATGCGAAAAGCCAGCGAAGGGGCAGCATTTTGCGATCAAATGGTTGATTTCTTGCCCGTCGGCTCGCCATGCATGTGATACAGTAACTGCCAACGGCAACGCAAAAGATAATGCCCCAGCTGACAGCAATTCTTGTCCTTGTCCCTTGTTCCAATAATCCAACATCGCGCTGCTAGTTGATTATTCCTCTTATGCTCAATGCCGGGTTTTCTTCCATTTTGTGGTTCTTCGCCGCCTGTCATCCATCGAGCAGTACCATGGCTGCTTTGCATATTTATCGAGTTTTCCCTCGCGCGAATTCCGCCCGTCGCCTTCCGGCTTCCGCTCCCTAGAAATCATAAACGACCCACTCGCGCAGCGGTGGAACAAGCGGCATCTTCCCATCCTTCCACCTCCCTTCACTGAACAAGTATCTGTAACTGCCCAGCACATCCTCCGTATACTCTGTCCGCTCGCCCTGGAGATCCCAGATCTTATCCTCTCGATTCAAGGCCACGACATCCGGCGCCGCTGCCCCGTCGGGGAACCATATCTTCTCCGACTCCCGATTGTCAGGCCGCCGGTAACAGGGGACGTTGCTCTCGTACGCGACGGGCTGGCCACGGTAGGTGTGTAGTCTTCCTGTTTGGTTCTTTTGCGTAGGGCCTGGGGGTAGGGTTTCCGTGTAATGCAGGGCGCGGGCGGGCTTGTTGGTCAGTGGGTGAGCTGTGGTTGAGGTGGAAGCCGGGAGCGCCGATGTTGTTGTTGGAGGAGGAGCAACGACTCCGAATGGATTGGCGCGAGGCTGAGGCTGTGGTTTCAAGGACACCGGTGGCGTCGTTGAGTCCATGGTCTCGTCCTTCGGCTGGTCTCCGGTGGGCCTTGCGCCGAAGGGATTCGTCGGCGCGCTGGGTTGACCGAACGCTAGGGCTGTGCTGGACCCGAATCCGGATGTTGGTTGTGGCGCTTGTTGTATGCTTTGTGTTTGTGCTTGTCCAAAGGCTGGTTGGCTGGCGCTCGGCTGGCCGAAGGTCGTCAGTGGCTGGGCCGGCTTCCCGAATGCTGAAGATGGTTGGCTTGGTTGTCCGAAGGCAGAAGTTGGTTGAGATGGTTGCCCGAACGCAGAAGCTGGTTGGCTTGGTTGTCCAAAGGCAGACGTCGGTTGACTTGGTTGTCCAAATGCAGAGGTCGGTTGTGACGGTTGGCCAAATGCAGAACTTGGCTGCGACGGCTGTCCGAATGCAGAGGATGGTTGACTAGGCTGTCCAAAGGCAGACGATTGGTGAGGCGGCTGTCCGAACGCTGATGATGCTTGACTTGGCTGCCCGAATGTCGAAGTGGGCTGAGATGGTTGGCCAAACGCTGAGCTAGATTGTGACGGTTGGCCAAAGGTCGAGCTAGTCGAACCAAAACCACCTGAGGCCGAAGCTGGAGCGAACGGATTCTTTGGTGCACTCGAACCAAAGCCTGACGCTCCAAACGCCGGCTGACCGAACCCGGACGCAGGCTGGGATGGTTGGCCGAATGCTGATTGTGGCTGGGACGGAGTTCCAAACCCTGATGCTGGTGACGACGGTTTCCCGAAGCTGGACGACGGCTGCGCAGGCTGACCGAATGAAGATGCCCCGAACCCTGATTGTCCGAATGCAGGTTTTCCAAAGGCGCCAGCTGATGTAGTAGAGCCAGAGCCAAAGCCACCTCCGCTTGCGCCGAATGCACCGCTTGATGAACTTGCACCAAATGCACCACCCGACGGGCTTGCAGCACCAAATCCACTCTGTCCGAATGCTGGTTTGCCGAACGGCGATGATGCTCCGAACCCGGATGAGGGTTGACTGGCCTGTCCAAATGCAGGCGTTTTAGAACCAAATGGACTTGACGTGGAGTTCGAACCAAAGCCACCCCCAGCGTTTGAGCCAAAGCCGCCTGGCATATTTGATGATGATCCAGTCTCTTTGATGATCTGCTCCTTTGATTTCGTGCCGTCCATCTGCGTAAAGTCGTCGCGGTTGGGATGCTTCTTTGCTGCTTCTTGAATGAACTTCTCGACGTCACGGGTGTTGTTGACAATCTGGTTTATGTCCTGCTCTGCTTTGGTCCAGAGCGCGATAGCTTCCCGGTCGGCTTCATCCTGTTTGCCCTGGGCTGCGAGCTCGTAGAATCTTGCTCGGACTTCTTCAGCGCTGAACTCATTGTCCTGGAGCAAAGACGCTGGTGCGTTCTTCCCTGGGCCGTAGGATGAGAGAATCCATTTTGGTCGACCTTTACCTGCGGCTAGATCGTTTGGAATGTCATCCGGATTGAATTGCCACGTGTCTCTTCGACCTGTGCGTGGAAAAGGGTCAGTCCACTTGGCCATAGCTGAACAGATTGGAATGTGGCTGAAATGTCAGGCTCCTTACCGTTGCCACCGCTGCCACCAAATCGATTATTCCCGGAGAGAGCACCAAATCTGTTTTGATTACTGCCGAACCCTCCTCCACCACCTCCCGCACTTCCGGGATGCTCGTTACGGCAATTTGCTGACGAGAATGATTAGCACTGTGCCCCTCAGAAGCCAGCTGGGGCTCTGAGACGTACCACCGAACCTACAATTTCCCTGCAGGAAATACTTGCACACGACCATTCTTGAGCGGACTTTTGAATGCCGGGCGAGGAGACTATGAGAACTTGCTGAGAACAAGACCCTCGATCAACCGCCTTACTCAGAGATCGTCACTCCATCGCCAACCCAAGAACGAACCAGCAACAGCGTAGTTGGGACACGGCAATGCCAGTTGCTCGTAGGTTGTGCCCAAGACTCCGAAGTGAATATGAATAGTCCCCAATGACCCAAAGTTCCTCGTAGGTCGTGCTGCGCAACTCTCAGAAACAAGTTCAGGTTGCAATCTTGCGAATTCCCGGGCTATACAATGGCGATGAGCGTCACGTGCTCCAAGATCTGGTCGCCCCGGTGGAAGATGAACGATTAGCTGAAGTCGCGATATTGAGAAATCGCCATTGATGGACGATACAGGGAAGTTCTGTAAGACGCGTCCATAAAGGGTTTAGACAGTTATGGCAATACACGTGTTTCGTAATTCTAGCTTGCTCGCTTGGCACCCACTTGGGATTGGTTACGTATCGCTACATTCAGCGATTTATCCCCGCGTGCCTGGAGAGTGACATGCCATACTCCTACTGTATATTGGGTTCACGAGTCTGCTCGAAGTCTATTGACGCAGGAAATTCGGACAAGAGCACAGGTCCTTGAGGTGACCATGCGGAGGAGGCTTTTTGATTTCTGGTCGAGCTACTTCCATCTATATACGCTCCGTCTGTGCTCTTTCAAGACATGCCTGCAGCTCGGTCTTATCTAGGCCTTGTGCACATCGCCCCGGGGCTCGATTGAGCCGTGCCATGAACTGCGTTCTGCCTCAAAGTGACTTAGAAGGACATTCTTTTGCTCCTATGTCGAGCGCACCCATGCTACCGAGATAGCCATCGGGCCAGATGAGTACCAGAACTGACGCTCAGCCTTCTTGAGGCAGAGTGGCACTCCAGGGAGTAACGCATCTTTGAGTAGAAGGTTTAAGAGCACTCAACGGATATCAACAGGAGTGCTGCCGTAGATCGCTCACAGGCGTATAGGCAATAGTCAGTTGCCAACCAGCTACCACACGCAACCGATGCCTGTTGTATACCCACAGACGCTCGAGGACGCGTTCCACATTACCTTGATTGGTGGCAGGCGTTGCATCCAGCACTTGTTCTGTGTACTTCAGAGGCTTAACAAATCCTCACTCGCACTGTTACTTCCGGCGCTGGCGAGTTGTTGTTTGGGTGGCGGTGGTTGCGACTGTGACAAATCCATTGACGCGAAGCCATTCAATATATCATTGTCAGTCATGCCGCCGAACCCAGACGAGCTGGGGACTGTGGACGATCCCCCGTTACCAAATACTCCAAGTAGATCGTCCATGTTGTTAGCAGCAGCAGGTTGGCTGACTGTCGGCGAAGCCACTCTTTGAGGTGTGCCTGCAAGTCCCTCCAATCCAGAGAAACCATCGGTAGGCTTCTCGGTGGCTGATGCGGGAGCTGCACCATCAAAGTCGATGTCGAGTAAGTTCTCGTCGTTGTTTGTTGGTTGTGGTGCCTTGCCTTGGACGGCTGCAGCGGCGGCGGCAGCTGCCAGTGGATTTTCTCGCGCATTCTGCATTTGTTCTTCGATCGCGGCTTGTTGAACAGCGTCCGCACCAAAGCGGCCTTGACCAACGAATTGCTCGGGTGGCTTATGATATACCGAAGCCAACGTCGAAAGTTCGCCAAGGAGTCTGTCGAGAAGGGCAGGTGGTAATGACTGGATAGTGGTGGTGATGGGCGGCTTCTCGGAAAGAATAATGTTTTTGGGGGCATTTTGGTCGCTTGTGTTGGAGAGCAATCGCCAGTAGACGTATGCTCGGTCGCGGATATCTGGGTTGTCGCTCTCCGCAGTTGCCGCGTTCAAGACCTTCTGGACAAGGCCTTGTGCAGCCTGCGGAGACTTTAGGAAGAGCTTTACAACTGCGGTAAGTATTTGTAGTTGGGTCTGTCTCTTGTTAGCGGCCCATTGATGCATGTGGATTCAGCACACTGACCTGAGAAAACTCTTCGGCAAAGTCATCAACGAACCCGCCGAGTATGTCTCCGGCATTGCTGATCTTTTCCGCATACTCACCAACAATCCAGATAAGAGATCCTCTAGCATTGGGTTCATCCAGCTCATCAATGCATTTGCACAGTGTTGGGATGATACCTTCGTAGCCAGGATATTTCCGGAAAATGTCTTTGATGACCACAATGACCTCCTGAACCACATAATTGACCTTCGTGTTAATCAGGTCCAGGAGAGCGTTGACACAGCGTTCACTGGCACTTTCGATCTTGATGGCGACTTGTCCGATCGCCTTGACTGCTCGGCGCACAAAATCCATATCCACTTCCAATGCATATTCTTTGAGTTCGGCAAGTAACTGGTCGACATTCGATTCGTTTGCTATCCGCACCATGATTTCCAGTTTCTGGAATTTGACGTAAGGAGGATCGTTGTATTTGCAGAAGAAGACTCGTATTTCTTTACTGAGTATGTCCGGCTGTTTCTGAAGGAGAAGGTCGATATTTCGAAGCGCAACGTACTGTACTTCCGGTGCTGATGAGACTAGCGTCACCAGGGGTGGCGCCATCTTCTTCAGATATGACTTTTGTGTTTCTTGTGGGAGGTATCGCATGTGCAGAAAGACAGCCTTGACCGCAGCTACCACGACGCTCGAGTTAACGTGCTGGAATTGAGGTGTCACCCTTTCACATATGTGTTCGGCTTCTTTGACATCGTGAGCCTTGTACTCGGCCAGCGAACTCAAGATGGTAACTCTCCCCCACTCTGTACATTCATTCAGTGCCATAAGGAGTTTCTTTAGTGTGTTCGGGGTGATTTGTAGAGCGTTCGTCTCGGGCGCGGCCTCGCTGATCTCGGCAAGGGCTTGCACGGAGTTTGCTACCACCATAGGATTTGGATCGCCAATCATTTCTTGTAGGGTCTCAAGGAAGCCGTTTTCGAGGCACATGGAGGGATTGAGATCAAATAATTTTGCGACACAGATGGCGGCAGTCTTTCGTACGTACGGTGATTCGTCTCGAAGTGTCTTCCGTAAGGGTTCTTCCATGTAATCAATCATTTTGTCTACTCGAATGCAGCCCATGGTTCGAATTGCCAGGGCGCGAATTAGAGGGTTCGGATCTTCGGAGTCTTGTACAAAGGTGTTGACGGCTAGAATGCAAAGGTCGGGGTGTGACTTGGCATAATTCCTAGGATTTTATTAGCAGTGTAAACCGTCGTGCGTGATGGTGGGACGAACATGAGATATAGGTACACCAGCTTCTTCTGGTCAAGGTCGGCGGTCGCAATATTTTTGAGAACATCCGGGAACAGTTGCGAGACATCTTTACCCAGAGTCATCGCCATGATTGTCTTCTGGATGGCTTCTTTGCTGCAATAGCCGTCAGCCCCGTGGTAAGGTATTATCGAAATCGACTCGACTTACCGCTCGTAGGCATATTGCGATCTGGCATGATATCTGTCAGCCGGGTCTGAACAGTAGCACGCCATGAAACATACACAAGACCAGCCCTCAATTCAAACGTCTCGCCTTTGCGAGGAGGCGCAAAAGCGTTCCTCACCCTGTTCATCGCCATGGTGCACAAGTTGTTGTGGTGAATGCAGACGGCGACCGAAATAGCGGAGGGTTTCTTTGATCGAGGGGCTACCGTGCCATCTTGGAGCGCAGGGCGAGCGACCGGCGACGTCAATTTCCCTTCACCGAAGAACGGCAAAGGCCTTCGTTGCTCAAATGCGACACAGACCTTAGAATGAAGGTCGAATGCTCTCAGGTGGTTCTCTAGGATACAGTTGATTTGAACGGAGTCCGAGTCGCTATCCATCACCCATACCACATGCCAAGGCCTGGTTAGGGCAGCGGCAGTGATTGACCATCGAGAATGAGTGGCCGCTTTAACATCGCTCAATCTGTCAGCCCCAACTTTGTGAGGCTTCCGTTAACTACGGTTTACCCATTAACGACGAGAAGACAGGTCTACAAGTACGAGATGGAACGGATCGATCGGTGTTGTGAGCATGTCATTGCCCGCTCGTCCTCCCCATCACCTTCTGGTCAGGCTACAAATAAGGCCCTCCTGCTGCACAAACCAATGGTTGCAGATATGCCACTCCTTCTCCGGATAAGTCAGCTCGACTCGGTACCGCCTAAGCAGCTCCGGGATGACCTTGTGAATCTCGATCCAAGAGATGTTGCGGCCGATGCATTTCCGGCTGCCTGCACCGAAGTTGAGCTCCCAGATGTTGTCCATCTCTTTCAGCTGCTCTTGTGATGCCGTCAACCAACGGCTGGGGTTGAACTTCTCTGGTTCAGGACCAAAGACTGGTGATCGATTGGTGACCCAAGGGTTGATTCCCACTATCGTACCTGCGGGGATGTGGTAACCTTGGACGTCGAGGCCTTCGGCTGGAACATGGCGTTCCATAAGAAACCCGACCGAGGGATGAATGCGCATGGCTTCCTTGACAACGGCGCCCAGATAGGGAAGTTCGGTAGTGGCTTCTTTATGTGAAATCGGGCGACTAAGCTTCCCTGCTTTGTCTACCGCATCAATCTCGGCGACAAGCTGGTCCATACACTCCGGGTTGCGGCAGAGGAAATATACGATGGCGCGCAAGGCGATCGCCGTCGTATCCGAGCCCGCAAAGACGTTTGTGCTCAGGTGCACAATGATATCGCGGCTACTCATCTTCAGCGGATCAGATGATTTGACATATGCCCACCTACTGAGCATGTCTCGGCCCTCGACGTCTGCGTTGATCAACTCGCCATCTCGCTTGATGCTGGCTCGTCCGTTGATTGCTTTCAGCGTGAAGACAAGCACTTGATTCCAAGTTTCCATGGCTGGCATGAGCTTGGTGAACAACGGGTTCCCAAGGAGGAGGTCGTGCATCTCGGGAACTTGACCACAAAGAGCAGCGTACGTGAGCATGCCTTCGATAGCCTTCATCATACCCTGAGTGAAACGTCAGCTATCGTTCGGGATCACATGGCTCAGCAGCCTTACATCGACGTCCTTCCCCTGCTCCAAGAATCCGAGTTTACTTGCAAAGGTCACCTCGCCGACGACATCGAAAGCGAAGTATTGCAGCCAGGCGCCAAGATCCACAGGTTCTCCTCTTGAAGCATATTCGTCGAGACGGGACATGAAAAGCGACACACAAGAGTCAATAGCCGCTTCAGACTGCAACAGGTTGGGCATGCTGTATGCTGCGCCGACCTTCCGCTTCTCAACGCGGTGGTACTCTGGATCACGGGTTGAAAAGAGGTTCATTTCCGGCTTCTTCTTCCATGAAATGCACTGGATTGGGTAAAAGCCCGTCTTGGTAAAGTTCTCTTTGATGCCGTAGATGACTGGTATCACAGACGGGTCTGAAATCGAGACATGGCTTGGACCAATGCGAACCACAGGGCCATACTCCTTGTGAATGTCGATGGCAGTCATGTGAGCATGTCCTCTCCAGACATCATACAGGCGCCATAGCTTGGTGTAGGCAGCAACCGGTGGTCCTGGGATCCCTCTGAGTCCCGGTCTAAGTTTGTTATAGACCAGCGAGAGCGCGAACAGTCCGACGACAAGGAGGATTGGATGAGCAAAGATGGCTTGTTTAGCAGCAGTGACGAGGTTTGAGAGCGTGGTGGACGCCATCTTGCAGGAGGAGCTGTGGAAGATGTGGGATGGTTGAGAGTCTCAGCTACTCAACATGTTGCCATCTTATACGGGTCTCTCTGATCCCTTTGCGAATATCATCTGCTCGACTGAATAGGCAGCCGGATGATGCACGGCTAAGGGCACCCTCATCCGTATGAAAGTAATTGTATATCAGTCCATTGAAAAGCTCGTGATTGGCCGTCAGACGCGTCAAGGGTCCAAAGCTTGAAGTATGTTGATCAATGACCGCTAGTCTGTGGGCCAAACCCCTCACAAAACCTGGAGACGGAACGGTATTGGAATCCAGCGAATGAAAAGGATACTGGAAAGCCGAGGTTCGAGCCTTTAGTCCGAGCGACTTGAGTGCCTCTGAAGCATGCATATATCGCACGGGATGCCAGTCGTGTTGAAGATCCAGCGACGAAGACGCCTGGCGAAGCAGATTGTTGCTCGGTACACTCAGGTGTTGTCGGACGTCAGAGCTGCTTGCTTCTTGGCAGTGTTCGCGTGCTGATTGGGGCCCATCGATTCTGCCCTTCAGTTGCCCTTTAATCTCAATGAATCTGGCAACCTAAGCCGAAGGAGGAAGACGAACCCGGTGACTTGGGTTCGAGATCCGCTGGAACGCGATGGAATTGCAAGGTTCACCATCCGCTGCCCTCCAGCTTCCCAGCACATGCCTGGCTATAGCGCGGGGTTCGTCGGGGACTGTGGGGGTGGTATCCACTTAAGACTCCGGCGGAGCATTTCGATATTTTCCCCCATCCGAAACATCTCCCAACTCCGAAAATTTTTCAGAATGGGTGGTGACGCAAGTGTCACACGTCCCGGATTGATCCAATAATTGGCACAGAGGCACTGGCAGTTATATTCATGTGAGCCACGTGAGAGCGTGAGGCATCGCTGGCTTCTGTTCTCCAAACCTTGACCTGGAAATACTTACACTTGCACTAAATTTTACACTGATTCGATGTACTCAGGCGCACATGCTCACCGAGCGTAAGACTGGTGACACGACGTTCTGTGATCGCCAAGGCATAAGTTGATGCTGGATTCGACGTTTGGATACGCGATAGATGGATGTGAAGTTTTTGCGAAGTTTAACCTCACATCACATTTCGCCCAGAGGAATGTCAATACCGTCTTTGATGAAAAAGGACAAACCCTGCAGCGAGCATTCGTATCAGAGGAGACAGTAAGAGAGGCTGCAACGGAGTAATTGACGAGATTTCCGCCAAACAAGCAACCTGAGCGTGCCAACATCTAGCACCGACTCACAACCTAAAACATCCACTCCACACGTTTGATGCTGAGGACGTGAAGAAGGGGAGTTTCACGCACGAATGGCCGAAAGTGAGGCAGAGGAGCGATCTACCAAGCGCCGCAAGCTTGACCCGAACGAATCTGTGCCGGCTGATCAAGAAAATAGTCCTCTCCTGTTAGGGGTCGATGAAGCGGCTAGCGGTTCCGTCGAGAATCGGCCTTCGTCGACCGGCACGCCACAACAGCCCGCTGCAGATCTCGCAGACACGCCTGCAGAGGATGGTGAAAACTCCAGAGAAGGCTCAGCCCCAGATTCTGCCGCAGAACCGGGAAAGAAGCGCCCCCGTGATCCTGACCCTGCTGAACATGAACGACTTCTCCTCCAGCAGCAGCAGCAGCAGCAGCAGCACAACGGCGAGCCGACAGAACCTCTATCCAAGAGCCAACTGAAGAAACTCCGCAGACGAGAAGAATGGGAAGCCAATCGAGACCACCGCAAAGCCAAGCGGAAACAGAAGATCCAGGAAAAGAGAGCCCGGAAGCGAGAGGCACGGGACGAAGAGGCGCAACGCTTGCAACTGTTACAGCAGCAGTCTCCGCAAGAGCAAGAGCCAAAACAAAATGAAGTCCGACATTCAAAGTCGATCTCGAATGCCACACAGTCACAGGTGCCGAAGGTGAAGCCAAAGCAGCCTCCTCGCCATATCCAGCTCCCCCTGACGATCTTGATAGACTGTGGCTTTGATGACCTCATGATGGAGAAGGAACGCATATCGCTGGGTTCGCAAATCACTCGCGCGTATTCCGACAACCACCACGCGCCGTACCAGGCACATCTGGTGATCAGTTCGTGGGGCGGGCTGTTGAGAGAACGCTTCGACACAGTCTTGCGCAAGCACTACCTGAACTGGAAGGGCGTGAGATTCGAGGTGGGGGACTTCCTCGAGGCGGCTCAGAAGATGGATACGATCATGAAGGACCCGAAAGTCGGTGGCCAGTTGGTTGGTATTTTTGCTACCAGTCTCACGGACGGAAACGCCGAGCATGAGGAACATAAGCCTGTAGACACCGATACTGACATTGCCCCTCCCAACGAATCCACCACGGAATCTGCACACAACTCAGATATAGACATGGCTGGCCACGCCGAACCGGTCAACGTGCGCACATTAGCATCTGAAAACCAACAGCCAGAGTCCGCTCAAGAAGACGCACCGCATGCATCCTCTGATCCGAGATCCACGACCGTTTCGGCCCCTTCAACGCCACCACGCGGCGAAATCATCTACTTGACCTCCGACTCACCTCACACCCTCTCCACCCTGTCTCCCTACAGCATCTACATCGTCGGTGGGCTGGTGGACAAGAACCGCCACAAAGGGATCTGCTACAAGACGGCCTGTGACATGGGCATCAAGACTGCCAAGCTCCCCATAGGCGAGTTTCTCGAGATGAGCAGCAGGAAGGTTCTGGCCACGAACCACGTCGTGGAAATTTTGCTGAGGTGGTTCGAGGAGGCCGCTGCTGGTGGGGAAGACGGGGCTTGGGGCCGGGCGTTCTTGCGCGTGATTCCGAAGAGGAAGGGCGGGAAGTTGCGAGGACAAGAGGGTGGGGACGACAGCAAGGAACGAGTAGATCAAGACGAAGATGAAGACAAGCCCGGTGCCGAAAACAACGAGCAAGAGGATCAGGACGGAGATGAAGACGAAATGGGTAACGTAAACAACCAGCGAGAGGATCAAGCTGGACATGGAAGCAAGGCGGGCGCCGAGGTGCGACTGGATGATGCCCACGACAACTAATCAATCCAACAAGCACGCCCTCACCACCTAGAGGAAATGAGCGCCGGTAAAAGAGGAACTAAGTAGGGCGACTCGAGATAATGAAACCCACTGCGGTGGGTCCAGATACAGTAAACAATAGGTAGTGGGGGCCTCAAGAGAGAAAGAATGTTCGAGAGACATCCTTCACATTGATAAGGACATGCGTATCATATGCTTTTCTTGCAGGCCAGAGGCTGAATGAAACTCCCCAAGCCGATAGATGGCGCCACTATCTACATACCGTGCATACTGTGCTGAACCAGAGCGCATGGACGCTGCTTTTGCAAGATTGCCAATACTGACATGGCAGCCAACCAGCGCCAGCCGACCAAACCGGAAAACCCATTATCCCGGCGTCCCGTTCCTCACATTACGCTACAATTCTCCCTCATCGTCTCGAGATAACCGCCGTCGACTTCGTCCTCTTCCTCCATCAGCGCGCCAGCCTTCCTCTTCATCCCTTTGACGGTCATGCTCTGGTCCCCGGCCCCATGCCACCATTTCATCAACTGCATGCCCTGGCCGTCGACGTCGACGCTATCGATCCTCCATCGCCCGCCCGAGACCTCGACGGTCGTCTTGCCCGGCGGGAAGTGGAACTCCGGGAGAAAGATTTCGGTGGCGACGGTTTCCTTGGTCGGAGTGTCGGACGTGAGGCTGAAGGTGAAGGTCACGCTCTTGAGGTCGAAGCCGTAGCTTTGCACGGAGCCGACGGTGGCGATGGGGGAAGGACGCACCCAGGCTTCGGCGGCGCGGTAGCCCGTTGTGTTTGCGTTTGTGTTAATGGTAGTATTTGGCTGGGTGGTGAAGGGTTGGGATGTGGAGACCGGTCGACCGGGTTGTTGTTGGATGGTCGGCGTCTTCAACGCATCCTTGAGGTTTGAGGGGTCGATGGTGGTAGAGTCGGCGATGGTGGTGCCCGTTCCGGCGGATCGTTGGCCTAGGGATGTGGTGGAGGGGTTGGCGGAGGGCAGGGCCGAGATGTCAGAGGCGCTGGGCAGGAGAGGGTCATCGACGGAGACGATGGAGAGGTCTTCGCCGTTCCATTGATCGCCCCATTCGTGGTCGTTCTGAGATCGAGTGTTAGTGAGTGGAGATACAGAGCAAGCAGTGAGGCCGGCGATACTTACCTGGACGACGTAGGTCCATAGGGTGTAGCCCTGAGCCCCAGAACCTTCCAGAGCAAAGTGATTGGCGTCCAGAGCCGAGATCTGGCTCGAGTAATCACCGGTTTTGTAGGCGTACTTGTCGTCCATGTCGAACGGAATACCAATCTCCGTAAACAGCGTCGGATGGTCGCCCAGATACCCCATGCCTTCTTCCCTGATAGCGCTGAGTTGATCGCGCAGGCACCTGCGGATCGCTGCCTCGCCTAGACGGACGGCGAAGACAGGGCTCGAGTACTTGTGTCGGAGAATGCCAAAGACGTCCACATTGTAGTACTTGTTCCAGTGTTTCTGGAGGAGCGTGATGCCGTCGTAGTAGTGGCTTGCAAATATCAGTCGATCCTCGTCGTCTGGAGTGCCTTTTATGCTGGGTGGTATTTCCAGGACGGCAGACTGTACCAGAATCATGCAGTTCTTGTGGATGGAACGGATGGCGTCCCTGTACTTCCTGAAATGTTGCATGTAATATAGGTTCGTATATTTAATGTAGTCCAGCTTCTCGCCGGACTTGGGTATCGAGGCGAAATAGTTCGGCTGCAGGAGCTGCTCTTGCTTTGGATCCCAGACACCGTTCTGCGCCCACAGGCATTCACCAAGCTTCCAGCCGGCATCTCGATTCCATCCGTACCTTGTGTCGTCGAAGTCGGGCGACAGCCATGCGGACACGCCTTCAGGGTCAACCAGCTCTCTACCGCTCTTGTATGGCCCGAATGTGTTGAAGTCGTAAACGTCCACTTCTACAGCACGTCCTGAGCCCGTCAGTATCGACTGCCAGGGAGACGGCATTGTGCCTTTCCTCATCTTCAACTCGTCTGGCAGGGCAGTCAGATCCTCCCAGCCGATGAGTCCTCGATGTGGTTCATTCATTGTTTCCCAGCCAATGATGCATTCGTCCTCCAGGCCACCCGCGTCGTGTATTCGCTGTGCCAGACGAGCACAGGCCGCAATAAAGTGGTCGGTCAGATAGTCCTGGATGTTCTTGCCGTCAATGATCGCATTCGGTGCAAAGTCCCGGCCAGCATAAAATAATGTGAAAGTAGTCTCAGTTGCCAGACGAGTATAGTTCGTCGGCCACAGCATCTTGGGAAACTGTGCAGGATCGGGCCAAGTATTGTGAACAACAGCAGCTTGCGTCGCATTAAATGCCTCCGGGTTCAGCCCACAAGCGTAAAGAGTCCATAGAGGTGCGCCGGAACCGCCTGTAAATCTCGACCAGACATCCTGGTGAGGGTCCATGAAGATGTAGAGTCCATATGACTTTGCTATCCGCAGGATCTTAATGGTATGGTCGATGAAGTCCTCGTCATAATTCCCTGGCCCAGCGTGTTCCAGTGCCTCCCACGTGAAGATATACCGAACCACATTGTAGCCCCATCTCTTTATTCTGCCGAAATGTATATGCGCCTCTTCCTCGGTGAAAGGTCGTCCAACAAAGGAGACATTTTCAGCGTCGTAAAACCCCTGGGTCTCGTGTGAAGGTTGCGGCGGGTGTCTAGGGAGTTTGCAGTCGCCAGCAACATTGATGCCTCGAAATGTCACCTCCCGCCCCTCGGAGTCGCGAAATCTAACGCCATCGATCGTGAGCCCTGCGGTCGCCATTCCAAGGTCAGCTATTCAACCTGCTTGCGGAACCATGCGGCAGGAATATGCACTACGCCTGCTCTGGTTTCGTTGCTTTGTATAGGAGGATGGTGATGCGAGCAGGATGGTACGTCGACATTCAGGACGAACGACACCGAGAGTTAGTGCAGTAGTGTTGAGTGAGAGTAGTTGTTACTGTGTAGTGTCGAAGGAAGTCTACCGTCTCTGTCCCGCGTGCTCCATGCGCCGATGATGATGCATCACCTGCCTAACGAGGTAAATCCCAGTCGTCTCGTCTCCTTTTGGTGCTGTGAACGAAGAGTGATGTTGCCCGTGCTCTCGCCCGGAGATCACCCGTACGGACCAGTTGGGGGCTGTGGGGGCCCTAAGCATCGGGTCGACCAACGTCTGTAAGTACCTAGGTATTTGTTTCGGGAGTGATAATGGATCTAGGCTTGCCTGACCGACGGAAGCGTGAATAATATAAGAATGCAGCGCGACAGAGTCTACAATTCAGAGCTAGCTACGTTGGCGAACAATGAACTCGGCCTGATCTGAAGAGACAACAGTCCGATCTGCCGTGAACGCTCTGAACATTCACCTGTATGTACTCCGTACGTAGACGTTACAACGTAGAGCTGCCGTTGTCAATCTTCTAGCCCTTCCTCCCAGTTGCGACCAGAGCAACCCACTTCCACACTACTGGCCCCTTCCCGTACTTCTCCTTCAAAAAATCCACTATCGCTCGCGCCGCTGGTTGTCTGAACTTGTCGACTTCCTCCTTGGTCCAGAACTTCTGCACCATCATATCAAACGAAAACGGCAGCATCGCTTCGACCTCCTCGACGCTCATCGATGTCGTATTTTCCACAGCCGCGGCCTCAATGGCTGTAAAACCGCATTCTTCGAGATGTGCTCTGCCTTCATCGACGGTGTCCCACCTCTGTGGCGTGTCAGAGAATGCGTAACGAAGCTGTTCTTCCGTGGGAAACGACGGCAGAGAGGAGTCCCTGGCAATGCCTTCGCGGTAGTCGGCGGGCCAAGGCACTTTCTGCCATGAACTTATGCCCAGGATCCCGCTCTGTCGGAGGATTCGATGGCACTCTTTTAGTCCAGCGAGGGGAGTCGGTAGCATCTGTGGGCCGAAGTTGAAGAAGATGTGTGTAAAATGGTTGGCCGGAAAGGGAGTCTCCTATTATCTCGTCAGTCGTCACGCTTGAGCGCAAAGTTGCGAGCCGCAAACCATGGCATCATTTGTTACTGCACGAGCATTGCTCCAGCCAGAATTCTCGATCCGTTTCTCCATCTGGGCAATTGCCGGCTCAGATATATCCGCGCATGTGAGATCCAATCGAGACCTGTCGTCCGGGGACAAGTGGGACATGATATGAGACGAGACAACGCCCGATCCACATGCCTGATCAAGCACGACCAGTTGCGAGTCACCTGCAGGAGGGAACTTGGCCGTGTGAAGGACGGCGTCAGCGAAGGGGCCCATCAATAAGTCTGCCAAAGCAGCCATCTTTTCGTACGCAGAGGGATCCATATCGTCAAGTGAGGGACGAGCGCCACAAGCCAGGAAGCTGGAAGGATGTTACCTGGTCCCGGGTCTTATATTTTGTCAACATACTCTCTGTTGCATTGCGCTTGAACAGTTCCCGAGCTCGCTCGGACACATCTGAAAACTCTCCGGCCTCTAGTTGGCGGTACCGAGCTGTGAGTCGACCAGTACAGAATGTTTCCGACTAGGCCATCGGACCGTGTCGACAAACGAGGAAAGTCAAACTTTGTACTCAAATACTGTCCTCAATCACTGTTTGGATATTAGTGAAGCAAAAGAAGAATGGCACCGGAATGCTCTTGTCCAGGTCGGTCGTTGTTCTTCTCTTCCCCGACCCTCTTTGCACTCGCCATTTCCAGTAAAAGAATTGGCCATCAGCCTGGCGCTGGGAACTTTCTAGGGATGATTCTTTCTTTTGCGGCATACCTTATGCCCATGGAGGCGCCATGTCAACTGGCGGGGCGTTTTGGGCAGAATATCTTTGTGTAGATTGAGGTGGCCCATTACCCTTTGGTCCTTGATGAGACAGCGGGAGGGTCCCCCAGTCCCACTTTGTCTCTCATACTGCCGTTCTCGCGCGCGTGGAATGTGTGGGTAGAGTCCTGCTCTCAGTGTGAAAAGTCACCGCTTGGGGCTAGACTCGACTCGGTCGGCCTCTTGTTGCTCTATCAGGTGCTAGTACTCGGATCAGTGTCGGAGCATTGTATAGTACTTCCACCATCTCTCGATCCGGTGAGCTTTAACAAGGGACCATTGTCAAGTGAGAATATGAACGAGCCGCAAATATAGAGTAAGAGAGTGTCACTCGTGTAAGCATGGCATGCACCCAGTTGTACATTTGCTGCACCGCACAGAAGCCACATGCACTCTGCTGGAGCATATGCATCTGAACCTCATTTTGTGTGAACGTCATCCACGGAAATCTGCTTCGTCGCTCCTTTACACGTCTTTGTAAATGCCCTGTAAAACGATACATTATTCACGTGATAAGGATGGCTCCTGGTAGAGAAAAGGCAATGGCGGAACCGTGCGGCCAAAGGTGAGGCAACAAGCGCGTAATGATGTCGTCCAACTTGGATTTTGGACTCACAAGCCTTGCCTGCCTAAGTCCTTCTTTTCTACCACTCCTCTTGTATCCGAACTGGGTTCTGATTCTGGGGGGAAATGGCCTCTACGAAGGCCGCTCTGAAGGCGGTCAAATCGTCTCTTGATGGTGGCCAGTTCGCGAAAGCCGTGGAGCAAGCAGAAGACTTGCTGAAACAAGATGACCAAAATCATACCGCATGTCTCTTCCTTGGCTTCGCACGAGAAAAGCTCGGGGACTTGGAGGGTGCAGAGAAGGCTCTCCTCAGAGGCGCCGCTGTCAGGCCAGAAGACGTTCAGGCCTACAAGGGCCTAGTGACCTTGTACGAGAAGCAAGGAAGCGCCAAGCTGGATCAGTACCACGACGCAGCCTTCAAGCTGGCAGAAATCTATGCGCATGCGGAAGACAAGGCACAATGCCAAAATGTCATCGACAAGTACGAATTGTTCGCGAAGAAGCACGGAAGCCGGGCACAATACCGACGCGCGCTGGAGCTCATTCTCCCAACGTCAAGCCTTTACCCAATCCTGGAAGGACGGGTTCTACAACCGAGTCTGACATATCTGCGCATCCTGGAGTCGGCAGAGGCGGAAGAGAGGGAGTGGATAAACACACAAATTGGGGAGCGAAGAACACGCCTCGGCGCGAAGATCGACCAAGTCACCCGCCAAGTCAAGTGCGAAGCCATCAGCAAGTTCCAGATCGAAGAGAAATATGCCGCCCTCATTGACTGGACCCGTGATGACGATGCTCGCCATGACCTCGAGCAGAAGCTGTTGCAGCGCACCTACGACAATCTGCTCGTCTTGCCGCAGGATGCCAAAGCCAGCCAGCGCGACAAGATATTGAACATGGCTAATGGCATGGTCATCATCAAACATCTCTTCCCATTGGCTTGGAAGATCGCGTTGGGATGGGTAGATGCTGAAGACCTACAAGAATGGGACGTCAACATCTTTCGCGAGTACATCAGCTATTTCCCTGATGATGGCCTGAGTAAAGTACTTCGAGGTTTCCTCGACAGCAACGCCTCCCCATTTCCACACCCGGAATATGAAGAGAAGGAAGGGGAAGACACGCCACAAAGACTGAGTGAAGCTGATCAACTCATCCTGATGACCGAGGGCCTCGAAGACTGTCCAGACTCGCTCCTCGGTCAACGGATCATGGCACACGTGTACCTGCATCTGAAGGAATGGCAAGGTACTGTTGACGCGGCCCGGAAAGCTCAGAAGCTTCACTTGGATGCTCAACAACGTTACGCCATCAACCTCGAGAACAGCCTCGACGGCGTCAACCTCATTCTCGCCAACGCTCTCATCACCTTCCAGTCGCCTCGCTATCACCCTGAAGCCAAGGACCTTTTCCTAGCCATCCTTGACCGCAAACCCAAGCTAACCCCGGCTTTACTGGGCGTAGGCCTGATCTACGAAGAAGATGAAGATTATGCAGAAGCTGTCAAGTTCTTCGACCAAGCGGCAGAGCGCGATCCTGCTAATATCAGGATCAAGCTCGAACTGGCCTGGTGTCGAGCCCACAACGGCCAACTTGAACAGGGCCTTGACGAACTGAAAGCCATTTTGTCGGTTCTTGAAGCCGAAAAGCCGCAAAACCAGGACTTTCCTATGAAATCAGTCACGCTCTATCGAATTGCCTACAGCCACTGGCAAGTCCACCCATCCGCGTCGGCTCGAAAGGACAAGTCGGGAGCGTACCAATACCTCATTGCCTCTATCAAAGCGAACCCTAGCTATGCTCCTGCATACACCCTGCTGGGCGTCTACTTCCAGGATTACGGCAAATCCAAAGCTCGCGCACGGGTCGCCCTGCAGAAGGCATTTGAACTCTCCACCTCTGAACTCGAGGCCGCACATCGATTGGCACGGGCCTTCGCGGAGAGCTGCGAATGGGATTTGGTTGAACTCGTGGCGCAGCGCGTTGTAAACTCGGGAAAGGCACGTCCGGCCCCTGGGAGTAAGAAAAAGCCACATAGCTGGCCATACGCCGCACTCGGTGTCGTCCAGACGAACAAGCAGCATTACTCACAAGCCATTGTTTCCTTTCAACATGCGTTGAGAATATCCCCGGACGACTATTACTCCTGGGTGGGGTTGGGCGAGAGCTATCACAATGCAGGTAGGCATATTGCTGCTACGCGGGCGTTCGCCAGAGCCGAGAGTATCCAGCATGGCTTGCCGGCCGAGGAGACCTGGTTTGCGAAGTACATGCTCGCAAACGTCCAGAGGGAGATGGGCGCCTTCGATGAGGCTATCACTGCATACAATGATGTGCTTAACCTCAAACCGGGCGAGTTTGGCGTGCTGATTGCACTCTTACAGACGATTTCAGAAAGCGCCGGGGCGAAAGTTGCGTTGGGCATGTTTGGAGAGGCTGCGAACCTTGCGGCGAACGCGATTGAAGTGGCTGTGCAGATTTCGAAACAACGAACAGACGTGTTCAACCTGTGGAAGTCTGTCGGCGATGCATGCTCCGTACTCGGCCACGTCAAGTTGTACGCCAGAACTGCCAATATGAGTGCAGTTCTGGAACTGTTACTGACACCGCCATACTGCGAGGTCAGCAATCTCTCCGAGAGCGACAAGGTTGAGGTGGACTCGATCGCGTCTGTTGAGGCGGAAAGTGCTTCAGACAAAGCCGACCAATATCTCCTCGCCGCCATACTAGCACACAGGCGGGCCATTCACGCCTCGGCAGCTGACCAGCACGCCCAAGCAGTCGCATGGTATAACCTGGGCTGGGCTGAACACCAAGCCTACATCTCTGGGGGTGCGTCTCTGAGTAGCGGAGGCAATAAACCACGTCGCTTCCTCAAAGCGGCCATGAAATGCTTCAAACGAGCCATTGAGCTCGAAGCAGGCAACTCGGAGTTCTGGAACGCACTGGGAGTGGTCACCATGACGCTCTCCCCGAAGGTCTCGCAGCATTCGTTCGTGCGTAGTCTTCATTTGAATGACCATAGCGCACGCACCTGGACGAACTTGGGTGTGCTGTATCTGGTCAACAACGACCATCAACTCGCCAACGAGGCGTTCACGCGAGCACAGTCTGAAGATCCCGAGTACGCGGACGCATGGATCGGTCAGGGACTGTTGGCGACACTGTTCGGAAGCCTTGGGGAAGCAAGAGGACTATTCACGCATGCCTTTGAGATCGCGGACTCGTCTATCTTGCTGGCGAAACGCCACTATGCGCTCTCGGCGTTCGAGCATGTCTCGAGCCATCCATCGACGTCGCAGGAAGTGGGTGCCCTGTTGAGGCCACTCTTCGCCCTGCGCCAATTCCACGCCCAGGAGCCTGCAGATATGATTGCGACTCATCTCATGGCATTGTTTGCTGAGCGAGTCGGCGATCATGACACAAGTGCCGATGCCCTGCAAGAAGTCTGCGATGCCGCCGAAGCCGAGTACAAGAAGACCAAGTCGAGTGAATATCTCGTCAGATTCGCACAAGCCAAAGCAGATCTTGCTCGCGCGCAGCTGGCATGCGGGAAATACGCCGAAGCGGTGTCAAACGCAGAGACAGCCATCGATCTCTCGGGCGAAGCGGATGACCTTGGCCCAGCGTATGCTTATATCCGGCGCAAATGGCGGCTTTCAGCACATATCACGGCTGGCCTGGCACACAGTCACCTCAAGCAGATCGAAAGCTCTGTCAAGATGTTCGAAGTAGCCATGCACGAGTCCAACAGAGAACCGGATGTCGTATGCATGCTCGCCCAGGTGTTATGGGCCAAAGGGGGAGAGGCAGAAAAGGACGCGGCGCGAACGCACCTCTTCAGTGTGATTGAGGACCACCCGAAACATGTCCAGGCCGCTGCTCTGCTGGCAGTCGTTGGTCTAATGGATAACGACGAAGATGTGCTAGAAGCCGTGGAAGACGATCTCAAGGGCCTGAGACGAGACGAAGAGGTCAGTGTGCTCGACAAGATCCGAGTCAGCAAAGTCCTCGCAGGCCTCGTTGGATGTCGACCACGACAAGCAGGTGCGGATGAGATCGATCAGGTGGCCATGGCTGCGGATGCTCTTAATGGGATCATGCTCGCACCGGGGCAACCGCAGGGCTGGCTCGAACTGGCGCAGGCTGTCGGGAGCCATGAGGCTATCTATGCGGCGGAGACGGCAGTTCTGAACGCCGAAAGACAGATTCCTCCCGGTGGAGATCTAACGGCTGAAGATCTGGCTCGAGCGTACGAAGGAACGGGTCAGACAGAAGATATCGTCAAGGCGAAGATGCTGGCGCCTTGGAGAGTTGAGCTTGCGTTGGAGGTTTCGTGAGGATACAATAAAAGTACTTTACTGTATGCAACGAGGATTGATGGGTCAGATGACGACGGGACCGCAGACAGCGTGTGATATGTAGAGCTCACCGTCTGAGCCTCCGTCACACCATGAATGCTGTCTGTACATACTATCATAACAGACATGATCGCATCGAGGAGGATGTAGTGCCAGATACTAATTACGGGTACCACCGCGTTATGCGTGGTCTGTCCCCGTCCAGTCTCAACAACATTAGGTGCTAAAAGTAGGGAGTACATATGTATGTAGTACATCGTTCAAATGCCTCTTCTTTGGTCGCCTGCCTTGGGAGGGCGTCTTCCTGGTTTTCTCATCCACCCACATCTGTGCCATTCACATTCGGGTTTGCATTCGAACTCGAATTCGAACTTGAACCCCCCTCCGCCATCAACGCGACCAACCTTCCCTTTCGTCCCTCCCTCCATTGTTTATCCCAAGCCTCGACCTTCCCTCCCATCACCACACAGTTTCCTGGCGTCAACATGATTATGCCACGCCGGACCACCGTCCCAGGCCGTAAAAGAAGCTTACACCCGATGAACATTCCCGGATCGTCCGCGCCGATGACAGCACCACTACCAGAAGTACCGGTCGGAACCCTGGCCCCCGCGCTCACGCTCACCCCGAGTTTGGGCACCTTTTCGACTTCCAATGCGAACATGCGCGTCCCCTTTGCATCTTGGACGACCAGCTTGTGGGGTCCCGACGTCAGTTTCGTCGACGTGCTGCTTGTCGAAGTGGCACCAGTGGTGGTTGCGACGGCGTTGTTGGTACTAGTAGTACTAGTAGCGGCGCCCTCATCGTCACCATCATGACCCGACTCGACACGCACACTCCTAATGACTTCACGGCCACGGATCTCCTCGCCGCGCTCGACGCGCTCGATCGCCTCGATCTGGCTGAACTTGCTGGCTCCCACGTCGTGCACGTCCAGCACCTGCACGATGACATGTCCTTCAAGCCGACGTTCGTGGACCGTCACGTCGCTTGCGTCCTCGGGGAATGTCGGCGCGGCAGCGGTGGTGGCTGTGGAGATTGACGTCGTGATGTCGCTTGCCAGAATGCGGAAGTGGGCTGTTGAGATGAGGGCCGCGACGGGAGGCGGGTTGGGGCCCCGCGAGGTGAGGAAGTCGTTTAGCCATCGCGGGTCGACGGGGATGTGGTGGCGCGAGTGTAGGGCTGAGGAGACTTGGGCGTGCAGCGGGTGGAGGGTTGGTGGCATCCCAATAAGGACTCAGGAACTTAGGAAGAACTGGATGTACTGGTACAAGGCACCCACAACGGGTAGAGTGTGGATGAGAGTAAGTAGATCTGAGACTGGGCGAGATCGAGTCTGAGTGCGAAGGTGCGTGAGTGTGTGGTGAATTCAAGTTGATCAGCGAGTGACTGTGAAGTGAGTTTTAAAACTTAAATGCTGTAATTATAGTATTAGTATTTCAAGTACCTATCTAGGAAGTAGTACTGAGTACAGTATATTATTATATAGCGCTAACCTAATTTAGTGAAATTTATACTACGTTAAGCATTTAGAGCCTGGTAATAGCCTAATACTAACTCGACGCTAGCTCTATCCCAGCTCAACACCAGCCCAATCCGAGTTCGACATCAGATTGATCTCAGCTCGATACTAACTCGATCTCGACGCTATACCAGCTCGATCCCTGTTGGACCGGAGCTCAAACCAGATTCACCGTGAGTTGACCCGGGCTACTGTATCCTAGGCTGAGCCTAAGGCTAAGGTGGACTAGAAGTGGGTTAAGGTGGATTGGAAGCGGGCTAAGGTGGATTAAGACCAGGCTGAGGCGGACTGAGACCAGGCTGAGGTGGATTGAGACCCGGCTGAGGTGAATTGAAATTGGATTTACCCCAGATTCAATCCAGGTAAATCCACTCTCAACCTCCATCTAGACCCGCTTGATTCCGATCTTCTACATGAACCTACTAGTACAGTATACAGTAGCCCGCCTAAGGGGGGTTTAGACTAGTCTGAGATCGATCTGGGACTGATCTGGAAGCGATCTGAGATCGATCTGGGACCGGCCTCAGACCCTAAAAGAGGTTTTAGTAGTAACTATTCCACCTTAAGGTCTCAGCGCGGTCCCAGACCAATCTCAGATCGCTTCCAGATCGCTTCCAGATCGATCTCAGACTGGTTTAAACCCCCCTTGGGCGGGCTATACTGTAGGAGACAGCATAAGAACAGGATCAGCTACTATAGTGCCCCCCTTTAGCGAGCTAGATCGGGCTCAGGGTGGGCTGGTACCGAGCCAGGCCCGGTTTAAGTGTTTCCTGAGTGGGCTAGCCTGAGCCAGCCTGAGCTTAGAGTGGGCTGGTACCGAGCTACATAGACTAGGCTGTACCGAGTCGGATCGAGCTAGCTCACGCTGGGACCGAGCTAGCCCGAGCTAGGAACAAGCTTATTAAATTGACTTAATTCCTAATATTTATACTATATATTTTATAAAGAATAAAAAGTATATTAAATATAAATAAAAAGATCGGTGAAAAAAGTTAAGTTTAATAATAAGTAAAACTAAGAAATAAAAAATAAAAAATCGAGAAAAAGGGGATTTAAACCCTCGACCTTTTTTATTTTATCCCTATATAAGAGCTGGCCCGGTCTCAGCTCGGTCTCAGCTCGGTCCCAGCCCACTCCTAGCCTAGGCCAGCTTATGCTAGCTCGGCCTAGCCTACTAAAAAACACTTAGATCGAGCTGTAGTTATAGATAAGCTAAGGACCAAGCTCGGTGCTGGCTTAGTCTTAGCCCAGTCTCAGTGCGGACTCAGCCCGGTCCTGGCTCGGTCCCAGCCCATTCCCAGCTCGATCTTAGCTCGGTCCTAGCCTAGGCCAGCTCTCCTCAAGGAGGGCTATATAGTACTTAGTATAACATTAGAACAGGATCAGCAAGAGTATCAGGATCAGTCACAGCATCAGAACAGCATCAGAACAAGATTAATTCAGCATTAGGGGAGCCTTAATTCAGCATTAGGATAGCATTGGGACAGTATCGGGACAGCACTAGAATACTAGTACTTAGAGTATTAGAATACTAGTAGTACTAAATCAGTATTAGAACAGTATTAATTCAGCATCAGAGCACTGCGATCCCCAGTATACAGATCTAGGCTATATATGTAGAAGACCCTTGTAGCAGTCTTTGTCTAAAGCACTGAGTGCACAGTATGCAAGTACTGTACTACATAAGTATATACTATGTACATATCCACTATCACCCAACCTGCTTTACACATTCAATCGGCTTCCCTAGGATGTCAGATTGAATTGCCAGAGCAACGAACCGAGACCACCAACGAGCCTGGGGGGCTGTCCCTCCAAACATCCACAACCCAGGAGCTACACGCACAGTTGGTCAGCATCGCCAGATTCAATGTTGTCCGCACGAGAGTGACTTGCGAGCAGGGGTGAAGGGAACCAAATTTGCAAGGACTCGGGACTTACCGGCGGGTTTCATGATATTGCGCACCTCGCCTTCCTCGTCCAACCCCCAGAACTCACCCAACCGCGAGGCGTAATCTCGTCCGACGATTTCGCCGACCTGGTTGCGGTAGTCGTGGTCCTGTCCGGTGGCGATGACCACGACGTCCGCTCGCAGCTCGCTTCCATCTTGAAATTTCAGGCCGTGGGGTGTGAAATTGGTGATGGGAACGCCGGATTTGACTTTAATCTCGCCGCGGACGATGTGGGCGGAGGCGCCAATGTCGACGTAATAGCCGCCGTAGCGCATGAGAATGTTGTCCATCAGGGGAGTGGTGCGGTCAACGCGAAAGCCGGCGCGCTCAAGGGCGTCGAAACGGTAAGACTCAGCCGCGGTGGCGGTGTCGTACTGGACCTTGACGATGTCGCGGGAGATTTTGTTGGGGACGCCCGCGCTCATGGCGTCCGCGACTGCTGTTGGAATGTCGTTGTTGAAGACACCTTTTCACAGAGTGGTTAGCGTGACCAGAACAGACGCGCGATTAGGAACGACCATCTGGACGACGATCTCACTTCATACCGGATTGGCCCTTGATTACCCACTCGATCGGGTAGACGCACGTTTTGCTGCGCTGGATCATGTGAACGGAGCGGAGGCCCGCCCTGTACATGTCTTCGGCGATATCGTGGGCCATGGTGCCGGAGCCGATGACAATGCCGTCCTTGGTTACCCAGTCGCGGCTATGTTTGTAGGCTCCCGAGTGCATCAGGATGCCCTGGTACTCGTCTGTTCCGGGAATCTTGGGATCATTGTCCACACCAAAACCCGCGCCAACCGAGATGATGAGATGCCGACAGCGAAGCTTGCGCTGCTCTTGCCCGTTAAGCGAGACATTTAGCGTCCAGGCTCGGCTTTCTGGTGCCCAAGTCGCACTCGTGGTCTCTGCATTTGTCCACAAGTTGATGCCGTACTTTTTCACGTAGTTTTCGAACCCCTCTGCCACGATCTTCCCAGGCAGCAGTATTGGATCGTCCGGCTTCCATGTGCGCGCGAATGGAAGGTTGTTATATTCTCGAACAGTGTGCTGTCTCACCGTCTCATATCTTCCGATCCAGTTCTTCCCCAGGGACGGGCGTTTCTCCAGGAGCACGTACCTCAACCCTAGAGCGTCAAGCCTGCCAGCCACAGACAGGCCACACTGACCTGCTCCGATCACCACGACATCAAAGTCATGGTCAATGTCAGAGTCCTTCTCGTGGGCCTGGACGCCATTGGCCTCGTCATTGGCCTGACCGTTAGCATGACCGTTGACCTGCTCATTGGTCTCGCCGTTGGCAATAGCGTTCTTCCCCAGGCGAGGGACGTCGGGATGCCCGTGATCTGCAAAATTCTCCAAGATAGTCACAAGCATCCAGATCACCCATTTCCCGTCCTTGTCGGGGACGAAGGAGACGGCGCCGGTGCAATTACCCACAAGTCCGCCCTCCGGCTTGGTCGTGAACTCAAACGTGACGTCGATCCACGAGCTGTTGGGCACGGGTCTCATGACACGGGCAGCCTTGGTCTTGAAGTCGGAAAGATGGGATGACTTTGCTCGATTGTTCCATATCTCGACTATCTTTTCATTGCTGTAGAATGTTCGTACTTGACCGGTCAGTGCCAGGTGGTCCCTCCAAAGCGCCGTTGTCTGCAGGGCATTCGAGTCCAGACTTCCAGTTTCTAGGGTCCGTTGGGCGAGCTCTTGGACCGATTCAACGTTAACATCTCTCGGGATCAAGTCGGGGGGCAAGCTGCCTGGGAGGCTGTCCATGTTATACCCTGGTTTCATGACGAGCAGCGTTGGGAAGGCGATGCTTTGTCGGTGCTAGATCAAGTCCTTTCTCTGGGCACCGATTCCTGGAGCAGTGTAATAGTCAATGGTGAGGGAACTTAGCGGACACTGACTGCTGCGGGCGACAGACCGGGTAGAGGGCCGGCTCTACTTACATACCACCCTACTGGCACCCTGTCCGCATGTGAGATGCCCCGGGGGTTTGACGGTTCGGCAGTCGTCACCAATATCCAAAGTGGAAAGATGGGGAAATGTGGGGGGAAGTACATTCTGCGGAGCCACCTACCATCAGTCGATTCACAGCCTCCATTCATGGTCGCAGGTGTAACTTCTCTCATAAGCTGAGAGAAGGACTACCGAGTGGATGCCGAGATGCTTTGGGTGCCGAACCCGAACTCTGGTGCGGAGAACGGAGACCAGAAAATGTAGTGGTGGACCTGGGGAAACAAGCTCACGACGAGAGTGATAACTCCGACCATAGCAAAAGGAGTCGGAGCAGCTGATCTCGTGAGTCTAACGGAATGTGGTATAATATACGTCGCTTAACTACTGTGACTTATCTCGAGACTTCCTTCCGACACAGTGGGTTGCTGGCTGTGAAATGCATGTTTCATGGTGTGTCTGAGTGTTTCCGTCGTCTGGCCGAAAGACATGTGAGGATTTGGCGTGTATCCGCGCTGAGTAACCGCGGGGCTTTGGCACAATGGTATCGTTGTCTTTCTGTTCTTTCGTCGTCGTTTTGGTCAATCATTATCAGATGTGGGTATGTAAGGCACAAGCTGTCGGAATATCTGATCCTCGACATCACTCAGTCGCCCACCCTGTTTACACGTCGCATAGTGTCTCTCATCCTGAGAAAAACATATTGGTCGCACGGCTGGAGGTGCCTGCCCCGAACGATGGGAACAGCTCTTCGCCTAGCGGCTACATACAGCGCATCTGCTCGGGGCATCCTCCAGGGCATGAAGTGAGAGCAAGAAGCACGGATATGATTCTTGTTGTTGGACCAAGCCAGACACCGAGTTATGCTTCTCAACTCAAGTGGAACTGGCTTGGACCTGTTGCCCTATTCATCGGCACGTTGTATCTCGGGCGTGGCAGGGATGTGACCGGGAGTACCGTAGCTTCATAGTACACAGCCAAGGGTATTAGAAGGTGTAATATCGGATGGAGTTCATGCCTTCCGCGCTGCGAAAGCGACTCCAAATGGCCGGGAAGTGGACATCCTCCGGAGACGTGACAGCCGGGATAGAGGCGATCAGCAAAATGTTAGCCGTTAGAAGGTTCCAGGCTATCCAACAAGACCGGACGTCGACACGCAAAACAATAAACTGTAAGGAGACGGTTGGAAGCCTTCCGACCCGCGATACGGTCGATTGGGAAGCATGAGTGGAGGAGGGGAGCCCTATAGGTTATCGAGTTGCTCGAAGTAACCGGCCGCGATAGATGTACAGATGCACTCTCCTATCTGGAACATGCATCAAGCCGCCGTCAGGATCCTTTCAGTAGCCTGTTCCCGGTCCAGCCTGGACATAGTGTTGCCTCGGTTGCGAGTATGGAGTAATGCCGAATTCCAGTGGGTTGGTCCTCTGTGATACGAATTCCATCTCTTCCCAGGGACTCTGGATCTTCCTTGCACTTCGCAAGAAGTCTTGCCTTACGGCAGCATAACCTGAGTATGTGAGCTTACCGTCCCGTTTTACAAATTTTCCATTGACAAAAACGTCCGAAATGTCGACGACGTTTGAGTGCAAGGTGACTGCGATGAAAGGGTCATCCCAGCCAAGCAGATTGGGAGATGACCCGTCGAAGACCACGAGGTCCGCCTTCGCGCCTTCCGCTATGATGCCTAGGTCAGGCCGCCGCAGAGCAAGCGCGCCGTTTCGTCTAATCAAGAGAAACGCCTGCCCTACAGACATCGGATTGGTGTACGGGATTTTCAGGTCATCCTCGAGTGTCGAGTTGAAGCTGTCCGCGCGGAGTGTCTGGAGCCATAGGTGTGCTTGACCAACCATATTGCATGAAAAGGTGAAATGCCTGTCTACACCAGGACTTGTTTGATCCTGGGTATGCCTTTCGTGGGCATGCAAAAGACTGTAATGAAATTCAGACTCCGGCGTGGTCGAAATGTACTGCTTCGTTTCGCGGAGAAGCTGCATATCGACGGCGCTGATGAAGCTTGCGTGGGATAAGACGGCTGGTATAGAGGTATTCAGGACCCCATAGCGGTCTAGCAGCTGGGGTGAATTGTCGACTCTGTATCTTCGTCAGTAAATGCAATGGTATGCTAGAAGGAAAGTGGCACTCACTGCCCAATGGCCTGCTGACAAAATGGGCAGTCACAACCGATAGATTCTGAGACCTTTGAGAAACAGCTCGATCAGTACTGCACGTCTCGAAGGCACGGAGATTGTTTGGACGAACCGAATTATTTCCAAAAAGGAGCGAACCTCCTCCGCAGGCGCCTGAACGAACCTATCCTAGGCGAGTCCCAACGAAACAACATCGTTGTTTTCCAAGCTCGAACCGTTGACAAGCGAGAGTATTTTGGCTCTTGGTCCTCGATGGAGTAGCCATTGACGAAGCTCAGGTCATGGATAGCCGAAGCGAAAAAGGTGCGGATGCCGCTGTCCATTGTGGCATTCAAGGCAGCATCCAAGGCTTCATCCGAGAAGTCGCCGTGGGCGTGGCCAAGAACTGTTGTGGTACCGGCATGGGGCAATTCCAAGGAGCCGGCTACCTGGCCCAGGTAAATGTCACTGGGCTCAAAGACCTGTGCTGCGGGACCAAAATGCACAGCTTGATAGTTTGCAGGCATCTGTGACGTGACAACAGGGACTATCGAGATCGAGCGACACTCACCTCGCTGTACCTTTGTACATACTCAGCAAGAGTGGCATTTGAAGCGAGGGTCTTGAATGCTGCGTGCCAAAGATGGCGATGTGTGTTGGAATCCTGGACTGATGATACTGCTGGTAGTACCAATATATTCTGTTGTGTTGAGCAGGCTAGAGCGCAGACTGTTTTCGGACAATCCGGTCACACGTTCGTTTCGTACCAGGAGAGATGATTTGCGCAGCACGGAGATTCTGGACGTGCTGTCGTTGAAGGCTATGATGGTCGCTGCGTGGAACAGGAACGAGGAATTTTGCTGGATGGTTTAGGTTGCGAAACATGCCACCAGAAGAGCTAAGAACGTCGGTGCCGCAAACATCCTGCTGGAATTGAGTTACTCATGTCCGCCGTCTAAAAGAAGCAGAACCTTGGATCTCCATGTTCTTTCAAGGGTGAGCAAACCCTGCCTTTATAGTGGTCTGATCGAGCTTCCGAGCACCTACCGCATTGATGCACTGGGGCGCAAGGACGACAGTGAGAACGGGCCATTTCTGCATCTCGGTCGAGAACAGTAAGGGATCGGAGCGTGCCGTCCGAAGTTGACCGCTTCTTCATGGACTCCGATTCACAGTCATTTCCTTCTGGAGCTTGGAGGAGGCATGCTGTACCTTGATCCCAGCCAGTACTAATCGGGTCAGTCGATGAAAATCTGCAGACGACGGTACTATATCATTACACCCGACGCTTCTGGGCGTAAGGGGTGACGTTAGCCTCCCACCGGCGCAGCGCCCCATGTTATCAATCAAGCCTTGAACGAGTTTGCAGGTCTGTTCACGAACGGGTGACCGGTATGCTCGTACAGAGCAGCAACCAACAACTAACCTCCAGGTAGCGGCTCGAGGGACATGGTACAGGGTTGACACCTTCCGTTCAGACTCAAGCGTGGGTGTCCATACTCCGTACTCCGTAAGCACTTCCAGGAAGGTTGGATGCGAAGCTACAACCGAGATTTATCGTCCCTGGGAGAAACATGCTAGCGGCTGCTTGGGCTAATTCAAGATCGAAAAGTATGAGCCAATATTTACTCGGTACCGAGCAGCACGACAAAGAACCCTTGCAATGTGATGACAAACGTAGGAGGATTCAATTCCGCGCGAGACTATCCGCCGGGGGCAGAGTGCGTGTGGGCGCCGGTAGAACGGAGGAGGTAACACGACTTGAATGAACAAGCCGTGAGAGGATAGGACATCGAAGACAGGATCTGGTGAAGGCTGATTGACGAGCTGGTGAGCCTGAGATGAGATGAGATACCACCTGATTTCAATGTGGCAACTTAGCCGGGCATGGCACTTCCGACACCGCTGGGTGCTTCATCTACTCGGACATCCGCTCCATTGCTCGTTCTCACCGGCTACTGCAGGTTTGTTCAGTTGTATCACGGCGGGAGAGGGGGAGCGAGTCGTGCCACTCATGCCTCCTACATAACCTCCTCCCGACGTAGCCGGAGTCTAGAAGTATGGCCACCATCACGTCCCCACGTCCCGACCCAGTCCAGCGGATCACCTCACCATCATTGCCCAGCGTGAGCGGGACACCCTCGTCGTCTGTCCGCCCCTCGTTAGATCTTCCAAGGACAAACAACCCTGCCTCTCCGGCCTTGCAGCAAAGTGCGAGTCCCGGGGCAGCAACAGCACAAATGCGGAACCGAGCGGCATTAAGAGACTACTACAACCTCAAATCCAAGGCCGCTCCCGCAGCAGGAAGCCCCGACCAGCGCGATGGAAGTCGTACAGCGAGCGTCACGTCGGTGGGATCCGACTCCACAATCACTTCCTCGATCGCTGTGCCAGAGTCAACCGCTTCGTCCTTGACCGCACAGTTAGACGATCCGAGCTTCAATGCGGATGCCTTTGTTGCCGAACTCCTGAAGAGCGCCAGCCTGCGCGACATTCTGAAGACGGAGAGTGCCTTGGTGAGCGAGATCAGGACGCTCGATGGCGAGCGAAAAGCTTTGGTCTACAATAATTACAGCAAGCTGATCAAGGCGGTGGGTACGATTGCAGAGATGCAGAAGGGGATGCACAAGAATGAAAGACAAGGAACACCGGTGGCGGCGTTTGGGAAGCAGAGGGACCAACAATCCGCAGGACTTGACGGCGTAAAGGAAGTTGGGCATAAGCTGGACGGGTTGTTGAAGGTCATGAAAGGGCTGAGGCCGCGAGAGACGGAGGCGACCAGACGAATCGCGCAGTCCAGAGAGCACAGGAGACAGAAGGGGTCTGTGAGATGGGCCTTGGGCGCGCCACACCGACTACAAAGCTTGATTGACGACAACCGGAGGTATGAAGCCGAGCAATTACACACGTCCGTCCTCGACCTGCTACGCAAATGGGACGGCGTCGAGGGCGTCGACGAGCTGCAACAAAAATGTGCAGAGGTCATGAATCGGGGAAGCGAACACCCGGACGGAGAACACCGAAGTGACACGGGCTGAATGGTCGAGTTGGCACCGATACATCTACTCTGATTTCTCGGACCTGCCCTCCCACCGAGCCTTAACTATTGGGTCATCATGCTAAGCAGGCTCGAACAATCGCATTCGATACATCGGGGAGCTTAAACCGTACTTCAAGACCCATCTCCCTTTAGATGTATCAATGATTCCGGCACTCTTTGCTGGCAAGGACTTACGTCGAAGTCAAAGAATATCGAGCATCCAGGAGTCTGCCAAAGATAAGTCCTCGATGTCACATAATGTGCAACACCAGCCTTGGGAAGGACGACATGTGGTGGAGGTCCCTATTGTCCGTCAGCTCTCCCAACGAGGTCACAAGAGTGGGAGAAGTTTTGGCGCACAGAGCCTTATCTGCACAGTTTATCATCCTGGACGACGTAAAGACGGACAGGACAAGAGGGAGTATTGGAGTAAGACAGCGTCTACGGAGTACTGCGCAGGGTCACCTACATATCAGCAGACCCTCAGGCAGTTACTCGTGGGCGGCGCAAGCACTGGCATGGCCCCTTACGCCAACCCGCCGTCACAACTCCATATCCTACCCTATCCTCGTAGGTGGAAGAACAGTTCCCTTCTTCACGTGTATCGCTGTGTATTTGAGAATGTCTCGAGAACCTATGGGTGCCTCCAGGCAGGGGTATCATTACGTCAACACTGGGTTTGAGCCACCAAGATCAGTAGCGGGAAACAAAAGAAAAGAATGGCACATAATATCCAGCCCGGACCACGCTCAAATCCAAGGGGCTGAAAATAGCACGGTCCCTCTCACCAGCCTCGCAATCTTTCCCGATAAACGCTTCAGAATCCCTAGTAAGGACTATTCACAATCTCATCCCTCAAATGGCTCTGCCTTCCACCTCGTCTAGGCGTCATCCCCACCCCAGACACCCTGGCCGGCGCACCCATGATACTTTCCCTTGTTGGCTTCTTGAAACTCTTCCGGCTCACCATGTCCACTTCGTTGGGCAGAGCCAGAATGACATTTTTATCACTGCCAAATTCGAAGTTATCAGCCTTGACCTCCGCCGCATATCGCTTGATCTGGTAGGGATCCTTTTGGCCTTGGAGCACTTTCTTGAGCGACCAGGTGACGAGGAAAGGCCCCGTGGACGTGATGATGCTAGTTTCTTGGATGTCGGGGCCGGTGTTAAAGTGAGCACGGGTGAAGGAAATTCCCTGCCCGGTTTCATGCTGGAATTGCGCAGCGTGGTTCGGACTTAGGGCGAGGCGACGTGGCTGAGGTTTCGAGTCCTTGGCGAAGGCCTTCTCGAACCCTAGTTTGCCTTCGTTCTTGCCTTCTTTTTGAAGATTGTCGATCAATATGAGGTAGGTCTTGCAGGTGCCGAGGATCCAGCGACCATCTGCGCTGACGTCTAAGCCAACGATGGATTCACCAAGGGCTGGGATCTGAGTCTTTGCGTTTATGCCGAGACGGTCGTAGAGACGAACGTCGCCTTTGTTGGAGGCCAAGGCAATGTAGCCTTTCTCCGTCGTGGCGGCCGCAGAGAAGTCATTCTTTGATAGGTATTGCTTCAACTGTGCTTCCACCAGCTTGTTGCCCGATACACGGGGGTCGATGCGGAAGAGCGCATTCGCGCTGTGCCCAATGAACGGTTGAGCCGAAGTCTGTTGAGCGAACTTTGTTTCTGGTGCAAAGTTGGTCACAGGAATGTCGTCGTGAACTTTCCATTCGTCGACGATCTTGCCGTATTCCAGATCCATGCGATATAAGGAATTGGGATTGTTGGGGTCTTGAAGCACCATATTTTGGTCTTCTGAATGCAGCATGACCTTGCTGGGCGAAAACAAACGTCCCTTCGGTGTCTCGACTTTGGATATGTTTGTGGTGAATTCGAGGTGTTTGTTGGGTAGGTGCTTGAAGACGCCGATCTTGGAACCTCGGATGACGAAGGACCGATCGTGTTTAGTGCCCACCGCCAGTTGTGAATTGACATTGCCATCCTTGTTGTCCAACTCAACGTCATCCTCTGATTCGTCTTCGTCGTAGTGCTCACTCTGGGGACGACCTTCCGAGTCGGACTCTTCCTCGTCCTCCTCATCCTCCTCGGCCTGTTCTGCTTCTTTCGCATCGTCCATCGTCAAGTCATTGAAGGCTTCGAGCACGTATTCTCTTTCCTGATCTTTCACCTTGGACCATTTCATCTCATTCAGTTGCTCCCACAGCGCTTGCATGACGCCCTCTTGGAACTGCTCCAGGGTAGCTTGGTCTTTGAAGCGCAGCAACCAAGAATAAGCGGAGCCATCATCGGTGTAGTGGTTAAAGATTGCCGACAGGTAATCGAAGTTGAAGACCGGATTGATATCAGGGACGATAGCCTGGCCCAACCACTCCTTGCCACCACTGCTCGTTATCTGTAGCCAGTACCTCCACTTTCCGAGGTCGGTCACCACAGCCACAACAGATGAATCTTGGAGAATGAAAGTGCCTGAAGGGAAGTCGAAAAGATGGAGCTCTCCAGCCTGGGTGGTCAGGACTTCACCAGAAGCTGGTGCAGATTTGGCTGGCGGCGCTTCCGTCGGCCTTGTTTCTTTAGGCTTGGAGATGTTCGACTTCTTGGGTGTTCTGACATCTTTGGCCATTCTTTCGGTTGTTTCTTTCTGAGTAGGCTTCTGGTCAATTGGCGCGGATACTGAGCTCGCGGCGGGGATTGCGTCGTCCGAGTCAAAGTAAAATTCGTGGAGTTCTGATTCTGTAGCCTTCTGAGCAGATCGCCTGTACTTCCGTTCAAACTGGCAATCGATAGCGGCTAGAAGGAATGTCTGTATCTTTTCTTCCTGTACCGACGCGTCGCAGACGAACTCATAGAGGTCTCCAACGTCACCGCTTAAGTCGCGCCAAGCCAGCACAGTTTCACCTCCAGATCGCTTTTCGGATCTGAAGTGAAGACTCTGATCAAGCAAGAAAGTCTTCTCGTCCTTATCGATCCCTTCGACACCTGCGTCCTCGTCGTCTTCGGCAAGCTCCTCTTCACCCTCCTCATAGGCACGCTGCACAACGAGCTGATACTGGAATTCCTGTCCTGTACGCCTTATGGTTGCGACAGCGTCTTTGTAGATGAGTTCGGAGTAACCCTTGGGTGATAGGGGTCGGACGAGATAGAGCTGGCCTTGGGGTATCTCTGTGATGACTTCTTTCGAGGTGTCTCCGAAGAGGTATTTGCTAACTAGGAAATGATATCGATGTCAGCTTCTTCTGTAGGTGACCGCATGTTTGGTGGATGCAGCACTTAGGCCCTACCGTTCTTGATCATAAACATTCTGGCGGGGTATGGCAGTCAGACTGCGACAAACCCAGAAGACTAAATGTGGTCCACAGAGAGATGGCGGATACAATAAGCCCAGGAAGTTCGTATGAACATGTGGGGTTTTCAAAGCGAGAATGGGCGTGATCAGAGTGACTCAGCAGTCTGTTGTTGTGTTGAACATGCTACATAAGGTAGGCGCAGAAACAAACAATTGGAGGTGAGGTGAAAGTGGAAGTTGTTCCCATGACGCAACAATGCCAGGCAACTGAGCCCCTCGAACCACTGCAGGCAAGCTTTCGGCAACAGGCAGCAAATGGGGCTTGCCTGACTCTGAGCCAGCCTGATGAGTGCTCACTGGTTGAAGAGGCAAGGCTGAAACACGCTCTGTGTAGCGCCCGTTATTGTTCCGCCTGCGGCTTCTCCCAACCATCGCAGCCTGTTCTCCATGCGCAACTGGAAATTCTCTCACATCCTCTGGTCAATCTCACCTAGAGTTGAGTTTGTCGTTCTGTGGAGGGCGCTCTCCTATGGCCTCAAAAGAGGAAGCCAGTTCCCTCCGACGAGAATCATCTCAGCGGCGGAATGGCCATACAACTTTGGCCGACAATCCCTACAATCCTAATTCAGCTGCGTACTTGGCTTACCCTGTGAAGCACGTCGTTTCGAGTCTCTATCGTCGCATGACCGAACCCCCTGAAGTTCCTGTTAACAAACTTCTCGACGCACCCTCCATGATTCCCACCTCGGCGTCAGGTCTCTACACGCCTCCCAGAAGGACAGCGTCCCCCTTCCAACCTCCTCCCCTCACGCCCCTTGAGTTGATACACTCGTTGTCTTCGAAGGCTGCAGAGTCGCTCCTTCTGACTCGCTCGCTGGCTGAAGAGATTCGACTCCTGATCCCGCCCAGACTCCAGCTTATCGATCATTGGAAATTGGCATATTCACTAGAGGCTCATGGCTCGTCCTTAGCCACTCTATACGAACATTGTGCCAGAGTGTCTACCTACACTCAGCGCTCGGGCTATGTGCTGGTAGTTAGAGATGGTTCAACCTCGTCGGCACATGGATCTGTCTTTGGCGCATACCTTTCGGATGCTCCGAAACCGTCCCTACACTACTTTGGCACAGGCGAATGCTTCCTTTGGCGGGCAAGCATATTGCCTGCCTTGAGACATCTTTCGGGCAATGCGAAGCGGGGCTCTGAACCTGCTCCAGAAGACTTACTGGAACTTGCTGGACTGCCTCCTCCGCCAAGTGCTGACACCACACATCTCCAGCGCTTTACCACAATTCGTGGAGACCGCCGCACCTCAGGCTCGGCTGCTGCATTGCAGCAACCTGGGAGCGCCCATCTGCAGCCTGTGCCTGACCGCTCCGGCGCTTCTACACCTGACCGCATACGATTCAAAGCATTTCCCTACAGTGGGCTCAATGACTTTTTACTCTATTGTGAGTCGAGCTATCTCTCCGTCGGTGGTGGCGATGGGCACTACGGACTTTGGCTGGATGACGAACTCAATAGTGGTGTGAGTGAATCGTGCCCTACATTCGGAAATGAGCCTTTGAGCGAAGAGGGCCGAAAGTTCGAAGTTCTAGGTGTTGAGATGTGGTACGTTGGTGCATAAGGAGGGATCATATCACCCAAGAGATCACACAATGCCTCTCCACGACCTCGCCAAATCTATATTCAATCCCGGAAACTTCGACGTGGGAGACCCGACGAGTCGTTCCCGTCTCCGCTTTCAGCGGTCCGGCCTGTTTTGGCTAAGACTCTGGCGTGGCTGCGAGTTTACTGAATCAGAATAAACATCATGGCAGCCGAAGCCTGAAATCGCCCACTCCTCGATGCCTGACCACTGAACCTACTTTGTGGACGAACCCGATGAAGTCATGTCTGGAATGATGGTGGGGCTTTTGCCTTGGACGGTCAAGGCACTGACGAAGACCAGTCACCGTCTTTTTCGCAGCCCTGGCGCTGCATCGGTCGATGATCGATGCTGACAAGGCTGCATTGACAGGCAACAAGCAGCCCTAGATCTCGAGCATGACTTGCATGATCTCCATCATGCCCTGTCGCCAAGAGCTATCAGTCTGCGTGGAGCATGCAGGCAGCAAGCGAGGCATTGCTATATCATTAACACTAATTGATTAAGCATTGCCCTCCTTCACGATTGATGCAGATGGATGTGTTCAAGACGTTTGTGAGCATGGACCAAAAAACTCACAGTGACCGACCTACGGCTGGTCTACAATGGAGGCTTTTCGACAGAGTCCTGAAGCTAGAGCCGCTTTCGCACCCCACGAGTCACCTATGTGGTCCCACACTCACATGGCAGACAGTCCTCTTAGAAAATGGCGAACGAACTATCATCACTAGAAAGACAGACAACCATCTGTACCTTATCTATGTGAAGCTCGCAGCTCAAGATGGAAATAGCAATTGTTGCCGAATGCTTGCTATGATGGTCTTGACTGCATCCCACATCAATGAAAATCGATCGTAGATCTGGGATGGTAGCTTTCTTAGAAGCTTGTGGCAGAAGGAGGGCCAAAGGTGAAACCGCTGAATCACATGGTACCGGCGCCAATTTCCTCCTGCAGACCAATGGTCGCAGACCTCACACCTGCTGGATAAGGAAATCCGAAACACGTCCATAAGGCGAGAGCTTGAATCAAGCCGCAGGCCTCAGGCGCGGACCCCAGTAGAACAAAGAGGGCGAGGTGCACTACGGGGTTGAAGCGAGCAGGCTAATATTGTGCCCGCGCTGGGTTACGATGAAGCTGTAGGAGCTACCTGCACCACCTGCATCACTACACAAAGCAGAGGCAAAGTCAACATTTTCAGCTTCGCGAAGACAGACCACTGGCGTGATGTGCAAAGCCACGTGGTGGTCGACGGACCAGATTGGCTTGTGTATGATCGGTCATGCATGCATCACATGATGCCTCGATAGTGTAGTCGCTGGACCTCAATCGGAAGGGGCACCTACCACAGTAGGCGTCCAGCAAAGGGACTAAAGGGCGACTACCAGTTTTCTCAGGCGATGTATAGATCACACGTCGGCAGCAGTATAACAGAAAGCTGCGGTGATCGTCGTCTCTACTGTGAAGTTAGGGGGAAGAATAGTATTCCCAAATCGGGTAGTGGTGCCAGCAGCGATTTGGCGGGGCTCTATGTTAGTCATGATCATTCAAGCCCTTTAAGAGGGGGGAAAATCGCGCCAGCCCGTTCTGGGCCTGGTGATCGCCCGGCGGCCAAGCACCCTGCAGTCTGCTCGGCGGTCGGTCAGCAAAGGTTATCCGAGTCGCACGGAGGCCGGACCAAACATTGCCCTGGCAATACACAGTACGGAGTACGGGACACCGTATTCCCTCAAGGAAGGATCCGACAGCACGAGCGAGTGACTCGCTCAAACCAGACTTGGGCATAAGTGTCCGTTATGATAATCCAGGAGCAGCTGATGCATAAGAATGCTAACCGCAACCCAAGGTGCTTCGGTGCAAGCCTAAGGGCCAACGATTGGCAACTTAAATGCCATCGCTGGGAGAACTGGACGTCGGTGTGAGCAGGAATTTCGAGCGCTGGCCACGCTTCATCCTTTGGCACCGCCGTTCCCAGGCAGATTGATTTCCGTGCATGGGGAGCAAAGATTGGCCGTCCAAAAGGGAGGAGACGGAGAGACGCCGCTAGCCAGCAATTCTACATTCACATCAGCCAAATCGGCGAGATTAGGATTTCTCAGCATAATAATATCATGCCCGCCTATTTTATCCTCAAGTGCTGACCCGGGAGTGAAGGAGTGAAAATACCTACCTACCTAGGCAGGTAGGACCCGCGGGATGGCAGGCACAAATACAGACAATGTCATGTCATTTGAACAATGATTCAATACCGGAAAAACTCTTCCTTCGGTGTTCCGGATCACGATACCCGGAAATTGTCGTGTGTCTTTTTGGGTGCGCAGTCATAAATGGCGATCGATTAGGAGGAAGTTCACAACTCAAAGTCGCTGCTCGTACTCGCACACGTGCAATTCCTCTATAGCATGCTCATGGACATCGATATGTCAGGCGTGCTAGGTAATTGTCTTTGTCCCGAGCGGCTAATAGCAACGGGCGATCTGGTGAAGTTGACCCATAACCAGGTTGGAGAAGCAGAGTGGCCTTCGACGAGGACACATAATCGCACAAAAATGGAAGTGGTGGGCTGGTCTATCGATGTCATGGGATCTCGCAGCCAAGATGGGTAGCCTCGCTCTTCGCTGTTTTGTCGCGCCTAACGTTACAGTACCGTGCTAGGATACAGGCTTGCGTGCGGATCAGGATGTTTTGTTTGCCGAATGCCGCGCCCGGTAATCATGCTCGCTGTCCTCTGTGCTGTTTTAAATCCGAACGCCGGAAACCCAGTGACAAAAGAAAGGTAAGGTGATGGAAGGAATTATGGGCCCGCGAGGTCATTCTATGGAACTGCCAGTTGTGCACCAAGCATAGAGCCCGACACATCTTGTACCTCGTACACCGCACCAGTTGCCGTCGAACGCTGGGCGCGAGCCACGAGTCCAGCATTGCCCAAAGCCGCTAACAAGCCATCGTAATCCATGCAGAGTCACCAAGTGTCAAGATGCGATCCGCACCAACATCATGTCATCACAGCTCCAAACCATCGACATCCCTGCCCTCGTTAGCTGCGGGTCCCACCCTTGGCCCATCTGCATCCCTGCTGATGCAGTCTGCTTTGTGTGCTGCGTACGAGTACGCGAGCAAGGCGATGCATGAAACTTTTTGCCCGCTCTGCTCCATCTCTCTGTGCGCGCTTCGCGGTATTTCCTGACTGAGTTGTGTCCAAGGTTACTGATCGAATCAGCCCTGCTACTGACCCACTGCGCTGGCCGACGTGATGTCTTCTTAGTAACCTAGCCTCCACGGAAACAGTGCTGCTCGCGATATAACAGTATAAGGCCTCGCTCTGCCACCCACCATCACCCCTCAGCCCACTCTTTGCGTGTTGCTGTTATAAGCTGACTGATTCTCCTGACTTTCACACCAAAGTCTCACAGCGGAGCCCTCATCTTGATATAATACACCTCGTACCTCGGTCTCTCCTTCCTGGGCCCCTTCTTCGGCTGCTGGGCCTTTGAAAACCTGTCTCTGCCAGGTCTTCTCCGCGAGTCTGAACCACATCACCCATGGGTGCTAACATGATGACTCCTCCTCTGGAACCTTCCTCGCCTGTGGACGGTGGTATTCGCAAGCGGGTGTGTAAAGCCTGTGATCGCTGCCGGTTAAAGAAGTCGAAGGTCAGTCAACCGCTATACTCATGTACATGCGTGAAGCTAATATGACCCAGTGTGACGGCGCAAGCCCTTGCAGTCGGTGCAAAGCAGACAACGCCATCTGTGTTTTCGGCGAGCGCAAAAAGTCGCATGACAAGGTCTATCCCAAAGGGTGAGTATCGCGGTCGCCGTTCCGCATGGACCGCTCCTAACCTTTGTGGCAGCTACGTGGAAATGCTCGAGAGCCAGCAAGCGCAGCTCGTATGCGGTCTGCAAGAACTCTACAGGCGGACACTGAACGGCCAGGGCTGGAGCGGGCCACCCTTACAAGACGGCGCGAACGGTGTTCCTCTGACTCACGACATTCTGGAGAGACTGGGAGCTCTGAAGCACGATGGACATGCCAGTGATGCCTTCGAAGAAGACTTCAATGTCTTGCAACAGAAACTGATCGCCGACGGTGCTGGCTTCATGCAGCGACAGCCCTCGCACGACTCGCATTCGGACAGCAGTGCGCCCTCACCTATCTATGAACCAGTCGCACAGCGGCCGAATTTCACCAATCCCTTCAACCTCAACCAGTATCCTCCGACTCCTCCTAATCAAAGTCCTTTCCCTCAGCACGCGCGCGTCATTCCCACGAAATCGCACTGCTATCCCCACGCTCAGTCGAATTTGAGCTGGAGTACCCCTGTTTCGGAGTTTGATGACAGCATGGATTTTATCAATCAGTTCGAGTCGCCCATGATGGAGTCGAACATGGACATGAGCTCATTTCCGCCAACAATGTTCCCGGAACATATTGTACCTGCTGCAATCAACCCCTGCCTAACGATGAAAGACTGGGCCGGGCAGGAAGATCTGCAACGGTACTTTAACTCAAACATGATCTCATAGCCAGCAGCGACACGCTTTTAGTACACGACGTTCACGACCATATCAAAGTAATGCATCCAAAAGCGGGCGAGTGGGTTATCGGGTCTTTTTCCGGAGCAGGGGACCAAGGGGAGTTGCGGACATTACATCCGGGAAGCAAGGCTGATTAGTGGCGTGAATGCCATCTCATCGATGCGTCCTCGCTCGCTTCTGCCCGTGGAGTGGATCGTTATCTCTTCAACGGCTATTTTGCGTCATGAGTCGGTGGGCCATTGTACGACGACAATTTTTCATGATACCATCCTTCGGCGGGGTTTGTACTTCCGGGCGTCGAATTTTTTGGCTTCGGGCGGTGGAATATGCAGTGGAGCATTTCTGAGGCGGCACTCGATGTCCACCGCTGGGCTGAATGGATCTCGGGGATAACGCAGGCTGGTATGCCGCGTGAGGTCCTTGCCATGGGCTACAGTATCATATTACAACTACTAATGCACGAGCGGGGAGCAGTCCCCCTCGTGGTGGCTACAGATACTGCCGCAACGAAGGCAGTACCTTCAATGGAGGCATGTGTCGGGCTGAGATTCCGTACCTAAACACTTCAATCAAAAGACTATGATACCTCACTGCATCCGATAGCCTTCAATGTGAACTTTGCCACGCACAAGTGACATTCTGGAGTCCACCAACAGAGTACAACCCACGTCATGTTCTCTGCTTTGCGCGAACCGCAGGTGCCAAAGCTTGTCGTCGATCACCATGTGGGTGACAAGAGGACAGCCGGGCAGGGCAAACTACAGGTTTGACCAGAGGAGGATCCCTTGCTCACCGACCATCGCCTAAGCAATGCGCTTGACGGCCTACGAGTACGAGGTGATGATCCTGATTCACACCCGATTCACGAAGCCTGCCAGGAAGCGGAGCATCTTTAGAGCTTCGATCAGGTTACAGTTGCGCAGAGGTACCTTCGTAGGCAGCTCGTCAAGCTTAACTCATGATGTCATCGGCCCGAAATTGCGATGCCGCTGCTGTTGACAAAAGTCTGCGTGTCCACGTCGCCGTCAGGAAAACTATTGCTGCGCCAATTAGTCGTGGCTCGATCGCGCCTGACTTCCAGTGTCGAAGCCCGCATGTCAGAAAAATGTCAGGACTTCGTCCACGGCAAGTACCTGCATAAGTGAGTGAACAGCTTGAGGTCTAACTCACTTTGACCCCAGCTGTTCCTACCCCGCAACTCCGTCCTGGCGATGAGACTTTCCACTTGGCTCAGGAATCTGCGTTTCACAAACAATAGCACTTCGTCAGCGAACCTCGACCTTCGTCCAGCATTTGGTAGCAGATCCTTCCGCACCTGAAACATTGGTGGCGTGCTGAATTCAGCCTATGATATACCTGAGCCGGGTAAAACAGACAGCAGCACTGAGTAGGCACTTCCATTGGGCAATATGTCACCATCTCCAAACTTCGATCATGACCTCAATTCCTCAAAACGATTCTGCAAGTTCCTTGTCATCACTTTTGTCGACCTTCGCCTCGCTATCGATCGAACTTTGCTCTAACCACTGCGCTTGACCTCTCTTGACTCTTCTCTTGCAGTCGCGATCATGGCGTCAGATTCCGGCTTTTCTTTCCTTCCCCAAGGCGCCATCATTCAGGAATTCAAGGTCGCTGGTCGTAACATCGTCCTAGGGTACCCCACCCCAGAACCATATGCTGACTCGCCCTTTTTCGGTGAGACTATTGGTCGCATCGCGAATAGAATCAAGAATGCGGAGTTCAGCCTCAATGGGAAGTCATACAAACTTGCGGCGAACGAGGGTCCTACTCATCTCCACGGAGGCGTGAAAGGCTGGGGCAAGAAGAAGTTCAACGGCCCTCAGCCTGTCAATCGCAACGGCAAAGAGGCCGTCCTTTTTACCTACGTCTCCCCAGACGGGGAAGAAGGATATCCCGGCACTGTAGAGCTGCGAGTGTGGTACACGGGATACACCGAGGATGAGGGCGGCGTCTCCAAGACTGTGCTCGAAACCGAGTATGAAGTCGAGTTGACCGGTGATGAAACCGAGGAGACCATAGTCAATGTCACCAATCACGGGTATGCTCCTTTGTCAAACACAGTCTTGGACCAACCGGGCTAACCCTGGGTGCACAGATACTGGAATCTCAGCGATGGGCCCACCATTGAAGGATCGGAAGTAACGCTATATACCTCGAAATATCTGGCAGTGGGCGACGCTCTCATCCCGACTGGAGCGATCGAAGACTTTCCCGGGATTGAAGCGAATAAGCCTTTTGTCCTCGGTCCTACCGAGCCTGATATCGACCACTGCTTCGTTGTCGACACAGACACATCGAACTTTACAATCGATACACGGCAAAGGCCGCTCAAGCCCTTGATCAGCGTATCTCACCCGAAGACCCAATTGCACCTCGAGGTCTTTAGCACGGAGCCTAGCTTTCAGTTCTATACCGGTAAGCACATCAAGGCCGCGGCAGCGGCCGACACTCCCGCAAGGGGGCCCCGGGCGGGATTCTGCGTTGAGGCGGCACGATTCATCGATGCTGTTAATGTGCCCGAATGGCGGAACCAAGTAGTGCTTAAGCGCGGCGATGTCTGGGGCTCAAAAACCGTTCACAACGCCTGGAAGGCATAACGTGCTGCCTCTCGCACCACTGGACGAGGCTAGCACACCCTTCCCCTCATAGAGTTCCAAGGATAGAACAACTTCGGTCACGTGGGCGATATGACGGGAAAGGGACAATGCCGGCCGCTCAAGAATCTGACCTGGGTGAGCACCTGCGAACGAGGCAGGATAAGCGACAGCATTTTACGTCCACATTGCTGCCTTTCCGAGTACATATTCAGCTCAGGTTATGACGCCAGGGTGGCTTCAAAGGGTGATGGTCTACGACAAGGCGGACAGTCTCCGCCACCGGTAGCATGTATGATTTGGTCACGCTGGGGTGAAGAAGAAATTCACTCGTCTGGGTGTGCTGCCGATATTCCAGAAGGTTGCCTGAAGGGTAGATTGCCCCGTGTACCTTAAGAAAAATGCCTCATAAAGAAAAGTGTCGGAGCGAAAATAGCCCCCATGCGACAAAATACGGTAGCCTTTACTTCGGGCTTCTGGTGAGAATCACGACAAATGTCAAGCTGGAGAAGATTACATACATGCACGCATGCAGTAAATCGGCCGTAAGAAAAAGCCGAGTGCGACGGGAAAAGATCCCTTCTCCGATCGATTAGGGCCCCTGCAGGACTGGCCCAAGGGTCCTCTGGTGTACAATTTGCTCGGGGCCTCGTGATCGCACCCTTGCGACCTGCGCAGGACCTGATAATGACCTGCTCTCGCTCATGCAGAGCCGAGTTGTCGCCGGCTTGCAGTAACCGAACGTTTAACTTAGCATTGTCCCTGCGACGAGCTCTCGTTGGTAACAGACGTTACGCCGGGAAGATGTTGATTACTTTGACAGAGACAAAGTGCAATACTAGTATTTCGTCGATTGTGCGGCCAGAATTAGCACGCAGGGCAAACTACTAATTCCAACCAGGCAACGCGCCAGAGACCGCGGGTCGGAACCCATTTCACCCGGAGCCGAACGAAGCTGTGGATTTTGGGTATTCACAAGACACATCGGTGCCGACATCGTTGTTGCTTTCGTGACGACCCCTTTCTTAGCACGTCTCCACGCGCCATGGACTGCCTGAGCAATTCGCGTTCATAGCATAGATAGTGTTCGCAGGGTTCAGTCTGCGCCACAACACGTCGCTCGCATGAAGACTTTAGGGGTCTTAAAGAAGTCGAATTGACTTCCAGGTGGCTGGTCGTCATTGGACGCCGTGCGCTGTCCGCTTTGGTAGAACCTAAGGTTGAGTCTCACTAACTGGGCCTGATCTGTCATTAGGCGCGATAGATTGGGGGAGCATTCAGGGAAGAGCACCACAGAAATGCAGTGAAATTCTTCGCAACAAGTGTTGAGCGTCTTCTGAAGCATGCACCTTGATAGCGCAAAGAGCGACACTTGGACCCTAATTGTCAACTCTCTAGCATGGATTTCTAGAAGATCTACGGAGTAACAGGGGGGAATCACCAAGTCGCCGAAGCCGACGATCCTCTCTCAGGTACAATGGCCACGCACGGCCCAGACCTTGAGGTCTTGCTCAGGCATCAGCGAAAAGAATCCAGGCAGGCCACATCTCGTTTCCAACACCCGTTTCAGCTACACACAGTATAATTGGCTAGCTTCAGGTATATCCGCGCCTTGAGAACACGAAGCCGATCGCTTGACTCTGTGTGGTTAGTTGGTTGAATTCTACTGTACCCCTTCACGTATTCGGTTGAGCTTCCCGCTTAAGCACATTGAAGGGGGTTTTCCTGCGGAATGGCAATGCCCTTTCTCCACGGCAAAGTCTCGTGGTCGTCGTAAGCGCGCGGGATATGTCAAGGATCTTGCGAGAATGGGGATAAGAGTACGGGCGTCTACCAAGTCCTAATGTACGAGTACGATGGGCGTGCCGAGAAGCTCCAAGGAGTATGAAGAGTCTTGAGATCCGACTATTGTGCTACTGCTCCAGTAGAGGCTGGATTGCCCCGCACAGCGCCTAGCTGCCCAGGGCCTGCGCCAACATGCGATAATCAGGAGATGAGAGCGACGAAAATTCGTGCCTGTATCTAGACTTTGTGGAAGACTGGAGAGGGGAGGTGTTCACGAGCAAATTGATGAGAAATAGTCTAGAATTTCAGGCCCCTCCCTGCCACTGGCCACCCACGCAAGAATCTTCTGGGCAGGCTAGTGTTAATGCATAACTCGGGGGCATAACTCTGTGAACCGGAGAAAGGCTTAGTCGTGACGGCCATGACGGTCAGGGCGTTCGTATCGTAATTTTGGTATCACAGTTTATCCGGCCGCGCAAACTGCTCTGACATTTCAAGCTGAACGACACATCACGTGTCGCTGACGGCCAAGGTCAAGACCCTCTCACTCCTCCCTCACTTACGTTCAGTTCGTTCTTTCACCTGTCTCTTTGTTGCTCAATAGAGCACAAAGTAACTGAGCATCCATTCTCGTCGATGCCGACAGTGCCCATGGCAGTTCAACCTCAGTACAGAGCAGGCGCCGTAGCGAAAACTCGCTCCAGTTCTCCTGCGGTATCTGCAAAGATGGTATTGTTGATTACGACCCAGCACCAAGTCTCACCCGCGCCAGCTCTTCTGGTGCGCGGCGGTCAGTAGGGCGCACCGTCGTTCCTGTCTCACTAGAAGGGCAACACTCCCCGTACCACCAAACAAACAAACACAATCCCGAGCCTGCGTTAACAAATCGCAGCCGAGCGTGCGCTTTGCTTTGCCCTTTTCGAGCTCGTCTGGCTTGCTACATGATTGGCTCGCCAACACGGCGTCCTGCCGCTGAGTCAGAATGCTCACCAAATCTCAGTCATAGTTCGAGCTCCCTTTTTGCATGTCTGCTTCGTCAACATTTTCATGCGACGCAGTGCGGCTCGCAAACAGTCTCCACTGGCCAAAGTCTACTCTCCTTAGGCCACGACGAACACTACTGTGTAGGTACCTATCAGACCTCGCCGATCGCGCTGCAGGTTCAAGGCCGCCACCGGCCTAGACTTCTGGCGAACGACCTCTCCGGGGAACAGTGACTTCCTATTACAGCCAGGGTTCAGTACGCCGAAAGTCTACACACACGAACAACTGCCCTCCAGCATCTGTTCCCAGGTCTGTTGAGGTTAGACAAGCGCTGCGCAGCACCACCTGCATTTGGATCTGCACCTGCATGCCATCTCATGAGTCATCAAGGTTATTGCGCGTATCTCTGAACTTTGTGGGCGGTTTCCTCCTAGATCCCCTACCGGGATGTGCTGCCAACTTCAAACATTGGCTTTGTCCTGAAGCCCCATGCTACTCGGGTTTTATGATCACGGAATCACTTATTGGCTATGACAAACGCTGATGGCGCATCCCCGCCTCATATGCCATTAGGTGCGCCAGCATCATCAAAATTCGACGCACAAGGGATAGGTGGAAGCGCGCATCGAGCTCGAGCTCGACGGACCCTGACCTTTCTAGCCGTGAGGTTTCTTCCCAGCCATTGGTACTCATATCTCTGATCATCATAGGGAGGAAGTGCCTGCATATACAATATGTGGAATCCATCCCTGGCTTTGTCACGAAGCCTAAAATTCCTCCTGATCCTTTCCCCATTCACCTTATGGACGGCTCACAAAGACAGTGGACCAAGGAAGGACTATGGTACTCGGACCTCATCCGAGTACCTCGCCTGACTGGACGACGACCTGGAGATACGCTCTCACGCTTCTGTCGGTCGGAAAGAAAGCGACTGTGACCCTGGCCTGCAATCGTTTAGTTTAGTGACAACACCTTCGTCGGAAGTCTTTTGGATGTGAGCTCATCGTGTAGCTACGGCCGCAGAACAAGACCGTCTTTCTGTTGAGCTTAATGCCGAGGACATGGCATTGGCTGTCAAAAGAGGTAAGCGACAATCCTATTCGGATTGTAGGTAAAGCATATCCCAACGGATCACAGTCGTCTCCTCTCATCTGAGAGGCTGTGATGAGGCGGGTTACTCATGGGTCTTCCCCAGGCCCGGGACTCGTCAGTTACTGGACCTAACCAAAACCGGAAACATACGAGACCGGCTCGAAATCATAAACCATCACTCGTCTCCTCATTGACCCTCGTTGGGAAATGCGTCTCCCTACATGCCAAGCAGCCCGATCTGACAACGAGCTATCACGATTGGCGTTTCAGGCGTACAGCCAGACGCTTCATAGGCAGGTGCCCTGAAGCGTATCCTTCCTGGACACCGAGATACAATCGGCCTAGGTGCACACAAGTCTGCGATATGGTCTGGAGCTTCAATTTTCGATGAAGAAGGATCTAGGTCTGGCCACTAAGATCACGGGAGGTGACGCTGGAAGCTGGTCTTTGCTCCCCGCAGGCAGGCTTCGCAGTGGCAGCTGGACGCGCACACCTATCAGTCGGCCATGTCCTTAGCTTGGACATGACAAATTGCTCGCCGACCGCCGACCGCTTAACCATACGAGCTACTTGTGGATCTCGAATTCGGGATCCACCGAGGCCATACCCGTGGCAGCGCCTCGCTATTGTCGGAGCTTCTTGCAAGGATTCCTGAGTCGTGCCACATCGTGTTCCTTGGTCGACATGTGTGCTCGGGTCGACCAAAGGACCCTTCTTTGACGCGGAAATGACCCGCCCCCCCCCCATGCGCTGATTAGTCCTTTTTCTCCGGTCGTTGGTATCGGTCTTGGAGGCTCTAACCCGCGAGGGGCGGACTCAAGTTCCATCCGATGTTGCACTGGATTTTTATTCATGCCTGAATTGGCGGATCTCCTCAGTCTGGAAGTAGTCGCTATCTAGCATGCATGAGTTCTAGGAGTAGCCGGGGGTTTGTCACAATCGACGGCCGAGTCATCCGCATCTCGCATCTCGGGCGAGGAGCTTCTCTAGGTCACATCCCAGCGCGTTATCTCATTAAAACACGAGTCGAGGTATCGTCAAATTAGGTAGGTAAGGACTCGTACCTCTTACGGGTGAGAAACAACCCCGGTCAGCCTCGCACGGGCAATCCTTCTTCTCCGCGGCAGCTTTTGCCATCGGGCATCATCCGATGCCATCGAAGCTGCTTACTCACGGTTACCTCCACACGCCGTTCGCACTGTCGGCGAATTCTTGAAGTGATCCCGGGCGTTTGAATGTCAATTTAGAAACACTGACACGGTTCTACGGTGTGGCAAGACCATGAGAACGGACCTGGTCGACACGCACCGGGCGACTGTTTCTTCAGCGCGGCGAAGAATCCCTCACCGTGGCCTGTTCGTCCAGCGAGACGCTGGTCGAGGGAAGGCCAAGACTTGCATGCAGGAACGTCATGCACGATGGAAGAATCTTCCACAGATTGTCTGATCCTTCGTGCAAGGACAACCGGGGAATATGTAGATTCTATCCCTTTTTGGGTAAGCACTACATACTGCATCGGCGTTCCTATACAATGCATAGTACATACTGTGAAGACAGGACAGGCATGCTGGCCAGGTCTGGGAATTATTGCAAATGAACAATACGCCATCTGCCACTTGGTACCTCGTTCCGAGAATGGGGACAACCCCCCCTTCGGGCCATCTTCGAGTCAATCTGGGCTGGGGGGAGGTGGCTCGTTCTTGATAATAGATCGTGGTATCCCACCCAATTCAACAGAACTACCCAACCAATTCCAGACCCAGTACTGCAGTACTAGGTGCTGTTCAAGTACGGGTAGTGAGTAAGCTGGAGTCTATCCGGGTCCGTACATACTATTGAGTAAGTAGTCTGCATTAGGTCAAGTATGTAGTCTGTATTTCATTGACAACCTTAGGAGTACACCAGAACCCATACATCCTCACTTTCTTTCTTCTTCTGGGAAGAGACACAAAATGAGAGAGGGGCGGCTGAAAAAAACATTAATAAAATTTCAAAAACAATCAACAGCCAGGATTCCCAAGTGGTCACCCACCTTAGTACTAACTGACCGGCATATGGCTTAAGTACGGCTGAGCGAACGGGAAGCCCTGTTTTCCATATCCTGTGGTCGATTGCGAGGACATAATGTGTTGATTGCAGTTATAGACGGTCTATGATCATGTGTATATTGTCTCTTGACCAGCTTGAGGACAAAACAGTCGGTCTGTAGAGTAGGCTAAAGGGAGAACCTAAGTACAGTACTTATGTTCCCATTCTCCCTTCTATTGAATTGCAAGTATTAGTTGTGGAACACTATGGCCGCCATGGACCTTTACTAGGTATGATTGCGGATACCAACTAAAGAGTAGTGACACCACCAACCGGTAGAGTAACTCTTGAACGACACGTCCTTGGGACACGCAGAACCGGTACACTTCAGATGGCACTGCATTTGTGGCATGCATTATCTAATACTCCGTCCGTACTATGCTCTGTCTCGTAGGCTTTGCATATCCTCATCTTAGTCGTCCTCGTCGTCATCGTGGCTACCCTTGCCGGCGCCGCCCGTAGTCATGTTCCACACCCGCCATCTCAATCGCTCGATAACTTCTTTGCGTAACCAGTTCCCTCCTGTCCCCGAGAACCACTTATCGCCATCATTCTCTTTGTCATCACCAGCAGCTTCTCGCACGCCGTGGCTTCCCCCCTGATCTTTCCGTCTCCGCTCAAGCTCCTCATCCTCCCTCTCCCACCGATCAAACCAAGCAAACAAGAGGCGCAATTGCCACAGCCTGTCTTTATCTAGCTTACCCTTCTCCACGGCTGGTGGGAGGATACCCTTCTCGAACTCCAGTCTTGAATCCACAACCGTTGTTTGGAGAAAAGTAGTACTGTCCACAGGTGTCGGAGCCAATATGAGTGCTCGTTCGGCGTGATCGAAGTCTTTGAAAGCTTCAAGACTGAACAGCCACTCCAAAGGTTCTGCGTTGGTTGTAATCTGAGCGTACGATGGAATGGCATTCGGGTCAACGCTAGGGATGCCCATGGCTTCAGCCCCCGCCTGTAATTCTGCCCTGAAGAGATCTTTGGATGGTGTATCGTAGGCGACTCTCCGGCGCAGCACGACATTTACTGCGTTTTCCTGCTTGATTTTCACCAGAAGCTGCTTGTCGCCTGCCCCAAAATCGGTGTAACTGTCCCAGAAGCCTGCACCTTTGATCTCAATGGCCTTGATCGTGTGGAACTCGGGAATCAAGCTAGGCAAGCGGATGACTTGGGTGGTGCCATCTTGTAGATGGATGAGACCGGTCACGCCACCGGCAACAGAGCCGCCTGCGTCACCATCTCTCGCCACAAGGCATCGGCCCTCGACGGCAAGAACCCAGAGGTGGCGCAAAGCCTGTAGATGGCCTCGATTATCGAGGACATCGCTGGGGAAAACCGGATAGAAGGCTATGCACAGGGCTGCAATACAGAGATTTGAAGTGCCGAATGTCCGGGTACCTCCGGCCAAGAACAGTGCGCCTAAGGCCATGTGAGCTGCAAGGTGACTCCCAAACGGCGTCTCTTTATCAACTCGTCCATGAAGAGCACGTAGACGACGCATCACATGTATGTCGCCGGAACCAGCCATTACGGAGGCCGTGGCCAGCGCAAGTGCGTCAAGACAATTCCGCATACTATTCAACGTCACCCGCGCGTCGTAGTTCCGAGCAGGCAAGCGGCTCAATCGGATGAATTGATCAAGATAAGAGACCAACAGATCGCGAACATCATGGCGTTGCGACCCCGCGAACCTCAAGGCAATAGCAAAGCAGATGCCTGCAACAATGTTGAAGAAAGGCATATCTTCAGTACTAAGGACTTTTGTCGATCTCAAATCACTGCGCCATGTATAAGGCTTGGGAAGCGACGTCCTGATGAAGTCCTGAGTGGGCTGGATGGAGTCCCACATGATCAAATGTCGAGCCAACGTCCGCAGGAGAAAGATGTCCGGCCGCACATAGTCAAATTGGTGCAATGTATCCGGAACGTCGACTTTCTTGGCAATAGCTTCGCTATTCGTTTTGAGAAAGACAAATGCGAGTGCCATAACAGCTCCAGCAGTGGCGCGATCCAGTACGTGTACCATGTTGACGTTCTTGGTACCGACGGCGATAGTGAGCAGACGCTCGACGAGGCCCACATCGTGCAGACCATGCAGCCGCCTTCCCTGGCCGAGATTTATGAGACCCAGGGAGAAGCCGGCCGCAAGCCTGTAGCCCTCATCACGAAGAACATTTTCGGACGCAACACCTTCTTCCGGATCGTTGTTTTCGATTTCTGAGAGCATAACCTCAGACATGCGACGGTGCTGGGAGTTATGGTACAACAGGCCGATGCCCATTATTCCAGTAGTCTGTGTGAGTGGTGAAAGATTCAACTCGGCAGCACCAGGGGGCAGTAAACGAGTTACGTGAACAGACAGGAGACGAGTGATGAGGGTATCCATAGTCCCCAGAAAGGAAGCTGACAGTCCGAGCAGCAATCCGACGGATGTCATGGTGTGCTTGGGCGTAAGGTACTTGAAGGCAACCCATTTGGCAAGTGATCTCAGATGTCCGTTGAGTCCGAGGGCCAGCAAGAACCCAGCGTGCCGGTTTGTGAGCTCGGGCGGCTTGTTGTAAAGGATCCAGGAAGTATCCATCCCCTGAGCGTCGCTTGAGATCATCAGGCCCATCGATGCGCCATTATGGAAGAACGCCCAACAGACCTTCTCTTCTGTAAATGTGGATTTGTCTGCACTAAACGTCATGGCTTGAGTGCTTTCACTCGCGTTCCGAGGTTTCATGACACATTGCAAGCTGAACGCAGGTATAGGCACCCTTTCGGTCAGCAATGGGACACGGGCAGTGAAATGCATCATGCCTCGTCCTGCAGCGACTGACAAAGTCCTTCTTGCGACATGCTGTGCCAGTGCTTTTTGCGCCTCCAGCAAATCCACCTCGCTCCAGTCGGGTTCAGGAGTACATTCCACGAGCGGAGGCCTCGTCTGGTTCACAATCTTCGAAGCCTCTTGAAATCGACGATCTTCATGGAATATCAGTTTTGTAATTGCTTGTCGGTCAGCTTCAGCCGATGCATCCCACCGTTGTAGCGTTTCTGCCTCGAGTGCAGATGAGCAAACTGTATGGTAGTCTCGATTAGCTTCGTGAGATGGCATCATTTGCTGCTTGTGTAAAGAGTGACTTGTGCCGTAGGTTTGTCGGGTTCCAGTATCAATTCCGAGAACAAGCTGATTTCCAGGGCTCGAAAGTCGGGACATCCCGAACCGTCTCGAAGCGATGGCTTGGAAGAAGGCGGCAGCAACTCCGTCAGGGAACGTTGTCAACATATGATCACTCACCCCAGAACGAGGGAGATTGTCAAGTGCCTTTGCTGGACCAGGCTGTTCGTCTGCATGGTCTATGAAGGACAAGATTGCTGATGTGCGTGGAGTCAATGTAAACATCATTCTCCATAATGGATCGTCAGGACTGCTCGGGGCCGTCACACCAGATATCCGTGCCAAGGTCAGAAAGGAAGCTGGAGAAGAACCACTGATCCAGCCATCCAAATGTTGGTATATCGAAGGTGGTGGGAATGGTTGAGCTGGAATGCGTAGGCCGTCTATCAAAGAGTCGTCGTACAAAGTTTCCATCACTTCTGCCGATTCAGATTCATAATAAGTGTTGCTTCCAGCTGTCCAGTCTCTCCATCCGAGCCAGCGGCCTAGTTGGACCAGAACCAGCAGGAGGCTGTCTTTGGATCCCTTTAGATTTGCTGCGGATGTGTCGCTGAGTTTACCTTCTTCGTAAAGAAGATGCAGACCGAGTAAAATGCTAGGTATGGCATTGCAGCGTTGTTCGCGATCTCTGTTGATCGATGTCGGTAGGTAACCCTCCGGACCCAGCGCAGCCTCTCCCAAGGGCGTCTGGGTGTACTCTCTCGCCATGGTTATACATCCCATCAAGAATGAATTCTTCTCGACCTTGTCGTGAAAAGAGATGGCGCTTGCAGCCCTAGTGTGTTGAGACTTTGGTGACACTGTCGCATTTGGAACTGGTCTCTGCGATAGCCAATTCCAAGCTGAATCTCGCGTGCCTAACTCCGGAGCCAGTTCGTGGCCTTCGTTATGCATGAGATGGTAATTGGTAAGATCGATGGCACCTCCGCTGCTGGACCGCAATAGACCGGTCTTCTTTCGCCGACTGGGCGTTGATTTAGGATGCTGATTGCTTATGAAAGGGACTGCCAAGGAGAAAAGCACAACGACCATTGCAGTCCACTCAGACGTTAGTGGAGGCTCTCGGCTTCTCAACCATCTGCAAACCTCCCAGAATGCCACGTGAAGGGTCTCTTCTTGATTCGGACCCAGAATCAATCCACACATTTGCAAGATTTGGCGGACAAGGCCGTCTCGAGGAGCAAGGCAAATTCCCAAAGAGTGCTGGCGATCCTCGTGGTCCACAGCATATATCTGCGCCTCAACTCCCGAGTTGAGTAGACCTTCGATCTTCACCTCTGCCCCATGTATGGCCCTCCTTATCCCGGTATCTTTGTCTTTCCTAGGATTAGGCCATTGGGCGCTGAGAAAAGCATCATAGACCGCATACCACTCCGGCAGCTGGATATGGAATGATGGTGACCAGGGTGCTTCGAGGGTAAGACTCGTGATCTGGGACCGTGCCTGCGTCAGAACGACCAACCGCTGGACAGGGCCATCATTGACTGTGCAGGCGTCCCTGATGCCGGGCATTCGACGAACCTCGGCGACCTTCAGCTCGAAAGAAGATTTTGAGATTGGTTCCTTGCGGCTGCTAGCTGGAGTGTGGAATTTCACCAACACCCTGACTAAAATCATCTCCTGCGCAATCTTGTCCATCACGCATAGGTAGACCTCCCTCAATCGCTGGCCATCGTGACCGAGCGAGCTCGGACTGTTGAGCTGGAAAACCTTTAGGTCTTCATGCGGGCTGGTGGGAGTCGAGGTCTGGGCACTTGAAAAACTCTTGACTTTGAAGAACCCGATAGTTCTGGGCAGATTGGACTCTGATGTTTCCAAAGCATCCTCCTCGAGACGTGTCGATTGCCGCAAGGGATCCATCTCCTGTAACAATCCGCGTGCTGAGATGTCCAGGAAGGAGGTGCCAGTGCTAAAGATGGATGCATTTGTCGGGTAAGAGCTTCTTCGTCGGAAACCAAAACTCTGACGATCGTTGAGACTACCGATCGACTCACCTCGTTTGGCTGCGCGATTCAGACTCTTCCGACCTGCATGACCCAGTGCCAGGTCATTGAACGTATTCCTGTCCATAGCTGATCCTAGGTCTGTCCGTGCTAACATGGAGCTAACTCTCCGTGCTGAACGAGTCTGCACCCTCACGTCTCCGAACTCGGGCCCAAGCTGTGAGGCCAGGTCATCTGCCGGAAAAGACGTTTTCTCTTCCAAGGAGGAATAAGGACCGTTGTCAGGGTGGCCCTGGCGAGAACCCAGAAGGCTCTCTCTCAAATTGCCTGTGTCTCGACCATAGACGTTCGAGCTCTTTCTTACCGATGTCCGTGACCGATGGTGCCGGTCATTTTTGGCTCTTTGTCGGCCATGCTCCGTTACTGGACCTCGGCCAACATGCCAGAGGGTAAAGGTGGACGTTGTCTCATTCAAGGATAATGCCATGCAGACTGGGGAGCTGGGGGGATCAGCAAAGCCTGATTCAGCAATCCCAGAGATGAAGACCAATTTTTCCGAGCGCGGCAGGGCATTGCACTCGTCCAGGGGTTCACCTTTGCGACGTGGGCTACACACCACCAAGCCCAGCTCCGACATTATCTCAGTGAAGGAAAATGTACGGGGCATTCCATTGGCATTTGATTGCACGGGCCTCGGGTTCGAGTGAAGGTTCTCTGGCAAGACCAGTGACGGCCTTGAGCTGTTGCCGCCGATGGAGGTCAGGGTCTCGTTGATGGTGCTGAGGTCATGGTGAGGCGGCTCAGCATGGCCACTAAGCTCACTGTCTCCCAGCCTTCGCTGTAGGATAAAGCCAAGGGCAAAGGGAAAGGCAGCTCCGACCTCAAAAGACAAGGGTAGAACATGGGTTTCGCCAGAGAGAAGGAATATGTGTGCCTGAGTTTTAAGTACCACCACCAGAGCCCACTCCCACGAGTTCTCGTCATCGCTGTGCCATTGCCGCCTAGATTCGACTCCTTCCCCTGGTCCAAAACGAGTGACAAAGGCATGGAGAATGGGCTCCCCTTCCACCTTGAGGCTCGATGCTCTCTTAATTGCACCATTCCTGGACCATACCACATAATGTTGTGTGGTAAGGATTTCTTCTTCAACTAGACCAGGGCCACATTCGTCCCGAACTTGTGAGACTGACCACCTATAAAGAGATGCGTGAGGATCGGCAGGCAGTATGGACTCGGCCACAAGATACGATAAAGCGCTGGGCTCATGGAGGCCGAGCGACCGGATCGAACTCATGGCTCTGGGGCAGCAGCGGAAGCTCGAAGGACATGGGGAAGAGCTGGGCTAGATGGTGGTGCTCAGACATCTCTAGGCTGGCAGTGCCATGTGTTTCGAGTCTTGTTGTGCCAGGGTAGGCTCATGCACACATATCGGGTCGTAAACGAAGTGCGAGTGATGTGAAAGTGAAAGTGAGAGAACCGCAGCCCGCGGTGTGACGCGCTTGCGACGCGATTCGGAGAAATTCCCAAACCGCGGAAGCGTCGCTCGCAACCAGAACAGAAATCAACAACTACATATCTGGAATCCAGCCTCACTCAAGGACCATTACATGGCTCCTGCGCCAATCCAGGGTCTTGCACAATGCGTCGCTCAGTGCTTAAGCTGAAAGAACAATACCAGCTCAGGTAGGCCTTCATCCCTCTGACCCAGTTACCTTGTCTAAACTTGCAATGCAGCTATGAACTACCCCATGAAGCATACGCATCGCATGTCTACCCCCGTCAATCGTCCAATGGCTCCACGGTGGTCGTCTACGGTCACGAGCAAGGCCTGCGCATCGTTTGGTACGCTGGGAAAGGTTTCAAATCCAAGAGAGACACGCCGGCTCCGAAAGTCAACGGAACTTCCAAGAGCGGTCCCATGGTGATCGACCTGGACGATGATAACGAGCCGACAGCAGCGGAGGATACAGCAGCGCCGGCCGAGTTTGAAGAGGACGAAGAGGAAGTCGACCCATATGCTCCCTACCGGGATGTGGTACGCTACATCGATATTCCCCTGGGTACACCAGCAACTCGGATCGCTGTACCACATATTGCAAAAGACATCGACCAAGCATCTCGGGAAGCATGGCCTGACATCTACAACGACCGTATTGTTGTCGCCGCAGCCTGCTCGGATCTCGCGCTTCGAATTATATCCGCACCTCTTGACCCTCTTGCGCCAGAAGTCCAGGATGCCTCCAAGATGAATATCCAAGTGGTCAAGTTTGAAGGCGTGAATTCGCACCAGCAATTCATCTCGGACATCGCCATTACGCATACCGGGACTCCCTCGGGTGAACAGGAAGGCGTCGACGCGCAAACTCAATACAGGCCTCAAACCCGCTCACAGTCTCAAGCTCGGCAAGAGCCCGAACACAATCATTCAGTTCAATGGTCTTTACTCGTTGCCTCGATATCTTGCACTGGATCCGGCCTGTTACTGGTTCATCAAATACCCATACGAAGCGGTAAAATCTTGTCGGGTCCCGAGTATTCTGTTCCACTCAGGAGGACATACCTTGCTACATCGTCCGTGAGTGCCAAGCTGTCATTCAATACGTCTACGTACCCTGCAGAACGCCATTCATCCTTACTGGTCATACTCCCTTCCAATTCCACCGTCAAAATCTACCAAGTCTTCCAGCAAACACACCCCAGGGGTCGCAGAGGATCGAACGCAACGGACGCCTCCATCTCCAGTACGCGATCTACACGAACCTCTGGCACCGATCGAGGGAGGTTCCTTATCACCCTGCTGCCACCCTTCTGCCAACAAGACAACGAATTCATCCACAGAAGGAAGCATGTCCTCGGAGCAAAGTGGGTTGCAGCCGGCCGTGCTGTCATAGCCTTGCTTGAGGATGGAGAGTGGGGTATATGGGATCTCGAGGCAGTGGGACCAACATCATCTACCTCTGGCGCCAATCTCATTCGTGGCCAAGGGAACATATCTGGCATTCAGGGCGGCTCCTGGACTCGATTCTCAGCCAAGTCCCAAATTATGCCCTTCGCTGAAATAAAGCAGAAGTCCTCACATTCACAACCTCAGCCTACCTCAGAATCCCTCGCGCCGATGACTCCATCAACCCGCAAAATACGATCTGAGGGTTTGTTTCACGGCTCGAAGCTCAACACTGGAGCGAACCAACCAAACACCCGACCACATGGATTCATCGTCGTCGAAGAGAAGTCCTCCTCTCGTCCATCGGTGGATGAATGCATAATTCTTAGCTATGCCGAGGAAACCATCTACGTTCCATCCATCCTTGCCTTCTGGAAAGGCGAAGCAAAGCCGGTCCGCCTTCCTAGCGTCAGACTAGGAGGCCAAGCACCACGCTCGATCAATGTCCTTACAACGTCTGCATCTTCCGATAATCCCTTCTCCGCCACCAGCGGCTTCGCCACGACGCCATCGACCCCTAACATGCTCATTCAAACATCACACCGCCTGATCCTCTCACTGAATCCGCTATCCTCAAGCTCCAGCTTAGCCAATGCATCTTCCCAGAATCCCGGCCCGCCATCGGACCAGACGCTCCTCGCATCTGGCGACCTCGACGTAGAAGGCATGGATCGCGTGCTCGAGGACATGGGCGGCGCTGTTGTAACGAAGAGGCCGATGAATGTATTCACCAAAAGTGTCGGGTTTCGCATTGACGGAGATGACGGCGACGGCGATGTCGATATGATGGGGAGTCCCACACCTGCAAAGGCTGGACCAAGAATCACGAATGGAAGAAATCTCTTTGGAGGGGAGACCCCAGTGCCAAAGAGGAAGATCTTCACGTGAATCACGCCGTTACTTCACGTGTCATATGCGGTATCAGTCTCCGCTACCCCCAATCATCCTGTCTGATATCATTGTCCTCACGGTTGGAAAGACTCATCTTGTACCGCAAGAGCTCTCGTCACATTGGATTAATCTTCGAACGGAACGTGTACGATACCATTTATGCCGGACTTGGACTGACAAGAGTCTACATCTTTCAGCGCTTTTGTGAACAACTAAGGGTCTCGAACTCGGAGCATGACCGAGCAAGAGGGTTCTCTCAATCCTTACTTCCTTCGCAGTCTTCCCATCTCCGCGATGAGTTTTTCATCCCTTGTCTTGGCAGTGGTCGTTGATGCTGGGGCACCCCGGCCGCTTTCTTCTGCTGTGCGTATCAGTCTTGTCTTCCTCCCTCCAAGATGGTCACTTTCCCAGCCCAGGTCTATCGCTTCCAAGTCTTTCATCTACCCAACTTTGCTTGTCAAACATGCAATCGCGATGCAAGGTGGAGCCCAAGGCGAGATTGATACCTTGATCAGAGCTCAGTATTCTTCGCGAGAGATCAAACAATTTCCCAAATCTACTCCTAGGTACACATCTCTAGCACTCCAACGAGGGCAGGGATTCCTGGGTCAAGCCGCCTCCCTCCTGCTGTTGGATTCACCAGCGAAGTACGGGCTATTGAGAATCGGGTTCAACTGCAGTCTACGGCTCTCAATGGAATGGCGTGGCTTATACATTTATCGGACATTGAAGTTATGTCCCTCGCAAGTCGGGATGTTGTGCATGGCAGTCAGGAACGCTGAGGGTGCAATCCGAGATGCTCTAAGGCGACGGCTCCAGGCGTACCGAGGATCCAGCAGTCCGCCACGAGATCTACTCGGATAGATGGATAGATACTGTACTGCTGGAATGGCAGCGATGTCTAGGATCAGCTGCCGTTGCTACATACAAGATACAGATCTTTCTCCGGAGCAGTACTTTGTTATTCGTCCCCCTTCTTCTCTTCCTGGCCGGAGACCACACGGCTGTGCTCAAGCTCGACTCGCATTTTGCTCTCGTGGCGCTGCCGGACGGCGCTGCCGCCTTTGCGCCGAGGAGGTGAATGGAAATGAAGGTTCCCCGTGTATCTACAGTATCTACCCGCGCTATTACTTCCACCGCTGTGATTGGGCCCAGTGGTGACTCGATCTCCTCGGTATGCTTTGGCTCCTTGCCGCAATCAGCAAGATATCCCCAAGCACGGTCATCTCCGCCTCTAAAGGGGGACGGCTCGGTCAAGGCAGATCGAGCGCCCATAGATCTAGGCCTATCGGACGGCAGATAATGGTCAAACGTATATATCAGATACTGTGTACACAGATATTCGTTGTATCTGGCTGATGTGAGTTGTGACTCCTGCCCGAGCGCTTCACAGGACAGTACGCAACAGATCGTGAATTAATTAAGAATCTCACGAGCAGCCAACACCGACCATGACGACCGTCGACAGCCGGAACTTCATCCTGAATGGCGGGTACCTCCAGAAAGGGCCTGAGAGGAACCTTCGTCCAGAGGATCTGGGGAAGAAGACGTTGAATTTGGCACCGTCACGGTACGTGGACCGCGTCCCTACCTACAAATACTGGGCTTGGGTTCTACGCGTTGGACACCCACGACGGCATTGGTGTAAGTTAAGTGCTGATGAGGGATCCTGACAGGTGGTACCGCGATGAGAAGATCTTCCAGCTCGAGAGGCGGGGACTATTTTCAACGGTATGAGCAGAAATTTTCCTCGACCGAGGAGAACAACTATGTCCTCAGAGTCGACTGCGTTCCCGAGCGTTTGGCTGACCTTCATTGTAGCTCTGGCATGTCGCCTCGTTCATTGCTCGCTTCCAGAAAGCGGGCGACTACCTGACACTTGAGGTGGGATGGCCACAAACAACTTTAGCCAGGGCTATATTGATGCTGATGCGGGTTTTGGCCAGATGTTCGGCTGGAACTTCATCCTCATTCGCGACAAGGAGGGCAACATCAATGCATTTCATAACATCTGTCGCCATCGAGGACACCCCGTGACCCAGAAAGCCAGTGGCTCGAGCACCGTGCTGGCTTGTCGGTTCCATGGATGGTCCTACCTCGCCAACGGCGACCTGCACACGGCGCGTGCGTACAATCAGCTGCCGGACTTTGATCCGAAGCAGCATGGCTTATTCAAGATCCATACGCATGTCACGGCGCAGGGGTTTATATTCGTGAACTTTGACGCCAGGGAAACGCCGGCAGTGAGCTTTGAACAGCAGTTTGGGGAGGATTTTGAGCCAATGCCCAAGTCCGCCCAGGGGAAGGAAGTCGGCAATGAGTTCGAGTTGTTCCCAAACGCGGGCTGGGACTATGATCATACCTGGAACAGCTCGGTGGGTGGAACGGAGTTCAACTGGAAGACATTTGTGGATGGGTTTCAAGTCTGTTCCTCCCAAGAGTGTAGCAAGGTACTTGAGCTAATTAGGACGCAGGAGTGCTATCATTGTCAAACAGGCCACCCGACGACATTGCCCAAAGATTTCTCCCTAGACCAGTATTACTTACGGCAGGGCACTGGAGCGTCCCGTCATTTCCTGCCGCCCAAGAAGGAGGGTTTGTCGGAGGCCTACATAAGTATGTGCGGTAGATGTCAACATTTCGGGAAACATTGGCGCTGACAGCGGGCTCTCCGCTCCATAGCTTGGCTGTACCCACTCGGAGTGGTTACCTTTAGCGACAATCTGCTGTTCATTGGCCGGTTCGATGCGAAAGGCGCCCTCAACACCTCGTATGACAGCGAGACCTACCGGAGGTCGAGCATGAAGAAACCCAGTCCGGACTACGACCGTTGGATGGAGCATGACATTGCTTACTGGCGCTTTGTTGAGACCGAGGATGTCGAACTGGCTGTCAACGCGCAGAAGGGATTCAAGTCCGGTGTCCTTGGATTAGGAAGGCTGCACTCCATTGAAGGTGAGTTATCCAAGAGTGCTTGAAAGACATATCCGGTTGCTGACGACATTGGCCGGATAGAGCATGCCGTCAAATGGTACCTTGATAAGGTGAAGACTGTACTAGTCCGGCATGCCGAGTCCGAGAAAGGCCAAGGCAGGAATATCGATTATGCAATCCCCCAAGCGCAGAGCGACGCGGCGCAGGAGGACGAGCTGTGCAAGCTGGTTGGACCGGAGTACGACTGGTAGGTAGCACCTTGAAGTAGTGGGCGGACTTTGCAGCTGCAAGCTAGAGCAGATGTATGTCCCAGGAGAGCACTGATTGGCTGCGGCATTGCATTATCGGCGCGGTCTCTTCGGCTTGCGCTGTCATAGGGTAGTCGTATTATTGTTTCATGTGTTGGCCGGGAGGCAGGGCATGTTGGCAGAGCCTGGCTGACCGAGACTGAAGCAACCTGAGCAACATGGGAGTTCTAGGGACACTGTGTAGTTGTTTTCTGAAACGATTAATGAATCCAGCATACGGAGTAGATGTGGATCATATGGGTACGGGTGCAACCACGAGAAGGGAATGCCTCAAGTGATTTGCCGTGGCACGAGGACTCGATACCTCGTAGGATCCAGAGGTGCGTTTGTCGCTGGGTCCAACTACTCGTAACTCGTGTCAGTGGGCGCTGTGCGTGGGGTCTGGGAGGTGCTCCTGCCGCCGATCAGGGAGTCTTCTTACACGGTACAAAAAGGTGCAACGCGTTCTGCAATGTGCTGCTTGGTGAGGCTGTTAACCCAAGCTGGCAGTGGCCGGGCAAACGACGGGAAGAGCTCCGAGCCGCTCAGAAAATCCTGGGTCCCAGCTCCGCGACAAGGGGATTTTTTGGTGGGGAACGAGCCAGACACAGTGACGTCAATCACTCAACATAAAATCTGAGGTGGCCGCATTTTCAGATCCGCTAACTGCAACCGGCAACACCCCACCCCGATGTCCCGTGCTGCAGGAAGTCCATGATAGAGGAGCTTGCGCGTACAGTGCTTGTTTGTTGGTCTATGTTTGAGGCGAGCGACGCGTTGGGTTTTGGCTTCACACACTTTTCGTCCTGTCCTACCTCGCGCTCGTACGCTCGTAGCTGACAATCATGGCCGTCATCAGATCGGCTTGCGGACGATGGCGCCATCGCTAGAGGAGTCGCCCTAATCGATCCATCCCACGGCATGGAGAACGGCCCCCAGCCATCCTACTTATTATTCTCGGCTACATAGTCTTATACTCTTATCGGCTCAGTGTTTCGTAGTCGAGTCCTCGCTACGTGTCGCATTCACTAGTGAGATTTGTGGTTTATCGAGCTTCGCCGACTCATGGACGACCATTCGGGCATGTGTCTTAGGGGGGGCTATGCTGCAAACCAGTGGGTGAAGCTGCATGAAAAGCTTGACCCTATGGGTGCAAATCCCATAGGCTGGTAGGTCTCTAAGTGCCCAGGGCATGCAGTTCCGGGCAGTGGGTCCCCACGCCATGTCTCTCTTTTGCCATTCCGCCTGCCACATGAGGTTTGGGCAAACCTCGTTGAAGGATCACCATGCGTCGTGATCCTCCAGCATTGTGTGATTCAGCGCTTGCCGCAGCCGTGGGGTGCATACACAGTGGTATCACCAGCATCGAGAGGCGCCGTGGTGGATGCAGAGCGAGGCTCAAAGGTTGGCTGGTCCCTGTTTGCGGGCTATATTCTCCGCCGTGTGTCCGGTCCGACCTATCGTGTATGTGCCCTGAGTGACCACAGATATGGACTTCTCGGCCGCTATGCTGCAGGAAGCCATGGGATATGCACTAGCGAGGAAAGGCTACGCCGAATAGAGCTGCAGAGCCAGGGTTTGGCCGTCTGGCAGTGTTTTTTTACATCTGAGATCCACTCTCAGTTGGATACTCCGTGCAGTTGATGTGTCGTCTACTCCGTATCTTCAGATAATTCCTCCCTCGTGCCCTCGTCTTCTGCGTCCGCACCTCGAGTCACTCGCTTATTGTCGAGCTGCTTTCACCCTCTGCTCCCTGTACATCGCCGCCGCTCTTGCTGCGTTCACAGCCGATCGCTACCATAACAGCCTGATGGCAACTGCCACACGTACATGACGCCGCCCAATTTTCGGCTCGCTCCACCCTCAACCGCGCCAATTTCCTCCTGTACATCCTCCACAACCGCGAACGACACCTTCACTGCCTGCCTTTTTGAACTGCCTCGCCTCCTCACCTTCAGTCACTCGCTCAGGCAATTTTGAAGTTACCAGCTAATTGGCACACCCGCTTCTCTCTCCCAAAAGGAAAGCCGATGACACGAAGACTCACCATCAGTGGAAGCCGCTCCGAAATGGGGCTCCTCGAAGACTCACCAGTTGAGCCAGAAACGCCTCCTCCGAGCTGGTCTCCTGCAAAGTATGATATCTGGAAGAAGCCGTCAAGATGGCAGATTTGCATGCCCCGGCTGCGCACCGCGGCCAAGGTCGTCTGCACCTTTGTCGCCTTCATCATCGTAATCAAGGTTATGAATGCAGCACCTCCACCTGCACCATCGCAGCTAGACCCGGTTCCAGAAGTGGTAGCAGTCGATGAGATCACGGAGCCTCCTCCGCCTCCACCGCTAAATGAGGAGGAAATGATGGACATCACAATGCAGAATGCAAAGAAAGAGCAGTGGATCTGGAAGGACTTCACCACGTATGTGCTGCACGTGCCATGTCGTGTCATGCCGCGACTCTGACAAATGCTGATCTGACCAACTAGGCATGACGGTTTGACGCGTGGAACTTCACATCTGCGTGCCTGTGAGACCGGGGAAGTTGACTGCAAGAACAAGAATCCCCACCTCATTCGCTACGACGGGTATCGAAACTTCCATGAACCTTTGGATCATCTCGTCTCCTGTGTCGGTCCGCGTGGTCTGCCGTTGAATGAAAGCAATGAAGATGCAATCTGGGCCTATCCTGGTCAAGCTAACGGTAAGATAAAAGACCCTTGTGTGACCGCAGTTTCTCTGACTTCCCTAGGCGCTGTCGAACCTACTCTTGGATCCTACGAAGCTTCCGGCCTGGACGGTACTGTATCGTTCGACCGCGTTGGTCGCTTTCAAGCCTACGGAATCGACCAATGGGACGCTAATGATGTCGAGGAGATGAAGACCATGAGCGATATCGACTGGGATGTGGTCGATTGGGGCGAACTGCAAGACGAATGTGTTGTTGCCAATAAACAGCGCTTCCGTACCGTTAAGGAACGACCTGCAAACTCGATCCAGTATTCGAACCTCCGGCACAAGCACGATCAGGCATCATCCAAAGCACTCTCCTCGACCTTGGAACCCGGTATGGTCAATAAAGCAAAGCGAACTGCGATTCTCATTCGTGTCTGGACTGGCGCGAAATGGACAGCCGACGCAGTTATGAACATTCGTGCGATGATCGCAGAGGCATCCTTGGCCAGTGGAGGGAAATACCAAGTATTCCTGCTCCTGCATGTTAAAGATGAAAGCGTTCCGCTCTTTGTCGGCGAAGATGAACCCCAGGCCACCATCAACAAGTACATTCCGCCAGAATTCCGCTCCATCACAGAAGTGTGGAACCATGCGCAGATTCGAAGCCTGTATTCCAACCTGGCTGAGCATGCCTTTGTCGGACGCTCGCCGTGGATGATCATCCAGTGGTTTGCACGCAACCACCCCGAATTCGACTTTTTCTACCAGTGGGAATTCGATGTTCGCTACACCGGCCACTACCTCGATTTCTTTGAAGCCGTCGAGAACTTCGGACGGGAGCAACCACGGAGAGGCATCTGGGAGCGAGCAGGCCGAGTGTATATACCATCAGTCCACGGTGATTTCGACACCGACTTTCGCAATTCCACCAGAGAGGAGGATCCTCACCATGTTTGGGGCCCAGTCTCCGTTGAAGGAGTCAGACCTCGTGGTCCAAAGGCACCCAAAGAGGAGGAAGACGACTATGAGTGGGGAGTAGGTGAAGACGCGGATTGGATCGGATTTCTCCCTAGCTTCAATGTGACAGGCACCGGCTGGTGGTTCCGCAACTACCTCTGGGGTTACGCTCAAGGATCATCGACCCCGAGACGAGCCACTCTCATCGCCCAAGGCCGAGTTAGTCGACGAGTTCTGGACATCATGAATTATGAGAACGCCGAGAACGGACACCACATCGATGCAGAGATGTTCCCTCAGACAATGTGTCTCCATCACGGGCTCAAATCCACCACATTCCCTCACCCCATCTTCGCTGACCGGCACTGGCCGGCCGACGCCTTGCAGTCTACATTCAATGGCGGACCGTTTGGACAGGCTGGTGGTTACTGGAACAGCACCTTCAGCAAATGGAACGAATACGCCTGGACTAACATGACCTGGTATTACAGCTCCGCCCAGGCCATGCCCATCTACCAACGATTACTAGGCATCACTGCTCTTGAAAGTGGTGGACAGGAGTGGGAGGATGTCTACGGCAGGACCGTCGTCCGCCCGATGCTGCTTCATCCTGTCAAGGGTGCGAAGACATGGCAATGGACCGGCCAGGATGGATGGCTGCAGTCCAAGGGACGACGGTGATTAATCCACCAACAGCCATGGCATGAAACCGGTGCCGCTCCTCTTGTGTGTCTTTTGTTTTTTTTTGCATCAGCCCAGGCGTTCGGGGTTACAGAGACGTTTTGGCGTCAGTCCGGCACTGCTACCTTGACCTCGGTGATGACTGGTGTGCATGATTGAGTGACGTCGACTACCAATATCGACAGCGGACATTCCTTGGAAAGAGGATTGCACATACCGCATAGATGTTCATTCCATATGACGATCAGGGGCAAGCTCCCCACGAGATGAGATACGGAAAAAGTACATGGATGGCGGAATCCCAGACAGGACAGCTGGATAAGAGCTTTTACTAAGGTATGAAAAGCATGGATTAGCTAGGCTGGGAACCGGTCATGCCACCGACCCATAGACAGATGATCGGCCATTATGGCCAGTCGAAAGTAATCATAATGTAAACTCTCGGTATGCATGCTGTTGTCTGTTCCGGTTTCGTTCGTAGCTAAGCACAAGGGACTTGTGGATTGGATCAAGCTGCATGCAAGACCGCCGAGTTGGGCCATAGCAGCACGACTACTCGTACCTTTGGGGGATGGTGAGATGCCGTGGTGGTTCCATTTTCATCTGCCAGCTGACGGGCCTGTCAAAGCTGTTGTACTCGTACGAATGCGCAGTGCTGGGAAGGCCGAGTCGCGGGCGGGCAGCCACATGGTTCCCGCATTCGTGCTGATGCAAGAATCCAGTCTCAATGTCAGGCCCAATCCGCTTGGGTTGAACTCACAAGACCAGATTATCCCCCTCTATACGAGTTTTATGATCCCAGACTTTCGTCTCGAAATCAGACATCAATGAGCGCTCGTGCGGATTACATGGCTCTTGAGACCTCATGTCCACAAATCCCTTCCGCAAGAGTAGCGCGTTAAAGGGACCGGGAGCGAGCACTTCCCCCAAACCCAGTCTCATATCGGATCCTCGCGGCACCAGTCCTGGGAGGCTTTCTCTAGACACCAGAGGTAGATGCTTGCTGCTCCTTTCCAGGCTGTATCTTGGGCAAGTGTTGACCTATCCTGTAACAGTTCCCAGCACCTCTCAGAAACATGTAAACTTCGCATCACCGCCGGCCATACCCATATCGCCGGTGTCGTATCCTCCATCCCCTGAATCTACGCGACAAGAGTTCCCTGTTGCATTCCCTAGCCCGAAGACATCTTATCCCCCGCCGACCGACTACAGCCAGGCTCTGGCGAGCGATCCCTTTGGGGCGGAAGCCTTAGATGACGACCATGGCGTTATCGATCAAGCATTGGAGAACGCAAGGGCGAACAACGAGATTACCACACCTGGAGTGCTTGCATCGGCGGGCGCAAAGGACAACGCAATCAGGGACACCTTGGGACGTGTTGCAAGCACACCAAGACGGCCGGTCAATAAACAGCCGGCAAGCGATCCTAAAGAGCCACCCGGGGCGTTGAGATCGACACTGGATGTAGATGCATTCAAGAGAATGCTGCTTACAGGGGATCGAGGTCCATCAGTGGTACAGAACACTCAGGCAGGCCCAACACCTGTAAGTGACAGTGGCTCAAGCGCCGACACAGCATCAATCTCACAGCATTCGATCTTCGAGACGGTCCAGCCGGCGTACGATGAGAGCCCGCGGACGTCAGACGAGCTCGACCGCAACGAGGCGAGCGCGGACCGAGCAGGGCGCGGAACTATCTCAGAAAGAGCAGAGAAGCCCCCCCCTCCACAAAGCAGACGAGGGAAGCCGATCAAGGACCCCGTGGTACCGCATGGCCCAACAGCCCGTTTCGACAATTTCATCAACTCCCTGTCCCTACCTAGCAGTCACAATGTCGGCTCGGGAACGCCGAGCTTAAAGTCGCCAACTATTGACGGAATTCCTATGAGTGATAGGGCTGTCCCTGCCGGAACAACTGATACCCCAAAGAAGACTCCGCCAGCGCCTCCTCTGGCTCGGCGGAAGAGCCAACAAGCACCTAAGAAGCCGGTGCTGACGAGGAGCAGCTCTTCGCGCACTTCAGTGTTTACCGAGGTTGACGGGCCTCCAAGTCCAAGTACTACAAACTCAGCCTCTAAACCTCCTCCACCACCACCGACGCGTCGATCAAATGGCACGACCGACCGCCGTCCATCACTAGATGTACTCTCCATTCCAGAGGAAGCGGATGCAGGGTACCTGGAAGCGAAAGCGGGACTACCTCAAACGCCGGCTTATGTGAAGAGGATGAGCCAAGGATTACCTCCTCCAGTCCCGCCTCCGCGGCGAGGAAGGGGATCCAGCAGAAGTAGCATGGAGACAACGAGGCCGACAATGGCCAATTTGGGTATTATGGAGTCTGAAGGGAGCGAGGTCGATACTCCTGGGAGTGAGCATCGAGATATCTTGGCCGATCTTGCGGCTCTGCAGCGCGAAGTGGATGCTGCTCGGGTAGGAGCAGGTCAATAACGAAGAGACGGTCCCATTCTATGAACAGTGTATGTATGACATGACTTTATGGCATAACCATTCTCCCAACTGCCTACCTCCACTGCAGCTCAGAGCCTTGTCACATGGCGGATGCTGCCACTCTGTGGTTGGGACCCACCATGACGTAGCGTGATGAGTTGGTGGTTTGGGTGAATCTCGACGAGGCTTGCGACTCGCATTGCAGTTCCATCTCGAAAAGCTACGATCACGCTTCCTCATCACTCTTGCAACCCGGTTCTGAGAACAGCCTCTGTACATATACTGGCGATCCAACCCCCGTTCCGTTCATTTTGTCGCTTCACAAGAACCTGCTTTTGCCTCAGCCCACCCCACGTAAAGCCCCTCGATCGGCCCCAGGGGCACCCTCCAACCAATTCCTACCTCACCACAACCCTAAAGTGACAACGCGATCACCTCCTGCATTCTTGTCCCACGGCAGCTGTGATATTGACTGACGGTTTCCTGGCACTGAAAGGCTTCGAAGTCTGTCACGCTCACCCAAGATTTCGGTCATCACAATCCTTCGCGCGCCTACACACCAATCTGAGCGCAACCATGCCTAACAGAGGACCAACTCTGATCAACCGTGGGTCTCACGGCTACCTGTACCGAAGATGTATAAAAAGCTAATCATACGGCGCCTGCAGTGCCCCCGCCTCCTTCAGATCCCGCCACACCCAGCGAGATGGGTCCTGGCACACCAAACTCGACCACCACATCTTTGTCTGCGTTGTCGGTTGTAGCGATCAAAGACGGCGCAATGGGCCATGGGGGTCGAGGCGCAACAAGTTCCGCAAATACTCTCGAAGCCGAACGAGCCGACCGCATCTCCCGTCTTGCTGGTCTTGAACGAGTCGCAACCTCTAGACCAACCCCCCTAGGGCATCTGGTACCAGGCACTGGGGTTATCTATGGTCAGGCATTCGACAACGCACCTCAGTTCAAAGAAAGAAGTACAGTGGGCAGCGCTAGCGCAACGGGCAGTGTCGGAGGCCGTACCACATGGGCGAGCGGCAGTATTGACTACGATGCAGACAAGATGAGCGAGGACCCGGACGACGGAGTTTCTAGCACAGGTGGATTCAGCGACGAAGATAAAGCCAGTCTGGTTGGATTCGGAGAGGGCGCAGGCAGTACAGTGAGTGGTCCGGTATCGACACCATACAACACGCGCGCGCCAATCTCCCGTACGAGCACGAATGTCGTTGCCCCCTCAACTCCGCGCACTGGGAATATACCGGCGTTTGGTTTTGGATCAGGTCAAAGCACGCCCATGAGTGGAATCACGCCGAGTGCCGCTGCAGGAAGCACAGATCCCAAGATGATGGATGGCATGAGTTATGATCAGAACATCATTGATACCACCATGCAGCCTGCCCCACCCGTGGATGAGCCCCCTGTGTATCGCCAGTCGACCCGGTTCTCAGGGATGGGTACTGAGATGGCAGAGCAAGTCATGCGGGATCGGTTGGGCGGCCTAGAGCAGGCGCAGCAATCTATGCATCAGGGCGACGGACAGAGTCTGGGTAGGTTTCCTTTCGAGAAGGAGTAGATTGGCGGGATGGGGGCGTTGACAGGGCCTATATCGCCTGTGGAATCAAGTGAACTGAAGGCGCGGTCCATGAGACCGAGCCTTTTTGCTGCTGGACGAAGGAAGATTGAGCTTGCTACTGTACGATACCAATGATATGGTGTTCAGGGAGCGGTGTTTACAGCGGGCTGCAAGACAGATTTGATAGGCGGCGTTTGACCTTATACCCTCTTTGCTTGCTGGAGTGTTCAACAGCAAGACACCAGGACAAACTGGAATTCATCATGGATTTACTCCGTACTCCGTATTTCGGCGTGGTTAATCCGAAACGCCCTGCGCCAGCGAAGCGGTGTCTTGGGGAGACGCCTTAGGTAAGCGGTACCCATTCTTAGGCGCGGGCTTGGAGGCTAGTCACCACCCGAAGGGATGCGATGCTGTTATTCCACGAAACCTGCGAATTTCTGGTCTCTGGCTTCTCTCTGGTCTCTGCTCTTCACTCTGTCTTCCTCTCCCATCTCCCTCCCGTCACCCGTGTGCGATCTACGTGTCCCTTCCTGCAATTGCTGACATTCAGTTGTCAAGTACGGAAAAGACTCGAATTGTGACAATTCTTCACCGCCATCAAGGAACCGCAAGTCACTTTGTTGTTGTGCTTGACCGAATATCTCTTTCTCGACAGTCAACCGCCTATCCTGACTTGACCAACGTTCTCCTGCGATAAGGCACCCTCATATCAGGATACCGTCGAACATGGCTCTGACTCAGTTCGCCTGTAAGTCACCATCCAGGCGCAGCCAGGGCCCAGAAAATTTCCTGAAGCCTTGCGTTGCTGACGTGGATATCAACAGTCCGAACTCTGAAAGGAATTGGAGTGGTCAACGGTGCTCCGGACTACCAGCCGCTTCCTGCGTTTGAAAAGTTTGTTCACCTGCCCCTCGCACGACTCTGTTCCTGTCGCATGGCTAACACTCCACAAACTAGACCAGAAGGGAATTTGCGCTGCTGTACCTATTCGCCCTGTGGCCGGTATTTCGCGTGGGCATATCCGGACAAGTATGCTTCTAAGATACGCAACAGCATAATACACAGTGTTCTGACTTGAGAACAGAGTCAACATCATCAACGCTGACACGGGTGTTATCATCTCCTCCCTTCCCGCCGAAAACGTCTTTGAGCTAGGCTTCTCCCCCAAGGGCACCTACATCATTACATGGCAACGTCCGTCGAAAGACGAGAACGGCGACGCGGTCAAGAACCTCAAGGTGTGGTTGGTGCATGACGAGAAGGCCTTGGCAGAAGGAGTCGACAAGGAGCCCCTCGCCCGCTTCGTGCAAAAGAACCAAACCGGCTGGAATCTGCAGTACACCTACGACGAGGCCTTCTGTGCGAGAGTGGTTACCAATGAAGTCCAAATCTATGAGAGCCATGACCTGAGCACCGTCTGGAATAAGATCCGGGTGGAGGGTGTGCTGGACTTTGCGGTGTCGCCGGGCGAGAATCATGCCATTGCGGTCTTCGTACCGGAGAGGAAGGTCGGTCCTTCAACATACTCTGTGGGATTCTTTGGGGGTCTAATGTGAGCAACAGGGTCAACCGGCCGCCGTCCGAGTCTACAACGTGCCCGATTTCACGGTTCCTGCATCCCAGAAGAACTTCTTCAAAGGTGACAAGGTGCAATTGAAGTGGAACGACAATGGTACTTCCTTGATTGTGCTGGCACAAACAGAAGTCGACAAAACCGGGAAGAGCTACTACGGAGAGACGACGCTCTATCTGCTGAGTGCAAGTGGCGGCGTTGACTCTCGGATTGATCTGGGTACGTTTCTCCAGGCTTACGATTGGGTGATACATTATGCTGACCGAATGAAAGACAAGGAGGGCCCTATCCATGATGTCGCCTGGTCACCAAAGTCGAACAGCTTTGCTGTGGTGTACGGTTATATGCCCGCGAAAACGGTCATTTTCAATGCCAAGGCACAGGTGGTGCATACCTTTCCTCTAGGGCCCCGCAACACCGTTCTGTTCTCTCCTCATGGTCGGTTCATGCTTCTGGCTGGTTTTGGAAACCTTGCTGGCCAGATGGACATTTACGACTTAGAGAAGGACTTCACGAAGGTTTGCACTATCGAAGCTAGCAACGCAAGTGTGTGCGAATGGTCGCCGGATGGCGTGCATATCTTGACGGCAACAACCTCGCCTCGTCTGCGAGTCGACAATGGTGTTCGCATCTGGCACGCGAGTGGCCCGCTGATGTACAATGAGGACAAGAACGAGCTCTATCACGTCTGCTGGCGGCCCCAACCGGCAGATGCACATCCCCTTGGCGCCAATCCACTAGCTAGCGTTCCTACGCCTCACAGCAGTGCTACGGAATACACGGCCGCTCGAAAGACACCCAGTAAGCCTGTTGGAGCTTACAGACCGCCAGGGGCTCGCGGCCAGGTGACGCCTCTGGCGTTCAAACGCGAAGATGAAGGAGGTGCAGCATTCGTGCGAGATGGCATCTCGTCATTTGCCAGCAACATCAACGGTTTCGGCAAGCCCCGGCAGCGTGTTGTTCCCGGTGCTGAACCGGTTGACGAGAAGAAGCCGCTACCGCCCGGAGCCGCGCCCGGGGGCGGTGTAAGCCTGACAGGTACCGGAGAAGGCGCTGACGGAGAGCCCCTCTCGAAAGCGGCCAAGAAGAACGCCAAGAAGCGGGAAGCGAAGAAAGCGGCGGCCGCGGCGGCAGCAGCCGAAAAGCAACAAGGCGAAGGAGCACCAGCTAACAGCCTTGCTCCTGAGCAGCGCAACGGAGGTAGAGGGAAGAGCCCAAGCCGAAGTCCTGACGGCCAAGGCCACCAGCGTAGCCGAAGTAGGAATTATGTGCCCGCACCCGGTCTCGAGCCGCCCACGGGACCATTGAAAAAAGAACGCAGCAGGAGCAACAGCCGACGACAACGAGGTGACACGAATAGCTCCATGCGGGATCGAAACCACCACCAGGCAAACGGCACGCCCAAAGACCCTACGAACAACGCTCCCCCGAGTCAGCAGAAACCTGCTCGCGCAAATGCCCCCACGAACATCAACACCACGATAGCGCTTCCACCTCCCCCACCGGTCCCTCAGGGTGACCTTAACCCGCCTGAATTGGAAGTAACCTCTCCCATGACGCCCGGTGGAGATCCTCGGGACAAGAAGATTCGGGGATTGCTCAAGAAGATCCGCGCAATCGAGGATCTGAAGATGCGGTTCGCGGGAGGGGAAAAGTTGGAGGACACGCAGATGAGGAAGATCTCGAGTGAGGATAGTGTGAGGAAGGAGTTGCAGGGGTTGGGGTATTTTGGTTGACTTTGAGACCGTGAGTCAGGTGATGAAGGGAAATCTTAGTCGACGAACAACATTATGTCGCCTTGCCCCACGAAGAGATTCACAGCACACCAGGAGGACTGCCCTGCTATGTTCAGCCTGTGCGGAGAACAAAGTCCGATTTTCGAGAAGCACTTTGGATGGCATCCCCTTGAGCTGGATATCTCGAAAGGTAGTCGAGCTGAGTAAGGCATGGATAACTCACGTCGGAAGGTTCGTGGCACCTTACACGGCCCTGAACGAGACCAGCTGGTACAGCACGGTCGAGGTCCATGCCATGCGCTTATCCTGGTCCACCACGCCGGCAGGCAAGCAGGATAGCTAGCCAGTTATCCTTTGACCTAACTTTTGGCAGCGAGCAGCGAGGAGTGCAAGCGTGCACCCTTTTTGCATAGCGGTCAATCAGTTCACGATCGGACCGAGCCGGACACGACGGATGTGAGATGGACGCCACCGGGATCAGGGTTCGGCTCTGCTTCTGCTTCTGCTTATGGCCTCGCCTTGGCTCCAAACTGTTTACAACATTCTGCTGTGGATACTGCCAGGCAGTGCATGCAGGCTTGATAGAACTCAGAACAACGCCCAGATAGATGATGTACGGTACTGTACTGTAGGGTTGGGCTGGGTTAGATTTAGGTAGGTAGGCATTAGAAAGGCGGTCCTGGACGGTCCTGCCCCGCCCTGACCTACCTGCCTTGTCAATTCCACAGCAGGCTCTCGCGCGGGCACATACAGTACGTCACTAATTATGTAGCTACTTAGATAGGGACGAGAGCGAGGTTCGGGGACAAAGAGACAGCAGGGTCCCGGGCACATACAGTACGGACGTACGTAGCTATGAGAGCGAGATTCGGGAACAAAAGACAAAGACTACACCTCTCTGTGTATGTCTCTCTCTTTCTGTCTCTTTTTCTCGCCAATATATGATATATCCAGTCTCGTCACTTGAATCAAACGAACTACCACGCACACGTCCGTAATTCCAAAACGCTCAGTTGAACGATCGTCTATGATACCACCCCCATCCCTCTCCTTCCCGCTCTCCTAATCTTTATCTGCACGTACTAGATACAGTATGTAAGCAGTACGCACTCGGACAGAATCGAACCACGGCATCCCCCCAAACCTACCTACCTACTAGTACCTACCTACTGATCAGCCTCCTGGTAGCCTGCCTGCCTGCTCACTTCTACCCGCTCCCTTCTTTCGTGTAGCCTGCTTACACTCCATTTGAACCGCCTCGCTTCTTTCGTCTCTTCTGTCTGCTTGTGAAAGGTGACCTGGTGCCTTAGGCCTGGAGACCCTCAGGGACTCCTCCTCGCCCGTCACCCCTCTTTTGGCGCTCCAAAGCCGACGGCGCGCTCGGAGATAACCGGCCCCGTCACCGCTGTGGGTGCCACGGTTGCTGTTGCTGCGCTGATCAGGCTGTGGAGGAAGAGACTATCGCCACTGCTTCTTGAGGTGGTGCTGGATCGATGGGATGTTGGCGGCGAGCTCGGGGCAATCGACGAAAATGTCGAGGTTGTTGTCGTGGGTGTCATTACGAGGGAGTCAGCGCTGGAGGCTGAGCCCGTGGAAGGGGATTGTCGTTTATGTGTCACGTGTATGAGTGCGTTCATCAATCTCACATGCCTATCTTCTTCGCGTGGCACGACGGGGACGAGGCCTCCAAGGACTCTGGGCTGTTGTTGGTTTTCGTTTCTGGCTGGCTTCGGTGCTGCCAAGTGGGCGGGTGCGCGTGCCTGTGCTGTCGGCTCAGTAGAGATGGTAACCGCGGGGACTGTCTGTGTCGGTGCTGAATCATCCTGTGGGCTCCGTGGCGTCTGATTTCGCGCCCTGTTAATAACGAGAGGCGGTACTGTCATCACAGGTTGATCCGGTGAGGATGGAGCGGATCCGAATTGGCAGGGCCGCGATGCACTGGAGTAGATACACCCTGATGATGGCTTGGTCGTGGACGGCGACACTGGAGTTCGTGGATGTGGGCGGTGACGGCTGACCCATTGACTCCTTCTCAGTCCTGAAGCACGGGCGGGTGTTACGTTGGTCAACTGCGAAGCATCGTTTGGCGTGGCGTCCGTCATCCACACAAAAGCACTGTTTGTCAGGAGCAGCTCGTTTGCAGACATGACTGGTAGTGGTGGTGATCCATACAAATTCTCAGGTGCAGGATCTGCCTCCAGGATTTTCAACAGTTGCCGTGAGGTCTCGGCAAGGTCGACAAAGGAATGTGTCGGCGATGCACTGCCTGCGGGCGACGGCGAGAGCATCTCCCTCCAGGGTTGTCCTGGCGCATGTCCCTGTCTTGTACTGTCCAAAACTTCTAGGTATTGCGACACCGCGATCCCTCTCTCTGGCCGGACGTCGGCGATGAAAGGTCCGATTGTCATTGCAACCTCCCCAGTCAGTCCAACGGGTTCCTGACCTGCCTCAAGAGCATAAAGCATGAGTCGGGCATGCTCGGCAACCATATTTTGCCCCCTCTGGTTGAGGAAATGAAACCAAGCACGGTCGGCAGCAACATCCTTCGAAAGTTGCTGCATAGCCGTGCGAAAAGTGAGGTCGATCTCCGCCATGTTGCCGCTGTAGACCAATTCCAAGTCCTGCATTTCCATCTGTGCGTTGGCTCGAAGGGCGTAAGTCTCAAGTTCGTGCTTCGCGAGCAATTGTTGGTATCTCTCCCAGCGCTGTTCCTGGAACCGCCCCTGAAGGCGATGGCCCCGCGCTTCCCTGTCTTGCTTTCCACAGAGATGCATTTGTATCTCGAGGAAGATGTCGTCTTCGATGGTTTGCTGTTCGACAGTAAAGGTTGTCATCTCCATTGTATGCCTCTCTTTGATGTCCGACATTCGTTTCTCAAGGTTGGAAATCGTCTGCTGGGAAGCTCTTTCGTGCTTTCGTATTTGCTGAATGATAGCTTCGTCACGATCTTGGTTGTATTGCCGCTCGGTGGCCACGTGGCGGCTGTCCAAGCTGTGCATCTGCGACAAGCGAGTCTCATTCCAAGCTTCTTCGAGGCGGCGGCAGCTTTCTTCGACCGATAGCCGTAGGACGCGTTGAAGATGCTGCTCTAGCCGAGCCTGTTCGACGCGCAATGCTTCCTGCTCCCGCAAACGTTCCGCTTCCAGTCTTACAAGTTCGGCCTCTTGTCTGCGTTGTTCTGCCTCACGTCTTTGCTCTGCTCTTCGACGCTCTCGTGGATTCCGTCGCTCCATCTCTTCAACTTGTGCGATAATGCGAGCCAACTCGGCGTCTCCAGCATCTCTTGCACTTTCATATTCGCCCCTGCGTCGTCTTAGTTCGGCTTGACGATTGACTTCGTCCGTCTCGGTGCATGAACAGGAACGCCACTTCCTGCCGCACGTGTAGCAGAACTGGGCGCCACATTTGCATGTCATGTGGCGGCAGCCTTGAGTTCGCTGGACAGGTCAGGTGTGGTACTGAGTACAAATGACCTGCTTACCTCAACCATGGTCCGACATTTCACACATCGCCGCCATCCTTCTAATTCTGCGAGCGTGATGGTACTGTCTTCTTCATTAGCACTGAGGCAACCCTTTCAGGGAAGAGAACTTCTGAGCGATGTGGCTACCATCGATCAGGCTCCCAGTGATACTTACGCTCGGAGGTCGGAGTCTTGTGGGCATTCCGAGAAAGATTTGTGAGCCAACCCACGACAGATGCTGCATATTTTTGCTCCGCAATGTGGGCACTTGTCATTCCAGGTGGGTATTCGGGGCACCTTCGACGGACGAATCCATTTCAGGCACCTGCTATTAGGGCAATACCATCTTTGCTGGTGGGGTATAGAGAACTCGGCAGCCTTCTCTTTATACGTATTTCTCTGCTTGGCGTCAAGAGTAGACATGATTGTCGGTAGTGGTATTGCTGTCAAGCAGCACTTCGGCGGGAAGCTTGCCTCGTTTTCGAGGGCAGTCGTGATCAGGGTTGTCAGACACGGCTTACAGTATGAGTGAGTGCAGGGAAGGTTGCTGGTGTCGTTCTTGGGAGTGTCTTCGAAGCAGCTTGTACACTCAACCATTGGCTGCTTCTTGTTCAGAGCCTTGACTGAATTCGCAGCTGCTGGTTGGTCTTTTATGGTCTTGCCCCTAAGGCTGGCGAAGAGGTCGACGGTGGAAGCAAAAATACTATTGCTGGCATTCCGTGATCTAGCTCGACGTTTTTCGGAAGGTTGTTGGGGGGCTTCAGAGACAGAGCCGGGAGGATGGGCAGAAGCATCCCCTTGAATTGGATAGCAAGAACGAGCGCTGGCCCCATGCTGCAAGATGCTGGAACTGGCTGTGGTACGTGGTCGAGCGGCATCGAGGTTGAGAGACCAGGCAAGGATCTGCTTGAGCTTCTCTGGCACGTCCGCCTCGTCCTCGACCCTTTGAAGTTCTTGCGGTATCCTTTGCCGTCGCCAATCCAGCTGAGGCTGTAGATTGACAGTGCTGCTCCTCAAAGCGGTCCATACTGGCTGGAATGGTGGTTCGTTGCTGCTGAGAGCCTTGTTCGACCTGTAAGACATGTTGAGGTAGGGCACGGATGGTCAACAGAGCCAACGCGGAGACGAACAAAAGAACGGAGAGTGTAAACAGCATTGAATGCTGTCTTCTCTGGATTGCATACAGCCTCCTTAGGCGATGAGACACTGCCGAGCACAGGTCGCAACTCACATCGGGGATATGGAGGTATAGGCAAGCAGAAACGAAACACCTGAATCAATGTCCTGACTCACTCGGGAGTATCGGACCGACACAATATAGTAGCATGATGGCAGACGCGAAAAAGCCTGGTGTGTAACTGGGCACCTCTTCGTGGCATTGACGGCACCTCAGCGAGCCTATTAAAAGTAGACAGTCAGTAGTCGCAAAGCCTCCTTGCCATAGCGCTGCAGAGTTGAGCTACAAGCTGTAGCCGATTTGTGAAGCTATCATGTGCACATCCGAGGATGCCTTGCCAATGAGCCCAAAGTAGGAAGCGGCCTCGCCCTGGTTCGAATGGGCGTCATAAGAAAGGGCTGTGCTGTCAACACAAGCCGCCGGCAGTAATTGACTTTGCATCGTCTCGCCGATGCTATTAGTAACGATCTTCATGTAGATGAGGCGGCACATCATACCCGTGAACGAATCCATAGGCTGACCGCAGTGTTCGCGTGCTTGTGTGCTTGTGTGCCCAGTTTGAATGTGTAAACGAGAGGAGCGACAGGAGTTACACTTTGGCCCCCAGGCTGTGAGCAAGGCAGATTAGCGACGTGGCGGAACAACAATCCTCCGTGATGCGAGGGTTTCAGGTCAAGGCGGCGAGGTATCTAGCCACGGCAACTTTATCGTACAGCATGTCCCGAAGAAATCATGTTTTTAACATATAGACGTGCTCTTTGGCGAACCTAGACGGGCTCGTGCTCTGGCGGACGCACCCGAGGAAGCAGCAAGAAAACAGGCAACCGCTAGATACCAGTGAACATTGGCAATCGCCGATTCGACTTTGAAATAGGTTCAGTGGTCTTGTCTGGTGCACCCGAGACTCCTTGTTCGGCCTCCGGCAACTAAGCACCACTGACTGGCAGGCTGCTGGTGTGATTGCCGGAATGACCAGCATCTCAGACCCACGAGTTTTATGGCCATAGATCCTTTACAGCAAGAAGACGACTAGCCCGAGACGAGAGCTGGGTGCGTCTTTCCCGTTAAAGCCCCCCAGAACAGCCTGGGCTGCAATCGTCTTTAGTCCTCGTCATGTGTGCAACCGCTTCTACTCATCGTCTTCCTCGTCGCCCTCCACGGCTGTCTGAGCGATACGATCCAAATCTCGTGCACCCGCCTGAGTTATTCTCCGCCCGCCCCTTCCGCTAGAACCTTCCTCATCATCATCAAGCTTCTCCAAGATACCGAGTTCCTCAAGAGCCTGTAAGACTTTTCGGTCAACCGAGCCGGAAGCATTGACATGGTGTGAGGGGCGAGACCCGCGGTTCTTTGTGCTGCCGTGGACTTTTCGGAGGCGGCCAACGCCAACTGACTTTCTCAGATAGACATGTCGAGCAACGGCTGCAGCTCTGACGTAGAACCAGTCGGCTGATTGCGGAGGGAGTTCGTTTGAGTGCGATGTCTTGACGGTATCAACCCAACCTGAATTGCCCCAGAATCAGCGTTGGCACATAGGCTTTTGATGCTTCGCGAGATTCGCAATCGAGCGCTTGCAAATCGAAAACCACCATTCGGGGTGTCGAGATCGGATCATACCTGGCACCCGGATTTTCCCTTGTCTCTTCAAGAAAGCGGCATAAGCTTCGATGAACTTTTGCGCCTGCACAGAATCCCAGCTGTCAGCTCATTATCTTTCGACGCGGCGCTCTTCTGCCTTTGCAGCGACAAGGCCTGTATTCCCTCCTCAACCCTAGCATCGTGCGGCGCAGACAAGTGATGGGCTCCTACTCACATCGACATCTCGAACGGTAACGCCACCCATGATTGCGGTGATTGAGACAACGTAGCCTCAGCAATCGAGTTCGTGGCTTGGGAGAGGTTGTTTGGCGAGCGATTTGTCGATTGTGATGTTCGAGGTCGCCTGCGCGAAAAAGTTGTGTGGGCTCGATTTCCCGAACATCTGCCGGCGGTGCGTTCTCTTGGCGCCAAGAAACCAGTGCGCCCTACTGAGAAGTCACCAACTCCAGGCGCGTCTCCTGCCCTCATTCGTCACGCCTCGGGTGTCACCACCTTCGTCCCCACGCCAAAGTCTACTCAGCAGAGCCTGAGGCATTCTGGGATCATCTCTCTCTCTGCTCATGCTACAGCATAATGATACGCTTGGTCGAGAGGGAACTGTGTCGATAATTCTTGCCTGACTGATGCGAGAACAATTGACGCCTGCGCACCGGATACAAGGGCGACGACGGCCGAAACAGGGAGCTATATGGAGGTGGTCGAGGCACAGGAGAGCCCGCCGGGGCCTGATGGCTGATTGCTAGACGAGACATGGCTTCAGGCTAAGGTGAGTCGCTGACCGTGGGACATCGCGCAACCTCTAGACCAGGGGGTTAAGAAGACGAAACTCCTCAAACGGCCGTCAAGAGGGACTTGATTGGTCCGCGGGACCTACAGACAGCCATCATCACGGTTAAGCCATTCTTCAAGAACGTGAGATGGGACCCCGTCGGGGAGCAACTCTTCCGGAAAATTTACCAAGGTTTACTGCGACTAAGATCATTGCAAATCAAGGAAGATGACCACCTCTATCCGCCGTCGGAACAGAGCGAACGGAGCAGTATAAAAGACCAGGTGGAGGTGGTGGAAGATCAATCCAGGGCAACACTGCGACTGGTGTGTTGTACGCATGGCGGTTGTGAGTCAACGCGCGAGACGACACGACGGTGGCGATTTGCTCGAAGAAGGGGGTAAAGAGCGTGGGTCGCAGAAGAAGCATAATGCCGGCCGATCGGAGAGGGAACCTGATGCGGGCTGGTCGAAGAAGGACATAACCCGTGTTGTCCAATTTCTACAGTATCAAGGTTGTGGTGGCACAACCAATGGCTCCAAGGTGGAGCATTGCTCTCCTAGTCGGCGAGTGTCAGCAATTGCGCTTTCGGCTTGCTTCCATAACCTACAATAAGTTTAATTGCGCCCACCAGCGAATCAAGTCGTGGGTCTGGTAAGCCTCGACTGTGCCTGTTCGAGCATCTGCTTTTGCGTAATCATCCTCTTCTTTAGCCGCCGCATTTGCTCGTCGGGTCAGCTCGTCATTTGTTCGCTTCATCACCCCGAATGTGAAAGGGACTATGGCTACCGACAGCCCAGCAGCAGCAATGAGCAATCTCTGTTGTGATCTCGATTCTGCCGACAGTCGCCGAGCAGCATGCAGCCAGCACCCGCTTGCGAAAAGAGCGAAGAAAGGACCCGCTTTCTTTCCAATGTCGTAAATGGATCGCCATTGACGAGCCAGGTGCGACGGCTTTGTCAACGGCTTCTCCGATGATGTCGACGTCGGCGAAGCCCGGTTCTCAGCATTGGCCGGTACTGGTAGACCCGAGGAAGGTGACGACAGGAGAAGTGTTGGGACGGCGATGAAAGAGATTCCCAGATTGGCGCCAAAGAAGATGGCTGAGGAAGTGACACCAAGAACACTTCCAAGGATCACATTCGTTGACGGCGACGACATTTCGGAACGCAACTATAGAGACTGTTGAGAGAGGGAGAACTTTGAAATCTCAACCAGGCGACTTCATACAACAGCTCGTCGTCCTTCCAGCTACAGGGTGTTCTTGCGCTAGTCTGAGATGTTCGAAGTATTATGTTGGAATCATATATGTGTGGAGTCGATGCTACAGCTAAACCTCCGGGCCGTTTTGAGGGTTCAACTTCCACCACGCCAGAACTCTCGAGGACGTCACATGTATCACGTGATCCTCCCCTCTTTTAGCAGCACTATGGCCTTGCACCACCATTGTTGACCCTGACCGAAACAGCCTGCATAGGCGGTATGTGAACTTCGAGGCGAACCAGAACGGATGCTTTCCACTGTGCAGACACAAGATACACACTTCGTGTGGGCGAGAGGTAAGCCAACCCAAGCCACATAAGCCACACATTCACTACGGATCCGTTCGCTTGGGGTTGCAGCGTCCAGGCAGATATGACGAACACAATTGACGAAACCCGATCCTTCGTGGTCCTTGGAGCGAAGTACGAGTATGATGCCATCCAAACGTAGCATACAATGGATGCAGTCGCAGCATAGAACTGGTGCAGTCGCAGCAGGCCAAGCCAGCTTGTCCCGGCGAAACGGTTCACACTAGATCGAATGTGGCAAGCATATGCAGAGAATCATGAGCATTGAAAGCGTTGATTGGCTCAATGTCGCACGGCTAACTGTTTCTGCTCATTTGCGCGAAGTCCACAGCCGCAACGAGGCCCTGACTTCGGATGCGCGAAACCCAGGCCTGAACTCTACGTGCTCAATGGGCAGTCAGAGTCGAGTACCTCGCACAGTTGGCCATCTTAGGACTGGAAAAATGTCTCAATGCTTCAAACACCTCGTTTTCACAGCCTTGGCCGTGGACATGGCTAATATAGGATTGGACTTCAGGCGCCTATATAGTTGGTTCGCGCTTTCGGCTCCAGGTGCTGTCAAGCTCAGCAAGACAGAGCATCAGCTAGAGTCACCAGTAAACATCAAAACAGCTTCCTGAATCTTGCCAACTTTTTGTTGGTACATATTCCATATCTTCCAGGCTTTCTTCACCCTCCTCAACAATAGGTATCTCAGCATTCGGGGTCCTCGATATCACCGAGCTCATCTTCTTCTTCCCGGCTCTCTTCGTTTCGGCGTACGTCGTCTACAAGCATGGCCATCGCAAACACCTTGGCTGGCGGTTCCTCGTCATGATCTGTCTCTTTCGGCTTGTTGGCGCCATCACATCCCTCGTCTCAATTCATCACCCGTCCGAAGGGCTCACCATCACGTACGACATCATGAACAGCTTCGGCTTGTCTGCAACCCTTTCCACGGCCCTCGGTCTCCTGGATCGTGTGAACAACGGCATGGATGGACACGGCCTCTCTCCTCGGGTCTTCCACGCCCTCCATCTCCCCACGCTGGCTGGTTTGATCCTCAGTATCGTCGGAAGCACAAATGTCTTCAGCAGCGACCCATCTGATGGTTCGACTGGTTTCACTGAACTGAAGGCAGCAGTCTGTCTCTTCCTGGTCGTCTTTATCGCTGACACCCTCATCACCGGGCTATCATTTCTTAGAATTGCTCATGTTCAGTCTGGTGACCGTCGCTTACTGTTTGCGGTCGCTGCAGCGTTGCCCTTCATGGCGGTCCGGATGGTCTTTTCACTCCTGTGCATCTTTGCCAACGAGCCCAAATGGTTCAGCAGCTGGAGCCTTGAGGGGCCTGCAATAATTGTCCACGGTGCAATGGGGGTCCTTATGGAGGCCATCATAGTCATGATCTTCGTCTGCGCTGGGCTGGCAACTGAGCCTGCAGTCAAGCCATTGGCCCATGAAGGGAAGGTCAAGTACGATTTCAGCGCTCGGAGCGTTTGAGACGGCGCCGGGAGAAGGCGTTCGGAAGCATGGATCGAGTATGATCGATTGGACACAGAGCGCCCAAATGGCAGGCGTCCAGGACAAACTTTTAGATTGCAATAGAATCACAGGTCGTTGACTCATTTACATGTGACTTCGCGAACCCTGCGGCTGGGACGGTAGGAGGTTCAAGTTGTACAGTAGCGAGCAAGCTGGCCTCTGGCGAAATCGGCATTGATTGGTCAGACTTTCGCCCGCACTGAAGGCTGCAAAGGACATGCCGTCAAGAATCCGAGGACAGCTTGTCTGCATAGATACAAAGCACAAGGCATTTCAAACAGCACAGTCTTTCGTCCTCTTCCCTCTCCAATCTCGGCTTCTGTCTCTCTGCTGAACTCGGTATGGACGTCATTGCTCGCGGATCAAGATAGCACAAAGCCTCCCACATTGTCGACACTTGTTCCCTCCGCACCGTCTCTCCCCTCCTCGTCGCACTTCGGCATCCCTACCTGTTCCACCCTGACTTTCAACTGAGCAGAGCGTCCACGAGGCTTGAGAGCTCGGTCTGCCGCAATGTCGCAACAGTACCCCCAGCAATATCCGCAGCAGGGTGTACCAGGTCAAGACGGTTTCGGTCAGCAGCCACCTTCGGAACCGAATTATGACAACTACGAGACCAACGCTCCGCCAGGGGTGCCGCCAGCTCCTGCTCCAGGCCCTGCGCACGGCGGTCGGAAGAAGCGTGCCTATGCCGGACAGGCCTATGAATTCGGGACAGGAGGAAACGCCGCGCTAGGAGGCCAACAACCAGCCGGAGGCGCATACCCTGCCTACTCGGCTCAAGCAGATGCGGCAGGATATCCCCAAGGAGGATACCAGCAGAACCCTGCGGCTGTCCAGCAGTCCGCAGCGCCAATGTACCCGGGTCAAGAACCTGTGCCGGCAATAGGGGGTTATCAGGCTCCGGCTCCGGGATACCCTGCAGCTGGGGCTGGCGGTGTGCCAGGAATGACACAACAGTTCGCTCAAATGGACATGTCTCAGAAGGCACCTGTCGCAGCTGCACCACAACAGTCACAGCGTGCTCTAGTCCTGAATCAGCTGTATCCCACCGACCTGTCCAACCAGCCCTTCAATGTTGTCGAGTTGGACTACCCTCCTCCACCAGCGATTCTCCCTCCCAATGTATGTATGGCCTATGCCGCACCTTCTTGCCCGTGTCTAACAATAAACCTAGACTAGTGTGACGCCTTCACCTTATGCCAACTGTCCGCCGAAATATGTTCGATCGACCTTGAATGCTGTCCCTACCACTCATTCCCTTCTCAAGAAGTCCAAACTCCCTTTTGCGCTCGTCATTCAGCCATATACATCTCTACATGATGTTGAAGACCCTGTACCGATCGTGCCCGATCAGGTTATCTCTCGGTGTAGAAGATGCAGATCATACATCAACCCGTTTGTGACGTTTCTGGACCACGGTCACCGATGGAGATGCAACATGTGCAACCTGACCAACGATGTGCCGCAAGCATTTGATTGGGACGCAGCCGCTCAGAAGAGTCTCGACAGATGGCAACGTCCTGACCTTAACCATGCGGTCGTCGAATTTATTGCTCCCCAGGAGTACATGGTCCGACCTCCTCAACCTCTCGTATATTTGTTCTTGTTGGATGTCAGCTACGCAGCGGTGACGAGTGGCCTCCTGGCCACGACAGCACGGTGTATTCGAGAGAGCCTGGATCGGATACCCAACGCCGATCGCCGCACTCGGCTGGGGTTTATAGCTGTAGACTCCAGTCTACACTTTTTCAACATTCCCCGGGATGGAACAGAGAATGCCCAGACTAGCATGCTTGTCGTAAGCGATCTGGAAGAAGCATTCCTGCCCACACCAGCCGATTTGCTGGTCACCTTGACAGAGTGCCGAGAGAACATTGAGAGTTTCCTCGACAAACTGCAAGAAATGTTTCAAAACACCCAGAATGGAGCATCCGCCATGGGTTCGGCACTGCGAGCAGGGCACAAGCTGATAGGACCTGTGGGTGGGAAGATGACAGTGGTCACTGCTTCGATTCCCAACATTGGAACTGGCAAGCTCGAAATGCGTGAGGATAAGAAGCTGCTGGGCACCTCTAAAGAGAGCAGTCTCCTGCAGACTGGCAACAGCTTTTACAAGAGCTTTGCAGTCGAATGTTCAAAACAGCAAATTTCGGTCGACATGTTTCTGTTTTCGTCGCAGTACCAGGACGTGGCCTCGCTGAGCAATCTGCCCAGATACACTGGTGGCCAGACCTACTTCTACCCCGGCTGGAATGCGGCAAGGGAAGATGACGCCATGAAGTTTGCCAAAGAGTTCTCTGACTACCTGTCGGCAGAAATCGGGCTTGAGGCAGTGCTGCGTGTGCGAGCAACTACCGGGCTGAGAATGAGCACCTTCTACGGCAACTTCTTCAATAGAAGCTCCGACCTCTGCGCATTCCCAGCGTTTCCAAGAGATCAAAGCTATGTCGTGGAGGTTGCGATTGATGAGACCATCACGAAGCCTGTGGTCTGCATGCAGACCGCTGTTTTGCACACGACGTGCAATGGCGAACGACGCATCCGAGTCATGACTCTGGCGCTGCCGACAACGCAACAATTGGCCGACGTCTATGCATCAGCGGACCAGCAAGCTATTACTGAATACTACAGTCACAAGGCCGTGGAACGAGTTCTAAACGGTGGACTGGACAGCGCCCGAGACATGATTGAAGCTAAGCTGATCGAGTTACTTGCCACTTACAAGAAGGAGCTGGCTGGAGGCAGTATGGGCGGTGGTGGCCTGCAGTTCCCTGCGAACCTCCGTGGTCTGCCCGTCCTCTTCCTTGCGTTGACCAAGAATCTGGGACTGAGGAGGTCGTCTCAGATACCGAGTGATATGCGGTCCGCAGCGTTGTGCTTGCTGTCGACTCTACCGTTGCCTCTGCTAATTCAGTACATCTATCCGAAGATGTTCTCACTGCATGACATGCCCGACGACGCGGGTACTGTGGACGAGAAGACAGGCGAAATCATCCTGCCACCGTCTGTGAACTTGTCATCGGAGAGGATTGTACCCTATGGCTTGTACCTGATCGATGATGGACAGACACAGTTCCTTTGGGTTGGGCGAGATGCTGTACCGCAGTTAGTGCTCGACGTTTTCGGAGTCCCGGACAAGAGCCAGCTCAAGGTCGGGAAGCAACGCCTGCCAGAGTTGGACAATGATTTCAACGAGCGAGTCAGGGCTGTCGTTTCCAAGAGCCGCGATCACAAGTCGAAGGGAGTGGGCAGCATTATTGTACCGCATCTCTACGTGGTCAAAGAGGATGGAGAGCCTGGCCTGAGGCTGTGGGCGCAAACGATGCTCGTGGAGGATCGAGCAGATCAGGGAGTCAGCTTGCAGCAGTGGATGGGCAGAATGCGTGAAAAGGTACAGTCGTAGGCCAGGAGCAAGCTAGGGAGCACGACGCTGACACTTTCGACAGGTCATGCAATAGATTCAGACTATAGCTTGCCCCTTCTCCATGGTGAACAGCAGGGAGGAGGAGTCTGGCCTCGTTTGCACTGGTGGAGGAGAGAGGGAGCATTCTGCTGTCCTCGACACCACGGGCGGCAAGCAGGGAGAGGATATCTATGGCTAGATAGCAAGGCTCGTCCCGCCCGACCGGCGTAGTCAGGGAGCTATTTCGAGCTTCCAGCACGATGCTTGCGGCAAATAAAAGGATGAAACACTGATCCGACAAGCTCGAACACAGCAGGCGGCGGGCAAGGGCTGTCGCACAATGGTGGCCCCGGGCCCGGCCAGGCCGCATGTGGTTAAGCGGGTGACCCATTCAAGCCGTTGGTTGCTTAGCCCAGCCAATGCGGGCGCCTATTCATCCAAACGTCCTTCAATTCGGCTGCAGTGTGGATGGGGATTCGACCCTTGAGTGTGAATGTGAAGCTGCTTCACTGCTCACAAGTGTGATTCCCACCCTTGTGATCACCTGCAAGCACCTTTCTCGTAGCTGCCGCGTTCTCGTTCTTCTTTCCAGCTCATCGTCCCTCTCTCATTGTTGAAGTCCTCCCTCATTTCAGCTGCGCCGTTGTACTCCGCAGCCCTGCGGCAACCTGACTACCCCACCATCTCAGATACCCAACAGCACCACCTCAGTTGACCGCCGCGTACGTTACCACTAAGAATAGCGCAGGGACGCAAAGCGAGACTCGCACGCGAGAAAAAAGACAATCAAGCGGACAGGTCAGCTCAACTTCAGCTTGTTTGTTATCGCACGACTCAAAGGGGGTGGTCGCTAACAAAGAGCCACAGGCTCTTTATTCTCAATCCGCTCTCAGCGAAGGCGCAGACCGACGACGATACTACGCGCCGCCAGTCTTGTCACACAGTCAACGTTATCTGCCTCTAGCTACCACATCGTATACTTGTCGCGCCTCAGATCGCAGCTACGAGCGCACCAACCCGGAAGCGCTACCCGCGATCTTTCTGCAATCACCCATCTCAATCTCTACAGCCTCCGAGTTGAGCGGAGCCGCTTCTCGTGATCAGAGCATCGGTTGGATATTGTCAGATCTTTGGAGTGCGAGCTAGAACATCTTCACTCATTACGCCATCGTCTCTGTAACGAGGCATACTCGTAAAGCAAGCAATATGGGACAACCTCAACAACAGACTGCTCCATCGGGTGGCTCGAGAAAGATCTCATTCAACGTCTCTGATCAATACGATATTCAAGATGTGATTGGCGAGGGTGCTTATGGTGTGGTCTGGTAAGTCATTGATTTATCAGCTTCTATGAGGGTCAACAAACCTGACTCCAGGGCAGCTCTGCTCTGCACAAGCCATCCAGCCAGAAAGTCGCAATCAAGAAGATCACTCCTTTCGATCATTCCATGTTCTGCCTCCGAACATTACGGGAAATGAAGTTGCTAAGATATTTCAATCACGAAAACATCATCTCCATCCTAGACATTCAGAAGCCACGAAATTACGAGACTTTCTCCGAGGTCTATCTTATTCAGGTATTTTCAACGGATATAGATTCCGTGCAATGGCTGATGTAGTTTTAGGAGCTTATGGAGACAGACATGCACCGCGTGATCAGAACTCAAGACCTCTCCGATGATCATTGCCAGTACTTCATCTACCAAACTCTCCGGGCCCTCAAAGCTATGCATTCTGCGAACGTCCTCCACCGAGATCTAAAACCCTCGAACCTGTTGCTCAACGCGAATTGTGACCTCAAGGTCTGCGACTTTGGTCTCGCCAGATCCGCTGCCTCGACAGATGACAACTCCGGTTTCATGACTGAATACGTGGCAACAAGATGGTATCGCGCTCCGGAGATCATGCTGACGTTCAAGGAGTACACAAAAGCCATTGACGTGTGGAGTGTCGGGTGTATTCTTGCGGAGATGTTGAGTGGCAAGCCCTTGTTCCCTGGCAAAGACTGTAAGATCGGCCCGTTCGTGTAACTCAGGTCAAGACTAATCCTTGCTTAGATCACCATCAGCTCACTCTCATTCTGGACGTGCTCGGCACACCGACCATGGAGGACTACTACGGCATCAAATCTCGACGCGCGCGAGAATACATCCGTTCTCTTCCATTCAAGAAGAAGATCCCCTTGAAGCACTTGTTCCCCAAGACTTCGGATTTGGCCTTGGATTTGCTAGAAAGGTTGCTCGCGTTCAATCCTGTAAAGCGTATCACTGTTGAAGAGGCATTGAAGCACCCATATCTCGAACCGTACCATGACCCTGATGACGAGCCGACAGCTGAGCCCATTCCCGAGGAGTTTTTCGACTTTGACCGCAACAAGGATCAATTGAGCAAGGAGGAATTGAAGGCCTTGATCTGGAACGAAATTATGCGGTGATTTTGCACTGGCAAAGCAGAATGCCCACTGGTCAATGAAGATGTCGCTTTCGACATGAAGGACTATCTTTCACAGCCCAGTACTGGAGATGGAGACCAGAGCATGGGCGTGATCTATCGGTGTTGCTGCTGTATGTCACCACTCAGTCATGTGCAACAGCCGAAGTGTTGAAGGCAAGGGCTAGACTATAGTCATTGTTGATGGAGCTTGCCGGAGATTGTGCTTGTAAATGTGCAGCCAGCAAGCATTGGGATGTCGAATGACTTGGACCACGTTGAAACAGACCGAGTTGACACGGAAAGATAGAAATGAATATGATCCGTCCAGCCTTGCTCCATTGCGTAATATAACACTCATACAACCGCTCACATTGGCACAGCAATCCAGCAACCACGCAGCACGCACGAATCCGTACGGCACGACTGCCTTTAGTGATGGATCCTATAAAGGGGGAAATCTGGGTAGGTACCTATGTGTAGTAAGTAACAGGATTACGGAGTACGGAGTACATGACTCCCTCCGACGTAGACCAATCCCTGGCCTCCAGCCCGGACCTCGGCTCCACCCCAACCAGTAGCCAAATCCAAAAATATGGTAATATATCATTGCTAGCCACAAAAGGCCCCGCAAATTCTGTCCCAAATCATCATGGATGTGAGGGCACTCTTAAAGTCAGTGTGGCCGAGTGGTTAAGGCGTGTGACTTGAATTTGCCGCGCTTGAGAGCCTCTCTGGGGAGCGTACTCTTCCCAGAGGGTTGCCTCCGGGCGACGGCCTTATGAGATCACATCTCTTCGGAGGCATAGGTTCGAACCCTATCGCTGACGTGATATTTTCTTTTTCTCTCTCCTTTTTTGGGGTCTTGGCTCATTGCTAAAGGGCAGATACTGTAGACTTTTATGCGACAAGTACGAGTACTTGTTTATACTATCTACCGTAGGTATAGTTATAAGAGATAAGTTGTACGAGGTATGTTTACGTGGTCGGTGGTTGCGCTGGAATGAGGGATATGTGTACTCCGTATGATTTACTCTGTACTTTATTGCTGTGTGAGCGAGCACATGGCCTTTCGCGTTGCGCATACGCAGTGTGTATGCGTGATGGGGAGAAAGCAGTGGTGATCTGATTCCTAGCTTTTTCAAGGATCAGGACTCACTCCGTAAAGCGAACAGCCCGTGGTGATTAGTATGATCAGTCAGTCGATCGCATCCAAGGGACGACGTAGCATTATGGTGTGCGCCCTGATGCGAGCCAGGTGGATAGGTCTGGTGACACGCTGTCTATCTAGGTACGTTCCACTGATGCATGTACAATCTGGACAACGATGATCCTACCGCAATCCATGATATTGGCTTTACTCTCTTCCAATTCAAGTAGTGAAACCTCCTACCCTCGTGCGATGTTCCCCTCCCGCTGCACACTATTGATCGTCAATCACGTGCAAAAACTTCTTTGCCTGCCGCTTCTCCCGTGCCGTGGCTGGGGGCAAGTCATAGTGGCTACTGCTCCGATAGTCCTGCAGATAATGGTACGTTAGATCCCTCAGATCTGCAGGCTCCATGTCCAGGTCCTTGAATGTCTTGGCTCCCTTCTCGATCGTCTGGTCAAGGGATTCTTGCTCCAGCTGGTCGGCCGTGATGATCGGCCACCAGATGACCTTGTTCAGGTAGTATAAGATGGGCTTGAGCAGGGCTTTGGGGACGTTGATGTGCCGGCGTTCCTTGAGGATTTCTTTGTCAACGAGTTCGGCAATCTCACGCATCGAGTAGTTTGTCGGGCCGTAGAGTTCGAATGTCTCGCCCGCGGTGGTGTCGTCGTAGCCGATGCGCTCGAGAGCCACGCCAATGTCAATCGCCTAAGTCACGTGTGAGTCAACGGTTCACTAAGGTTGGAAAGGTCATCATCCTACGTGAACTGGATTGAAGCGTTCTTGCATATTGTTGACGGTGAGGAGGTTCGTCACGCCCGCCAGACGGTGCAGCAGGGTGTCTTCGAAGCCGAAGACAGGCGCCGGTCTGACGATGGTGGTTTCGGGGAAGAGCTGTCTTGCGACTTTCTCTCCATATGCCTTGGTGACACGTCAGTTCAAGCGTCTTCCTTTGCCTCGTGGTGCGGCTACCTTTGTCCGGAAGAACTCCGAAGGCGAGTTCTCATCCGCGTTGTAGCTCGACATCTGGATAAACCGATCGACATCATATTTGGCCACCGCCTCAGCTATTCTCTCCGTGCCCTCCACGTTGACGTCCCAGAGACTGAAATTCTTGGTCGGATAGTTCTTCCCGATCAGGTTGTAGACAATGTCCGAATGCCGCACGCTCTCCTCGATGCTCTGAGTATTTCTCAAGTCAAATTCCGTGAACGACACTCTTCCCAGATCACCTGTGAGTTTGAGGTGTCTCTTCGCCATGTCATCTCGGTAGGGCACGACAACCTGACATCCTCGACGGGCAAGCCGTTGCACTATGTATCGACCAAGGAAGCCATATGCACCGAAGACGGTGACTGTGTGGCCGCCCAGGGAGGACCTGCCACCGCGGTGTTTTATAATGGGCTTGCCCGTGCGGGTGATGGCAATGTCTTGGACTGTGTAGCTCCGTCGTTGGAGGGGGGTGGGTTTGGGTTTGACTGAGCTGCGAGCTGTGCGGAGCGCGAGGGTGGCTTGACAGGTCTGCATTTTGAGATGCAGGGCCTGGGGGACAGCCTCAGCAGGCAGCGAGAGGTCGGGCTGAGGCCAGAATGAGCGGGAGTTGGGTGTGTTCGTACTTTGTGAGAGAGGTCAATTGCAGTCAACTTCGCGAAGCTCCACTCGAACTGGCATGGCGTCGCCGTCTTGAAGCTCCACGGCGCCTTGGCAAGTGTAGATGATCACGTGAAACTTACTACCGGCGTGCTGTTTTATCGACCACTCACTCTTTTCTCATCTTCGCGCACACACCTCTCTCTCTCTTACCATCTGACAGCGTCAAGTAGACGATGCTGTCTCCTACACTGTCTGCTGCATAAGCAGAATTTACCAGGATCGTCATTTCTGTGATTGCAAATGGATCCTCTGGTGTTTGGTTGCATGAAGAAAGATCGACATTAATGGTTGTGTTTGCTGAGCTCTCGTAGCTTGAGAGCCTCCGTCTCTTTATTTGTTGGCCGCCACCTCTCGAGCCGTGCCGTTTCAACTTCATTGCTCTGATATTGTGCAGTGCCCCCATTACTCGCGAGAGACTCCTAGGTTTCATGTTGCGGTCACAATAAGAAGGATTTCCTTGGGACTACCCTTGGGCACTGGTGAGGATTCCATCTGGGAAGACGCCAGAGGACAGTACTAGCGAGACGGCGCCTACGGTTGATGCTTAACTTCCTGTTGCTGGGCTCCGTGATGTTAGTGACGTATGCTGCGTCGGAAGTCTCTATACATCCACAACAGAAGAAACCGGCCCTGCAGTCCTTGCTCTTGTACACAAAGTGGCTCTTACCAGGTATGCTCCGAGGCTCCTCATTTGGAACTCCTGCTCCGGGCATCGAACATGTTCTTCAAACGAGGCCTCCGAAAAAGACGTCTGCTCGCGCAGGAGCCTTGTAACTGTGCCCAACGAAGCTGGCACGGTCTGCCCGGCGCACTTTTGCAACGCCATCCCTTACACATATGATCGCTTTAGCTTTTCAGATGCCCAATCCATGGCTGTACGCTTTTGTTGAGGTTGTTGTTCTCAGACTCATGCTATGCATGTGGACATTAGTAGTTGCGTCGCGTCACTCTAAGCTTCACACAATCGCTTTCAGTTGACGTTCCGACAGGACAGCCTCCAAATCCGCCATTTGCTTGGCAGGCAGCACAGTGGCGCAGTGTCGGCAAAGAACATATCTATCCTTGGTGTCCAAGAGTTTTTGGATCGCAACGGGGACTTGCTCGTATGGCTGTTTGGTGGGTTTTTCGAGACCCGCCTGCGAGAGGCAGACCTCGACGACAGCTGAGTCACAAGCAAGAGCTTCGAGCAGCTTGTGGATGAGTTGAGCACGCGAGCTATGGATGTCGCTATTGCCCTCATAGTTCTCGTGGTCGGCGAAGACGATCTTGCCGAGGTTCCGACATTTGAGGTAGCGCAGGCCTATTGAGAATTTCTCCAGTTCTGGCACTGGTAGATCGTCGTATTCGAAGTCATAAGGATCATCGACCACATTGGAGACGAGATCGACGTGCATTTCGATATCCTCTGCGAGTGGCGCACGCTCGTTGAATGCCCCCGCCAGGACGTTCCAGTCGAAGGAGCGGATGTGGAACTTCTTCATCGTGTCGCAGGCCTTGTGCCGGTCGGCCAGCTCGATCCACACCTCCGGCCAGATCCAGCTTGAATCTTCATTCCAAACACGCATGCGACGCATCCGCCCTGAGGCGTCCTGCAGGATGATGTCCTGGTCGTCCACGCGTTGCAATCTGTGCAGCGGGTCCATACCCATTAACACTTCGGCCAAGAGGTCGGTCGTCTCATCGTCCATGTGGCCATCGTACGTCTCGATTGTCAACTCATCCAGAAGCAAACCCCTGAAGCCGGTACGCAGAATGGTGACAAGGTCCGTCACATCGGCGCTCAGATCCAGAGCTCGGAGACGAGGTACGAACTGTGCGGCAGGCATTTCCAAGCCCCGGAAGCCCACAGGGAAAGGCAAATTTCGAAGGGTCAGAGATTGCAATCGAGCACATTGCTTGAAGACGGTCTCGAGGAGGTCTAGATCCGCACCGGAGCACTTCTCCAGGTATACATGTGTTAGCGATTGCGCAAGCGACCGGCTCCAATCCATCGCGCTGATTTCGTACAACCGCAGACGCCTCAGTTGTGGTGCAAGGAGTGAGAGCTGGAAAGCCTGAGGTCGGCTATAAGAACTTTGGATCTCGAGATCCTCGAGGACGGGGAAGCTCAGCCCTGCGGCAAGTAGAGGGGATAAATCATAGGGTTGGTTACGGTTGACATTGATGAAGAGGCGCTGCAGGCGGTCCCGACAGCCCGCCAAGCTGGTTGAAGCCATGACGCGTTCGGGAGAAGTGAGCATTGGGTCCTGGAATCGATATTGCCAGAGCAAGTTCACGTCAAGGGCTATTGGCCCGCTCCTTTCCAGGAGGAGTTGCAGACGATGGCCATCCTCCGGTGTCATAATAGACATTCGATTCCACATATGGCGCTGCCTCAGCGCAGCCTTGCGCCATTGCGAGCAGACTTGCGATAGACGGAATTTCTGGTCGACGTCGTGCGTGTCGACGTGCATGAATATCTGCCCGAGAATTTCGGCTGGGAGATGCATCCTGATGATGCGTTGTCCTTCTGAGAAAACCCCACGTTATGCACGAGCCAATATTATGGACTCCTTCCTCTGCAAAACACGCGGTATGGCTGTGAATATGGTAGTGCTTGCAACGCGGCCGTCCTGAAGCCTCTCCGGAATATTGAGCTGGCTGATGCTGATGATGTACAATTGGGGCCAGTATCAGATCTCCCTTCTGCATTAGCATGTCCCGTACAGAGTACGCACTCCGGAAAATCCTGAAAGTGTCAGCACCCATCTGATACTCAGAGTGTCATACTGTTTCATTGGTCGATGAAGGTCCAAGCTGATATCCGAAGATACTACGTATGCGCGGCTAGTGCCAAAATCGACCAAAGTACTCCGTACAGCGGTGATAACTCCAGAAGTCATCTCAACGGATTCGCCTGTTCCACCTGGCTAGATATGGACTGGTGTGTGTCCGGGAACACCTCGACCTGGTACGGAATGGGAAAGGTTCTGAGGTAAGAGGTAAGTGCGACCCCTACTTTGTTCTCTGCTATCCGGCAGTAGCTACGCCAAGAAGCTTGCGAGGTACTGTATTTGAGTCAGCCTACACAGCATATGTACTCCGTACCTCGTTCTCGTTCTCGTTCCCGTTCTCTATTCCGGCGGGCCCACCAGATCGGTTTGGTATGATCCACTTGCTCCGACAGTGGCTTGACAGTTTAATGTTGCAGTATGTAAGTCAAGCACCAAATTGCTTCCCACCAAGTTCAGTTCAGCAGTGTGTGCACAAGAACCGAGCTTTCGTGGAGCGGTCGGATATGGAATCTTATATAAGCCCGATGTCACTCGAACCCTCCAATGAAGAGGAAGTCGGCGGGTAGCCGTAGAATCAACTCTTATCCCTCGATCTTCTTGCACGCCTAGCAGTTGCCCAGCTGCTATCGCCAACTCTGTGCATGTAGGACGCATTGACCGATACCTATACCTGGTTCACAGAATGCCATCAACCATGCGTGCTCGGCTCCTTCAAACAACGCGGATGTTCCTTGAAAGTTACGATACCTGGACCGTCGACGCTCTCCTATCCGTGCGGAGTCCAACGTGCATCCACCATACCCTTCCAACTGACGAAGAGCGCTTTCCGTCCCGCAACAATACCGAATATGGAGCTTTCGTTCGGTCTCTCCTGCCCTTGTTTCGGAATTTTCGCTTGAGGATCGCCGAGGGAGATGATGTTGCGATCGACGTGGAGAAGCGGAGGGTTGTCCTTCATGCGAAGAGTCGCGCGGATACTGATGTGGGAGAGTATAAGAACGAGTATGTCTTCATGCTTACCATGACCGAGGACGGGATGTTGGTTGAGAAAGTCGTCGAGTTCCTCGACAGTGGGTACACAGAGAAGTTCTTTGGGAAGCTGCTGGCCAGCGACAAGGACTAGAGAGATGTCCATGGATTCGACCTGGGGTGCCGTATGGGTTGGCAATGGCGTCTCCCGTCCAAATCACGGCTCACAATCCTGCCGGCAGCCACCGCGCCAAATGCCACCCTTTACACATTCATAATTTGCACTCGCTGAAACTCTGCCAACAATCCTTGACAAAGCCATCCGCTTCTTGGCCATGAGTGTGTTGAATACAAATGGTTTCACAGTTAATGGGCGCATTGGAGGATAGGATCTGTTGCCACCCGTAGATACTCGGAAAAAACCACTCGCAAGAGAAAGGTTTCGCTTATCTTCGACCCGTCAAAACACACAAGTTCGAAGTGGTTGATGGTTCGAAGGCAGAGTTTTTGCCCCTTGAAAGCTATTTTTTAGCTGGGCGAAAGCCGATATCGAGGAGTTTTGGTCTTTTTCGGGCTTTTGAGGCTAGTGGCGTATGTGAGGCAGAAGGCAAAGAAGGGCATTAGCGTCTAGTGGGACAGTTCTCCCTGTAGTATATCATCTGCTCTGTACGATGAGAATACAGAGTACTCTAGGTATGCAACTATGGAGGTCAGCTCGAGTGCAGCGGTATTACAAGCCGTAGAAGTTGTCGCGGAGCATCAGTCAGGACTGAATACAGGATTTCTTAGGGGAGAAAAGCTCTAGAGACGCAATGATGCGAGAGTCAAAAAGTCGGCGTCCTCGTAACATCGTCTGCATCCAGCCACAAGGTGGTAATAGTGAATGCTAGGACAAGAAAGTCGTGACTGAGAGGAACACGACTTTCAGGCATTTCAAGCATTTCCCTATTACGGCGCAGCATTTATCGCCTCGGCGTCAGGAACAGTTCAGGTCGTCGCCGCTTTTGCCGGTGAACTTGACGCGCCGCTCAGTTGCGCCTGCTCGATATTGGATGGGAGTATTGACAGTGACCAGTCTCGCACTCTCAACCTCCCTCCAGCATTCTTCTCGCCTCCTTGACCTAGCCTTCATACGGGCCTGCTATCTCTGCTCCTGTCACCGTTGCGCAAATTCTCATCATGTCCAAGCACGATCCGGAGGCCATCTCCAACTTCCTCGCAGACCAACGGGATGAAGCACCGGACGCCTTGCAACACATCTTCATAACCTTTGAAGATCTTTGGGACCGCAAGCTATGGCATCAGTTGACAGACAATCTTCTGGAGTACTTCAAAGACCCAGCAAGCGAAAAGCAAAGACTGCCCATCTACAACACCTTCATCATCAGTTTCGCGGACAAGATCAACCAGCTCAAACTTGTCAAGTTAGCACTAGGTGCTTCAGCGCAAATCCAAGGTACATCCGACAGGCTAACATGAGATGACTGGCTTTCTGACTTGTCTATTAGATGACACCGAACGAAGTCGATTCCTAAAGACGCTCGCGGCCAGAGTCGACAAACCAGATTCAGAAGAAGCCCACGTCTACGCCATCACCGAACTAGCCAGCGTCTATCTGAGATTAGCGGAGAGAACAAAAGCGAGAGAACAGCTGGATAACGCACAGAAGACCCTGGACCAGTTCGACTTTGTGGAGAACGTGGTTCATGCAGCCTTTTATCGGGTCAACGCCGACTACTTCCAAGCCGAGAACGACTACACCTCGTACTACCGAAACTCCCTCCTGTACCTTGCTTGCATAGACGAGAGCAAGGACCTCACGGAAAAGGAACGGCAGAAAAGAGCATACAACCTGGCAATTGCGGCGCTGGTGTCAGATCAGATCTACAATTTCGGAGAGCTGCTGCTACACCCAATCCTGAGTGCTCTTTCCAATAATTATGCATGGCTAAGAGAATTGCTCTTTGCTTTCAACAGAGGCGACCTGGCTACGTTCGATCGCATGTCCAATAATCTCAACAATGACGAGACCCTTGAGTCACACCGCGAATTCTTGTGGCAGAAGATCAATCTGGCGGCACTGACGGAGCTGGTGTTTAAGAGACCACCGCATGACCGTGCAATGACGTTCAAGACCATCAGCCAGGAGACAAAAGTGAAGCCAGACGAGATCGAACACCTGATCATGAAGGCTTTGAGCTTGGGCTTGGTACGAGGCAAGATCGACCAGGTTGCCGAGGTAGCGCGAATCAACTGGGTGCAGCCTAAAGTGTTGGAGCGCAGTCAAATCGAGGGTATGCTCGACCGACTGAAGGAATGGGGCGGGAATGTCAACGATCTCGGCCACTGGATAGAAGGCGTTGGCAAGGATGTCTGGGCCTCGTAGTGGCGGTCAAAGACATGTTGATGCATCGTCAAACAGCATAGCTCTGGCGTTGGAGGCGGCGGACAACAGCCCAGACCTGGTAAAGCGTCTGCAACGGCGAAAAGAAAGACTTTGTAGCATTAAAGACCGGATGCGCAATCGAGTATTCCGTAACGCAAGCAAAATGGCCGAAGGAGCATTGCGAGTGAGTGTTGCACTGCGGCTCGTCAGCTTCACCATAGAAACTCCAACTCGGATTCAGTGCTAGCGAAATTTCGTGGATGTCCCCCTCTTGAGCTCTTTCCTCCACGCTCCACAACCTCGCAGGACAGTCACATACCATTCTTACACGTCTCGGCACAAGCTTGCATCGCCTCCGAATACGATCAGCACGCCATAAGCAAGCAGGATTAGACCTCGATGAGCCGGCGACGAAGATGAACTCCACAGCCACGACCTTCATCCGCGCATGTCGCGCAGGACCAGCGACGTCTCAGAGATTACTCCATGCACGAACAAAGACCCCTGTTGCAGGTACAGCTACGGGTACAACTTCATCTTCATCACGCGTTGGTCCCACCTCGAGCACGAGCACGAGATCATTAGCTTACCGCCACGGAACCCGGTTCGCGACGACGACGACGAGAGCATTCTCATCACAGCGCCTCCTCAAGCAGGCTGTTAGCCATAACCACCACAACCATGACCACTCCTCTGCAGGTCTAGACGCTACCATCCTCGCCGGCCGCGCATCCCCAACCAGTACACAAGACGGGGGATCCTTCTCCACACCATCACCTTCACATGCTTCAACACTGGTCGCCGAGACATCCCCTACTGCAGCAGCAGCAGCAGCAGCGGGCAAATGCTCCTCCTCCTCATATGATGCCGTCCTCCTCCCCTCGGACCTACCCCCCTCGGACCTCCTCTTCCTAAGCACCTCCCCCACGCAAATCGCGACAGTCACCCGCATCGGCACGATGCAAAAGACCGTCCGCGCGACCCGCAACATCTTGACCTTCCACGCCCCCTACCAAAAGTACTACACCCGGCCCACGCACGTCCTTGTGCACGACCCCCACAACCTCCTCCACGAGGGCGACGTCATTCGGTACGGCGGATTTCCTCCCTCGTGGCGCGCCCAGCGCGATGCGAGAGGCCAGATCGTGGTGAAACGACACAGGCCGCGCGATCGGAATGGCGTGGTCAAAGAGCTGGGCGTGCGGCATGTCGTGCGTGAGGTGGTCACGCCGTTTGGGGTGCCCGTGTCCCAAAGGACGGAGAGGGTCGTGGGCGGCGTGCCGGGCAAGTGGAAGGGCACGGAGGGTGAGGTCAAGAAGGTTGCGGTCAGGCAGAAGGGGCGGAAGGATGGGAGTAAGAAGGCGAGAAAGGGCGTCGCGGTGAATATGAAGAAGGCTGCTGCTTCTATCCCTCCACAGCCGACAGGTAACGTGTCGGTATGAGGAAGGAAAGGAGAGGTGGGTTGGCCGAAACCGAGAACGAAAGAGTGTCGAAGAGAAACAAGAATGATGAGCTGCGGTTGTGGGACATACTGAGATAGATGGTGGAAGACGGGGAATGGTACAATCTGGACGTCTATACACTCCATCGCGGGATGCAGAAGATGGATCATCAATTGGCCAGGAACGATCGATAGAAGCGCACCGATAGATGAACTCAACCTTGTATTACCAAAGTACTTACATATTGAGATAGACGTGTTTGTGCCATAGCTCATCTTTTCGACCCGCCACCAAACTGTTGAGCAGGCCTTGGTTGAGTCTCACGACTGAAGATGGGGAGGTACATCTGAGCCTTCGTCGGCTACAGGCTGATTGCTCAATTCTGCTCTATGATGTTGAGAGGCAAAAGGGATTACCACACATTACGGCTCTTGCAAGCATGAATGAATATCCATCAAAAATAAAACTACCCAGTCTATGCCCCGGCGCCTCGCCTCGTCTAGCCGTGCAATGCTTCTACATATGATCTAATGCTACCCTTTGACCGCCATTGTTTCACGTCTTGGTCCAGCCGAGACACTCACATAGTTGCCGACTTTTCCTTTTCGAGTCTCTCCGGTGCGACGCCATCTTTTTCTCTGGAAGCCATAGCCCCGTCAATTGCTCCGTCAGGGTTGCCGGATGCTGGAGATCGAGAAACTTGCTTCTTGTCTGACTGCTCGCCATCTGCGGGCGAAGATGTTGGCTGCTGCGAAGGAGCCTTGACCAAGGACGCCCGTCTTAGCTTCAACTTCTTCTCTCCTTGGGCTGATATTCTCGTCAACTCGCCGACGAACGATTGTCCCCAAAATGCACTGCAAAAATTCATGTCAATCGTTGAGGACTTCTCTGTGGAGAAATTGTATATCTTACCTCGTATACTTGGTCACGTATTTATGCAGCTTAGCATAATTGATGGCCCGATGGTCTGCACTCATGGTGACGGCTTCTTGGATTGCACCAGCGAGCTCCTCGGTGTTCCAAGGGTTGACCAATATGCTTCCGTTCAAGCTTTGGGCAGCACCAGCAAACTCGGACAGAATGAGACTGCCCTTTCGTTTCTCCTGAGAAGCGATGTACTCGAATGAGACTAGGTTCATGCCGTCACGGGTGGAGGAGACCAGACAGACATCGGAGACAGCATATAAAGCAAGAAGCTCGTCGAAGTTGACTGATTTGTGCATGAAGTGGATCGGCATAAACTCGACGGTGCCTGCAAATTCATTAGCGAAACTGTGACGCTGCAGAAGCACAAATGCTTACCGAATTTTCCGTTGATTCTTCCGACAAGCTCGTTGACGACAGCACGCAGGTTCTGGTACTCCTCGACATCCTGTCTGCTCGGTACGGCCACTTGGACCAAAACGACTTTGCCAATCCACTCCGGGTGGTCGGTCAGGAAGACTTCGAGAGCGTGCAGCTTCTGGGGAACGCCCTTGATGTAATCCAGACGATCCACACCGACAATCAGTTTGACACCCTTGAACTTTTCTTCCAAAACCTGAATCCGCTGCTGGACTTTCTCCTTCTTCAGACCCTCGGTGAACTTGTCGGGGTCGATGCCAATAGGAAAAGCACCAACCGTGACAATCTTGCCTTCAAATTCAACTCCGTTGGGCGTGGTGGTCAGATTTAGTATTCGCGAACAACTGCTGAGGAAGTGTCGCGCATAGTCGTAAGTATGGAAGCCAATGAGATCACAGTGTAGGACGCCTAGGAGGATCTCGTTCCGGACAGGTAGAATCCGGTAGATCTCGCTTGAAGGGAATGGTGTATGCAAGAAGAAGCCAATCTTGACATTGGACTTGGTGTTGCCAATCTCTTCGCGGAGCATCTGTGGTAAAAGCATCAGGTGGTAATCATGAACCCAGACAAGGTCGCCGTCCTCGACATCCTTGGCAATGGCCCGAGCGAATAGCCTGTTGACTTCAACGTAAGCATTCCAGGCCGATTCGTCGAACGTGATCTCGCCGGGGTGATAGTGGAAGAGCGGCCACATAATGGAATCTAGATTTTTGTCAGCCGATTCTAAAACAAACATGGTTGAAGGTAGCTGACTAACTTGAAAAGCCATTGTAGTGGCGGTCGGCCAGTTCGTCGTCGACAAACACTGGGATGGCATTGAACTCGTCCTTCAGGCGCTTGACTACATCATCCGACTCGTTGTCGGGGATCTCCAATCCTGGCCAGCCATACCACTGGAACGTGGTGCTCTTGGCGAGACCACTGAGGCCAGTGACCAGGCCGCCCGAGGACATGGAGTAGTCATATTTCCCTTCTGGTGAGCGTTTGATGGTGATAGGAAGTCGATTTGAGATAAGCAAGAGTCTTGATTCCGTCTTGGGAGGGTTGTCGGTGGCGGAAGGCATGTTGTACTGCGTGGTATGAAGGGATTTCGCCAAAGGCACTCTGAATGGTGTCGAGGTCTGCCTCAGACAAGGTGAGGAGTTTGTGAGATCGAAAGGATGCTACCGTTACACAAATGGAGGATTGTGACAGAGAGCGCGCAAGGTTTGTGGGGCGTCGAGTAACAGCTGGAGAGATGTGAGCAGCCCTATCAGCCTCGCAGTGAAACTTTCGATCGACGGGTGCGGTGAGGTTGAACAGATGTAGCCCGGTCGAAGGTAGTCAATTGGATGTGTAAAAATGATGTAAAGGTTTGTCGACGGTTCGGATTGTTGGTAGTGCACTTAACGAGACTCTCGCCGGTGGCAGTTGCTGTCTAGCGTGAAATCCACCTCAATGCTTCTCAAAGGAGTGGCAAAGCAGGTTCACATATGCAGGTGCAGGTTGTCTCGGTGCTTGCTCGAGTAGCCAGAGTGATGCGGATAGTTGTCGCGCCGATTCAGTGGTCAGCAGCGTAGGGTATCAGTGAAACTCGATTTCAGGTTGAAAAGCTCAATCACAGAGGCCAGTGCTTGTCGACCGACTGCTTTGCCAGCGATGAATACGTGGTCGTTGGGTTGCAATCGGATTGGGTGGCACGGCGCCAAGTTACGCTGCGACAAAAGACAGGCAGAGGGGAGGAGCAGTTCCGGCTTGATGCGGGTGAATCTTCGGGAAGCGGCCAAAACGAGGACAAGGTTCAAAGCAGGCAATACCGAGTGTTCAGCTGGTTGGATGCGGCGTGTCTTAAAAAGTTGTTGGCCGGCCGTCATCGTGCGTCAGAAGCCGGACCCAAGTTCGGAAGAACGATCCGACATATGCCTGCCTCGCACTTTTAGAGGCTGCCATTTACGATTAGGGAGTGAAGAGCCATACCTGCTATTGATGATTGGTGCCGGAACGATTCTTATTGCATCTTCGGATTAGTACGGAATGATTGCAGCAGGCTCAACGGGACTTGTCTTCAATCGCGTGCACCCAGTACTCCTAGTTGATACGTAGGAGTAATGATTGCCGCACATTCAACAGGGCTTCCCTCCATTCGCGTGTGCCTAGGACCACAGTCCTCCGTACTAATAGATGATTGAGGAAAGGATGATTTGCTTGTTGGCTCAGTCGCTCGTTCCTAGTCAACATGCCCGTCTCTCATACTGTCATATAGAGCGTCACATCCACGCTGCCTCGGATAAACCGACAATTGCCAACTGTTTGCCATGAGGACCGCGGTCTTCTGTTCCCATTTTGCGGTCTATACAATCGCTTTAGAGTCCGTCCGCCCATCGACCTCGCCCAAAATGACAATTGGTTGGCAACCGGCTGAAATGATTTCAGACCATCCAGACCATCCAGACCATCAAAAATGCTCACAGCATGAGTTCGTCCTCGCTGTACGCCTCACACAAATATCCATCTTGTCACGGACACTTGTTCCAGCACCGCCCAAGGGCCCATTCTTCTTCCATCACAAAGTATATATAAAACGTAGCTTAAGTGAGTGAGTTCGTCGTCATAATGCCATGATCATTCATCAGTCGTTTATTCGCTTCGCTTCAAATCAAATGCTATGCAGGTGCGTGGTATTCGTGAGACACTTCAGATAACTCGTTAGCTCTGCGACGGCAACGTTCTCATTATAAGCCATAATGCGTCTCGTGTTTCAGTTGGCTCGGATCACAAGTTTCGAAAGAAACTTGTTGGAGAGCGAGTCAAAGTCTTTGCGGTCAAACCGCGAATTAGGTCGACCTCGCAAATAGTTCTCTGCCGCAACTGTCAGTCACGCTCATAATCGCCGAAATGGACGAAAACTCACCATATCTCGTAACATGTTCCCGGACTTCGGCCATAGTACTGCAGACGTCCATGTCGGATGCAAGCAGGGTATGGTGCTTGGAAGTATCCCATTCCAGGAACGACGGGAGCTTCTGAGAGATGGCCTGGAAGAGGCCAACAACAACACCAACCGGGGTAGTCTCCATGTCGTTGCAGAACTTTTCCACTGCAGCGGCATCGGGCACGCGATAGTGGCAGTCGAACTGCATGCACTCCCACACGGCCAACAGCACCGATGCCAGGATGAAGATGGTGGGCCAGTTCTTGAGCTTGTCACCGCTGTACACGCTCGAATACAAACTCGACAGCTCTTCAAGGACGTCCTTGTGCAGCTCACGCCACATGTCCGCCATGGCGCACTTGATCTGGAAGTTGATCATCACAGGAGCCATAGTCTTGCCAAAGAACTTCGAAGTCTGCTCTTCGATCTTGCCCACGAACAACTCCTCACTTGGCACACCCTCCACCATCGTAATGTGGAGCGTCAAGTTGTAGGCCAACATCAACTTCAACGCCTTTTTGATGATCTTCGAGCCGGTCTTGAAGTAAAAGCGGTAGGCAGTTTTGAGCATCTGCGACAGGAAAGGCGTGCCCTCGAAGTAGTCGTCCACAAACTTGTCAAACGTGCCGGTGCCGTCAATGTGTCGATCCAGATAATCACTAAGCATAGTCGTCGAGATGCCTTCCATGCCCGCTGACAGTTTGGCTGTGCCAACTTCGAAGCCGTCTGGAGAGCAGGAGTTGGCTTCGATCCAGTCCATCTTCAAACACGTCTCGTCCCTGACGTAGACCTCTCGAGCAGTGACAGGCAGCATGTGGCCATAGCCGTGGGTGATGAACAGCGTCTTTTCCGTATCAGAGAAACCTTTGATGTTACCGACAGAGAACCCCAACGATATGTGTCGCTCGTAGTCGAACTTCCAGTCCTTCAAGAAGTATCCAATCTCCTTGATGTCGATGCGAGTGCACGGAACTTGCCACAGGCGTGCATGCGATGGTTGACATCCGGCACACGGTTCGCCCTTGTCGCATGTCTTCTTTAAGAACTTGCACCGCAAGCAGGCTCTTAGTTTCCGGATCTCGCTGGCCTGTTTTCGCTGTTCGGGTCGAAGGGGCCCCTTCCTGCGTCCCACACGTTTCTCTCCTTCAACTTTGCCGCCTGGCAACGACTTCTTCATCACCTTGTCGGTGGATTTGACGCCAATGGGACTCTTTTTGGAACCCTTGCGACCGGGCGAGCCAGCTGATCCTTGCGAGCCGGGCGAACGCACGGAAGGTGCGGAGGACTTGGCGGGAGGAATAGGGATAGGACGGACAAGGGTGGAGGGATTGACACCCATGGTTGGCGCGGAACCTTGATCTATTGACAAGCGGTGTGCATGACCCATGTATTCGTAGTCGCTATCTGACAGGGTGGTCGGCGAATACACGGCTTGCGAGGCGCCGACATCAAGGCTGGACATGAACGTGCTGTGACCTTGAGGTTCGAGGTCCGAATATGAGGACTCGGAGAGGGTCCTGTTGTGGACGGTCTGGTTTGGATCAACAAAATAATGGCGCTCGTACGATTCAAAGGATGTCCGGGGCTCGACCATGTGCCATCCGTGTTCGTCACAGGAGCTCGGTTGTGAAAGCACTTCCAGGTGGGATCCCGTGGGCGAGCTGGTCAATTGTTGGTATGGGGAAACAGCAAGCCCGACGTCCGTCGTCGTAAAGGTCATCAGCTCACTTTGCAGGTCGCCCCAATTTTGAGGCATGCCATCGATACCGGAGTCGAGAGGGAGATATGTAGTTTCCAGCGGCAGACCGGACGCCAGTGGGGCTTGCGAGACCGGCATGATGGCCATTTGGGAGGACTGCATGGATAGGCCGTGGAATTGAGGGCCAAAAGGGAGTTCGTATGCTTGTTGTGGTGTGGTGAAGTCAACGTTGGGGTGCTGCTGGTGCTGATATGCATGTTGGTGTTGAGCATGTTGGTGGTGGACATGCTGTTGGTGTTGTTGCTGCTGTTGTTGGAACCTCCAAGTATCCATCATTGGGTGTTCTGCCATTGTTGTCTGTCGCAGACCATGGCTGTTGGTCTGAATTGGCGAGATGTTCCTCCTAGGGTCTGGCCGTGTAGCAGCTACCTGGTCCATCTGCATAGGCCATGCGTGACTTCGGAAGTAGGAGAGGCTTCTTGAATCGAGATCGAAGGTGAGATCCTCGCCAGGCATGGCGACGTTGCCCGCCATTCTGAAGGATGTGTCAGACTCGGACCGTCAGATTCGTGGGCCAGATAGCCGGTTCGGAGCACGAGCGGCTCGAGGACAACCTGCCTGGCTCTCTCCCAGGTCTCGTGAAGCAAGAAGGAGGATAGCTGTCGAGAGACAGATGCAGAGGAAAGAGAAACAGAGGACAAGAGTTACAGAGAGTGACCGCTCAGGACGAGCTCGACCAAGAGGGCGGGCCCCAGGTGCGAGAGCAAAGAGAGGGTGAGAAGAGGCGGTGAGCCGTGCATGCGGATCGTCGAATTAGGCGGGGACAAGAGAGTGGGAGGCAAGTCGTGTGGGAGTGGCCGGTGGGTTTGTGCGATGCCACGGCGGGAACCTCGACGCTGAGTGGTCAAAACCAAAGGTCCTGCAGACCTGAAGGAGGCCAAACGAGACCAAACGAGGTTTGGTGACGGTGGTCGGCAAAAAGACGTTTTCATCTGGGAAGGTGGCCGGGCTCGGGTCTGGGCTGTGCGAGCACGAGAGGTACCGTCCCGTACTCGCACCTGGAGCGAAGGTCAGGTGTTATTCGCCCTGGGTCTCCGTACTCCGGTATTCTTTGTCCTTGCGGGCACCTGGCCGCGACCGCAGGTCAGGTATGAATCCGTGATTTTCTCGCGGTTCGAGGGACTTGTCCTTGAGGCTTCACTTTGAACAGTAACGCACCGTCAAGAAGGGTGAAGGCAGCGGAAGGCGTGTTCAAAGGCCTACTAATTGAAGTGGAAAAGATCAGTCTTTTGAAAGAGCTGGGAGTAACTGCAGCATCATATCAGTAGAATGAATCTGTGACTTGCAGGTCGGGCTCTTTGGTGACTGCGCTCTCCGCGCCTCCTCCCAGCCAGCACAACCACACACACGGATGGCAACCATTCAACCCGATTACCAAGTATGTCTGGTCTTGCCCGAAGCTACGGAGTACTTGTACTGCTACTCTACTGAAGCTCCAACGCTTTCCTTTTCAAATCTCCGACTCTACCTCCTCTCATGTCAGTCAGAGCCATCACTCGTGGCAGAGAGGTGGTCGTCATTCGCAGGCTACCTCCTGTCCAAACGCACCAAAGCAAACAGAGAAGACTTAATGCGGAGTGATTCAGATTTTGATCTACTAGTGGTGAAGGCCAGCGCCTCAGCCCGTCTAGCTACTGGGGATACGCAGGAGAGCTGCCCCTGTAGTGTGTGTTTCGAGGTCAAGGGGACAGATCTGCCTTCACTTGAATTTTTCTGCGGACGTGAATGGACGGAACATGTCAGACAGCACACACAGCTGTCCAGACCTCTGGCTGTTTGCAGACTTCGCCACGAAATATATAAGCTCAACGCTAATGCAAGTAATGCAACAACCTTGGAATGGCGCTGACCACTACCCCCATCCAGGCAAGTCCTATCCTCGTGTCGCGCATTTCGTGCGCAAAAACCCCGGCCACAAACAATGAGATCTCAGCGTGGTGCTGCGCTTTCACAAGCGCCAATCGGTCATATGTGCGACTTTGTGCCCTGTTACAACAGCCTCATCATCAACCCTGCTCTACTAAATAGTCACAGTATAGCATTCTTTGCAGAACGCTCAGTGCTGCTATCTTGCGTGGCGAGCTGAACAGCATGAACGAGGTCGTCCACCGCTACATCGCATGTACCGGTGTACGTACTCGGAAGAGCGGTGTACGCGTCAAACACCGGCGTCCCTCGTCATGGGCTCTTGCTGCCATTGACGCGCCTGCAGTCCCAATTCGAGAATCAGGGCAAGGGCAACTCCCACCAGAAAATGTCAGTCGAGCGGGCCGACGTTTCAAATTGTCGTAGAGGCGGAAAACATCGGTGCCTCGCATCTTGCGGCTCGGCAACCGTGACTGTGGACTCAGGAGAGCCCCGGGGAAGATTTGGTCCAACGAATGGCTGATCTGTACTGGGCACTGGCAGCGTCTGCGAACCGTTTGTGTGCCCGTCACTTCAGTTCACAAGCTGCAAATTCCGAATCTGAAGTCTTGAGTCATTTGTCGCCTTGCACGTCCCTGTGCCGGCGCAAGAGTAAAGCAGGATATCGGTTGGCGCAATTTGCGGGGTCAAAGGCAGGGTTTTGCCGATGGGCGCTCCCCAGGAAGTACTGTACGTACTGTATTGGTGGTGTTGGCCACCCGTTAATCAATGGATGAGGGGTCTTGGCCCTCGTGGTCTCGGCGGATAAAAGGGCCGCAGAGCCCTCAGGATGCCACAGGAAAATTCCGGGGGATCTTAAACACCGGAAACGAGGTGCAGTTGCAGTCGCGTACTGTGTACCTACGCCTGCTCGCGACTCTCCCTCTACCTAGGTACTAGTCACCAGCAAAAATGCGTTCAATGTCAAGCCTTTTGAGTGGCGCCGCGCTACATGACTAACAGACACGAGACATTGAATGACAATGGAATCACCCATACAGAAGTAGTGTTCTCATCCGTGCAAACGTGGCATGCAAAAAGAGCCCTGCGACATGCTCCACATTGTGGTGGCAGACCAGGAATCCAAGAACAATAGTAACGCGCTTCATGCTGGACCACCATCTTTGTCGAAGGCACATACCGAACTACATTCCTTGTCTCACTCTCAGCGACAATTGCCCTGCACAACGGAGAAATTCCGATTTCAATGTCCATCACGATGGCAGATTCGGACAGGACGGAATATCAAATACCATTCTACTATCGCTGTGAACCGCCATTACCCGACGACCTTGAGACAGAGACGTCCATCGTGCAAGACAAGACCGTCAAAGAGTGCCTGCCCCTCCTGAATGAAGTGGATGATGCAAGCCGAAGCCCCTTTGATTTCAATGAGTTCGGGCTGCCTAACTTGGAAAAAGAGAAGCATATCGGGTTTCTCCATGATAACCTGGGTGAATTTCCGGCACCCTTCGTCGGCCTCGACGCCAGTCGTCCTTGGATGGTCTATTGGGCATTATTAGGGCTCTACCTGCTCGGCGAGGATATCTCGGTGTTCAGATCAAGGTAACGACTCTCCATTCTTGTTTCCGCAGGCTCGACATGGCGAGCACGACCTGGTCGCTTCAAATAGGCTGACCGTGCCTACAGGGTTGTGAAGACATTCTATTCAATGCAACATCCCGACGGTGGCATAGGAGGCGGCTTTGGACAATATGCACATCTGGCAGGGACCTATGCCGCACTGCTCAGTCTTGCTTTGGTCGGTGGCGAAGAAGCATACGGACTTGTTGATCGTCAAAAGATGTGGCACTGGCTCGGTCGTCTCAAACAGGCAGATGGGGGTTTCAAGGTATCCGAGGGCGCTGAAGAAGACACTCGAGGAGCACTTTGTGCCTTGCTCGCGATCTCCTTGCTCAATCTCCCTCTATCGCTCCCACGGGATTCTCCAGCCCGCGCTGCGGGACTGGAGACGTTCAGAGATGGACTCGGCGAGTATCTCTCACGATGCCAGACATACGAAGGTGGAATTGCAGCATCACCAGGAGGCGAGGCGCACGGTTCTTATGCTTTCTGTGCCCTCGCGTGTTTGTGCCTGTACGGCCCGCCGGACAGGACGATCAACAAGTTCTTAGATGTCGATGCATTGCTATGGTGGCTGTCTTCGCGGCAATATGCGCCAGAAGGTGGACTTGCTGGTCGAACAAACAAGCTGGTGGACGGCTGCTACAGCCATTGGCTTGGATCATGCTGGCCACTAATACAAGCAGCAGTGAGCGGGCCTCGTGATTCAGCTGGAAGCAGAAGCCTTGGTGTCGGTGAGAATCTTTATAGCAGCGAAGGTCTCGCAAGATACATTCTTTGCTGCTGCCAGGCAGAGGAGGGCGGGCTCCGGGACAAACCATCAAAGTAAGGGGCACTGGAGTCGTGTCTGGCAACTGCTGACATAGTCTACAGACACCCTGATTCTTACCATACATGTTACACTCTTTGCGGACTCAGCACAGTTGAGCACTCCCACAGTTACGCGCTTGCTGACAACGACGACGACCCCTTTAGCTCAGCATTTTCCTGGGAGGTGTCCCACACCCCAATTCACAGCGAGCAGAACGACAGCAAGGTCTTCGATACTGGTGCCGGTGTAAAGAAGATCCACCCGATCTATACCATCCCACACGACGCTGCACTGGCCATCAGGCAGTGGTTCTTGATGAGACCTCTGGACGTTGACGCGTACGGCAATACCCCGACAAGCTCGTGATGAAGGATAGTGCAGGCCTTGGATAGCAGAGAGTATTCTTCATACTGCTTTGATAAAGGGTCTCGTGGATTGCGACACATCCGCTGATGTTGTCCTGAACTTCCGCTATTGCTGTACTCAGTACGCCACTTTTTGCTCCAGGTGCCAGCCTTGGGGCCCAAGCCCGTTGGAACAGAGGCCTAGTTACTTTGTAGTTACGTAGGACAAAGAGAGAGAATTCCTCGCCTCAGCCTTACCGAAGCTTCACTTTGCTCTTCGATCGTGCCCGCCCCTCACTGCTTCATGGATCGATGTGGGACTCAGTGCAGCTGTAGCAGCAACTAGGAGGTAAGTGTGTTTTATGGTCCTGTTCCTGGGCGCTGACCGTTGGGGAATGAGACCCCCAAGACGGGCTATTGTGTAGCTGGCAGACCGGGAGCCGGAGCAAGGTGGCAAGCAGGGTCCCCGAGGTCTGCACCGTTGCTGCAACTTCCCCCTTGCCTGCAGCTGCAAACTTTCACCGAAGCTGTTGGACTCGGGTCTGCTACGGTACCCTTCGAGCCTTTTACGAGGACTAATGATTCATCACAGACACTCCGACCACCAGGACTCGCTCTTCCGCCTAGAACTGCGCGGACGCTTGGATCAAGTTGGATTACATTTCCGACTACCTGATCGCTCTCTCACGGGCATCTTCGATGCATGTCGCGACGCCCACGATTTGTCACTTGCTGGTCGGCATTGAGTCTCTTCCTTGTCCCTCCAATAGACCACACAATCCGACGAACTGGAAGGACCACAATTTGACCCTGAGTCGAACCGGCGATGCAAGCTCGCCCAACAAGAGGGCCCTTTTGCACGTTCGGTAACCTGCATTTATTGACAACGCATTCATGCATCGGAGCTTTACGAGTTAAGTGCGGGAAATGGCTCAATACATGCTTTCGCCGGCCAGGCGCTGAGCTGCAGTTCCCAGGCCGCGTTCTTTCCTCAGCCAAGACAGTTCGTGGACTTGAATGGCCGTGAGCACTCCAGACTCAAGCATTCAAGCAAGTCAGTTCAGATGGCGCACCTCAGAGTTTGGCAGCGACGGCCTACCGCGCCTGGAAACGCTCATCCTCGCGCTTAAGCTGCCTATCGACGGGGGCCAGAACTTCCTGACCGTTCTCAGGCTTGATGTCTCGGAACAAAACGTCTGGCCGAGGTTGAAGCCTCCATGATCATCTATGGATCTCCACTTGCCAGCTGTTTCGTGCACAAGGGCGATTGCGTTAAGTTGGAAGATCTCGAACCAGACACCAGAAGAAAGATCTACGTCCTAGTATTTCGGAGTGTACACAACCGTTTCTATGCAAGCCTCACCGGTCACCCAATGTAAGCGGAGAAGCCAGAAACATCGAGCATGGCGAGCCACGAGTTCCTTGTGCCACGGTTCGCTTTTATTCGATGGGCTGCGCGGGGAACGATAGAAGCAGCCACTCGCCAATCAGGCCCTGTATCTGGATCTGCATGAGCCCCAGACGAAAGGGATGATGCTAAGAACGGGCCCGACGTCGACGTTCCATTAACTGGTCAAAAAGTATGCCAACACATCAATACATTACGATGGCAGAAGAGCATGAAAATGCTATTCCCCTCCAGATCGACCAATACCTAGCCGCTCACTCACGACTTTTTGGCCACTGTGGAATTTCTTTGCATGCCCCACGCAATGCCGCTCTCTTCGCGCTTGCTGTGCTGTCAGTGCGGGTCTTACTGTTGTTGAGGCATGAATTATGGGTGGAATTTGCAGTACGGCTCCCCTGTAAAAAGGTCCAACTATATCGATGATATCAACTCTACCACTACCTGACAAAATCTGCCCTACGGAACCCACCAGCTCTTTGGCCCAGGCAACACTTCTGGGAGAGGTGATACTGGTTGATATTTGTGTCGTCGACGAGGTTCTGATCTGTTTGGTGGTTTTTCTGCTTTTTCGGTCCTCGATTGGATGCACGATATATTGGGCACCAAAGCACCTTGAGCACTGGGTCGAACGCAGACATGCTACACACCGTCTATCTGGCCAGTATGTCTCTTTCAACGCCTCATTCTGCTGTTTTGGTTGCGAGACCCGACTTGTCCTTTGTCCCTGGCCTTTGTTCCCTGTCCTGTCAAACTGTTGCTATGCACTCGACGCCATCTTGGTCGCTCAGGGGCTTGCCAGCCTTGCAGATATTACCTTGAGGATATGACAGGCTTTTTGGAAATCTCGGACCACCGAACCCTGTCCTACTCGGATTTTCACTCGTCAATCCTCTTCGCAGACACTGACATATGATCTCCAGGTCTCTGTCAGCGCCGGCGATGGCCCGAGCCCGCTTACCAAATATCCTACGGTTCGTCTGGATATCGGTGCATTGTCAGGGTGAACAACCGTGAATATCAGACTCCGATGCATCACTCCTCGGAGACATCGGCAAAGGAGAACGCTGCGTTGATTGCGTTCAACATCTGCCGAAACTTCTCTGCCAATGATGGCATGTATCCGACAGGATTCGCCCATGGAGGTGTAATTCAGGGCAACCCGGTGCCCGTTGGATCTGGCCGTCAGAGTCGCAGGACTGCAACGGACAGCGTCCGGACTGAATACCGTTATGGCGACTCTGATAGTGCTGGAAGCAGGAGTGGTGGAAGCAGCCCGGACTGGGGGCAGTCTCACCTCACTGAACCTGTTGTGCGCACATCGACTTCCCGCCGTCCTGTGTACTCCTCGAATATGAGCCACTACAGCAGCCGACACATGCCGCGCTACTAGGCGTGTGCCGAGGGAACCGCAAAAGCTTCCTTCTGCTTATCAGGCGATCTCATCGCCTGTGCTGCATCGATTCCACCCCAGACGCTTTGTACGACTTTACGACTCACGACCCCATGGACTTTTGGAGGCACTTTCCCATTTCTCATGACTCATGATGACACGACTGAGCATTTCCTTTACGGCTACACCGTGGTTAGACAAAGAATTCTCTCAGCAGGCAACTGTGTGGTGTTCTGAGCCATGTTGCGTTCTTCGAAGCATAGCGGCTTGAAGCGTGGGAGGCGAGCGCGTTCAGAACTAGCAAGCATGAGCAAGTTTTAGCCGGGAAGGATGTGTGAATGATATTGATCCTACATTTTGAACAGCAAAGTCACGAGCTTCTTCTCACCGGACCTACATCGCGAACGTGTTTCGATCATGGGCTTTCTTAGGCTGGACGGGGGTCAAATAGGCGCCCAAGATAAGGTCCCGCGTAAGAGCACAGCCTCTAAGCGGCTGGTGGCTCGCAGTGATAGGGCCAGAATTGTTCCGGCGGTGGCTTGTGCTTGCCCAAAGACGTGAAGAGCGTTAACTCGAGCGATGACGTCCTTGGCTCTTTCCCAGTTTCCATCAAGTCCAAACATGAATCTGCAATGAATTCACACTCACATGGTCCTTGCTCAACCAAGTCGCAGCTGACCGAGCATGCTACAGACCTCTACAGACAATATGCCATTCGTATGACCACAAGAGAACGCCCCCAAAAATGAGGCCTTCAGTGTTGAGTCCGGCGCGGCTCGGGCCACTGAAACCAATCAGTCTTGCGACCGAGCTGTCGACTCGTGCACAGGTCGACTTTCGCCAATTCTACCATATCTTCCCTCGAAAGCACAAGCCCAGTATAACTCGGAATCCGTCTACTTGGGGCAGTGTGAGTTCCGTCATACATGCGTCCAGAAGTGTTTCCTACGAACAAAGGGCGAAGGACCTCAACCAGCAAGGCGTCGATGAAGCCCTTTCAGAGTTCGATACTGCCGTGGCCGACGACCAGGAAAAACAACAGCGAGCGCCATGGCATCGCCAGGGCGTGGATGTGGCACCTGTTCGTCGCCAGCGGTCCGCGGGAGCAATGACAAAAGGCGAGCGGTGATCTGCTGGACTCTGGACATGCTTGCTGACCTTACCGCAGGAAAGCTGCTGACAACCCCGTCAAGACTCCTCAAGCTAGTCCTGCCTCTGACTACAAACGATCACAATGATGACCGAAAGGACATCGCCCCCCTTGCCCTACTCGTACATCCTCAGCAGCCTCTGTCTTATCTGGAACGACTGATCCAGGCAGAGCTGCCAACCATGACCAACGAGAAAGGTGAAACCAGAGTTCCTGGCATATCATTTCGTGCTATGGAAGCCAAGGATGACGAGATCAAGCCGAAGAATCAGACACCCGAAGAACAAGAGAAAGGCGAGAAGAAGGGATCGCTTGGTGATGGCGGGGTTCAGAGCTACAGCGGAGCTGGCAGAGAAGGCACTGGGAAGGACGAGGGCGAATTCGTCCGATGGAGTGCCTCCACCGAAATAGGAGACTTCATCAGAGACGCCGCTAGAGCCAAAGAGTTTGAAGTCGAGATTGAGGGGAGCCCCAAGACCATCCAAGTCGCTGTGCCCTCTTTCAACGACAGAACCTACTACTTGCGTCAAAGATTGCGCAGAACGGCGCGGCAAATCGCGGAACTGGCCAAGATCAAGCAAGAATGCGATGCTGCTGCGCATCGAAGCGGGCAGCGGATAGCCATGGGTGGCTGTGGGCTGCTTATTGGCTATTGGTATTTGGTATATCGGCTCACGTTCGAGACAGATCTTGGTTGGGACGTCATGGAGCCCGTCACCTACCTTGTCGGACTCAGCACGCTCATTGGTGGTTATTTGTGGTTTTTGTACCATAACCGGGAGGTTTCGTATCGCTCCGCCCTGAACCTTACTGTCAGTCGCCGTCAAAGCCGCTTGTACGAGCTCAAGGGCTTTGACATCCGGAGGTGGGAGGCGCTAATCGAGGAGGGCAATGCCATTCGTAAGGAAATCAAGGCGGTGGCGGCCGAGTACGACGTGCAATGGGACGAGTCAAAGGATGAACATGACGAGGCCGTGGTCGAGGCGCTGAGGAAAGAACGAAAGAACGGGAACAAGGGCAAATCCAAGGACGACGATGAAGAGGACGATTAAGCACCATTAAGATATTCTGTCCAGCAGCCTGACATGGAAGCGAACACCAATCGTACAAACCATACAAATCACAGCGTCCACCCACCACACGTCTCCTCATCGCCGCACGAACTGGTCTCGTGCAGGGTCGAATATCTGCGAGTCGCCTGAACTCGAGCTGCCATGGCCTGAAGAATGCGAGTTGGCATCAGTTCAGCTCAACGTTGCGTGATGAACGTGCTTACCTGCAGTACTACTCCCCTCGCCAGCCCGACGGTTCCGATTATTTCGGATATCTCTCGACCGAAATACACTGTACAAGAGCCACAAGGTCACCCAATTCGGAGCATGCTCGCCGGTAGTGGCCCCTTGGTCGAAAAGTGTTCGAGCGACGGTGCCTGGCTTGGCCTGTTGCCAAGTGTCAATGATGGCTTGTCGGCGACGGTCTTGTCGAATGTGGTGCCAGAAAAAGGGTGTTGTTATTGACGAGTCGTTCCGCTTGTCGTCTATCAGGTTGGAGCGATCCGCGTTTAGTCGATTGTATACGACAATGGCTTCCTCCTGTGCCCGTTTAGCCTGGGTCTCACACATGTTACCGCCTCGACATACTCGCATGGCCTTGTAATATCCTTCGTGGCGGGGGTCGCTAGTATTTAAGCCCAGCGCCTTCATGAAGTCATCCTTTGCTGCCCTCGGTCCCACGGGTTGTCTGGTAGGCATGCTGGCGAGGAGAAACGAGAGTCAAGGAAACAACCCGAAATGTATGTGCAAGATGGGACGAGTCGTGAGCACAGCGAGTGAGTGTCACAGACTTGACAGTGTGAAGTTGCCCCGAGCATGTTCTATATATCGCAGACGAGCCTCAGGATCTAGGCGGGAGAGGAGAGCAAACATGGCGTCGCTCCACCTACGGTGCAATTGCAGCAACACGGTGGTGACCCGCTCTTCAAGTTGGGCAGCTGTCCAAGACGCTTTTCAAATTCAGAGCTTGGGCGCGTCGTGGAAGCGGTGATAGGATTCGTGCCGTGACGGCTTCAACGAGCCTGAAGTCAAATATGCCCGTGCATTGAGGGTTAGTGAGTTTGACATGGAATGCGTGTTACCGTGTCGAGCAAGGGCACCTCGTGGCTGGTGAATGTGTGGGACGTTGGTAACGCCAAACAGGACGACGTCCGTCATGCCGCATATTTCCCCATGCGTCGCCTCGTTGCATGCTGCCAGTCTGCTCGGAAATCTCCAAATGTGCTGTCAGGTGCACGTACCGAAATCATCAAATCGAGGCAAGAGCCGAGCGTGGGCGTGAGAGGGCCATTCTACGGAGCTTGCTGAGACGGGTAATTTGAAACGCCGGCCTGCAGCAAACATCGAGATACCAGTTCATACTGTTTCATGCGCTGGCTCAAAACAGCTGAGCCTTTCGACGACGCCTAGGCACTATGGGACTGTCGACATGTTCGTCAACGGTACTTCTGCGGCCTGGGCTCGTCGATCAGGGTCTCCACGCACCGTCCATGTGAATGGCCGCCGACCTCACTCAAGGCCAATATGACAGCTGTTGTACGACCAAGGCTCAGCGTCGACACACCTAACGCGCGCATTCAATCCACGTATAGACTTGGTGCACGGAGCCTGCCGCTGGGCCAGCATTTCGCCAAATTGCACCAAAGGCAAGCACATGGTACATGATGTTTGCTACCGCCCGACGGCCGAATTGAGACATACATGGGCACAAACAAATACGAGCCCATGTATTCTAGGCCCCTCCATGGGACCCAAGACGCACACAACATCTCGACGACGGCGTCACACTTGATAAAGTCGAAGACTGTCATTCACTTAGAAGACTGAGAGTCAGCCCAGCAACAACCACCTCTCTAATCTCCCCGTCTGCCCGCTTCGACTCGAGCATGAGGTGATCAAACATACCATCTGGGCGGAGGACTTCGATGCCTCACGAAACATCTCTCGGCAACCCCTTTCGCCTCGTCGCCGCCGGTCTGGCCATTCTGAATGTGCTACTTTGACCTTCTGCAAAAGTTGGAGGACCATTTAAGGAATTGTTCTACTGCATTACTTTCTCTGCTCCCCCGTGGAAAGGCAGCTGTGCTGCTTGCAGTTGTGTGACCTGTCAAAATCATCCGGCTGTAAGAGGTCGGACGACGGCTCTCGCGGCCAGTGGCCTTCTACCAATCCACCATTGTGTCCTACACGCGAGGGTTTTCATTCAGGTGGGGCCACTGCCAAACGTCACTGCAGCCGACCTTATTTCGCCATGGAGCCCAAACGCGTAGAGAGGTGGTTCTGATGTCTGTACACTGAAGCTGTGGTGTACTTCATAGCTGCTGGGAGGAGCTGGCTTCCGAACTAGGCACAACCTGTCCGCTGACTTCGAGCTTCGTAGAATGGACGCCAAGCTCAAGTTACCTGCAGACGACTTGCGTAACAACAATCGTGGAATGTGAGGGCCTTGTTGATCGACGATGTGGCCATCCAGGACGGAGAGGGTTGACATATTTCGTCTGCTTCAACAATGCAAGTGTCGAGCCATTTGGGAACCATGGAGCCAAGGGATTCGTCCGGAGATAGAAACCATGGCGGAACCGCAAGGCTGCATGCAGTCCGGTCCGGTACAAGCCTCTCCATGACTCGTACAAACGGCGCGCGGATTGCCTGTCCTTGCTCACGGGGTGCTCGACAGTTCGGCAAAGCTCCCGTCCTTTGCCAATTTTGTGCGGCGACGATATGACATGAGCGTGCCATCAACAGGCCGCTTACGAAGCGCGAAAAATCTCCTGACGTTCTCAGTCCTTTAGCCCGTACTGTGAGACACTGCTTCATGTGTGAGGTCGAAGCGCAGCGGTTCCAGCGCGGAGGCGGAAATGGTACGGCAACACTCCGTAGTTCGACTAGCCATTTCCACTACACAGTGGATGCTCGTTTGATCACCTGCTCGTCTTGGGATATCACCCACGGGATCAAGGTTAATAGGAGCGAGGGAGCTTGCTCAAACGTCAAGAAGGGTCGCTCCCCACACTAGTACGAGCTACCTTTACTGTACTCCGTAGTGTATAACATAATTAACGGTCAATCACAGCCCGCACGGCTACATTGAACATTGATCTCACATTTTCTTCGCATTTTCTTCACCTCTCCTTCACGTCAGAGACATGGTCGACAAAGTGTCCAGACCCACCAAAAGCTGTTATTTCCGACGCTGACACCAGGGGCCTGCAACCGGTGTCAACATTGGCGAGGTGCACTCCATACCTATGCAGGTACGGTGTACTCCGTACGCAGTCCACACTACAGTACAGTCGGCTTAGTATCCTGCGAGGCGAGCCGGCTCGGTCAGCGGAAATGTCTACCCGACGCTTGGGTGACGCTCAATGTGTTTTGCATTGACACACCCACTGCAAACCTAGAACTATGACCACCATGACCTTGCACAACCCCACCAGATCCTCGAGCTCCTGTACGAGAACTCGTAACTCCGCCATGTAGACAAGGCACCGACGTCTGACCGGCTCTGATCCCCTACCCTAGCACTGCTACGAGTCTGTGACTGGACCATCGTCGCTTCTCCTTTGACACCTCCGCACTGCGTTTCATTCGATCCCCGGCCCGCGCACTTCCGCCTCGCCTACGAGGTACGAGTGACTCCGTACGCAGTACGGAGTACCTGACCAGACTATGGCGACCCCGGCCCCACCATCGTCGACCGTCCCCGTCCTCCTGCTCAAGACCAGGTCCCAACCACACGATGCATACGAGGAGTACTTTTCCGGCTTCCGCGACGGCGGCGGTCGCGGGGAACTGTCCACTCTCGTCTTCCGACCCGAGTTTGTCCCTGTCCTCGAGCACCGGCCTAACAGTGAGAACCTGGCCGGACTGGTGAAACTGTTGAGCGAGGGCCGATTAAGTGAGCAGTATGGGGGCATGATCTTCACCAGTCAGCGGGCGGTGGAGGCGTGGGCGGACGTCGTCAAGAGGGTAGAGACAGAGGCAGGGCAACCGCAGACGGATGCAGACACAGGCAGTGGTATGGTCTGTTCCCCTTGGCCTCCATTTCCATACAGTCCCGTGCAATGGGAGGGGAGAACTGACTCGGCAAATGTTTTTCAGCAGATGTAGCCGATAACACTGGCGCAGATGCAGACGCACCGTCCTCTCTCATCGACGATGACTTCATATTCCCGCTCTACACGGTCGGCCCCGCCACATCACGAGCCCTAACCACCCTGATCACTCTGTCGGCCGCTGTGCCGTCGTCACAGTTCACACGCCTCCGGCCCGCCGTCTTCGGCGAACACACAGGCAACGGGGAAAAACTGGCACAGTACATCCTCGCGCACTACAACACGCTACACTCCCAGAGACTGTACACCTTTTACGAGGCTCCGCGATTACCATTCACCCCGCTGGTGGGATCGGTGCGCGGGGAACGCGTGGCCAAAGACGACGCGCGGCTCAGGAAGAAACCGCTGCTCTTCCTCGTGGGCGAGCAAAGACGGGATATCATCCCCAAGACGCTGACGGATAAGGACTGCAAGCTCCCGCCCGAGGAGAGGATCCAGCTTGATGAAGTTGAGGTGTATATCTCAGCGGTGGTAGAGACCGTGGAAGAGGACCTGCGGGGACGGTTGTCGTCTTTCTGCAATGACGCTGAAGGCCACAACGTAGGTCCCGTGGTGTTGGTGGTGTTCAGTCCGCAGGGCTGTGACTCGATGCTTCGCGCATTGGGGTTCCTCGACGGTGACAAGAACTTGACCTCCCTGGCGAGAAGGCGGTGGGTGGCCGAAGAGTCTCACGATACGCCCTTGACCTCAGCGGCATCTCAACCCAAGCAGCGGTATATCATTATGACGATCGGGCCCACGACGCGGGACCATCTCCGAGCCAAATATGGATTCGACGCGGACGTCTGCGCCGCGAAACCCAGTCCCGAGGGCGTGAGTGTTGGGCTGGTCGAATTTCTCAGGCAGAAGCATATACTGGGAAGGTCACCAGTGCCACTGGCCTCATCCTGCGGGAGCGAAGCGTAGCGAAGCAGTCATGAGCCCTGCGCTTCAGTGAGTACTCCGTAGGACAGTGCACAGTCATGAGCCCTGCACTTTAGTGAGTACTCCAGCGCAGCGGACATTGCGCGGACCACTACAAAAGATACCCGTGGTAGCGGATCCCTAACACAGTGCCTCGTTCCTGCACGTCCGGTGGTTTGCATCGCATAATTACACGATCAGCGTGATCGACTGCCTCGCCATGCCAGGCCACCCCAATATCGAATAGATCCCCCCCCTTTGTGCCCGATCATAGATGTACGAGCTTAGGACTGTTGAGTGGCATGTAAGAGGGAAAACTGACGCCAACCTGCAGAGCTCATGGCGATGGCGTGGCGGCAGACGTACAGCAATGTACATACATCCCCAAAGCGCCGCGCACGCCTTTGCAAGCCTTGTCGCAAGGTCGTATACATATATAGGTATGGTTCCCAATGCGTGATCGAATACCATGTTTATGCCCCGCCGCGCTCGAGTGGATATCCACTGCTGTGCCCGATCCTGCAGAGCTCATTCTGGAGCAATGGCGACCAGGCGGTGCCGGTCCGGGTCTTTCTACAGCGCAGGGGGCATGCCTCGCCTGATCGCCCTCGCCTGGTTGTACACGAGACTTCCAAATGATCAGTCTCGCAATTCGTCACCACGAACATGGATGGTTGTACAAGGGGACCAAGGGCGAAGGACCATGACAGGGGAGGTTGGTGGCCAATATGAGTCTTCCATTGGCGACATCTTCACAGGACGACGCTGGAGTGACACGCGGAAGGAAGTCTTTGGTGTTCCTGATTAATACTTACCTAATTAGATATCCTTGTCTCGTGAGGTGCCTCGCCTTTAAATGAGTCCACTCACGTTACGGAAAGCCGGGTATAGGGGTTTGACTGGTTACTGCCCGCTCGTGATCATGGCGGATCTACAGTGGAATCTAGCGTGCATGAATCCAGACCAGTTCGGAAGATATGCACAGTAAGGTACTCGACTATTGTTTTCCCGGACATGTGTACTGTCTACATTGGCTGTGGTGTTATGCCTGCTCATTCAAACCGTCCCAAACAAGGTCATTAGCGACCGGCCCAGGATATCGGACGCCAATGCCTGCCAGCTTGACCCCAATCACGACCAACTACTGAGTGCTGCCAAACCTGGGCGTGAAACATCTTTTGGACTTGCTGGTCTGCCTTCTCTCAGCCTATTTCTTCTTGTCCCGATCCCTACTCCCTCCAGCCCTGGCAATCCCACTGGCAAACTTGCCAAAGCCCGCAAGACTATGGCCCCTCTTGTGCGGACCTGATCTATCGTCTGCGCCCGCGACCGTCTTTGCAAGCGGGCCGGCAGCGCCTGCTCCGCCACTGGATCCGCCCACGGTCAAGCCACTGCCCGCCTTCATCAGAGTTGATCCCGCGCCGGGCGCCAGGGATCTCCCAAGGCCACTTTGCAATCTATTCCCCGCGCGCAAGACTTCTCCTTCTCCAGCACCGGCAGAACGGAGGCTGGCGCGACTGGTTCGCCCTCCGTTCTCTACGGGGGCCGAGGCAGGGGTCTCGGGATCAATGTCTCCACGGAGAAGTCTCTCGTTTCTCCGCCTTGCGCGTTCTTGAGTCTGTTTGAATTTTTCGAGCAGTTCGGGCCATTTCAGATCGCTAGCTGTGGCGGAGGCAGCGTCGCGGGTTCGGAGGCGTGAGCTCACCGTGCTGTTCAGGGCACCGGTGGTGGTTGCGGGCAGGGCCGAAGCAGACATGCCGCCCACCACCGATGGTCTCGGGGTCGGCGCTGAAGCTGGAGTATGCAACAGGCCGATTGCTGACACGCTGTTAAGACGGTTCTTCAGCGCCCCAAAGGCAGAGGATTGGGGAAGCAGCATGAGCAGGCCGTAAAGACACTTGTAGAGGTAGGGATAGCGGTCGGGTTCGAGGAGCTGCAGGCGCAGGTCTATCATCTGTCAGGCTTTGCCCTATGTCTAAGGATCTCAGGAAGAGTGGGACTTACATGTAAAGACAGGACTTTCGAGCAGCTGCACCAACTTGTCAATCTGTATGAGCATGTTGACCGTCATTTCCAGATCCGCGAAGATCTGCAACAGATTGTACGCTTGTTCGTATGCCTGTGCCAGAAGACACAAGGAGAATGTGGCGACGGCATTGTGGCACCAAGCACGGAAAAGAGCCACGAAGAACATCTGTCCTTCTCTGCTGTCCGGGCTTCGAAGTCGTTTTCGTAGCTCGGCCAGTTCAGGTGCAGTAATGAGATTGTTGTTGAGATTTTGAACCATTATGCTCGCAAACTCAATGTCTTCGTCCTTTTCAATGCAATCCGCTAGCGTCCTGTATATGCGCTCGGGCTGTAGATTGATGCATAGCTGACGAATAATCAGGTTCCCTCGGATCTCCAGCAACTTGCGGTCGGTCGAGAATAGCTGAAGCAGAGCCACCATAAAGGAAGTAAAATAACCGTCTTCACTGTGCTTGGAAATCTGGGAGAGGAGCTGAAGATCGCGTGTGACAACGGCTTCGGCAGGGTCGGAGAGCGTTTTGAGCAAGGCTGGAAATGTCCCGTCGTTGAAAGCAAGGACTTTCTTGGGAGCCTTACGGTGTAGCATAATCAACCATGTCAAGGCGGCCTCTCGTGTCTCCTCGTGTTCGTTCAGGAATTGAAGTGTCAAAGCATTGACTGCGGCGGCATAATCTAGATCAGCCATAGGTTGCGGCGACGGTGCCGCCGTGGACCTCGGAGTGACCTCTGGGGGCGACGGTTCTTGCTCAGCGGACGATTCAGGAGAAATCTCGCTTTTACCTTCGGCTTGAGATGGTGGACTTTTGGTGGTCCCGCCTGACTGCCTCTTGTCAGAGCCTTCTCCATCTCGAGTGGTTGCCCGGGTGAGGTCGCTGGGTGCTAAGGCGCTCTGATCGTCTCGAGGAACATCGTCCTGATCCTGAAAAGTAAGGATATAATCCATCAGCGACCTATTGACCTTGCTGGCAGTAGTCCGGACTTGCTCTGATTGTGCAGACAGGGCCGGTAGAACCCGTGACAGCAGACGAGGCACGAACTGGAGAATCTCTTCCGGGCTGATCTCGAAAAAGCTGTCAATCCATCGCAGGGCAACTATTCCAATCTCTTCTTCTTTCTGTTTCGAAAGTCCTTCGAGCCGTAGATTGGGTGCCGATTCTTTACTATTGGAGACGTCCACGAATTTCAGCAAGATGTCGAGGATTTGTGCGTGGTCCACTTGGGCATCCTGGCCTGGTATCCAGTCACCATCGCTCTCCGCGGGCTCATTGGGTTCTTCTAGCGCTGTCCCTGATTCTGAGTCATCGATGGCATTCTCATTTGATTGACTGCCACCTGCAGTGGTACTGTCTGCGACCGAGGCCGGCCTCCGCTTGCCCGCGCGACTCCTGCGACTTTCTGCGATATCCTTCTTGACCTTGGCGATCTTCTTAATCTCGCTGAGAAAGCGTTCGAGCAATCCTTGTGTCGCGACATACACATCGCGATTCGGGTCGCCGAGGAATTTGAAAAGCCCACCGAGAAATGCTGGTAAATAGTGTACAAGCTCCAAGTCCGGAATGGTATCAAGAAGTGTAAGCCACGAGACCAAAAAGGTTCGGGTGAACGGGTTGAGGACGTGGATGCGCTCTTCGAGAAGAGGGATGAATCTTGCAAGAGAAAACGTGGTGGGAAGATCGGTGCTGTCCTTGTCAGGTTCGACTGGTTCTCCCTCGTCGTTGAAATTCAACACAGAAACATAAGAGGCCGCGGACTCAGAAACAATGTCCTTGATCAGACGGTCCAAGAGCTCAGCACCGTTCTTCACCGACAGTTCTGAGTCGGCAGCGAGCTATGATGGTCAGTTAGCAATGATAAGTCGTGGACTGCGTCAGTCAGACCTTGCATAGCGCGTCGAAGATGTCATTGAAGAAGACCAAGATCTCTCCCTTTGCGACTTTGGCGATGTTGTACATTGCCTCACAAGCGTAGTACCGCACGCGAGCATCCTGATCGGTGAAGCAGGCCAGGACTGGAGGTACTATTTCGGACAGGTAGCGTGCTACCTCATCCTGATTGCAACGTCGTCAGCGATTTGGGGTTTACTATTGAATATCCTGGCGTAATACTCACAGATCCCAAGGCAATTGCCGCAGCTGCAAGACCGATGAGTCCACCATTGCGGGCGTGTGGTAGATGAACGGCGTAGGCATAGTCATGGCAGAGTTGGTCAATCGTCTTCCGGATCTTGTCATGCTCTTTGGCCGCACTGGCCTCTCTGATAAACCGCTCAAGCCTCGATCATGTTAGCGAGCGACGCAACCATGCAACAGGCGGCGGAAACATACTCAAGAGCCCCTTGCTTTCTCTTATCATAGAGCTTGTCAGTGAGCAACCGTTGGACTGCTGGATCCATGGTGATATGGCAATTGAGCGACGCGGGTGGTCAATATCATTATCGACAGCCAGGATCCGTGAAGCGAGGAAGCGGTCCAATAAGATGTGGGCTCAGTGTTCTGCGGAGAGGGGCATATGAATAAGATTCGGCAACGGCGACACTACCGTTTGGCAGTTGTTCAAGCTAATTGTTTTTGTAGGCATGGAAACTGGAGACAAACGCGTCGTTGTGCAACTTTGAAAGTGGAGGCACCGCGGCTGCTTGATTGATTGAACCTTCCTCGCCATTTGCCGCCACCGCTGACCTCATAGGGCAACAAATCCCTGGTGCCCGTGGGAGGCGTGCAGGTTACCGGGATGAGGTACTCTGTACTCTTTTACTCTGTACAGAGGTCCCTATGCTCCGCAGGGCGGGCTACAGAGCTGTAAATAGGCGGCACCACAGACGACGCAGTACGGAGTATGTAGCTTGCACTTCTAGTTTACGTTCAGCGCTGCTCCCAGTATGTTATCGATTCCGATCAAATACCGCGTCTATCAAGTAGATACTTTTTGCATCAAGCATTATTGTTCTCTAAGCTGTATCATTTGTACCGTAGCCTGACCATTCATGGGGGAGTACAGTCGCGAAGTCTCCGTACCACCACCGACAACTGCCAGAATCGATGCTGCCTAACAGCACTGGCTTCCCAGAGCATCGGTACCACCATGACCCCGTGGCTCTTTCTTGACCTTTCCTTGACCTTTCCTTAGTGACTGATATACTGGAACACAGCGCTTACGGCATTTTCCGTGGTCTCTTGTCGGAGCAACAGATCTTGGATCCTGTTCAATGGTCCCTTCTCTCCAGAGTTGACAAAATGGTTCCACGAACTCGTGTCACCATATAGCATGCCTGGCGCCTTGATGGTTTGAGTGCCGTCCGGTTTGCAGCGTTTGCATTTGAACGTGTCATGGGTGTCGCTCGTGGTGTCAGGCTTGAACTGGAAGAGTTCCCGTAGCGAGTCGAGGGTAAAGTGCCGCTCGACATCTTCTGCTGAATCCACCACGGTTGACGACAGTGCCTGCTTGTGTGATTGCCGTTGGAAGACCTTCTCTTCAATGGTGCCTGTACTCATGAACCTGTAAACGAAACAATCCTTCTTCTGGCCGTCACGCCAGACACGGGCAAGAGCCTGCTGATCGGCCGCAGGATTCCAGTCAGGGTCGAAAAGGACAAGGCGATTGGCACCAATTAAGTTGATACCGCATCCACCAGCCTTGCTACTGAGCAAGAACACGAACTCTTCCCCATTGGGATCATTGAACTTGTCCACCAGCTTCTGGCGCTTGTTGACATTCATGGTACCGTCGAGTCGAAGACACCCGTAGCTCCGTGCTCGGCACAACTTCTCGAAGACATCCAAAGTTTGGGTATAGTTACTGATGAGCACGATCTTGTCATTCGTATCTTGCCTGATGCGAGCGAGCATACGTTCTAGGACAGCAAACTTCCCCGAGTGCCATGATTTGACATCCCGGTCTCGACCTCGGGCCTCCTTGGGCACGTAATCATCTGGCCAAAACTTTTCGCTGCCAGGCAGATCCTTTTCCAGATCTAAGAGGTCCGGATGATTGCACAGCTTCTTCAGTATACCAATGGCCTTGAGCGGCTGGCTACCCTTTCCTCTTAAGAGACTCTTGATGTCGGGGCTCTGAATGAAATGGTTGTAGAGATCCTTCTGGAAAGGTGCCAGATTGCAAAAGACGACATGCTCGTACTTGACAGGCAAGTACTTTGATAAAATGTCGTTCGTTCTCCTGATGATGAACTTCTTGACAAGAGATCCAAGCTCAGCATTGGCTTGTTCGCCCTTTTGCTTGTCGGTATCAGACCCAGCGGCATCACGACCACGAAGAATGGGCAGCTCGAACTTTTTGCGGAAGTCAGCCTTGGTGCCTAGGTAGCCCGGGTTTGCGAAGTCCAGCAAGGCATAGTACTCAGTCAGGTCGTTCTGTATGGGTGTCCCGGAGAGAATGACTCGGCGTTCGACATTCAGCCCGGTCAAAGCCATGTATGTCTCACTGTCTGCATTCTTCAGCCGATGGCCTTCATCACACAACATCAGTCCGAGCTTGACGTCCTTGAGTTCATCAATGTTCAGCCTTAAAGACTCGTATGAGACAATCAGAACTGGTCTTGCAACTGCCCTGCCTGTGGCCATCGCCCATTGCTTGAGCTGCATGGTAAGTTCTTCCTTGGTGGCTTTGCCATCAATGGCAAAAGGAGTGATAGCTCCCTCACCCAGCCATTTGACAAGCTCATTCGCCCAGTTCTTGACGAGACTGGCCGGACACGCGATAATGCATTTTTGGATGGTGGATTTGCCAGCTTCGGGTGATTGCTTGAGTAGAGTCCACATTAGGGCGATGCACTGGAGAGTCTTTCCAAGACCCATCTCATCAGCCATGATACAGCCTTTGGCTTTCTCATCCACTAAGCCAGTGGTACAGCGGTACAAGAACTTGACGCCTTCGACTTGATGGGGTCGAAGGACTTTGGCCAGTCTTGGGTCAATAACAACAGGGACCTTCGGTCTTTCGCCTTCAACCTGCTTCTTGATGCCCAGTATTTCGGCGAGGCTTTTATGCATGAGAGGCGTGTCGAGCTTCGGCTTATCTTCGTCTTTCTTCTCCTCCGACATGTCCTGAGGCTTGTCATCTATGGTTGGATCGTACAAGACGATCGCAAACTCCCCGCTCGGATCGTGCAAGGGCTTATTGACAAAGCCGAGACCTCGCCGCATTCCGAGACTGGGTGAAGGGCGTGACGGATCAAAGGCATTCTTGTTGATCAGCGGTACTGAGAAGCGTGAACGAAAAATGGACTCCTTGTCTTTGACCTTGAAGACCGGGTATCGGTCCTTGAGAATCCTACTCTCAGGATCGAGACTGAAGCCGCCACTTGTATCTTCATTGCCAGCACCCTCTTCAGCGTAGTTGACCTTTCTCCTCTTTCTGGCTGGCTCACCCTTGGACACGCGAGCATTGGCTGATCCCGGACACTTGAAAGGTTTGATCAGTCGATCAAGTGCTGCTGAAGAGTTGACGCTGAGGCGGCCAGCTTTCGCAGGGGGAATGTTCTCTTTGTCGTGGTCGATCGAGATCGACTTCGTGCGTATCCTACAAGATGACGTGAGCTTCGAATGCCAACGCAGACATGAGATGATTATACATACATTTTTGGCGAACAAAACAGCGGAGAGAGCCGTCAGGGCCGCAATCGTAGGAATCGATCAGTTATTGTGAGGCTATTGAGCAACCTACACGCGGGAAATGTCAGTCGCGTGTCGGCGCGCGACGAGCCAACGCGCATTCACGTGACGAGGCTTAATTGCCGGCAATGGCCCACGGGCGAGCGCACAAATGCCTTCCCTGTTCCTACACGGGGACATTCGCCGCGCTGGTTTATCGACAGGTCACAGAAAAGATGACATAGCAGGGACGGTCGTCTCGCTTTGCGACTTCGAGGTGCTGGTCTACGCTGACGCAGCATGTCGGCCGATTTCTGGGCTAGCTATTTCTCTGGCGCCATCGGAATACTCATTGGCAATCGTCTCGATGTCTTGAAAGTGAGAGCACAAACCAGTACAAGTACAGGTGATGCCGTTGCTCTTGGGGTACGGGAGCCGGACAATGCAGTCAAGAGGTTCACGGCACTATTCAGAGGCGCGGCAGCTCCCATACTTGGTTATGGCGCATTAAACTCAATCTTGTTCTTGTCATTCAATCGATCCCTCAATATGATGGACCCAAGTATATTTGACTACACGAAGCTGGCTGGCGTGGACTTGGGCAAGATCTGGATCGCAGGGGCAATCGGTGGACTGGCTACGTTCGTGGTCTCAGCTCCATCTGAGCTCATAAAATGCAGGGCTCAGCTCGTTATCGATGGGCAAGGCTCTTCATACCATGTGTGGAAGGATGTCTGGAAGCACGGCGGTATACGCGGGCTCTACTATGGAGGGTCAATCACCGCACTTAGAGATTCGTTCGGATATGGTTGGTATTTCTGGTCCTATGAGCTGTCTAAACGCCTGCTTCTCTCCAGGCACGCCGATCCATTTGTCTCTCCTTCTGCTGCCGACGTTCTAATCAGTGGAGGCATTGCCGGAGTTGTCACATGGGTGTCCATCTATCCTCTGGATGTCATCAAGACCCGTCTGCAAACACAGGTTTCTTGGACGGTCGAGCGCCAGCGACTCCTACCTGGAAGCGAGATGGCGGCTCATCGAGAGCAGTCTTCAGTGGGTATTGCTCGTGAAGTATGGCGGAGCTCCGGCATTAGAGGCTTCTATCGCGGTGTAGGCATCTGCAGCTTGAGGGCTTTCATCGTAAATGCGGTCCAGGTACGTCATTGCACTTGCTTTCGATACGTTTGCCAACGAGCTAGTAGTGGTACGCATACGAAAAGATCATGGCGTTCCTCGGAGGAGATCGATGATGCTGCCTATCAACCCGTAAGGCAGAGTTGTACCGGTCCCGCTGCTGAGACGTGAGGTTGTCTGCCCTCGCTGAATGAAGGGTTCCCCTTCTAGTGTCGGAAAAGAGAAGCGTTTGGTCTTCGCTTTCGCAGCGGTCATTGGACAGTGGTCCGAGAAATAAACATGTTTTGGTCGATGCCGGACCTCAACGTGCAACATCTGTCATGGTCTCGTTACCAACAGTGGCTTGGACATCGTTCTGTGCGAGCTGAGCCCGTCGATCGTCTGCGCCGAGACCCACAGCGGCCTCTGCCAGCTTCTGAGTATGGGCATCTTCCTTGAGCATGCGCACCCTATATTATGCGTCAGGACGAACCAGCCTATCGATCCCTGGAGTGTGAGATTACCGTCTCTTGTGGTTCTTTCCCCTCCGATGCTCATTCAGGTTATGACTGTCGGAAAAGTACTTGGCACACTCGATACAATAGAAAGCACCTAGACCTGGTAAATCTTCGGAGGCTTTGGTGCTTTGATGGAGGCGTAGATGTCTGGGCGATTTCAGGTCCGTCTTGACTTGGTCAAGGTCACTATAAGGAAGTCAGCTGGAGACGGTTGTGAAAGCAAGAGCGCAAGCAGACCGAGTACGCCGTTTCGTCTTGATGCGCCGAATGCTGCCCATCCTGTTGTTCCGGTATCCTCTCCGCCAGCGCCGATGGCTCGATTGTCGGTCGCAAGGGATTTGGCGGCGCCAAACATACGCGGGGCTTCAAGGCGCAGATGAATTTGCGGATATTTTCTTGTGGCTACAAGTTTGCTTTGGGCAGCTTTAGCCGGACCTCAGCCTTGCGCAAACAGCGCCAACAAGAGCGCGACTCTCCGAGTGGTCCCTCAGCAGCGGAAACGGCCAGTCTGGCACATCCTGCGAATCACGGCGCCGAGACGTCTTTTGCCTCGGACTGGGCCTGACGTTGTCCCCTCTTAACTACACTCGATCCGTGCTGGGCCGGGTATGGTAAACAGCTGCTTCTTTCTGACCAAGTCGCGTTTGCCCTGGCTTCATAGAGTCAAACATCATCCAAAAGGTAGGAGTAATGCTAGCTAAATATTTCATCTACCGTGCTGCGACTGCAAATGGTGAATGTAGCGGCTTCAGCTGCGCGCGGTAGACTGCCATGGCCGGGGTAGGTAATCGTCTCGGCTGTGATTGGCCAGTGAAAGGGTCTGCAGGCCAGAAGAAAATGGCGAGGCTTGAGGCATTTGCTCGGAAGCATGGAGAAAAGGGTGGAGTCTTTTGCCTAGGTATGTGCAGCTACGCAACGAGGCAACACATCACACACACGACCCTTGCGGCGGAGAAAATATATCAAGGCTGGCAAGGCACGAAAGGGCGAAAGGGCATTACTTCAGTCGATCCCTCTCACTTGGAAGCGTTGCGTCGGTGCTGAGGAGCTGCAGCCATTGACGTTGCTGGGGGTTGACGTCGTCCAAGAGCTTATCGTGGGTTGCTCATTCCCCCGAGGCTGATTGGCGCTACAACTTGGAGCTCGAACAACTCCTCCATTTGCATCCACATCTCCGTCCGCTCTTCACCAGTTTCCCTCCTCAATTCTTTCCACCACCTCTCCACTCTCCTTCAGGTGCTGTGCATCCTGCCGTCGAGCTTGAAACGTGTGCATTTCTGCTAGTGATCAAGCATTGTCGCCATCATGATGTCCACAAGGCCTTTGGGCCGCTTGGGCTCGCGCTTGGTAAGTTCTCTAGCATCATGCCATGCACCTTGCCCGCATGCCCAACCTCCAGTCTCCGCCAAACACCTTGCCTCTGTTTGAGTCTGAGCTAACATGTCATCTACGTCTAGGGAGCCAACGTCCCATCGGTCAGTGGTCTACTTGTCTCGAGCTGAAAGCGCCAACAGCTAGCTAACGACGATGCTCAGGCTCTGCGGATGCCAAGAATGGGATACGCTACCGTCTCAGATGATCCTTTGAGCAAAAATAAGTCTTGCCTGAATGGGGAAATATGTTGCACGGTCCTGACAGCCGGATACAGGTCGAGATGACGAATTGGGAGAAGGGCCACTACATCAATTACAAGTGAGTTCAAGATGGTCTAGAGACAGCTGAGCAGTGCTGATATGTTGTATAGGAAAATGTCGGAAAACCTTGCCGTCGTCCGCAGCAGACTCAACCGTCCGTTGACCTACGGCGAGAAAATCCTCTATTCCCACTTGGACGACCCTCACGGACAAGACATCGAGCGTGGGGCGTCATACCTGAAACTTAGACCCGATCGAGTGGCTTGTCAAGATGCTACCGCACAGATGGCCATTCTTCAATTTATGTCCGCCGGCATGCCTTCAGTTGCAACTCCGACTACTGTCCACTGCGATCACTTAATCGAGGCTCAGATTGGTGGAGAGAAGGATTTGAGCAGAGCGAAGGATATCAACAAGGAGGTGTATGATTTCTTGTCCTCCGCTTGCGCCAAATACAACATCGGTTTCTGGCGACCTGGCTCAGGCATAATCCACCAGATTGTTCTTGAAAATTATGCTTTCCCAGGTGGCCTGATGATCGGTACAGACTCCCACACGCCAAACGCTGGCGGTCTTGGCATGGCTGCGATCGGTGTTGGCGGTGCTGATGCTGTCGATGTCATGGCCAATCTGCCCTGGGAATTGAAAGCACCCAAGTACATTGGTGTTAGGCTAACTGGCGAAATGTCTGGCTGGACGGCTCCCAAGGGTGAGGAAACTACAACGGGATTGCGGCTTGTTCAATGCTGACTTTGTACCCAGATATCATCCTCAAGGTGGCAGGCATCTTGACTGTAAAGGGTGGCACGGGGGGTGAGTACTTTCTATCCCGTCTATACTGGAACAATTCTCTGACGATATACAGCTATTGTTGAATATCATGGTGAGTAGGAATTGCTCCTCTTTGATTTCATGGATTCCCGGAGTAATCACCATCGCTTCTCTGAACCGCCTGTCAAGTTCGCCTCTAGGCCCAAGCAAGATCGCAGAGCAACTGTCTTGGTTTTTGGCACTGGTTCCTGGAGACACCATCATTCTTCACTGGTTCGGAACCGAGAGACATCACGCTGCCTGGCCTGTGTGGATCAACTCCAACGCCAACATGGTCATGCTGAGTACTACAAGTCCCCAAAAGAGAAGCATGAGGCCAGGAGGAATGAACAGAGCAACCAAGATAAGTCCAAGGCACACGCGGAGAAGATGGCACGACCGCGCCGCCAAGAGTGAACAAACCTTTGTCGGCCTAACGCATAAAGAGATGTCTTCGAAAGATTGCCCCGCGGAAGCATGCAGTCTAAGGAGTTGTGAATGAGCCGATCAGATCTCGAATGAAGGCAAGGGCCGAAAGTGTGCATACTCGCCATCTGTACCCACGCCGCCGCCTGCTCAAGCAGTATATACAACGCACTGCGCCAGGACACGCTACCAGGCCACAAGCTTGGAGACCGCTATCCAGGATGACACCTCCGAAGGATACGGCTTCCATCCATGCCATTTCTCAGGCGCCTTCGCCATATCGAGTTGTTTGTTGCTGGCCAGCACCGATACTAACGTGTGTCACTCCTCAGGTCCTGGAACTAACACTTTGTCTTGCACTGGCATGGGGTAAGTTGCACTTCGCTCCATCTGAGTTTTGGATACTGACGTTTTCACAGCACTATTTGCAATGCATGAGACACCCTACTCCCGCATCCAATTTGTCATGCTAACCAAATCCACAGATGGGTGCTGAAATTGGAGCAACCACTAGTTTGTTCCCCTTCAACGACCGCATGTACGATTACCTAGCGGCTACCAAACGTGGGGCAATCGGCGACTTCTCTCGCAGCTACGCCGCAGAACTTCACGAGGATGAGGGTGCTGAGTACGACCAGCTCATCGAGATCAACCTTTCAGAGCTTGAGCCGCACATCAACGGGCCCTTCACGCCCGACTTGGCCACCCCCATCTCCAAGTTCAAGCAGGCAGTCAAGGACAACAAGTGGCCCGAGGAACTCAAGGTTGGCCTCATCGGTTCTTGCACGAACTCTTCCTATGAAGACATGTAAGTGCTCAAATTCGCCTCGTCGGTCGTCCAAGATGATGCTAACTTACTGTGACAACAAGGTCTCGCGGCGCCTCAATTGCTCAGGATGCCATGGATCACGGCGTCAAGGCCAAGTCGCTCTTCACCGTCACACCAGGATCAGAACAAATCCGTGCGACGATCGAACGCGACGGTCAACTCAAGACTTTTGAGGAATTTGGCGGAATTGTCCTTGCCAATGCTTGCGGTCCCTGCATTGGGCAATGGGACCGTCGGGACGTGAAGAAGGGAGAAGCCAACTCGATCATTTCCTCGTACAACCGAAATTTCACTGGGCGAAACGACGCGAACCCTGCCACCCATTCGTTCGTTACATCTCCAGACTTGGTCGTTGCCATGACCATTGCTGGCAGCCTCAACTTCAACCCTCTCACCGATACCCTGAAGGACAAGGATGGAAATGATTTCAAACTCAAGCCCCCGGCTGGTGACGGTCTGCCGAAGAACGGATATGACCCGGGTCAGGATACCTAGTGAGTCTACCCCAGCCCTCAAACCAGGTTTGTATGCTAAACACCAGAACAGCCAACCACCGCCTGAGGAGCGTGAATCCGTAGAAGTGCAGGTCTCTCCAACCTCCGACCGTCTCCAGATCCTCCAGCCATTCGAAGCTTGGGACGGCAAAGACTTCGAGGATCTTCCTATTCTCATCAAGACCAAGGGCAAGACCACCACTGACCACATCTCCATGGCTGGTCCCTGGCTCAAGTATCGTGGTCACCTCGACAACATCAGCAACAACATGTTGATCGGTGCCATCAACGCCGCCAACGGCGAGGCCAACAAGGTCAAGAACTTCAAGACTGGTGATTATGATGCTGTGCCTGCTACTGCACGTCAGTATAAGAAGGAAGGGATCAAATGGGTCGTCGTCGGTGATTACAACTACGGTGAAGGTTCTTCGCGAGAACACGCTGCCCTTGAGCCCCGCCATCTCGGTGGCATCGCCATCATCACCCGAAGCTTTGCACGTATCCACGAGACCAACCTAAAGAAGCAAGGCATGTTGCCCTTGACCTTCTCTAACCCCGAGGACTATGACAAGATCAATCCCGACGACAAGGTCGATCTTCTGGTCACTGGCTTGGAACCCGGCAAGCCCCTGACCATGAGGGTACATCCCAAGGATGGAGAGCCATGGGAGTGCGAATTGTCTCACACATTCAATGCCGGTCAAATCGAATGGTTCAAGAATGGTAGCGCTTTGAACACGATGGCCAAGAATCAGGGCGGAAAGTAAAGCACTGGAAAATCAACATGCAATTTTGTGTACAGGGTGCAGGTCAACTAAGTCAACATCTACGACACCAAGCATCGGTGACCCGTAATAGCCTCCGACATGCCTGTCGAGCAGGGCGAAGTCTAGCGTCGATTATGTCGGATAGTGTGCTATGGTGGGTGGGGAGCACGATGTTCATGTATTTTCCGTAGCGAGTCTACCAATGCGCAAGGTTATGGTCGTTCAAACCAGATTCTCCTGGCTTTGACGTGGTCGCGCCAGCTTGTGAGCACATTGTATATCAGATGCCGCGAGCAGATGAACCTCGGCACCAAGGAAGCGGATTATCGATTCGACGTGTGCTACGGGTACGAGGACGAGGGATGCACGATTGCGGAGGCGCCGTATCTTCCATCACTGTGCATGTAATGTATCTACACGATTGCCGTGGCTTGCATTTATTTTATTCCGGACCAGGCACCAAAACTCCTCGGCATCTAGTTCCACCCAAGGACGTTCCCCCCGGAATACCGCAGGGTTACACATCGCCATCCCCGCATAAGCTGTCGTTCATCGACTTGGATCTTTTTGATCAGCGCGAGAGCCTCTAAGACTCACAAGAGGACTTACTCAGAGCCGCAGCCGATCAGTCTGTCTCCGACCAGGTCGGAGAACTGTTTGCCACCACCGACCTCTGACACCTTCGGTGCCCAGTTCCAGGACCAGTGCCGGTGTACTCGGCCAGATCTCAAGCGAGCAGGTCGACGAGTATATGCATGCATATTACCCTGGGCGTTCGACGACTCATCCATACATCCGCATCCACATTCATATCGCGAACATACCGACGCGGCATGGCGCAGAATCTACCTCATCTCCCGGACTGGGAGCGGCTTAGTACCAACATCATCAGGATCATGGGCGGCAATCCTAGCAAGGTGAGTGAGTGCGATTCTCGGTGGCTTGGTATTTTGCCTCCCTCAATCTAGTGGTTGTAGCGATCGTCAAGGTCGTCCCGCCATGCTTTCGCTTGATGAGAAGGAGGAGGAAGAACGTGGACTTGCAACTACTCGGAAAGAGATCTGGGAGAAGAGGGAGAAGCCATATTATGGACAAATTTGCGTTCTTTTGTTTTGAGGATGGGAATCCCTCCCTGCATGCACGCACCATATGCTTCTACAACACTGTCCCATTTCTAATCCCTCCCGCAGTTCACCCTCCAAGGCACAAACACGTACCTCCTCGGCTCCGGCCCGTCGCGCATCCTCATCGACACCGGCAGCGGCGAGAAGAAATGGATCGACACCGTCCGCGCGGTCCTCACCTCCGCCTCCGCGAGCCCGAAACCACTCCACATATCCACCTGCCTCCTGACACACTGGCACCACGACCACATAGGCGGCGTGACCGACCTGGAACGACTCACCGCCGACCTTAACCCGGGCCACGAATTGAAAGTCTACAAGAACCTCCCAACCTGGAACCCGGACTCGCTGATCGATCCGTCTCGCGTGCACGACATCCATGACGGCCAGGAATTTGTGACCGCTGGGGGAGACGGAGACGGAGACGACGACTCCTCTTCCTTCGCGATCCAAGCCATTCACACCCCCGGCCACGCGAAAGACCACATGGTCTTCCAGATCACGCGGTCGCCGGACGCTTCTGAGGTGGGCGCCCTCTTCACGGCGGACAACGTTCTCGGACACGGCACCGCCGTGTTCGAAGACCTCCAGCTGTATCTGCAGAGCTTAGACGTGATGAAAAGACGGGTCGTCGGCGCAGTGGCAGCGCAACAACGTCGACAGGGAGCTAGGCAGAGTGGCATTACAGAATCGAATGCGAGTTCGATTTCAGGGGGACCGAACTCGGCTGCCCATGCTCGCACCGGGGCCACACAACAACAAGGCCAACAGGACGCTCAACAAAGTGGTATTTCAGATTCCACTTCGAGTTCGATCTCCGGTGGACCAAATTCATCTGCTCACGCCCACGCCGGCCCTGACACGCAACAACGCCAACACGACGCTCACCAGAGTGGCGTGTCAGATTCCAGTGCGAGTTCGATTTCTGGGGGACCAAATTCATCTGCTCACGCCCGAGCTGGTGCCGGCGCCGAAGCTGACGCTGACTCAAGTTCGATTTCTGGGGGCCCGAACTCATCCGCCCATACCCGCGCTGGTGCTGACACGCAGCAACGCCAACAGCACATTCCTCACAGTGGCACTTCGGAATCGAGCTCGATCTCAGGGGGACCCAACTCATCCGCCCACGCCCGTGCAGGCACTGACTCTAACGCCGACTCGAGTTCGATTTCTGGAGGACCGAACTCATCCGCTCATCACGTCCACGCCAGCGCTGACGCCTCCGTCTCAAGCCACACGACAGCCACCATCGCCAAGAGAGCATACCCCGGCCACGGCCAATTCATCGACGACGCGGTGGGCAAGATCGACGAATACATCGCCCACAGACGCATGCGCGAGGAGGAGGCCCTCAACGTGTTGAAGTACGGAACCGTGAATTCGCCGCACCAGTCAAGCACGCCCGTCGTGCACGACTCGATCACCCTCACCACGACAGGTCACAGCGAGAGCGGGAGTGATGCGACGGGCCCGAAGGAAGTGATCGTGGGCAAAGAATGGGAGAGTATGGAGATGGTGAGGGTCATTTATCGGCATTACCCGGAGAACCTGTGGGAGCCGGCGGAGAAGGGCCTGTTGATGGTGCTGGAAAAGTTGAGGAGGGATGGGCGCGTCGTTCGTGTGGGCGCGTCGGGGTCTGAAGGGAACAGGGGAAAATGGAGGGTTAGTGAGAAGGCGGCGCTGTGAGGCTGGGCTGACATAGTCGAACAGGAGGGGGAGGTCGAGAGTTACGTACTTTGGTAGTGACAAGACGACGCTTTGACGGTGGAGTGGAAGCCGGAAGTGAACACAAAAGACATAACAGAGAAGACACAACGAACAGTCGAGAACCAGTAGTGAGCGTTGGGCGCGTATCCACCTCGTCTTCCCGACTACGTACTCGTATGCACTCCAAACATACAGTAGCATACTGTGTAGAGATATTGCATGCAGTGTGGCCCAGCTTAGCCAGGGCCGGCCAGGCTTACGTCTTGTGTATTGTCGAGAATGGGTTCGAATTAGAATACTCCGTACGGGGTACAGGAGAGTAGAATAGGATCAGGCATCATGGAGAAAGAATGTCCAGTACATACGATATTCAGTGCTGTTTATCAGAGACTGTCGGCAATACGGTGGACTTGGTACTCTGTACTTGAACTTCATCGTCTCTGCTGCAATATATGTATACATCTAACATCTATGAATCTTCTCAGCCGCCCTCGACGATAAAAGAAGTGTCCCTTCAGCATCGAGACCTCGCCTCTATTCACCATCACTCTCCTGAGCGATCGGTCTCCCTCCTCCGCTCAACAACTTTGCCATCGCGGCTCCACGCCCTCGTTCGCTGGTGCCTCTTGCGCTGTAGTCGAAACTTCCCGTCGTGCACATGAAACCTGCGGATCCAACCAAAAGTAACAAAGGAAAAGCTTCCTGTCAACGCCGATGCTATGCTGTGCTCAATTCAATCGACACTGTCACCAGAACCACAAAAATTACATTCACATAAGAATCGCCCTCCCTGTGATCAGAGAGACCAGGAATCGGGCACAAACTTGTCAAAATTCGCATCGCAGCAGTTCATCTCGTTCATCTCCGCGCGTCGGGAGCCAGCCACAATTGCGTCCTTCTCTTATTGCTGTTTGTTGAGCTGTTCGAATTTCCAGTGCTATTGGTCGACATGGTTGGACTGCGTGCGTCGGAGGCGTTTGTGTAAAAGTACTCTCCGTCTTGATACACGGCGCCTGTGGTGAACGTGGTTCTGTTCTTTCGGCGGGCGTATTTCTGCTCGAGGCGGTAGAGGTCGAGTTCTGCGACGGGTGATTAGCATGCCGGCATTCCTTTTTTCGAGGTCTAGTAGCGAGCAGACTCACTTGCTTGGAGCTTCTCGAAGAGACCCATTTTGGACGGCTCGAGCAAACGAAAGAGAGATTGCGAGTTCTGTAGAAGTGGTCTTTAATGCACCGACAATGCCCTCGACGTAAGCTGATATCTTCCCAATGCTCGCCTGAAGGGCTCCGTTTTGATACAAGAAGTGTCTTCTTCACGTCTCAAATGCCCCTGCTGACGTATGGGAACTGTGAATGCTGGCTGTCCTGACACCGCTCTCTTTCTTTTCGCGACCAAGATAGAGGACAAGGTCTAGTTATTACGACTGTCCTGACCTCCTGTCCGGATACTTCGGTTCCTGGCGGGGAAATGCTGCAAGGAGGGTAATGTCAACCGGATGGCGGGGCCCGGGGTTGTCCTTATGTGATAGGTGTATGAGGAGACGCGCTCTAGTCAGATGAGCAACTTGTTCGATCTTGGGCGAAAAGCTGACAACCCGTGATACGAAGTTTGGGACCTGCCTCGTGTGCGGGAAGGGATAGGATGGGACGTCTTGTGCGCGCGTGTCGAGTTCGGCCGAACTTGGGCTATGCAGGATCTAATGCAACCTCTTTGGATCTGAAACGAGCGGACAGCTGCAGGCGTGCAGTAGCTAGGAAATCGAGATGCGTTTGCAGTTGCCGAGAAAAAGCAGGTAGAGAGTGACTGTGACTATCGTGTCTAGTGAGTGTAAGTATCCTCGTCGCCAGCAGCGAGAACGGAGTAGAGAGAGTGGGAGTCGCGTGGGTTATGAGCAGCTTGAGCAACGAAAGGAGAGGCGCGTGAACCGTTTGATTCCTCGCGCGCTCACGGCAGGAAAAGGAGTTCGAAAGTTAAAAGGTGGCAGGTGCCCGACGCAATCTCTTCCGGGCGTGGCTTCCACTGTGTAGGGTTTAGGTGGACTTAGTTACATCTTAGGCCCGCTTGGCCCGTTGAACATGGCGGTGGGGGAGCCAGAGGAGCTTAACTAGCGAGCTGCCGCTCCCAGACGTTCGGGCCATTGCAGTAAGTAAAGGAGCCGGGTCTTGGGCTTTCACTGTTGCTGGCCCCGGCGCTGGGAGCGGGCGAGCGACGTGCCTGTGAACACTTCTTGGGCATGACGATGATTGAGATTGAGACCGAAATGCGGCGCGAGATCCGTCTACTGGCATACCATGAACCCAAATGTATCCAACATTGACCTCCTCTTCAGCTTCATCTCGACTATCAATATCGTGCATAGGCATCAAACATGGTCTTAGATTTCCAGCATCGGCACGCAGCATGCCCAGTAACTACTGTACTGTGTAGTATCGAGGCTGCTCTGGCTAAACTCCATCGAGTTGTGGGCGCATTTTCAGGTGGGCATCTCCAGCGCCACGTGCGAGACCAAACTCCCGCCCCTGGCTCATGATCTCGCTTCCAGAGCAACCGTGAGCAGGAAGTCTGGGAAAACCGAGGCCATCGACCCCCAGCGTTCGTTGCCCTGGTTGCGCACGAATCAGATGCTGATTTCCGGGTCACCTCGCGGAATCCCAGAGTACGTGTGAAGACAACAGAGCCAGTTCTCTTGCAGCAGTTGGACGTATCTGACTGTCCCTTGACTGATACTGCTTGACGGTATGGTCTAGAGAGTTCTTTACCTGAGACCCGGTCAAGACTCCTTTTTCTTAGTCTCGCGTTCCTCTTCCAGTTCTTTCTCCAGTGTCATATCTTGACCGATGGACACTTCTTGGGCTGCCCAGAGATCAGCATAGAGACCATGCATGGCCAGCAACTCGGCGTGAGTGCCTTGTTCGACCACTCGCCCCTCTTTGAGCACGAAGATGATGTCGCTGTCAAAGATGGTCCGCAACCGATGCGCCACAAAGACGCTTGTTCGGGCCTTCTCCTTCAAGATACTGTTGATGTTCTGGAGCAGCGTCTGCTCGGTATAGGTGTCCAGGGCCGACGTTGCTTCGTCGAAAAATAGCAGTGGTGGATCCTTCAAAAGGAGTCGCGCCACTGCAAGCCTCTGCTTCTCGCCACCGGAAATCATCATGCCTCGTTCGCCCACCATGGTATTCCATCCGGCGGGCAGACGTTCGATGAGATCGGCAATTCGTGCTCGTTGGGCCGCCTTCTTCACATCGTCCAGCGAAGCATCAATCTTGCCGTAGCGGATGTTGTGCTCGATCGTGTTGTTGAATAGCGGCGTATCCTGCGGAACCACGCCAATGCTTTCTCGCAAGCTGTCGAGGCTGACTTCCTTGATGTTTTGACCATCAATCAGAATCTTCCCGGAATCCGCGTCGTAAAAGCGGAAGAGCAGCCGGAGTATGGTCGACTTCCCACAGCCACTGGGTCCGACAATGGCAACCTTCTTTCCCGCAGGAATGGTCATCGTCAAGTTTTTCAGGATCAGCCGATCAGCGTGATAGCCGAACGAAACGTCTTGAAACCTGATCTCACCTCCTTTGGTCAGAGCGAGCGGTCGCGGGTTTGCGACCTCCTTGACGGTCACGTTGACTTTCTGCAAGTTGAACAGTGTCTCCATGTCCAAGAGAGATTGCCGCAGTTCTCGGTATACCGAACCCAAGAAATTCAGCGGTACTGATAGCTGGAAGACGAGTTGATTGACCATGACCAAATCTCCAACCGTCAACGCACCACTTGCCACCCCGTTTGCCGCCATGTACATCATGGCTGCCAGAGCACCCGAGAAGATTACATTCTGACCTGTGTTCAGGAAAGCCAGCGAAGTTGTCACTTTGATCGATGCATCCTCGTATTTCTTCAACGCCGCATCGTATCGGTTAACCTCGAACCTCTCGTTGTTGAAGTACTTGACAGCCTCGTAGTTGATCAGAGTGTCAACGGCAACTGTAGCTCCCTGGTTATCCGCGGCATTGGCCTGTTTGCGAAATTTGGTCCTCCAAGAAGTCGTCGTGATAGTGAACGTTGAATATGCCACCATCGTAGCAGCAGTAATGGCCGCGAACTGCGCGCCGTACTGATACGTTAGAATGCCGCAGACCAGCGAGATCTCCAGTACCGTAGGGAAGATGTGGAATAACATCGACGTTAGCAAGAAGCTGATCCCCTTGGTACCACGGTCCAGCGCTCTTGTCAGTCCACCAGTTTGCCGTGACAGGTGAAAGTTTAGGTCGAGTCTTAGTAGATGTGCGAAGACATTCTTGGCCACGTTGCGTATGGCCTTCTGAGCAACACTGGCAAAGACGGCATTCCGGAGCTCCTGGAACAAGGTGGCCCCGATGCGAGTCACGCCGTAGGCCACGATCATGGAGCCCGCCACCGTCCAGGCAGTGCCACCCACGGCCAGAAAATCAATGTTCATCGAGTCCACGATGTTCTTAAAGTAGAATGGAACATTGACATTCAGGATCTTCGCCCCGACCAACAGTGAAAGCGCGCCGCCGACGCGAAGTTTCGTGCCCCAGTCGCCCTTTGGCCACAGATACTGGACCATCTCCCTCATGATGGCCAGATCAACTTTCCGCTGCTCCTTGTTGGAGATGACCTTCTCCGATAGCAGGGCTTCCTTCTTGGGCGCAACCGGTGCAGCCCTGGGCGGCTGGGCATCCTGTAGAGACTCCGGCTTGGTGACGTCTGACGTGTCGGACCTCGCTACAGGCTTTTCAGCAACTGAGCCGGCCTGTAGGCTCTTCTTGGACTCATCCTGGCGCCTAGCGAACGCTGAGTGTCTGAAAGCCCGAACCTCAGATTTCACTCCCACATGGCTGCGTACGCAAGCCAGAGGGGCAGAAACAGGATAGAGCGACTTCGAGAGCTTCCCCCTTCCACACGTGAATGAGAAGAGTCTTCGAGACAGCATGATGGTGTTAACGACTTGCTCGTCCCCTTCCGGGCACGCTGACACCGAATATCGGGGGGATCAAGGCATCATCCCTCCTCCCGGTGCGACATGGAATTTGTGGCTCGCGATACTGGCAAATCCCGACGATAACTTGCAGAGCTATCGTAAGGTGTCCTGCACGACTGTTCGATAGGCTCACCGGAGTAGCTGCTTCGTAGCAGTCACAGCGACAGTGTCAGAAGTCTGCCTGAAGCTACGGGCGAGCCAAATTGCTTGCCTGAGGCCTTGCGTTTAGGAATGGTGTGCGCCGCCGTGTTCGCTGTGTTTTTCTTACGGTGGATATTTACGCTTGGTTTCCCCGGGCTGTCCAAGGCTGCTCTCTAGTTCCACAGGGTACGTACTTTCTTCTGACCAGCTTTCCCGGCATACCGTAGGGTGCCTCGACGTTACACATCCTGTGGACAATAAGGTCATATTCACATCCGCCGCAAGAGCTTATGTATCGCCATAACTAAGGGAACTCTCTTGACAAAGCAGTCGCGAGTCAATCAGAAATCGCGCCCTCGAAGCACATGTTGTCTGAATATTTATCACAATAGCTCGCATGTATCATCAAACAGGAATAAAGTACATACAGGACCGCCACCAGGTCCCCCATTGACTCCGATCAGATCCTTTGGTATACCACAGAACGCATATGAAAATCGATGTATCATGGTATCATCGCTACTTGGAAGCAAAGCTGAAATCATCAGAAGCAGATAGCCAGCCCCATCCCACCTCCACGTGGTTTAGTATGTTTCTCACCTTGCCGGGACACCACATTCGACCTGGTAGCAAGTACTGAATCATTGCTAGATGACAGGTTACATCAACCTGCCCGTGACCGTACTCATACAACGACTTGCCTCTGGGCGGTCTCGTTGACTGCGAGGGGAACTGCACATTGTGGGTTCGACTTCCTGAATGACAAGGTGGTACCTGTGATTGCCTTGTTCTTGTCCTTTTCTCTGAGGTTCTCTCGCGGCTCTACTTTTCGGAGGTCAAGATCCTCCTCATTATCCTCCTTCGGTGTGGTGGTCTTCGGAAGCTGCACTTGCGACAATGTCCAAGTCTTGGTTGGTCCCATCTGATAGCCTTGAGGCGTCGGCGTCGCATCTTTACCTTGTAGGCTCCCACTGTGCTCCGGCCCAGGACTCGGGATATTCGTACCATTACTTATTTGCCGTCTCCCTACGACATCAGCCTTGTTGAACTGCGGTGCTTCCTCGCTGGTAGACTGAAACACTGATGGCTGCTCCACCAGTGGCGTTCCGCCAAATTGATCGCCCAGGCAGCGAAGGATGCCCACGAAGTATTGGTGGAGGAATGCGAAGATGTTCTCGTCACCGACAATCTCGGCGAGGCTTCGAGGTGTGGCCTGTCCAGCACGTCGAGGGTGGCCGGTCGGATCCATGGTTCGGGATGTCAGGAACGAAGACACGGGCGTGTAGTTCCTAGCTCCAGCTCTGTTTGTTTCCGCTGACAGCTTTTCCTCTCTCTCGCGTTGTCTGTCCTGGTTTCTTTGAGCGGCTGCTTCGATACCTTTGGCCATGCGCTTGAATGAGTTCCATAGCATTGGACAAGCCTGAAAGGCGCGACTGGCATCTTTACCTGCAAGGGCGACGAAAGCGTATGCACGGCGTCGGCCTCTGGCTTTTGGATCAGTCAACCGGAAGACATGTGCAATAGTATAGCCCGTGTTCGAATCGCCGAAGCAGAAGGGACCATCCGACATGCCCCGTGGAAGCAGCTCGCAGGACAGCGTTCGGATAACGGATGCGCGCAGTTGTGCATAGCTCTCGGGATCAACAGGAGATTTCGCGGTAAGATAGGTTACTGTATGGTCGTGACAGTCGTCTGAGTGATGAGACTGTGGGCGCGAGCTCGTCTGAGAAAGGGCAGAAGAAACGACAGACGAGCCATAGGACGAAGACTTGGAGTCGTATGAGGCTTGAACACTCCTTTTGCGTCTCTTCTTTTCGCGCAAACACACAAACTCTCTCGAACGTAGTACGGGCGGTCCTGTGTTGGCCGTGCTTGCGCCATCGGCTCTCTTGCTGCCTGGCGCGCCCGCGGGGAGTTGCTCAGCCACAGCCTTGGGAACGGAGAAAGTGCAGCTGGCACATGTCTCTCCTTGATTACGACCATAGCGCCATTGCGAGGCACCCGTCTGTTTCTGGTCTACCGGCTGGAATAGCGGGTGTTTCTCAATGATCGGACTTTCGGGCTCGGAGTCGACGTTGGTAGATGCGCCGGAAAAGTCGGTCGGCAACGTGGAGTTTGTGTCAGTTTTGCGTAAAGTTGGTGGTGCGTGGAGGTCCTGCGAGGACTCCAGCGAAGAGTCATTGACTTTGGTGTGGAAGGAATCGGTGGAGGAAGATGCTCTCAGTGGAGGCGATGGTGGCAGGCATACTGCGCACTCTAACGGAAGGACTTGTGTACAAAGGACGGACTTTGGGCCATGCGCCTCACAGAAATGCGTGAGAGCGAGCTGCAAAAGGCTTTATTAGGTGCTGTTGAGCCAGACTGAAGGGGTGTGGGAAATGACAAGGTCATGCGGCAGCCTGGACACCATCGTGACGAAGGCGCTCGGAGTATGCCCATGAGACTGCGTACCGTGAAATCCATTCTTTATCTCACTGCAATGTTGCCTTTCTCTTTATCTCCTTTGACGAGCCCGCAAACTGTCCTACAATCTGTGGAGAACGTTGTGCATGTTCGGACCTGGCTGGCGGACACCTCTGGCCGGATTGAAGCCAGCCATCATCTATTCCCAAGAGGACGGTCGGGATGCTGTCAGGCGCGACTACTGTATAGCGACTATTGGCGCAACGATCAGGATGAGGGAATCGTTGAGGGGCGCTGAGAGGAGGGCAAGAGCTCGTGTGCTCGTTCGAGGCGACAAACGTAACCGACGCAACCGTGGGTCCGCAAGCGGTGGAGATGAGTGTGATTGCGATCTGAAGATCTCCGGCAGGACAAACGGCTAAGGATCGCGTGATGGATTCGTGGTTGATGAGAACTACGAGTAGTATGTGTAGGAGGGGATTGAGGGCGATGCGAGAAGATGACAGTTCACCTTGTCGCTTCTCTCACTTTGGCTTCACTTTGTCATAAGTGAATAAGTCAGTGAGGCAGTGGTGTTCTAGCCTTCCTCAGTCTTGTCGCAGACCGCCACTTGTGATGGCATCCTGGGAATCCTCCGTCGCATCCAATCAGGGATGGAATGATGACAAGGCTTCTAGGCCTCCTCCGGAAGGGAAATCGGAAGCGACGCACGCGGGTCATCGACGTCCTCTCATCCATTCTCTAGGCTTAAGATGGCACGGATGGACGTGCATCTGGCCGGTCGGATAGTCCGGACTCTGCAGCTAGTATGTACTCTTTGACACTACTCATGTATGGAGGAACCAATTCAACTGCTTTGAGTAGTGAGTGCGCCTCTGTCGGCAATGATAGCTGTCGTCTTAACTGTGATCGCCGGGCTGGTCCGATTCTACTGACTTCTGCCATTGCTTGTACCCATCTCTCTATGCGCCCAATCCGTCCTAAACCTTCCGTCTGCCGTTGCTTTGGGTACTACAAGTGCAACACGGTAACCTTGTCGCTGAATATCATCCACCTGTATCTCAGGTCCTGTAGTCAGACTGAGCTCTCTTTTGGCAACGTCGATCTCCTGCACAATTGCTAACCCCAAGCAGAAGGAATGCTGAGCTCGACACTGCAAGAAGTCCTCGACTCCAGCATGTTCTTGCCAGCGGGGCAGGCCTTCGTCAGTCCGCCTTACTTCGCCCGATCGGAAGCCGCTTTTTAAACTGTCCGTCTCCAGCCCACTATCTGGATGTACCAGAGTTTCGGACATCGGAACAGCCACCAGTGCAACAAGGCTTCCGCCCAAAGCTTCGTACGTGTCCTCAAGGGCGACATGGCTGCCTAACAAGATGATGACGCATATTATTCCCCCATCACTGCGATATGATAGTGTCGCCGTTCGAGACGTCGTCGCTAGGATCGGCATTTCGCTCCAGAGTTGGCGACTGGTGTCTGAACCTTCCAGGTGGAAGTACGACTGCATTTGCAGATTGTGCTCTCGCACAACCGGAATCCTATCAAATACCTGAACCGGCATTCGGCAAATGGCACAGCTGTCTCTCCCAGCAAGTAGACGCCAAGGCTCCAGATGAGGCGATGCTGGATTCGGGTCGAGGCAAATGATTTGTGTGGGCGACATCTTGTTCCAGAGCTTGCTCGCTGTACTGGGATCGACTCCGTTCAGCCACTTTGGGAGAACGATAACAACCGGCGTATTTTTCCGCCTTGTCTGGGAGTCCTTTTCAAGGTCCAGAAGATCGTACACTTTTGCAAGGTGCCAATCTGCCAGATCTATAGCGTCTATGTCACCAAGGAAATGCTTTCTCAACATAGGGTTAGTATCGGCCTTTGATGGCGGCATTAGGTGCGTGAACGGCGGGCCGAACACCAGATTGCGGACATGTACCAAACTGATCATTCCTGGCGGCGCAAACTCCGGCGTGTTTGCGTCTAGATCCACCAGGGTAACACCGGCCATGTGTGCAGACTTGGAGCTATTAGCCTGTTTGGCAAGCAAGCGGTTTGTGATGCATCTGACTAGTGTCGAAAGTCCAGACGACCGTCTGCCGCAGACCAGGACTCTCGGTGGTGATGCCGCGTCGTAGTCTATCACATTGGCGAGCAAGGTTTTCCACGGGTCAATGTTCAGCTCTCTGAGGCGTCTTGGGGCTTTCAGGTCTAGCTCGAAAGAATGTCCTAGCACGTAAAATGGCGAAGCAGAGTGTTTGATACCAGGTGGGGCCCACTTATCCCTGGTTCCCATGGAAGGTAGATCGTTGATGCCATCGTGGGAAGGATCTAGTTGCAGCTCGGCCTGGTTTGTCATCGCCTCAATGGAAGGGAGTGCATGAGTGCTGGGGGCATAGATACGGTAGGTGGTTGGCGAGGCTGACAGGACTGCACCGTAGATGAAGACTGATCCTTGCTTGACCCAAAGAAGACAGGTGCCTAACACGATGCATTTCTATCCCCGTCAGAAGATTCACATAGCCTTGGGTGCCCAGCGTAATGACATACCTGTCCTCTAGACAAGCGGATCCTGACCGAGTTCCGCGGCAATTGGTCCACTTCTCTGGAAGAGCTGAATACAACAGCAGATGCTTCAACTAGGGTCGAGAACTGGTTCACTGTCTCAACACCATCATCTTGGGATGTGCTTTCATCGGTATTCGTGGAGTCTGGCTTTGCAGTAACCCCATTTCGTTCGGCGTCCCCTGCCTCTACAGGCGATAGCCTAGTAGATGTCGACCCGGCCGACACACTTGTCTGCAGGAGGCGCCGTCTGGCAACCGCACTGAGCCTGTGACCATCTGATGAAATGTCAGTACGGTGTCAACCCCTTTTCAACAATCGCTAACATACTCGCTTGCATGGGACTTGCGTCTGATACAACAAGCAAAGAGGGTAAGTCGGAAGTAGCAGAAGCAAGCCTACTGGCTCACAACTGACTGCAGTCTGCCACGTGCACAGACCGTGATTGATTCGGACAGGGCCCTCTAGGGCAGCAAGGCATATGTGGCTTTCTTGGACATAATGAGGCATCAAGCACAGAGTTGCATGACTTGCCGATGGCCTTTTACTTGTCACTAATGCTTGCCACGCTAGCGCCGGGTATAGCCGCCGCTAAGATTTGGTTTCACTTGCACTTTGATTCGCAGTGAAACTTTTTGAGATCTCTTTGACTTTAAAATCAGACACTGCAAGAAAGTTCACACTCCAGATCATCGCTTCTATCATAAAAAAAATCCCAGGGCAGCGGCGGTGGTGACTGAATGTTCTTGCAGAAGGAAGTGCGTGTTGCGGCAGAAAATGACTCAAGCTGCGCGCTCCTATCCTCTCAGTGCTGAGCGGGTGTACGACTCTAGCGATGAAGACGAAGCCCAGAGCGTCGTGGACCATGATGCGTTGACTACCAACCCGAGGACTTCTAACGGCGTCAAAGGTCAGAATTGTCAAACTCTACTGTCTCATTGACCCAAGGACCATGACTGACAACTGTGACAGATCATCATGGGGACGACGACAGCAGCGATGGAGAGGCTTCCGACAGTGAGGATGAGAAGACCGCTGAATCCGAAGACGAGAGCGAGGACGGCCAAAGCGAGCCGGCAATTGATTCAGCAGTGACGCCGGCTTCGAGCCAGAAGACACGCTCCTCACCAACCCCAGAACTCGAAGAGACTGCTGCCAAGTCCATGCAATCCGGAGCTGCAATTCCTGCAAAACCATTCAAGGCACCAAAGGGCTATGAGCCGATTGCACTCTCACCGTCCGACACTAGCCCAACAGTGCGCCAATTTCACGATTTGTCGGAGAAGGAAGTTTGGCTCATCGCTGCTCCTGAAGATGTCCCCGTTGAATCCATCAAGGAGTTGGCCGTCGATGCTGTCATGCGCGGTCAACCCATTATCAACCACAATGGTATCGCATACGGTATGCAGCCATTGTCATCCAAGAACGAAACAGTCTTGCTCCCTCAAGCAGCAGATGCGCGTTACCATCAGGCGGAGAAGAACATTGAGCGTAGCTTCATCATGCGGGAAGTCAATAACCAGGACAAGGTTCCATCCCAGGAAGACACTCCACAGACCTTCACAGCAACACGACCTGGGAAGCCGAAAGAAATCCGACAGCAACCTGAAGGATTGAAGAAGCGATACACACCTCCCGGAGTTTCTGCACGCACAGCTGCGCAGTCTCAGCAAGACGTCGTGATGGATAATGCACCTGCTCCTGCTCCAGCTGCACGCTCCAAGAAAAGTGCCAATGGGAAGGAGCCAAAAGAAAATTCCTCGGGAAAGAGGAAGCGAGGTTAGGGATCTCCTTCTTCGCCGACCGGATCCCTCAACGTGGCGACCAATGGCCAGGATGTGAGCAGGAGGAATCCGGGGAAGAAAATCATCTTGTATTTAGTGGGAAATGAGTCGCCTGACTCTTCCGAAGAGGATTTCATGCAACCGACGTGCACTCCTCAGAACGAACCCTTCAGGTGCCATTGGCGAGGATGCACCCTGCACTTAGATTCTTGCGTGGATCTTAAGGTCAGTTCCTTCTCTTTGCAAACGCTCTAATTTCATTGCGGCTGACGTCAATCTAGGACCACGTCAATGCAGACCACGTTGGTACCAGAAGTAGCATGAACTTCACTGCAGACTGCGGCTGGGGCGATTGTCAATACAGTGCTCCTGAAGGAAAACGCGACCACATCCACTCCCACATCACATCTCACACAACCGCCGCTATCCGCGCTGAATTACGCGCGCGGAGGCGGAGGTGGACAATGTAAGGCGCATCGTGAAGGGTGATGGTGCTTGCAGTGAAGCGCGCCATGAAGGAGAGCCCCCGGGTGATACTTTTGCCTGTGATGACTGGTACTTTAGCGAAAGGGTGTTGAAGGTGCAATGAAGAGCTAGCCTTGCGTTGGATGCATGCAAGCATGTGGCCGGAGTGGACCCTGCCACCCGAAAGTGCGGGGCGGGGATTTCGCACCGCAATCAGCAAAAAAAAGTGTCCGAGAAGCTTGAAATTCCCATGACTCTTGGACATTCCCTCCCTAATTTTTGTGCGTCTTACACTATTGACAGCTTCTATCACTGTGTTGCGCCTGTGCTAGGAACTTAGAAATCATGGGTTCCATGGCTGCGTCTAGCTATGCCCTCTCCCAGTCTCACAAAGAGGTGAGTGTCTGCTCATGCGCCTTTTGGGGCCACAAAGCTGACATGGAGGGTGCAACTAGATGCTCGAGAAGTCCTTGGTCGAGTCGGACCCAGAGATTGCGGAGATCATGGTATCTTCTACACATCCTGTCCAGAAATCATTCTGTATTGACGCTCTTTCCCAGAAAAAAGAAATCAAGCGCCAACGCGAGTCGATCATCCTCATTGCCTCTGAGAATGTCACATCCCGCGCCGTCTTCGATGCTCTTGGCTCCCCCATGTCGAACAAGTACAGTGAAGGCTACCCGGGAGCCCGCTACTACGGTGGAAACCAACATATCGACTCTATTGAGCTCACCTGTCAGTCCCGGGCTTTGAAGGCGTTCAACCTGGATCCAGAGAAGTGGGGAGTCAACGTACAATGCTTGAGTGGTTCTCCTGCGAACCTGCAGGTGTACCAGGCATTGATGAGACCCCACGATCGGTTAATGGGCTTGGACCTACCACACGGCGGGCATTTGAGCCACGGGTATCAGACACCGCAGAGGAAGTAAGCACTCTACACAACGTCTCACGGACGAGCTGGATGATTGACAGTAATTCACAGGATTTCCGCCGTCTCAACCTACTTCGAAACCTTCCCCTACCGAGTAAACCTCGACACCGGCATCATCGACTACGACCGACTCGAAGAGAACGCCCTCATGTACCGCCCTAAATGCATCGTCGCAGGCACATCGGCCTACTGCCGGCTCATCGATTATGCCCGCATGCGACAGATCGCAGACAAGGTCGGAGCATACCTGATTGTCGACATGGCACACATTTCCGGCCTCATCGCCGCGGGTGTCATTCCTTCTCCATTCGAACACGCCGATGTTGTCACCACTACCACCCACAAATCTCTCCGTGGCCCAAGAGGAGCAATGATCTTTTTCCGCAAGGGCGTTCGCAGAACGGACGCCAAGACCGGCAAGCAAGTCATCTACGACCTCGAAGGCCCCATCAATTTCTCCGTCTTCCCTGGCCACCAGGGTGGCCCGCATAACCACACCATCACTGCGTTGGCAGTCGCACTGAAGCAAGCTGCGTCGCCGGAGTTCAGGGCGTACCAGGAACAAGTGCTCAAGAACGCGAAAGCTCTCGAGTCCGAGTTCAAAGAGCTGGGATACAAACTTGTCGCGGATGGGACGGATTCACACATGGTGTTGCTCGACTTGCGTCCACAAGCTCTCGATGGTGCTCGGCTCGAAGCTGTGCTCGAGCAGATCAACATCGCGTGCAACAAGAACAGCATTCCCGGGGACAAGTCTGCCTTGACGCCATACGGTATCCGCATTGGTGCCCCGGCTATGACCTCTCGAGGCTTTGGAGAGGAGGACTTCAAGAGAGTGGCCCGATATATCGACCAGAGCATCAAGCTATGCAAGAAGGTCCAGGGTGAGCTGCCCAAGGAGGCGAACAAGCTGAAGGACTTCAAGGAGAAGGTCGCCGGCGAATCTGTTGAGGAGATTCTGAAGCTAAGACAGGAGGTCGCGGATTGGGCCTCGAGCTTCCCCTTGCCGGTGTAGACCACGGTTCTCGTTCGGGAGATATCATGGATGATGAAACTCGGCGTTCGATCGGTGGGTATATTTTCTTTCCCAGATTTCAACGAACTTCGGACTTTGGTTCCGCCTGGTCGGTAGCGGTAGTCAGAAAAGTCTGCGCGGTATCTTCAACGATACCCTTCAACGGCGGGGAATTTGCGCCGCAATCAAGATAGAGCCGGTGAAGATTCCTAACCCGCATGGGCAAGATCATCTCTCTCGTGCCGCCCTACTAGCGTAGGCTTCGTTGCCATTCATCCCGTGTTTGGGAAACTCGCCATAATTGCTGTTCATTGCAAGTTGAAAGAGATGGTCGCGGTCTGCGCCGTAGGGACCGTTCGCCGAACTTGGAGCGACTCCCACATACTCTGCCCCCGGCTCGGTTCTCATCCTTCCTCCTGCTCTGTCATCTCCACATCTGCCTTCTCGCGCGCAATCGCGCCTAACGCGCCTAGCCGTGTTTTCAACGCCCTCACCATGGCCTCCAGCTTTCGAATCTCCGCCTCCTGCTCCTCCACGGTCCTCTCCACGTCCGGCAACTCCTCCACCGCGGCGCGTGCCCTCGCCAATTTTTGCCTCAGCGGATAGATCTGGCCCGGCAGGTCTTTGAGCTCGAGCAGACTCGCTCCGTTGAGAATTGAAGCGGGAATCTGGGATCCCGTCACTGTAGCGGCCGAATGCGTCTGTGATGGAAGATGCTGGGTTGAGGAGGTTTGAGTTTGAGACGATTGCGATTGCGACTGCGAGTGTCCGTTCAGTTGCGGTTGGTGGAGGAGGTTTAAGCGTGCGAGGAGGATGTAGATGTCCGGGAGGATGGAGAAGGTCGAAGGAGGGGGTAGGGGGGGAACGTCCCGGTGAGTCTGAGGTGAGGGCATCGTTGGGGAGGAGAAAGTTCTTAGTAGGCTGGGTGGTCAACTGTGTGGAAAGTGTTCAAGCGTGGCAGATTAATTTGTTGGAGGGAGCAATTTAGAAGTGCCGGATGATCATCTCCGCAGGACGGGGCTCGTGCAGCCTTGTCAGCCTCGTTGGTGGGGTGAAGCACGGCAGGCTGAAGATTTACAGGGACGATCTACGGAGCACGCGAGTACTGGGTACAAAACAGAGAGACTACTCCGTACGCGGCGGCACGTCCTCGATACGTCCTATTTAGTTTGGCATCTCCCATCTCCATCCGTTTCTACTCTATATCAACAATGGTATCTAAATTTGACACCGGAACGTGGTCAATGCCAGGCCGTACAATATGTGGAGCGCATTCGGCCGCTTGCTCTCTCCCCCCACCTCGGCTGTCCATCCTTCAGTCGCGTTTCTCGACCTCCGAGTGAATCATCCTACGGTCCCGTTTGTTCCAAAATGGATTTCGAGATTCAAACTTGCAGCTTGTTTCTCCCCTTCGGTCACGTATCCAATCTACGATCAGCGTACGGCGTGAAGTCCTTGAACTCAAGTATTGTCTAGGCACAGTAATTTTCGCGCCGATGTCGCTCGTAGGCCACGCATGCGAGATGCGGTCAGTGAGAGTCGACCGGGCGTCCCCTCTTCGCTAAAGTCACGGAGTTTATCAGTAGAGCTGAGAAAAGCAGAGCTAGCCCATGATCCTGCTCGTTGCACAATCTGCGGACGAACTACGCAGGACGTGTCTACACAATCGAGACAGTACACAGTGTGCGGTGCTCCTGCCCACTAGTACCAGTCCATCGCACAGCCTCGGCTAGATCTCCGAACAGGGCATTCTGCCGACGGCCGGGAGACTCGTACTGAGCATCGACAGCAAAAAGCCGATCGAGGATTTCTTTTCCCTTTCGCATCTTCGATCACGGCGTTTGGTTGCTAGAATGCCGTATTCCGTGTACGCACAGTGCATAGAATGCGTGCACGTACGACTTTTGACCTCTATCATGACTTCCCCCTGAAGGGACGGCAAGCAATGCAATCAGCAGGAAACGACATGCTAGTGATGTATGGACTCGGACTGTTTGCGCCAACGCATGCATCATGATGGTGGTGAGCGATCTTCTCTGCGGTAAGAGATCTCAACAATTCAATGGGAAGCAATTCCTCTGCCTCCCTTCCCCCACGTCCTCCCACCCAATGTCTGTGCCGCGGGACCCCCCTGGCAACTCAACACCCTTATCTTACTATTCACCGCTTCATCTTCCACCACGAGCCATTCAACGACGGGCCGATAACCTTATATTACATCACGACTACCGTACCTTTAGTAGTCGGGAAGTACCCCTGCACTATCAAATTGCAGCAACAAATTTCATGCCAGACGATGAGAAGGACCTCCGGAAGGCGTCCTCGTAGTGCACAGTGTACGACCAAAGCACAGTGGCGCGTAGCTCGTAGTGGATTGCCGATCTCCTCGGCCTTGAATTCCGAATACCGAGGACTGGGAAGAGACTGACTCAGGCGCGCAGTCGCATTGGCATCCGCAACTCACACTCGTCACCTCCCTTATACCCGCGAATACGAGTTATCGCGAGATAACCCGGGTGACTTCCTCCTCGTGTATATACTTAGGTATGTGAATCGCGTATGCCCTTAGACTGTGTACTGTGGTTCGGAGTCCCGAGTTCTACGATACCTAGGTACTCATCCTGTGTACAGTAGAGTACGTAGCGCATTCACGCCAGGCGAGCACTTAAGGAGGCCAGGACATTTTGTCCACCGTCGATCATGCTTTCGATCGCCCGCTCGCTTGATCCGCGCACTGTATCCAGAAGCCCGCCATCTACGGTCCCCACCTAAAAGCAAAATTCTTCCCAATCCAATGTTGTCGAAAAGGTGTGACTCATGACTCACCCACAGACATGCAACCCTAACAAAGGCCGACACTACGGCGCCAGTAACCGAGCACGAGGCACTAATTACATAACTTCCGATCCGGCTACCAGTACGAGTTGCCCTTAATGGGACACAAAATCCCAAAGCGGTTGCATTTGATGCACGAACACGGACCCAGTACACAGTAGTTTTGCGCAAAATTCTTCAAAACCTCCCTACCTAACCAGGTGGCCCACTTCAAAGCACGTCCTGCGTGTATCGAGTGTCCACAACTCAGGTACGAGCCACAAGAAGGCCCGCTGAACATTCTGGAAGAGGGTCTCGTCTCCCATCTCTGGTAAAAGTTTTGCGTTTTCGGCGGCCGTACCGAATACCTCGTACGAGGACCCGACGGGCTTTCTCTGCGGCGCAAAAAGAAAATCAAGTGGTGTTGTGGTCGGACGTGGTCCGTACGAAGGCGAGGACCAAGGCCGCCCTGCCATTGCCCGGTTACTCGTCTTGGAAGCGTTACCCGATCCGGAAGGGTTACCTTGGGTAGTGTTTGACACGTACACGGTAGGATCCCTGTCAGGAACCCACGTGCTAATTACTGTATTGCCGTGTGCCGTGTTTCCGTGTGCTGTGTTCTTTCGTGGCTGTGTACCCAGTAGTTGATTGCACTGTGAGCTGGAAGTCGTATAGGTTGGACTTGGGGGAGGTTGCGCGTGCTCAAGCGGACGTGTACGTTACGGTTTGCGAGGCAGGAAAGCACAAGTCCGGAATCCTGTATTGCGTTGAGAATAGATCTTCCATTTCATGCAGCCGACTGCTCGACTGCTATGTAACTATCTGCCAGAGTGAAATCTGTGCCGTCGCTCGTCTCCGTATCCGTCTTCGCTTCGGTAGGATCTGACTGACAGGATCGCAAGGACCAGGGTCGGACGGTTCCCTTGAGCAGACCGAACGGCAACACGGGTGTAGAGCACAAAGCTCCTCCAATAGCCTGCGTCGCCTCTTCAACTGCTCAAAGTCCTCGTCTGAACCCAGCGTCAATGTTCTCCCATCGTCCGTCAGTCCGTCTTCCATCTCCTCCGCCATCCATGCGGTCTTCGAGGTAAAATGGTCAGCCATAATAATGGGGACATCTCAGAAGATCCATCAACCTTCAATTGCGAAGCCGTAGCTTTGCTGTCCGTGTGTCTGAGACCGTCTGGTCTTCAGCCTGGGGGTATCATCAATAAAAGCCGCTAACAGTCATGTCGTAATCGTAACAAGTCCGTGAGACGAGAGAGAGCCAAAGGAGTAGAGTGCAAAGCCTCATCCAATAGCCTGTGGCTCTCTTCATCTCGAGGGCCTTCGCGACGCCGTCCGCGTCAACGTCAGTTCTTCCTCCCCATCGTCTGAATCCAAGGGGAACCCGTACTCGTCGACGAGTTTCCGTTCCTCCACTAACGTCCGTCGTTGCTGCTGTGATGATGATGATGCTTTGCGTTCTTGCGGGAGCAGGTACTTGTCTTCTGTCGGTGATGTTTGCCGTTCTCGCTCCGTGCGGGCGATCTCTTGGAGGAGCTGTTCCAGGAGGTGGCCGTGGCTGAGTGATAGCCGGAGATCCTCGCGGACTGTCTTGTCCGAGGTCTTTCTTCGTGCTGTTTCGGCCAGGTGGAATGTTTCTTCGCGTGATAGTCTCCGGCTCTGGGTGAGATCACGTGAAGGCGGTCTGCTGAGCGGTGCCATGATTGACAGAGGCATGTTTTGCGCTGGGCAACAGTAGTGTTGATTGTTTTGCTATCGGTAATGGTAGTTGATTGTTTTTGCTATCGAGACTACAGACACACGTGGGATGTGGTTGCTTCTATGTCAACGGAAGATTTTTGCGGTGGATCCTGGTTGTAGAAAAATTTCGGTGTACGATGGCGGTGGGTGGCAGTGTTGTAACAATAGAATCGTGGAAGTGGAAGCCTCGCTGTGACATGTGAAGGCTGAAACTCGGATGAACCCGACCTTTGTCGTCACGAGGCAAGCTGCTTTCGTAATATGCGTCCGAAGGCAAAACGTTTCCGAGCGAGTCGTTGTGGCTGTTCGGTGGTCCGTGGGGTGGAACGGATTTTCTCTGATGGAAGAAGTTTTCCTGTGGACCAGCACGAGGTTGCAATTGTATATATCCTTTACTCTGCAGATTAGCTTGACGGGTGCCTGACTCACCGTCTGATGTTATCCCCGTGGAAACACTCCTTCTCCACCGAGAGAGAGAGCACGTTGCGCTGCGTATTCGTTAGGTTTGCTTGACTAAACCCGTGAGCGAGCCGGCCGGAGGAGACACCAGAGGGGCCCGCAGACAAGACGCACACGGACACGGGCGTAGGGCGCGGTCGGTCGGTCGTGGTCAGCATAACAGTGTCCGATCTGGCAGAAACGGTCCCTCGGACAAATCAGCAAAAGCCATTTGACTCACGCCTAGCGACACCAAGCGTGGCAGGGCAAGAGATTGGCTGATGCCTTCTGGCGTTATGCAGAGGGCAGAGGGAAAAGGCATTGAATTGGGCCGGTCGGAAGCAACTTGCCGTTGAGGAAACCTTGTGCTTTCGAGCGCTCTCTTGCTTGGCTTGTCGCGACCTTTGCCGCCTGGGGAGTGCGCCGTCTTGGGCCCGAGAGTTCACACCGGAGATAATTACAGTACGCTGGAATGGAACGTGCTTCGGCCGACCTCGACGACCCCCTGTAACCCGCGCTCGTATTCGCGCCCTCTTGCCTACTACTGTTCACCGTGGCTTATCACCGTTATGGGCGCATGGACACTCAACCACGCATCACTTTACGGTATATTCGACATTTGACGCCCTGCGCCCTCTCATCAACGTGTTGCTCACGCCTTCTAAGCACCCTGTGCATACGCATTGGAACGACATACGCAATGCATTTGATCTATTCCTGCGGGCCGGTGTAGCCACGTAGCCAGGTTGCGATATCCTACTATGGCATTTCTCCCGAGATTTCAGAGCGTGTTGCACGACATGGGCATCTGCATGCTCGATTCTGCCGTCGAATCCTTGATGGTCGGAGTGTCAGAGTCAGCCGGCCGCGGTGCACTTCGAAATCCATGAGACGGACCAATGCTACGACTTCGGGCCCGCGCGCTGATTATCTGATCCTTGGCCACGCCCTGGTGGTCCGGGGTCCAGACTCTCCGACTCATAAGCAGACCGTTCACGCACAACTGTAGACGGTACACTTCTTGCGTTATTGTTGGCGACTTTACCGACCGGAGGCAGGTGTGGCAGTCAGATGACACGACCATGCACTGGGTTCGTGCTTGCCACGTACTCGTATGTACGAAGCAAACCGCATCGCATTCTTCATCACGAAAGGGGAAGTCATTGCCCTAAGGTTATGGTCATTGGTAGTTGCGAACAGATTCGTGCAGCCTTCGTCAACCCCGGGATTTATGCGCAGCCCTCACCGAGACCCTACCCCGGAAGCTGAGACGACCCCAGCCGCACATTGCGCACGTCGCAACATGGCGTATGCGCGGCCCAGGGTTAGGCGTCCCTATTTATATGCTGCTGCACGAGATCTTCGGGGAGCACGACAAGGTCCTGCCTGGCCTTGGCCTGAAGTCCTGCATATTGGTGAATGCGGGCGGTCTAATTACAGCAACCAGCGGCTCGAACCTGCGAAGCATGCCTTGTATCATGTAGCGCTGGAAGGTCTTGAAACTCCGCCGTTTTCGAACGTGGGTTTCTCTCTCATCAGGGCTGCGCTTTAAGGAGCTCGTGCTGCGACTATTTCGCATCATGCCCAAGTGAAGAGATCAGTGATTAATAGTCCTTCTTGACGAGTAAGGATCCCAGTCGCTCACAACTTGGTGTGGTCCTTGACAGCGTCGCCGACACCATCAAGGCTTCCGCCATTCTTCAATGGTCGACCCTGGCTGATGATGCTTGCACGACGTTCTTTTGCAGCCTCCTCTCGTTTCAAGAACCTCTCTTGCTCCCTTCTGCTTTTCTGCAAGTCCACGAAGAAGAACAGGAGCAGAAAACTCAACAAGCTCAAGCCGAAGAGGAAGTAAAACGGCAGACTGTTGTTGCCCTTTGGATCCGCGTCGATGATAGCGCTGCTCACAATCGGGCCAATGAATGCGCTGGTCTTGCCCATGATTGAGTACAAGCTGAAGAACAAGAACCTAGGGTTGTTAGCCATGGTCGTGAGGTTGGGGCGGGTGCGCTCACTCTTTCCCTCGTGGTGTCACTTCGGATATCATCGTCTGGGAGTACGCGTACCATTGGCACACGAACAGCCCATAGAAGGTTTGATACACCCAGAATTCCCATTCGTTGTGAAAGCCGAACTTTTGCGTCCAGATACCAATCATGCCCCAGCCGTCGAGAAGCACAATCCCGATCATGACCGCGTCGAACATGACCTTGGTGCTCAGGCCGAACCGTTTTTGGATGAGCCAGTAGGCAAGGATGCCGGCCCCTTGGGCAGCGATACCCACAATGAGCAGGTAGGTTAGAGTAAGGGTGTCATACGAGACAACCGAGTTCTGAAGGGTGGCGATCACCGTAACTGTTGTATTCAACGAATCGCCCAACAGAAAATAGCCTGGGTGATTCCGTCAATCAACGATGCTCGATATACCCCGTCTGAAAGAACACTCACCAACAAGATACAACAGACTCTGCTTCAGCTCCCAAATCTGAACCAGAGCGCGCCAGATGTTCCAGAAGCCGACACTAATGATGTTCTTGCCCGGTGGGAGTGGCTGTCCAGGCCGTCTCTTCTCAAGGATGAACCAAGGGATCGCAAGCACGATCCAAACACCAGTGGCGTACGCGATGAGCACCGAAAGGCCCCAGAGGTTGTTCGCTGCACTGTCTCTGACGTGCAGAGCAAAAAGTATGCCAACCAGGATGGCCAGAATCACGATTTCGCCGGCGCTCTGCATGATGAAAGCAACATTGTAGATGCGATTTCGCTCCATCATGTCTGCAAAGTCGTAATCATCACGTGTGATTTCGCTGTTCTCATACTGTTCGGCCTTTTCCCGCATTTGGGGTGTGTTCCTTGCCAGACCGGGAAATGCTAACCTCTTGTCAGTATCGCAGAGCGAGTCGTTCACAACTTTTACCTACCAGCAGTCCAAAAGGTGATACACATCTGATAAGAAATCAAGCCAACCGCGTACAGCCCAGTCGCAACCGGCCATTTCTCCTGCGTATGGACCCCTAACCAACCGAATCCTAGCGCAAAAGCCACAACCGACCAGAAAATCAGAATATAAGGTCTCCATCTCCCATAATCGGCCATCGAACCAAGGAATAGGAAGAGGACCACCTGAATTGCAAATGATATCCCGTTCGTGAGCAAGACGATACTGTTGATCGTCCGGGACGCTCCCAGGAATTGCAGTCTCTCGCTGTCACCGGCGGCCTCGTATAGCAAGTCTTGGAAGGAGGTTGGCGCGAAATTGAACAGCGTCAAGCCGTTGTTGCCAATGTAGTAGGCATAGTAGGCCCACACTTCCCATCTCGAGGTCTCATATTTCGGATCAAATTGATCTGGCGCAACAGGGTGTTCCTCGTCGAAAGTGTTGCCGCGAGAGGGAACGACGTCAATATCCTTCTTCGGATCTTCTGCCTCTGGCGCTGTGGCTGCCACAATAATCCCGGCATTGGCGACCGACATGGTGAACAGTGAAGAGGCTGAAGATTAGTCTCAGCCTTACCTACCACAATCCTGGAGCTGCAAAGAAAAGTCTAAACTATATAACGAATTTTGAGGCGAAGGACCAATGTCGGTCGTGTCCCCCCAAAACGCCATGCTGATAGGATGGGTATGACGAATAGCTTGGAAAGCTCCGAAGAAGCAAGGTACGGGGACGTAGTGATTTCTGCTGCGACTGTCAGTGGCCACTTTGCAAGGGCTGCCCCTCTCTGGTTAAGTCAGTGGTAGAAATTTTAGCAGTCAGAGTCGCAGCAGGCGAAGAGACCGGGCACAAAAATCCAGCGAGATGGCGTCACATTCAATTGACTGGGCGCCAATTGGTCTATCGATGACACTACAGATAAGCTTCGTCGGCAGTCTCTTGAAGAGCTTGATCGCCTCTCGGCTTCCCGGCGATGGTACGAGTAAGATGAGGATCGCGCAGAAATGTGTTTGTTCGCTCTCGAAATCATGAGCTGGTCATGCTCGGACCGAGGTGCTTGAGGACGTACATGCCCGGAGTGGAGCTGTATGGCGACAGCATGCCGAGTGAAAAGCTCTGCAGCAGGAAGGTGTGCCAGCGGCGGCGAACCGAATAGTGATCGAAATCCAGAATCTCGTTTTGTTTGCAATCGCAGTCTCACGTGACTCACCTACCACGGTACTCCCGTGACTCATCTTCCGTACAAGTTGATCCGGCCCGTCGAGAACGTGGCTACCTCGGGAAACGAGGTAATGTGATTAATCACGTGATGCACAGTGAACACAATCGCAAATCACCAGATGAAGGCCTGTTTCCAAAACATGACTCCATCCTTTTCTTACTCGACTTCGAGATCGGTTATGGCCCCACATGCGGGAACCCTTTTCCGCCGAAAGGAGCAGTCGGGTGAGTCGGGGTCACTGGAGACAAGTAACTCGTACTGTGTATTGCAAATGGCGATTCCTTGAGACCGATGAAGTCTTCCAGATTTGGGCACACGGCAGAGATCCACACGTCGTCGAACAGTCTGGCCTCACCGCAGCACGGCAGCGTGCCCACGGATATGTTTCAGCTGTCTGCCAGTATAGGCACCACAATTGGGCAGGCCGAAGGACAAATCGACGATTGGGTGCCGGGAAGTGTTCGAGATTCTTTACCAAATTGTCGATCCTTTCCCAATGGCCAGATCTCGAGAGACCCTGAAAGAAGCGACGCTCAAAGTGGAATCGGGCTGGACGCTGACCTTGGCACGCGCTTGCCTCATCGCGATTCACCTGCGCCGTCCGATCTGTGTGCCCATGCCCACCACACGCATAAGGCTCTGGCGATCGAGCCACACAAATACTTCCCTGCTGCCATTTCCGCGCACCGCTTACCGGTAACTCCACAGGAAACATGGCAACTGCTACTCCTTCACAGGAATCATGCCATCCTGCTTTCCATATCTTACCGAACCGTGCCGGCACTGTCTTCGATCACGCAACTCTGTTTCGCAGCATTCTCGCATTAAACGCCGTCTGCGACGACCTTGTCTACCACGCATCAATACACCAGACACCAAGAAACCTAAGAAACCCGTTCAGGAGGACACGATCAGGAGAATACGATCGACCCACTCGACAGGGCTAGCGGACGCCACGTGAACCAGCACCATTCAGACCACCGAAGACTTCTTCAGCACGGCGAAGGAGCGATGCCTCAACATGCCCAACCCGAAGATAACATTGACCACATCACCTAAGAGGCCCTTCTCTGCAATCAGCACAAGCCACCCTCGCCGCTCTAATCCGTCGCAATCCAAGTCGCTCCCGAAGCACAAGAAGGTCAAGATTGAGCAGGAAAACGGTGGCTCTGGAGCGCGCCCACTTTCAAGAGAGGGGCAGACATCGCCAAGTCTCCCGCTGGCCGAAAGCCGGGATTCCAGCAGTGATCAGAGCGCAGCGAAGTGGTTTGCAAGCAAGAACGAGAACGTGGCTGATTCTCAGGACAAGAGAAATGCCCATGAAAGTACGCAGGCCCTTGCCTTGGTTGCACGCCTGCCTTGCTGATGTGTCATAGCCGAGTCGCCTTTCTACCTTGCCCGTCAGACTAGTGGCCACCCTCCCAACAATCTCCGATCGCACAATGAGGAGAGCTTTAGCCAAAAGGCAAGAGATGACACTGAGAATGATGAGTTGCGAGGGGTCATCGACGATCTGACTGTGGAGAACAAAAAGCTGAAGACCGTTCTAAGGAGCTGGCACAGCCGGACCAGCCCACCGAGCAGTAATCCGGACCGTGTATTCGAGGTTCGGATGCATGGGCTGCCTGCCGAGAAAAAGAGAGAACTGGAAGATATATTGATGAAGTTTGCAACAGGATTGGGGGATTCGCCATCACAGCCAAGCTCAACAGCTCCGGTGGAAAAGTCGGCCTCGAGTGCCGGGTATGCAGCCGAAGCTGCACAGAAAGCCCACCAAGACCCGACCCCTGCTGACTCTGGCTACGCGTCTGTATCGATGTCTGGCGGCAACTCGATTTCACAAGCTGGTGGTCTCAAGCTCGGGGACCGTACGCCAGTGTCGAAGAGCAAAAAGGATACAGACATCCAGAACTACTTGTATGACATTCCGGACTCGCTGCTCCCTCGAGAGACAACTTCCGTCAGCGAGAACGCCAAGATGCAGCTGGTGGTACAGCGACTGGAGCATTTGTTCACTGGCAAGAGGGCCGCACCTGGGGAACACAGTCTGCCTCTTCAGCAGCAGCAGATATCTCGCTCTGCGGCCAAGGCTGATCGACGAGAAGACCGTAGACTCAACCGGGCTTCGAAATCAGAAGGTTTGCGTGAAGCTCACATTCTGCCTCCAGACTCCAAGATCAACTTGGACGCCGTTGAGGTTAGTGGTCAGCGATCGACAGACCCGACCACAATCGGAACACCCGAGCGCCCTGCGTCTCCAGATCAACGTCCTACTCGACCACTGGATCTCGACATTCAACGTGCTCAAGTTGCTGCAGATAACATCGACTACCTTCGCCATCTGGGACTGTCGTCGCCGCAGTTCGAAGACGATACCGAAACCAAAGAACAGCCCTGGATGTATCTCAACCTGCTGGTCAGCATGGCTCAACTGCATACCTTTAACGTGACTCCAGCGTTTGTACGCAAAGCGGTGAAACAGTTGAGTACAAAATTCGAGTTGTCGAAGGATGGACACAAGATTCGTTGGAGGGGTGGTGGCCCTGGAGCTGGATCTTCGAGACAAGAAAGTCCCGAGTCGGTGCCACACCGCGCATCGGATGATACCGGCGACGATGGAGGACGTCGAAGCGGGAGAAGCACTGCAAGCACACTCAATAATTTATCCGTGTCGGTCTCCGACCATAGGGTCGCTCCAACCAAGTCGAGCAACGCCTCAAAGATGCTTCACTCGACGACGAACTCCTCGAATCCCGCCAATGTCCAAGCATCAACAACGATGTCCAAGTCGACGCCAAGTTCTTCTTTCAATTATAAGCCCGTTGTCTTCCAGCAGAGGAGACCGCTCCTAAAAGCCAGGGGATCGTACCTCGACTCTTCCAGCTCATACGACGGTCTGTCGCCAGACTCGAGCGGCATAGCCCATGCCCTAGGGCGGTCAAGCCTTAAAGCCACCGAGGATGCGTACGAGGGCTACATAACTTTTTTCACCAATCCCTACTTCTTTACGGATCTAAGTGGCGACAAGTCCCCCATTCCTGAGAAGGGGAGCAATCACAAAATGTTTCGAGAAGCCTTGGGGATTATCAGGAAAGAAAGCCCACTCGTCGATGATACCTTACGAGATGCAAGGGCTTGTTACTTTCTGAGTCCACGTCCTCCAAAGCGTACTAGTTGGCCTTCAAATATCCCCGATGTCGAGATGCCAACGACACCCATCACGAGTGCCGGCGAGTACGAGACTCAGCCGATGGAGCTTGAGGCTTCTGGTGTCGGAGGAGTCCGACCCGAAGATAACTTCGCCCTCGATGTTCGCATCGCCAGGATTAGAAACCCAGACAGCAACGCAAGCGGGAAGAAAAGGAGTGGTGACCGACCTGCTGCACGATATTCGTACCATGTGGCAGATTGCAATATGTTAAGCCTTCAGCCCTCTCGTCTACCGCCACCCAGCTACGTCTTCTTCATGGCAAGTTCATCATCCGAGGCGGAAAAGGGTAATCCGTACGACGATGATGGCAGTGAAGAGTCCTCGGAAGGGGAGTATTCGCCGGCACCAGCTGGATTTCTCTGGCAATGGTCGTCCAGCTCCAACGATCGGCAAGGCGGCGATGACGATGCTTCTGAGGCGAGCTCGTCACTTGGTGTGCTCCAGGCAGCTCGCGCAAGGATTTTACCTGGAGCTGTCAATGAGACTCAAGGGGCCATGAGTGGTAGTCTCGCTGCCACTGCCGGTGCAAGCTGGAGTGCTGCTTCGAATGCGGCTGATCCCGACCTTGATGCGGCTCAAGACTTGGACGAGGGGTCTGTGGACTCGATGCTCGTTGATTAAGAGCGTTCTGATGTTTATGTTATGCGACTACGGTTTGCAGATGTTATGCATCGGTCAGGATTGTTGATCCCTGTAAAACGTGAAATTGGTCTCCTGGTTGGATAGCATGGCGTTGGTGGGTTGGCCTTGGAGCCTCGCTATCCGAGGCGGGCAAATACGTACAGTAGTCAGCATTGATGACTTTTAAAGATACCCCTATCAAACTACGTAAAAGTGTCTCATCAATCATTTCAGTTCATCCTTTCTTCTATGGTTGCTGATCATATTCTCTGCTAAGCGGACACTTCGGAGCACTGAGGAATCGCCATGTGGCGGGACGTGCGTTGGGACGGCTCTTGTCGGGGGGACGCCTCGTGTACTGTGTAAGCGCTCGGGTATGTGTTGAACCGCGACTGTCCCGGATCCGGGTGGCCGCCATGAGCATCGGAAAAGTCACCTAATTACGGTCTCATGGCAGCGCGCCCAGCAGTGCCCGCGACCAGCTCGGCACTCGCCCCACGCCCATTCCGCGCCTCGAGGACGCCTGCGCCTTTCTCTTCTCTTCTCCACTCACCGGATCCGTACCGTCGTGAGTTCCTGCTCCCAACACCACGACCTTGGTGCCTCGCTAGCTCGGCCAGGACCATGCGGACTGATTCCGGGGTATTTACCGTGCCCACTGCCCGCCGCCGCGTGCTAAATGGGATGATCTCCGCTTTAACAAGCCGAATTTCTGCTCGCCCAGGAGGTTGGTTGACTTTCTCTTGCCTCACTCTGCTGCTGCTGTCACTGTTAATGGTGCTTCTTGTCGTCGTTGCTACGATCACGGGTGTCTATCTCATTTCTGGCCTGGCCGTATATCGAGGAAGGGAGTACAGTATCAGAGTGTAAGATCCGGCGAAATCGAGTTGAGTTGACAATCCGCATCATGTCGTTCCTCGAATCTCCTCTCCGCACGGCTTCCAGAAGCTTGCGGACGGCGAGATACTTCACGCGCGATCAGCGGAAGGTGAGTGATACCACTGCTCCAGGTTCCAGCGAAACCCCCCATATTGACATCCGTGTGCAGCAAAACCTCCTCCTCACACGCTCCTTCTCCTCTACACTGCGGCGCCATGAGATCAACAAAGTCGTGGGCTCTGCAGCCGAAGCCATCAAGGACATGAAATCAGACAGCACGCTCCTGTGCGGCGGGTTCGGCCTCTGCGGCGTCCCCGACACGCTGATCAATGAAGTGGCCAAGACACCCTCGATCACCGGCATCACAGCGGTGTCGAACAACGCGGGCATTCCTGGAGCTGGACTCGGCCAGCTCCTCCAGACGAGACAAGTCCGCAAAATGATCGCCAGTTACGTGGGCGAGAACAAGGTCCTCGAACAGCAGTATCTCACGGGCGAGGTCGAGCTGGAGCTCACGCCGCAGGGGACATTAGCTGAGCGGTGCGCGGCCGGCGGCAAAGGCATACCTGCGTTTTACACCCCCGCTGCGTTCGGCACGGTTGTGCAGACGGGCGAAATCCCCCTGCGACACAACAAGGATGGCAGCATCGCGGCGTTCGGCAAGCCCAGGGACGTAAAAGTCTTCAACGGCAAGTCGTACGTGATGGAGGAGTCCATTGCCGGCGACTACGCCTTCGTCAAGGCGTACAAGGCCGACAAGCTGGGCAACTGCCAGTTCCGACTGGCTGCGAACAACTTCAACGGCGCGATGGGCCGGAACGCCAAGATCACGATCGTCGAGGCCGAGCACATCGTCGAGGTTGGCGAGATTGACCCCGTGGCTGTCCACCTTCCAGGCATATACGTGTCCAAGGTGATTCAAGCGACCGCCGAGAAGAAGATTGAGAAGTACACGAACCGCAAGGAGGAAGGACAGGAGGACATCAAGGCCGCACTGGGCGGCAAGGGCGACACGGCGTCCAAGCGCGAACGGATCGTCAAGCGAGCGGCCAAGGAGTTCCAGAACGGCATGTACGCCAACTTGGGCATCGGCATGCCCATGCTGGCGCCTTCGTTCGTGGACCCCTCGGTCGAAGTGCAGCTGCAGTCGGAGAACGGGATCCTGGGCCTAGGCCCCTACCCGAGAAAAGGCGAAGAAGACCCCGACCTCATCAACGCGGGCAAGGAGACCGTCACGCTCAACCCGGGCGCCAGCTGTTTCGGCTCTGAGGAGTCGTTTGGCATGATCCGCTCCGGCCGGATCAACATGTCCATGCTCGGCGCCATGCAGGTGTCAGCGCACGGAGACCTGGCCAACTGGATGTTGCCCGGCAAGGTCAAGGGCTTTGGTGGCGCCATGGATTTGGTCTCCAACCCGGAGAAGACAAAGGTCGTCGCGTTGATGGAACACACGGATAAAAAGGGCAACCCGAAGATCCTGAAGCAGTGCGAGTTCCCCTTGACGGGCCGCGCGTGCGTCAGCAGGATCATCACCGAACTTGTGAGTCGACGCCTCTCCTTGTCTAACATTGCGCGCATTGCTGACTTCCCGATCCTAGTGCGTCTTCGACGTCGACTTCACACATGGTCTCACCTTGATCGAACTCGCCGACGGTGTCACCGTCGATGAGATCAAAGCCAAGACCGAGGCGCCGTTCAAAGTTGCCGACGAAATCAAGTCCATGCTTTAGACGTGCAGACGCTCCTCCCCCGCCAGAGTGTGTGCCCGCGAAATGAGCTTCACCGTCGCAGTCTACCTTCCTGAGATCTTTTTCTGTGCCCGAAAATTCCTGCCATTCGGCGTTGCGGGCATAGCGGGCAGGCAATCCTGGCGTCTTTTGATATCTTGATGGTAATGGATAGGAAATGCAGCTGAGCAACACGTAGGGCGAGCCTCACCTTCGTTGACCAGCGGAATGATTAAGTGAGACTCAGAGGAGGTGAACCAGCTCATGTAGATACGGAGCCGAAGCCGCCCAGTTTCGAAATATCATGCTCTTCTATGTGGCATGAGGGATGCACAGGAAAAGTCGTTGCCCGCCAGTGGGAAATTCTGCACTTCGCCTCATTGAACTTCATTTCAGACGTGTTCCATCCACAATGCAGCTCTGCGGAAGAGTGTCTGTCACCTACGTACTATGTGATGTGGTATTTTTCGGATGACACAACCTTGATATCTCAATCACGCAGTGGGTTCCCATACTTGTACCGGCAGATACGAGCTGCGATGTGCTACTGCATATACTGTGTAGGTCGTGGCAGCGGACCGGCTACATACTTCCGCCCGTACGGCCCGCAGAAGTGTAACAAAGCATCACGGACCGAAAAATCTGTTTGCTGAAGGCCGGGCTGATTCACGAGGCAGAGGTTGAGTGAGGGGCTGTTTTCACCCGAGTTCTAAAGTACAGGCAGGACTGAGCCATTGCCATGGCTGGGCCTGAGCGTCACCGATATCCGAAATGCTTGACCGCCGGGTCCCAATCCCTCAACCCAGACTACGAGCCGGTGTTGAGATGGTGCTTCGGTGGAAGGGTTTAAGATCATAATCCGATGCGTTGCAGCGTTGGGTATGCGGACCGGGATATGGGTGCCTTCATGGACTGCAGTATGCTATTGGGGTGATGCGTTAGTGGACACAACTGAAGGTGTCTAACAAGGTCACGCGGCGTCGGCATGGTGTCATTTGGCCGCCCCCTGTTGCGGTACATATGATCACTCAATCACAAACAGCCGCTCCTCCAACTCTCCAGAATCAAGTCGATCTATGATCTCGTCGTTCATGGCACCATGCATGTACGACTTTCCAATCAGGATAAAATGGTCGTCGATGGGCCGAAGGATGAAGGGCACTTTCCCACCGAACAAGACGCAGCAGACGTCACCAGGCTGGACTAGACACGGACCAACGCCAATATATCCGTCTTTGGTTCGAAACAAAGGTCGCCCGCAAGATGGGACGTGATTGAAAAGTCGGGTCAAAGCCGGCAACCCTTCCTTTTGAAACAGCACCTGAAGGTCACCGGGATTCTCTACGTCAGGCATCATATCTGCCATGGCAGCCAGCAGTTGGAGCTTTCGGAGGTCGTCGTCCGGCGCGGTTGCTTCGGCAACTAGCCAGGCGAGGAAAACTCTGGCAGTCCCTTTGGCTAACTGCTGAAGCACTCCGGGGTTCTCGGAGCCCAGAAGAGTGCGCGCAATGGCAGAGACAAGGGACTCACCTGTGTGGTAAGTAGGCTTGTCGGTTATGAAGAGGGCTGACCAGCCTTCGCCAAGTGAGAATGGCGGCCTTGCCCAGTCGGATCTGCCTTCGTTCTTTTGCACATCCACAACAGTGTCAAAGGCTACCCCACGACTTCGCAAACGTTTGGAGGATATGTGGCTAACAGGTTCGTCCCATTTTCGGTTGCCACAAGCACCCCATGGCGCCTCACGGTAACGTGTCAACCACCAAGCCGGACATGGGCACGGTGGAATCCAGGAAGGACAGGCTATTCCAGTGGCTGGGCAGTGGTACACGCATTGGAGAACTTCTAGGCTGCGGTGTGTTTGGATATACTGTGTGGCCTGCGTCCACAGAGCAGCGGTGATTGCTCCACAACGCATCGTATTCAGTAATCTGTCGTCTGCATTGTGGTCTCAGTACCATTAAACCGTAGACGACAAACGACGAGCGTCTACATGGTGTATGTGGCTTACCTGCAGTTATGTGGTCCTGGAGAGGTGCAAGCACCGGGGACGGTGTCAATGTGCGTGATGGTGGGGGTCCATGATCGGACTCGTGAGGATTCAAGGACTCAGCATCATGTTGAAGAGGCTCAAAAAGTCCAACGGTAGACTGTCCAAACTATCCAAGTAGGTGATTGACCACCGATGCCGTAGGCGACACAAACGCCAAGCGAGACGTCGCTGCCACGGGAGATGCAACCGCCATATCGTTGCGATCCTCGGAAGCTGCATCGTGTACATCAGGCGCCTGCTTTGGCTGGCGAGTAATAGACGGACGTAGCTTGCAGTTCCGACGATGTCGTTGAAGGTTCGATGATCGAGCAAAGGAGCGTCCGCATCCTGCCCTCTGTCCATGTTTACCCTTGCTGTCGGGTCCACAGGTAAAGCTTTTGGTGCCATCGTGGAGTTTTTCATGTGTATTTTTGTCGTGTAGACGCACAAAGGATCCGCCGCAGACACGGCAATGGAATGGTCTCTCTTTCAAATGTGCTCTCATATGATCCTTCAAGGTAAAATTTCTGGTAAACGCCTTGGTACAAAGAGAACAAGGAAACGGCGAGGTGGTACGCGTCTCCATATCTGGCTCGTTGATAGGGACACCGGGGCTATGGGTCGAGACCACAGAAAGACTGGAAAGGGAACACAAAGTCGGCGTCATTGTTCCAAAGACGCGGTCAACAGATCTTGTTTGCAAAATATATCATCAGGAGGGATGAGGATTTCGACTCGATCTTTTATATGCCCTGTAGTCTGACAAAAACAAGGGAGGTAACACGAAGCACACCCACAGCCCGAATGGCGGTGGCTTAACTTGCACTGGCTCAATCGTGAGATGTCCGATTGGGCCCTCCCAATGCCGGCAAAATGTCTGTTGCAGGCACCCGTTTGAGCACTTTGTAGTCTTCTGCTGGGGGAGATCATACCCCTAACGCCCGACGACGCCGGCAGGTTATGGTTCGCAAGATCCCGTCTTGAGTCTCGATGTCGAATCGCGATAGAGACACAGGACGGCGGTCTAGGGGCACGTGCGTGCATCGCAGCGAACCACTGCGCGATGACTGTGCCTGCCTCGTACTGGGTCGCTTCGATCTTGACGTGTAGTAATGCTGTCGCTTGAAGATCCGGAGTACTCCACATAAGAGTGGCCCAGAGAAAGGTGTCGCTAATGGATGACCTGCTAGGAACTTCGTGGAGATCCGGAGCATCAGTCCCTGTAAATTGACCCATGAAAAACAATTGAGAGAGTAGGAATATGCCCGCCAAGATCACTCCTCGTTGAAGTGGTTGGAGCACTGTTACGTTGACAGGGCACAGGCTCCCAGCAGTCTCGTCGGTAGTAAGCCATTGGAAGGCGATCCCAGCACTTGCCGGCAGTCAGCGAAAGCGGCCAGGGACGGCCTCCCTACATGGTACCTGCATGTATCAAGTGTCCTTGTTGAGGCGCTATCATGCTTTCGCCCCGGTTAAGGCTGCCACGCACTGGCTCAGTTCACGCAGCCGCATCCGGCAGACCACAGTGCACTCACTATGCGAGATTCCTCAGCACACTGAGGGGATAGATATCATCCACGGATCGCACGCATGATCCACCTCCCTGCCTCAGCCTCGCCCGGTAAGTACATTACTGCACTGGCTCTCGACTACGTCAGCTTGTTCGTTCTGTCTCAAGTGGCCATCCAGAGTCTGGTATGGCCCAATAAAGCTGGTGCCGAAGAGGAACATGCACTGGCTCATTCGACACTCTCAATTGAGGAGGCCAGGCTCGATGCTCGGGGCCCCGGCTCTATATCTGCGTCGACTGCCTCACGAGATGTGAAAGTTCTCCTTGCACACTCAACAATTAGTGCCTCTCATCTAGGAACCATCGAGTGCTTTCATTCAGACCCGTCAAGTGCAGTCGCATCATCGCCCCCTAATCCCGATCCTAACCACCAGTCGAGCCAGACACAATGTAGGTACATCAGACTCTCTGTCAACTCACAAGTATACTAAGCCAGCATTAGTTGGACAGTCGTGGCGTCGATGTCCCCCGAAATCATTTCCACGATAGTCTTCGGCCTCGCAGCGAGCATCTTGTCCGTTGTTGCCATTTTGCAGGGCTTCGTACGCCCGCCCGCTCGAGGTGTGTGGCCCTTGAGCACGGAAGATTTTACCCTTGGGCTAATGTTGGAGTGATTCAGATACGCACATCGAGCTGCATGCGATCTGGTTCGGCAGGAAGAATGAGACTTGATGGCAGTATGGGTCGCTTGTTGTAAGGGATGTTGAAGATAGAAGTGGGATCAGTAGGGACGAAACCTTCGCCGGATAGTGGTCCGCCTCGTCTCGCAAATTTGCTCCACATCGTCTATACTGTAGTAATCATGTTTTGAAATTCATATCGTGGTCCAGTCATGTCACGAATTGTCATTGTACTTGGTTTTCTCAACGTAGCAGGCTGTTTAGGCATAGCGCCTCGATTGTCAAGAGCATCAACGCCATGCGCAACACCATACCGCTTCCTAAGGAACCTGGAAACCCGTCGTTAACCTATGCTGTGACCCATTCCATGTCGACAACTGCATATGAGCTTGATAGTAATGAGTGGTTAACCCGATTCCATTCTGACACATGTTTCTGTTGGCTTAGCATATGATCTCACTTTTTCCGTCCTTCTTAGTCCTCCCAAGGATTGCGCCCCGCATCAAAGTCCCTTCCCACATCCCTGACGCTCCCTACTTGACCGACCTGGCTGCTCGTCTCGAGCTCCCGCGCAGCCTCACGGTCTTCCTCGATCATTTCGATCGCGGCTTCAACATCCCCTGCTGCGGCGCCGGCATAGACATTCAAGCGAGCCAACTCATGCGGGTCGCTACCAAAACCCATAGCTTTGAGTTGCCTGACGCACTCGTCAACGCCCTTGCTTGCGAGAGGAGCTGGTCCAAAGATGCCAGAGTGGCTACGTCGCTGTGTGGATGTTGGTGGGCACGGAGACAGGATAGAGGCCGAACGGCTAGTGCTGGTGACAGGAGAACCCCACCGGTCACGTGGCGGAGCCGAGACTGGGTGAGGGACGGGCTTGGGGGGAGGTACCGGGATCGTGTTGATAATATGCGTTCGAATAGGAGCCGGGACTTGCGGGTTTGGGGGTGCATACCGAGAGGTGAAAGGCTGTGCGGTCTTCCCTGCTTCTGGCCGAAGCCCAATCATGGACTGGACCGGTCGGATGGTAGGAAAAATGGGATGGTTGTTTTCCGGATGCGCAGGACCGGGAAATGATGGTCCTTGAGATGGGTGGGATGCTTCAGGATAGAACGACCACGGCCGTGTGTGTGACAATGTTGTTGGAACGGTGTTAGAGCTGTGTTTGACCTTGACACCGTTCTCCCATAGACTGGGCCGGGAATATTGGTAAGGCCCATGTCGAGGCTTGTAACGGTCGGTGTAGTGAACAGTTTGACTGCGGCGCGGGAATGCATCAGGGAAGGCGGACGGCTTGTATTTAGCACTCAGCGACGGTAGCTTCGGCACTGACAGATCGGGCTGCGAGCGTTGAGGTCTGGGTTGGAGGACAGGGATATGCGCAAGAGGATCGAATGGCCCGTTGAGTCTCGCGGCTGGGTTCGTACCACTGACGGTCTGTGATTTTCTGGGAAAGACAGGTGCACGATTGTAGGCCTCGCTGACCGGGCTGCTGATGCGAGAGGAGAAACCACTGGAGATTTGTTCCTGGGTCGATGCCACCGTTTCCGAGCTACCAGCTGGGGGATTCTTGTCGCCATCGGGTTTTGGCGTGGACCAATTATCCATCTTTTGCTCGGGCCAAGCACCAGGGGGTGGTGGCGGATAACAGCTGGCGGGTCTTCTCTTGAGGGCATCTTGTTGCTTCTCAGATATGCCATCAACCTTTGCGAGGTTATCCTTGTCCTGCGGGATTGAATTTGTGGTTTCCGCTGCTGGTGTAACTGGTGATTCAGCGACGACGACGACGTCATTTTCATGCACGTCTTCGGCTCTCGGCTTTTTGTATTCGTCTCTTTTCTTAGCCATACGCAGCGGAAACGTCCAGTCCAATTCAGAGTCCCTGGTGTCTCCGGGCTTCGAGCTCGGCCCGTTGCGGGAACTAATTCGGGAGAGCTGTTCGAATTGGCCGATGCTAGGATAACGAGACAAAGCCGAGGTTGTACTCAGGCCAGGTTGGTACCGGGTCGTAGCTTCAGGTCGAGCCCGCAGCCCACTCACACTTGCAGCCTTGCGAAGAGATGGCAAGGGAGGATAGCGGGTCAAGATGTCAGAGTCAGAGGGTTGCGAGTCGATGATGGAGTCCTTTGCAGTATCGTGCCGAGCAGGTGGTCCAAATGTGGTCATAAGAGATGGCTTAGCACATGGCGGCGGAAGCTCGACAACGCCCTTCTGCCTCAGGCCTCTGCCAAAAGGAGCAAATGGTGTGGGCACTGGTGGCAGCGTGAATGTTCGTGTTTGGACACCAGGCTCTTCTTGATTCACGAGCTCGAATGGAGCAGTCGGAAATTTTGAAGGAGGAGCGGCGGCTGTTGTCGCGTCAATGAAGCTGACTTTCTTCACCACAGACTCATTATCAGGCTGCGGGTCTGGCCTTGGGCTTGGGGTTCCATGCCGGGACGGAGGCTTGGGCGGTAGTTGCTGTCTTTCCGCCTCAAACGGATCTTCGGCGGGCTTCCTGATTTTGGTTTGCTCCAGCCCTCCATCTAGTGTTGCTAGAAATTCTTGGCCGAGTTGGCCAATTTCTGTGATAATGCTGTGGAAGCCATTCAGGACGTCCTCCACCGGGCTAGAGTCCGCTTCACGCGTCTTTTCTGCGATCTTCCGTAGTCCGCCCGCTGTGGCCTCGAGGATGTCAGCTAAGGGGCCAAGGTGAGACTCAAGGCCGGTAAAGACATCGTTAAGAGCACTGTCCAGTTGATGTGCTGGTTCATCTCGTGCAGGGTGGAGATTCGGGGTTTTGGAGGCAGTGCAGCTTGCACTTGGCTCGTGATTGATACGTAGGCTCGATAGAGCTGCACTCAGGTCGCCCTCGCTCTGAACAGGAGGGATACATGATCTGCTGACCATAGGCTGAGGTTCAGAAGCAGAAGGGCTTGTGCTCCTCGAGGCTGTCGATGACGAGGTGTCTTGCTTTCTCAGGCTCTTGCAGGAGTATGCTTCGTGGTCTCTCCATACGGCCAGATTTCCGTTCGTGCGTCGTATGTCGAAGATGTGTATCTTGTTCTGTTCATCCTCGAGAGCGTTGGGCAAGGGACACCACGTCGAAACCGGAGAGCGACCCCGGTAGGTCGAGGATGATACCGGCTCTTCGAGACGTTGGGATAACTCGAATGAGCTTCCGACGGTGATGACCTCTCCGTCGTCGAGGTCAATATATGTCAGTGTGGCATCAGGCTGGCTCTGGATAGTGTTGTCGTACTGACGGCGGCTGATCTGAACCAGCCCCAGGGAGGATGGGGGACTGTTGAGGTCGCGGATGCCAAAGGCTGGAAGGAGAGGTGACGACGGGCGAGATGTCGAAGCAGCCATGACGAGGGCTAGGGGGACACGAGATAAGGTGACGATACCAGAAGTTCACGGTAGAGGCATAGCACAGAGTAGAACGTGCCTCGAGGTGGAAGTGAGCAGGTCGTCAGTCTGAGGTGGTGCAGCTGCAGCCTTGCTCCAGGCAGCGGCCAAACTGTCGCACGGACGAGGCAACAACCCCGCACTTGAATCTCGTTCCCGTCATGCACGACTTGATTGGTGGCATGGGACCGGTGTTGCCCTGTCTGGAGCTCTTCTGAGCGCTCTATTCTTACTCGTCTCTCACTTGACATTCACTCGAATTTCACTCGGTTCTCATTGTCACCTATCATCTTGAATGAATGCTGACACGGTAGGGCATGCTTGCTTCCTGCCATACAATACTACTTCGACTTCCGAAAGACCCAAATGCCAGCCTTGACTTGTATGAAAATGTTGCTCCTATTAGTACACTGGTATCCCAATTCATCTCCGCTCGTTCAAAATGCCTCTCCGGCGTCACCTATATTACACCATACATTCTCGCTCTTCCCAGTCGCTTTCGCTGGGCTTGTCGGTTCCCAAATAATATTACAGTAGATTGATACAGGGCTCGGTCCTAGTAAAACAGCAGGTGGAGAAGGTGAAGGCAGTCGAGATGGCAATATTCCAGCTCGCAATTTCGACTTCGTCATAGCTGGGTGTGGTTGCGTCAAGTGCGTCGTGTGCTCGTCCTGGTCGTCGAATAGTCCTTGGGTGGTTATCTGGCCGGATGCCGTCCTCACTTCTTCCTGGCAAATCGTTTGTTGAGCAGGGTAAGAACCTTCGAGACGTCGAACTGCACGTATTCCAGGTCGAGGTCGTCCTGACCATCTTTCTGCATCTCGAGCAGATCATCGAGCTTCAAGTCCAACTCGAGAAGGCCACGAGCACGTCCTATGATTCTGTTAGCTGGCACTCGACCTCTTGCCACAGTCGGACTTACCCTTGTAGTGCAGGCTGATGACAAAAGTACCTGCGAGCGGGCTCCGAAACATGAAGAAGATATTACCTCTCCTGTTCTCGGGCACATTGCTCCTCGTAATCACGCCATCCTTCTCCAGCTGTGCGTGCGTGAACTTGTAGGGACCAAGCTCTCGCACCTTTTCTGCCTTGCCTCTTCTTGTCCCCTCGGACTGACTGCGAACGTTGTGCAAGTAGTTCTTGTATGTGTCGAGTTGCGACAGAAGATATGCATTGTGGTCGCGAATCGTCTTGTAGACATCCTCGAGTTTCCCCGTCTCCTCGAGCACCTTCTCCTTCATCGAGCCTAGATGAGCAAGCTCTTGCTCAACTTCATCCCTGAGCACAGCATAGTCGTCGGCACGATCGATGGCACCTAGCTCGGAAAGCTGTGTCAGAAGCTCCATGCACCGGATACCCTTTCGAACCATGACTGCGTCGTTTTTCAGAGTCCCAGCTGCCTCTGCAACACGATCAAGGCGCAGCGGCCGTCGCATGACAGCAGCATTTTGCGGCAAGCTTCGCATGATCTGTACAAACGTACTCTTTGCCTCCATGAAGAAGACTTCCTCCTGAGTGATGTCTAGCGCATGGGTCAAATCGTCGAAGGACGTCTCCCACTTGCTGTACAAAGGAAGGTTGATGGCTCTGTTTTCTTTCCGTGGCAGCTGTGGTGGTGCAGGGCCGAGTTCCTGTAGCAAGACGGCCAGGTGTGAAGAAGGATCCTTGGCCAATTCCGCGCTGTGCTTCTCTAGGAGTGCGTGTGTCGCATATACTTCATTCAAACTGATCTGAAGCTCAAGATCCCGCTTAGACAAGGCGACATAGTTGTCCATTTCCAGACTCTCGTAGAAATCCTGCACCTCGCACAAGTCCAGCATGAACTTGTTGCATCTGTCCTTGTTCCGTTGGATGAATGGTTGCAGTTTCGCCATGTACGGCTCTTTGGCGTAGGACGGTTTGTTGGCCAGATTCTGCAGCATCTTGGCAATATAGGTCAGTGTCCTTTTGGGTTTCTCGTCGGGCACCCTTTCAATCAGCATGTAAGATTTTGGCGTCACAATGGCTGGGTTAATGAAGCGCAAGAAGAAAAAGCCACCAATGAGCGTGCAAATGGCCTGATCCTGAGCGTCTGGGTATTTACGCCGAGAAAGATTCCGAATCTGTTTGCAAATCCAGCGGATGCCGTAAGGAGTCTCCTCCAAGCAATCGATGATGGCCGACAGGAATCCTTCCGCGATCTCTGTCAGCATCTTGAGACGTGGTGTAATGATGGCCTGCACCTGCACATTCTCCGCAGCGAACTCGGCAGTCACCGATCTGGGCAGGTCCTCAGGGAGCACGCCGGTATCCTCTTCGATTTGCTTGACCATTGCCTCGTAGACCTTTAGCGGGTTGATTTCGAGGTCCACATCACTCAGCTCGGTCAAGGAGTTGATCTTGTCGGCGAGCACTTCTTTCAAGAAGCTTTGACCAGGACCCCGCCTCGTATAGGTAGTCATCATGCGTGAGACAGGAGTGTTCTGGCGAAGCAAGGAGGAGTATTCTGGTGTAGTCTCGAATTGGTGGGTTAGGACGGATTGGAACATGGTCAACAGCAGATGCTCTTCTCGGCTCTCATATTGGTTGCCGTAAATTGTGAACATGACGGTCTGAAGCAGCGAATCGATTTCAGCCATGGTGACGAGGCGGCACAGATGTGCAATGTGCCTTGGCTCCGACTGGAGCATAAAGCACAGGTTGCCATATTTCTGGGTCTTGTCATCGTTGGGGAACGAGCCCTCTTGCAGTTCGGCGGCCTCATCCAGGTGGCTGGCAACCTCATTTTGCTGCAATCACGTTAGTTTCAGTCCAGATTCATCTGTTTACGGAACACCTACCTCTTCCAGGGCCATACGATTCTGGATCAACAGCGCAATTCTTGAATCGAGATACCGAACATCCTTCTCCAAGACAAAATTCTTTTTGGACTGATTCGAGATCTTGACTTTCAAATCTCGTAACGCGCGTTGTGCTCTGGCCAGGTCATCACTGATCTCCAGGTCTTTGTCCTTGGCGCTCATGCTCGCATAGAGAGCGGTCATGCTAACACGCTTGCTTTGCCGGAGCGACCGAGCGCCATCGTGGCTCGAGAAGGTGTTGGTGCGACTGACGGGTTCAAAGGACGAGTTGGTCGAAGTCGAGCCTCGCGAGGCGGGCTGAAGCATGGTTGCGACTGACATGTCGCCCGGCTTGGAGCGCTGCGATTTCGAACGATCTTTTGCACTCGAGACACGCCTCGGGACGTCGGAGCGGAGTGAGGAGCTCATCTACCCTTTATGTGCCGGCGACGCAGGGCGACCCAGGTGAGAAGCAGGATAACGGCTGTATAGCGATTCGGGGGTCGTATGATATTGTGACGTCGGTTGTGTTTCAGAACGGGCCGCAGCTCATCTGGGAGAGCTCATGTACAATCCTTCCCTTCCGCAGGCAGACGCGGCCGAGTTGCGAATGTAGGGCTTGGAGAAGCAGATTGAAGTATTAATCGTATTGTGGTTCGGGCGGGATTGGGTCCCGGTGCGACCAGCGCAATGGCAATGCCAAATTATTGCCCCGTCTCTTTCCTTCCAGTATGCAAAGGGCGGCAGAGGCAAACACAACCTCGACCGAGTAGAGATTAAAGCAACGAAACGTGGTCGAATAAGACCTTTGACGAACTGGTGGGGGAGATGATCAGGCACGCCTGTTGACAATTCCTGTGTAGGCAATGCGACTGTCAGCGCAGGCTGGAGGTCGACGGCTCGAGGAACGCGACCGCAGAGGGCGACAACGGAGAATGACTGGACGGTTGGGACCGTGGAGCTTGGTGGTTGGCGAAAGGAATGAAGATAAAAAACGGGCAACGAGCGAACAGCAAGGCAAGGAACGGTCTTGTAGAGGAGTCTTTCAGGAACCAGGAACAGCCGTGTGGGCGAATGACAAGAGTGACAGGCGGCAGGTTACGAGGGGAGAGAGGAACAGGCTCAAAGAGGGTGTGCTCAGGATAGTGGATTCGCGGGAGGTGGGCTCTCTGGGCTCGGGCTTGGTGGACTCGGTGGGCTCGGTGGGCGTCTCCATTCAAACCTGTCCGGTGTTGGACGGGCCCGGGCGGTTTCTTTTTCAAGCTGCATCAGGCCTCAGGCTCGACAGGGGTTCGCTTTCGATGTACTGACTGCCAACTCGGTAATCAAGACAGGCGGGTGGATACAGTAGAACAAAGGAAATCGATCATGACGCTGGTTCTCAAGAACTTAGAACAATCTGACAGACAGCACTGCATGGCCGCGTGTCGCTGCCGCTGCCGGGTTGGAGGTGCAGGTAGCCGTTTCAGGGGGGACTCGAGGGCAGCCTCACTGAGGATAGTACAGTAGGTAGCTCACAAAGTGTCAACTGATCGATCCCAAACGAGACACACAGTGCTCCGTACGGCTGAGCGGTTGCTCCATCCCTGAAGGTTTTCGATGCCAACCACGCCCTTCCTTCCAAAAGCATAAGTCTACAAGAACGTGGTGGTGGTGGTGGTGGTTATGCTTGTGAGGTCAACGCCACCGTCTTCGGACCTCTGCTGTGTACGGATGCTCATGAGATCGATGATCACGAGGCTCCGGCTAACACCGGAGCCTTTCGAGGGCTTTCTGGCAGCACATCAATATCTTCGCTGCTATTAAGAGTAATCCGTGAGGGGTGAAGGCATGTAGCTCGGGCACGTCTGAAAGACTTCGACCCACGAACCATGACACAGGGCCAAGTCGACGACCACACACGAACTCGCAGTCTCCAGACTGTAAATTTGTGCATTCCGTTCCGGCCGGCACCTAATTTGTTGAGGTCCCATCTTGGGCGTGTTCGTCGCTGTCAGAAATGCAAGGGGAACAACTCGTGGCAGCCCAACGTCAGGCACCGCCCAATAGAGACTTTGACACTTTGGCATCCTCGAGCTTGGGCGGCGCTTGTACCTGACATCTGAGCTCGCTCAGCTAGAGTTTGACACCTCATGCCTGTAGGTGATCAGCTTACGGGTCTATACCACAGCAGTGACATCCCTCAAGAAGTGGCCTTTGCCTCAAGTATACCTATTGCTACTTCTGTTTCAGGTCTAGACGTCCGCCTCCGCGCAAGAGGCGGGCTGGAGGAAGACTCGAGGAACTCGACGGTGGTGATCCACGGAGCCTTTGCTGGTCCTATTGGCCGGAGCATCTCCCACTTTTGTGGTGCCTGCAGCAAGTTTCACGGCCCATCAGCAGGGGGGTGTGGGAACCCGAGGTCGTGTTTGTGCAGGGGTTGCCAGTCGTCTCACATTTCTGTTTGGCGTTGAGGCATGCCTGAAGCACGTCTCAAACACAAGCGTCTCGCATCGTTCATACTTCAGGTCCATACGAGGCCTGGTCTAGATCTTCCGCATCGTGCAGGAGCAGTCTACCCACAAACTTTATCTGCCCGTGGGTAAACCCATGACCCGACACCTGTCAACTGCGAAGGGGACGGATTCTCCGGCTGGACGTCTTCACGCTGGAGTATCACCGAGGACACCCAGCTGTCAAAACGGCATCCCCTTTCTGTCAACTTCTGCGCTAGGCCGAGCACGTTTTTGACATGGAATGGCAATCGGGGCCTGAGCTGCAAATGATAGTTCCTTTATTCAGCTGCTTCCGCCACCCTGTCGATTGCAATACTATGTCAGATTGTGGACGTTAATCAGGTCTTTGTAAGATGAGTCTCGAAGACGTTATTGGAAAAGGCTCGAAGGGAAATCGTACTTTTGGCAGTGATTGACAAATGTTTAGCGATCGACTACCCCAGTTTGACACCCCATACCAAAACACCAACAGGACTGCCTTAAGCTCTCCTCTCCCATTGTCGGACAGGGGGAGGCTGCCCGAATCTCATGCACTATTACGGTGTTCTGGGGTTGCACCCGAAGAATTACAAAAGCGGGGAAATCCATCTTCTGACGGCCAAGGGTGTAATGAATGATTCAAATCATTGGAACGGAGAATTGGTGAAATGTTCGCCCACAGGGAAAACCATGGAGATGGCTGACCGAAGTTCAGGTTGGGTGGCAGCCGCGACCTTGTGCCACCGGTTTCCTGCACGCTCGTCTTTCTGAATATTCATCACTGGATTTGGGGGTATAGCTCAGGTAGCTCATTTCTACCCACCCATCGAACCACCCTGGCCTACTAATAGCGCTTCGCTACTCGACGAACTCAGAACACGTCGACTCCGTCCTCGCCACCAGTAGGTGGACACTTCGTTCGGCTTCTATCATTCGAGCTTGTTCCGCAGATTGTCATACTTGCTCTCGGGATATTCCAAGCAATTCTTGACCTCTTCCAATCGGTTGTGTCCACAATTCTTTACAAAGGTTTCAATAAGGCTGCCACCACCGACAGGTTTGTCTCCCGATGATTCCCACCACATGCCTCCACCAAGGCCGTAGTCTCGGACAAAATGCGCCTTTTGAGTGACAAGGTCAGGAGTGTCGTAACTGATCATTGTTTTCGAAGACGGGCAGAAGCTCCAGCTGGCTCCGACTTCACGGTCATGGTGCTCACTGGCACCGGGCTTCGGGAGTGCTTTATAGTCCCAGACACCTGGCTCCCAGCTTCCCTCACCCACGCCACTGTACGAGTGCCCAGGACCCGAGGTCGACGTAAAAGCTCGACCATACAGCGGCATACCCAGAACGATCTTCGACGGATGCACACCGTGTCTGGTATAGTGTTCGACCGCCGCAACAGTGCTGAACGGCGTACATTGCGGGTGCGAGCTGGAAGGGAACAGGTTTGCTTGATGGCCGGCTCTTTGATCCCAGGAACCCGCATAATCATATGCCATCAGATTCCAGAAGTCAAGCAGTCGATCCATGTCCCTAATCTTCAGCTTTTCGAAGTTGGACGGCCCCGCGGGGCAAGCCACCGTCAAATAGAATTTGGTGTGGTGACGTTTGGCAGCCGCCTCATCGAGCGCTCGTCTCGTTTCTTGAAGGAGTTTGACAAAGTCTTCGGCCTCATTTGCATTCTTCGGGTACTCCCAGTCAACATCAAGCCCGTCGAAGCCCAAATCTTCCAGCAGCTTGACAGCACTTTCCGCAAATGTCTTCCTCCCACTAGGCGTACTAGCTGGCTGGGCAAAATTCGAAGAGTATGTCCAGCCACCGATACTCAACAAGACCTTCAGGTTCCGGTTCTTCTTCTTCTGGAGAAATAATTGCTTGACACAACCGTAGACATTTGTCCCAACATCATTCCAGCTGTCACCCTCGTAATGCTTGTCAGTATCTGACCATGGATCGGTCAGGTACACCTCGCCGCTCTCGGGTCTGACGTTGGCAAAGGCATACAGGACATGTGTGAGATTCTCAGCAGGAAGATCTTGAGGATGGTGGTTTCTTCCGTACGGTGCCCAGTTGACATAGTAGACAACGGATCGGATACCGTGCCCACCTCCCATTGTGAAGTCAGGCTGATCAGTTGTGTGCTGAGGGATGAACTGGGTAACAGATTGATGCAAGCAGGAGAGAAAGACGAACAGGAGGACAAGCAGAAATAGCATGCTCTTCAGAAAGGTCAATTCATATATTGGCTGTCACAATGTGGCGTCGAACAGGCAACGCCAAGTCCGAGTGACGAGGCCTCCTGGAGTCTCCAGCAATTTGTTTCAAGAACACGTCTGCCTGGGGCGTTCACGGCGAATACAAGATAAATACGAACATGGAAGATGAGTGAGAGGACCAGGTTGCAAGCCGGGTGGGCAGAGAGCTCTAATCATTTAGGGTCTAGCTCCTAGTGGCTTTGCAAAGTGTGGCTGAGGCACACCGTGGCTGCTGAGGCGCGCATCCGTCATCTCCGTCGGCAAATTGTTGAAGCGACATCACCTCGGCTTCAATCGCATATCAGGTACGCATATCTCGCGATAATTCGGACTTCCTCTGGGGACTGGATCTCCCAATTCCTTCGAGCTTCTTTCCAGCTCGCAAGCATGCCTCTAGAAGTTCTCTTCTTCGGCGCGGGCGCCATAGGGGCATTCTTCGCCTCTCGAGTGGCTCTCAGCCCAGACGTCAACGTCTCCGTAGTATGCCGCTCAAACTACAAAGCCGTAAAAGTAAACGGTTTCCAAATCACCTCCCCGCAGTACGGAGACTACCACTGGACACCCACCCGAGTCTTCGACTCGCCAGCGTCAGCCGTTAACAGCGACGTCAAATGGGACTACGTGGTCGTCAGCACCAAAGCCCTGCCCAACATCTCCGATGACTCCAAACTGTTAGAAGGCCTCATCACGCCCGGAAGGACGGCCATCGTACTGATCCAGAACGGCCTGGGCGTCGAAGAACCCTACGCCTCGCGTTTTCCCGATGCCACGATCCTGAGTGCCGTGACCATCGCGTCCTGCGCGCAACCCTCTAATGGCCACATAAAACACAACCGCTGGACACGTATAAACATCGGCCCATACTTGGCACAACGATCACCGCCCGCCACCGCGGAGGCGAAATCCACAGCCACGACTCGAAACACAGCTTTCGTCCACTTCTTGACCGAAGGAGGCATCAAGGACGCGATCGCCGACACGCACGAGAAACTGCAGCTCGTGCGGTGGCACAAGATCGCCATCAACGCGGCGATGAACCCCTCGGCCGTGCTCTCGGGCGGGTCCACCAACGAAGCCATGTCCAACGACGCGGAGCTCGCGCGGCACCTCCGCGGCGTCATGCACGAGGTCCTCACCACAGCCCCCAAAATCGTCGGTGTGCCCTTCCCCGCTAGCTTCGCCACCGCCGAGCAGATCCTCAGGTCCACGAGGAAGAACTCCAGTGGGAGTAAGCCGAGCATGCTGCTGGATTGGGAGGGCGGCAAAGCCATGGAGTTGGAAGTCATCTTGGGCAACCCGATCAGGATTGCAAGGGAAAAGGGGTTCGAGATGCCCAGGACGCAGAGCCTGTATGCGCTGTTGAAGATGGCGGAGCGAAATCGCGAGGCTGAGAAGGAGAGGGCCGCGACGGCGAGTAGAAGTAGACTCTGAACTACCGCGCCTCTCCAGTCCAGTCCAAAATGCGGCGGAACGTCGTTTCGCTTCTTGTCCTTTCCACAGAGGAGCACTTCGCCTGCACTCTATATCTCCTCCCCCGTAGTACCCCCTTCCCCATCTCTTGGTGCCATCACAGCTTCGCCAACACCTGCCGGACCGCATCCCCTGTTGGCCCCTTGGCGAACCTGTCCTTATCCGCTACGAGTGTCCCCAACTCAGGCACCCACCCGCACCTCTCCGCGCAGAACTGCTCCTTACTCGGGGTCCAATCCCGGCCAGCCCGTCCCGATAATACCCCCGCCGGGATCGAAATGATCTGCTCGTTCAAGGGCGTCTTCGCAAATACTTTACTCCCGCAAACGCTGCAAAATGCGCGGTATAGTGGCTGGCCGCTCTGCGTAGCGCCGTCCGTGTACGTGGTGATGTACCGCTCCGAGCCCGCGGCAAGGGCATATTGCTGGCGTGGGTAGATGCTGGCGCAGTGTAACGTGCTGCCGCCTTGTCGTTTGCAGTTCTCGCAGTGGCATATTACGGTGTAGATTGGGGGGCCTGTCACGGTGAAGGTCACGGCGCGGCAGAGACAGTGGCCGCGGTCGATCCAGTCCTTGGGTGTGGTGGCGGGGCCTGTCATGGCTTTGACGGGGCACAATCACTACGGATGCAGTGCCTAAGTAGGCTGGAGAAAGTGTTGCGCCCGCGTTATATATGTAGCAAAGACTTTGCGTATCTGTACACTTGCCTTGGTTATATGCTCGGCGCAGGCTCGTGGAATGCGCGTCTTAAGTCCCTAGGTACCTAGGTTGTAATACTCCATACATACTCCGTAGGTATGTACGACGTATGCGGAGACTGAAGTTCTCCCCGCCTTTCTGTGCGGCACTGCGGCATGTCCATACGTACCTCCATGTTGGCGCATTCCGAGGGATAGATTTGACCCGCTGTCCGTCAAAAGTGGAGTTTTCAAGCCGAGCGCGATGATACTCCCAACGCTTTGAGGGAAGCCCAGGCTTGAATGATGGTAGCTACTGTTGCTACGCATGTCAGAATCAATATCACCATGGCTATCCAGAATGTCCAGAATTGTTGTGGGTTGCGACGGTCTCTCCACAACTGAGCCCAACTGATTGGGGGCGCTTGAAAGATTTCTTCATGGAGGTCTAGGAGTCGATCTCTCCAATGGTCAAAGTCCGACAAGGTGAGCGTTCGAATAGCCTCAAAAGGCCCATGTTCGTGGAAGTCCTGCTTCTCCTTCGCGAGGAGTGCCACAGTCCTGCTGTGCCAGAAGGGGAACAGCAGATCCAACGAGAGCTTTGTTTCTCTGAGGACTTTAAGAGGGATGAGGGGACTAAAGTAATGGTCAATCCCGAGTCAAAGTATAGCAAGAACTCTTGGGCATACGGTTGCTTAGCGTTGCCTGAACCGTGGCTGTCGATGAGAGCCTTGATGTGGCATTTGTAGGGAAATATCTTAAGCTCTTTTCGGAATCTGTCCAACTGCAGATGGTCGTGAAGGCTGGTCGTCCTTTGAATTCTCAAGCCGCATACGTCTTGCATGAATGCCACGGTGAAAAAGGGACTCAGGCGGTTCGACTGAGCTGTAAGCTGCCATCGTGAGTGGGGGAAGAGCGAGCCAACAAAGTCCTCCAAAGTGTTTTCATCGTCCCACTGAACACTAGTGGCTTCATGCCGTAGACCTGCGAATTCGAGATCTTGGGTGTTTACCATGAGCCACAGACGAATGGCGAGGTCAATGGATCGATTTAGGCCGGTAACGTGGGACGTGCGAAAGCGGGAGGTGAGACACTGGCGGAGCTCTGGTCGTCGAGACTGATGATTGTGGCGCAACACATCAACCAGGTGGAAAATGTCCTCGTAGGTCGTTACCGGAAGGCCTTTCGACTGCCATGAATCCTTCGAGATGCCCTTGCGAAGCAGCTCTAGCTCTTCGCTGTAATAGACAAAATACTTCTGCAGGGCGTCCAGCTGCTCGTCACCAAGATCCAGTCCGAAGAAGGCGTGGGCGATCTGGCCCCTGGAGCCGGGACGCTCCGTGAGTCTGACGGCGGTAGAGGTCATGGTCGCTGTAGCACTGTCATCCAACACCTTCACCATTCATCTGTGACTACATCACCACCGTGCTACGTCTCCTGGATATATCTACCATCTTCCTGCCTCGTCGTCATTACGTCCTCTGGTGTGAAGCTCGATAAGGCTGAAAAAGGCAACCATGCGGCTGTGCAAGCACTGCCAGCAACGGCCGTCCGGGGTGTTCGCGCACAATGACTGGAGAGACTCTTTCCTGGCAGACGAGGCCGTGGTTGCCACTTGCCCAATTGTCAATGTTCAGATAGCAGGTGGTTTTCAGCACTGCCACCGGGCCACTGGGCATCTCAAACCTTTCGGCTCCGTCATGCGAACCACTTTGGCAGCCGAGTGGCACTGGTTGATTCATCTCTTTTCTCTAGCCTCATTCCGGTGACGTTCACCCATGATATCTAACTGTACTACTAGCTTGATCTATGCTTCCATATGTCGACACTAACTACTACGCCGATGAATGCATGACCAGCTGCCCATTCACTATTGATTGAGACATCGAGGCACGGTCCGGGCAGCCAATGTTGACCCAGGCCTTGAGTTCATGGAGGCCATCCAAGTCGCACTACCTTGCCCTGAGCCGTCGTGTCCCGAGCCTTCGCGAGAGTCAACTCTTCAAGTCCTCAGATCACCTGTCTCCCGCAACTTGGTCAAAGAGGAGCTCAGGCTTCTGTTTCAGCTACCTTCCCCACCAAAGACGGACCCGGCCCAGTCTTCTGCGACAACCATCTCTGTAACAACAGCGACGGAGACAGCGTCAGTCACCAGTGCGCTTGCAACGTCCATACTGTCGCTTCCGAAGATTTTCACCATTCAAAAGTTCCACGTTGCTCCAAGCATGCCGATAGCTGATGAACTCCTGGCTGTTTGGACACGTCAAATCAAGCCTCGACTGAGTGCTGTTTTGCAACGCAGTATTCCCTCTGGGACATGCGTCCAGGAGTTTATGATGGCTGGGAGGAGGCCAGATGCTCTAAAGCCTATGCTGGTGATCACCTGTGGCAATATAAAGATCAAAAAGTTAGTTGAGAAGAGTTTCAAAAGCCAAGGATGGCTTCAACAGCTGCTGAAGACGCATCATATCGTATTTATCGCGCTCGTAGCGGAAGCATCTGAAAGTTCCGGTCCAGCGTCGAACGAGGTTGACACGGTGAGGTGCGAGGACGCCTATACAGTACAGAGCCTGCCGTTCGGAATCGCAACATCGTGCGGATTGGAGCTCCTTATAGCCGGCGACCACAGTCAGCCCCGGCAAAGATGCACATTAGGAGGCCTTCTCGTTGTGAATGGCAAACTTTGGGGCTTGACAGCGAGGCACCCGTTTCACACGTCGGTGCGCAAGCTCTGGGCTCGAGATCAGTTGGAAGCGGACTGGCCAGAGGAAGATTCCCAGGAAGATGAATGCAGCACGACAGCCAGCGAGCCTTTCGTCTTTAATGATGATGATGATGACGACGACGGTAATGGCGACGCAGACGACGATTCCAGCGCTTCGTCCACTATGCCGCTTCAAGACAAAGGCGACCTTCCTCTCAGCTCTGTTGAGGGAGCACCTGACGAAAACTGTGAAGGCTCAAATCCCATGCGCTTGACCAAGTTCATATCCACGAGATACTACCTGCCACACAGCGCCATTTTTTCGCCATTTTGGATGGAAAATCATTCGTCTGCCGAAGAAGCAAGGATAGACTACGACTGGGCGCTGCTAGATCTTCCGTCGGCCGTCAGAGCGCTGCCGAACAAGATTGCTCACATTGATCACCGTCACGACATCCTCATTGACGGAACCAGGTCTATTGCGACCTCGGGGGAAGTGACCATCGCGGTTACTCTTGGTATCGGACCACAATTAGGGTATCTGCATTCTTCTCCTGCCACATTTATGGTCGACGGTTTGGTGCGGGAGGTGCACCTGATAACGTTGGAGCGTATCCTGCGTAAGTGCTCTCTACGTCTGGCAAAGTCGACCCAAACGGATGCTAATACCACTCTTATCGTGCAGCCCTTGGCAGTTCTGGCGCTTGGGTACTCCGCGGAGACAAACTGTACGGGTATATTGTCGCAGTCCGGCAGGACGTTCCGTGGGCTTACATGACCGCCATCGAGCCCGTCCTCGAGGACATCCGAAAAAAGCTCAAAACCGAAGACGTACGACTCCCAAGAGCCGCCGAGGTTGCATCTCTTATCACTTCTCCTGAATTTCCAGTTGTCGACGTGCCCAATGAAGTTGACGGAGACGCTTTAACAACCACTTCAGAATCCCAATGCAGCATGTCACTACCTGCCGAGCGTTCAAAACATCCTCTCAACGGGAACAATCACCAAGAAGACGAGACTGTTGAAAAGAAGTCTCGCGGGAGACCTCCAAGCAGCTGGGAGCTTGATCAAGCATGGCAACGTGGCCGGGCCAGACAACGGCACGTCGCAACCTCGGGCTGCGCCACGGCCTACAAACCCGTTCAGCCATGCTCTATCCCGCCTAGACTACAGACCATACCCCCCATATCATAAAAAGGACCCGTATGCATGGAAATATAGGCCCAAGCCACTTCTCTCACAGCCTCCAGCAAAGAAGAAGCGAGCCATGGCATCGTGGCTTGTTCCCGTGATCAGCCTGCCGTATAGGCTTTGGCGCCGCCTAGAGGCTTTCATTGTGCGGAATGAGTATCGACATCGTACTGTTGTACGTCGCTCTCAGCACGGGGGTTTAAGGAAGCACCGCTCTCAATGTGTCCGCCTCTGCTTCCCTCCAAAAACGCTGCTGGGCCGTCCGAGATATCCACATTATTTCCGCCGAAACATTCGCACAATCCCCTGGTATTGCATACGACTTGCCTTCTGGGTCTTGGCGAACACTGTGCTCAACATCCTGTACTTCATTGCCTACTTCCCTCTTATTTTCTGGATACTGCAACGCCACCGCGGTGTTCTGGAGGACCCCGAAATGTTGGTAGCACAACAGTACGAAAGCATCGAAATGCTAGGTTCATTACCGGAAAGATTTGGCGACGCCTGGCTGTTTGATGAGCGTCATCGGTTACGTCGCGAGCAAGAAGCAGTCCAACTTGGCCGTTATGAGCTCCCATTCGGGCGTCTGGGCCTGTGGTAGGGCACTGCAATACGTGGTCCAATCTCTGATTGTCTTTTTTCTGAGAGCAAAGCTCTCAGAGCTATGAACTATCTATGCAGCACACAGCTCCTGCCTCGCCATGCGAGGACCAACGACATAACAAGGAAAGGACAGGGCTGAGACTGCCCGCCACAGGGCCCACGTGGGGGCCCAAGGGATCATTCACAGAAAGGTCCATGAGTTCAGGTATGTCAAACTCATCGGCAAGGAGATATGTTGCAACGATGTAGCCACTCAAGGTATGCAGCTTCCTTGCTCTTCATCTCGCTAATGTCGTCCCCGGTAAAGGGAAGCCTAGGATGGAAGAGATAGTGGGAAAGAAGTTCGCCAGTAAACCAGGGGCTTTCGACGAGTAGGAGGGGCGGAACTTTGCCATCGCAGCCTGGTCTCATCGTTCGGAATTTGTTCATAAAGTAGTAGTGATGGCGCAATCTCTGTACAGGATCATAGTGGTTCTATTTTGGCAAAAAATGTGTACTGTAGGAGCTCGTGGATGGCGAGGAGAAGAGCAGCCAGCGTCAAATCCCACCAATTGTAATGGACCCTCTTTGTGGACCTTCTTTCTGCGTCGAGAGGGAGTTGACCTGTGGATTCTTTCTCTTTTGCCTGCATTGAATCAATCTCTTTGGCGCCCGAGGCAGTACGTGTAGCCACGAGGGCTGCGCGATGTTGCGGAGAGGATCAGGAACAGCCACCTCATCACAAAGGTAGGTAGGTAGGCAGGAGAACCTTATCTTGGAAACGACTTCGAGTTTCAATCGGGATTTGTGACTCTAGCACTACATGCGTCAGGGCTTGCTTCGGCCCGCGACCTCCTTCTCAACCGTTGCTCGGTCTGCCGCTTCGGCGGGGCTGAACCACGAGCTGGCCACCAAGGCGGCGCTCACTACCCAAGCTGGTAACCAAATGCACAGAACACCGATAGGCACGCCCCAGCTGCCCCATACGTTCCAGCCAAACGCGAGCCGTTGGAGCCAAACCACAATCAAGTCATCCTTGCCGATGGACATGCCGTATCCACCAAGGCCGGCGGCTACTCCCGTAGGGCTCATGATGACCAGAATGAGGTACTGCAGGGACGCCAGCCAAGGGCTTGAGGGCGTTCGGTCTACAAACGCCAGGGGCGTGCAGACGATGCCGAGGAACATGCTGAGACTGAAGTTTAGAGTTGCTAGGACGGTCAAGAAGAGGCCGAGGACCAAGAGACCCAAGGACTTGATGAGGACGTATTGTTCGGTGGTCGGTGCGGAGAAAGCGGGTAATGTGGTGTTGTTGGGCATTTCGGCGAGCGCGGAGGCGAGGATCACGGGGAGGACGAGCAGCGCGAGGATCAGGAGGAAGAACGTCGTGGGCATGGCTTTCGAGCTCAGAGAGTTGAGCAGATAGAGTGGTATGAGGGAGGCCAGGTGGACGGCCGTCACGACGGCGATTGGAAGAGTGAGTGCCCTGTCAAGGGGTCTGAATTCGACCTTGGTAATGGTGCTTCCGGGTTGCTGTCCTGTTACACTCGATGTTTTCTCGTTTGGCCCATTTGCGGCTTTGGCATTTGCGTTTTCGGCTTTCTTCTCGATGAGTTGATAGCCACTTCGCACCCAGAGGTAGATGGCCATGATGGTGTAGCCGGCGGCCACGATCATGGCGCCAGGCAGGTAAGTGCCGATGCTGACGAATCGATTCGACTGCATCAACAGATAGAAGAAAAAGCTCTGGTGCAGCTTCTCGAGCAGATTGTTCAGACTCCGGCAAATGCTCTCGACCGTCCGGCCGAAAGCCATCTCATCTTGCCAGCCTTCTTTCGTGGCTGTCAGTGTGATGGCGTCAATATGGTATGACATGAAGCTACTGTGGGCTCCGGTGGCATGACCCAGCGCCTGGGAAGACATTCCACGTAGGAGCGTTTGGAGACGGACAGGGTAGGCATTGTACTGCTCGTGCTTACTCCACGTGTGTTGATGTTGGATGGACGTGCTGATGCCCATCTGCCCCGAAGCAATAGACACGGCTGTGTTGACAAGATCGAGATTGGGCAAGGCGCCGTTGATTCCGTCGTACGCCACGTGTAGATTTTCGAAACGATGCTCGAAGGGATAATCAATGCAGACGGCACCCTGCAGGGCCCCGGACTTCAAGGACAAGTCTTGGACCTTTTCTGGGTCGTGAGTCGAATGGTAGGCATCGATCCACGCTTGCGGTCCAGTAATACTGTCGGGAGTAACCAGAAATATAATGTCCTTCGACCATAGCGACCAACGCTTGAAGTACCTGGACAGAGAGATCAGGAGGGGCACACCGTTCACGTTCGAGACGCCGTCGATATTTCGCAACGGCGCAAGTAGAACGATGGCCTCAGTCCCATCACCCCTTGGAGCATGGAGGACGGCGTAGACGTTCTCTCCCTCAAAGGTGCCGCTGGGTGTGGTGTATGAGTACCGTTGTCTCGCAGTCTTCAGGCCCGCATTACGGAAGAGCTCCTCTATCTTGTCACTCCTCCTGTCTCCTGCAGCCGTGGACTTTCCGATAGGCACGGTGGAATTGACTTCGGCGGTAGGATCAGCGTTCTGCACTGTCGACAGTTCATGCCGATACGCTCGGAAGACATTTTGTTCGCTCCCGCCAAAGTACGTGTGGACTTGTCCTGGCAACAGCGCGTTCTCCGATATATAGGTTTGCCTTGAGTATTCTTGCAGCGGCAAAGGCAGAATGTACGCGACTCCGACGACTATGCAGAGGAAGGACAGGTACGGCGGGATTCGGAGCAGCCGCGCGTCGTCCTTGCGTAGGGTTGAGATGAGGTTCCCTGTGTTCCTTTAGACACGAGACGTTGAAGAGCAACAGGCGCCGGTTAGGGGGCTTACGTATCAAACCCATCTTTGCCTCGCTCTGCTCATCGCAGCTTCACTGCAAGGCCTCCGCACGCAATTCCTCGATTGGATTGTGGTTCAAGAGGGACTCTGTACTTTGCGAAATCCCGAGTATTACCCGTCCAAAGTCGGGGCAAGCCCCTGACTCATCATGTGTAGCATCCTTGAAGTTACTCATCATATCATTAATGTACACTCAACACGTCTACAACAGAGCTGCCCTTCACTATCGGCGCAGACGTGAATGTCGTCTGTCGCTTGACATGTCGCTGGAAAAGCCATTGCGTGGGAAAGCCAACAGTTGCTGCGCGCTGGTAATGCAGATGCTCACACACTTCAAGGTCCAAGCCTTTGACCACCACCACTTGTTCCCAGCCACCCCAGCCCGATGGGGCTCATGTGCCCCTCGGGGTCACCTGCTGAGCTTGTTGGAAGGACACCATAACGACCATAGGTCTTTTGGTCCACCGACACGTAATGTGGTAGGCGCCCTAGAAGGTTGAGCTTGCCTTCGATCCAGCGAAGGACTTTCTCTGGAGGCGCAAGGAAGCGGATGTATCCCAAGCCCCCTATGCCAGTATTAGCTTGGGATTCAGAGGCCGAGACAGGTGAAGGAAGGAGTGCTTGGTGGGTGGACAGAAGTGATTCAACGTACAAAGATAGCCGGTGATACAGCCGCTCAGATGTCCTAAGAAGGACGCTCCGGGTATGAGTACAGATGTGACCACGAGGATGGCCAGAGGCGATATCCACGTTGGAATCTTCTGGCCACCGATACTGTTGCCCTTGTGTCAGTTTTCTATGCCATTGGTGAAGGACGCTGGGAGACGTACTCAAAGTGCGGGTTCGACTTGTACGTCTTGATAGCCTCAGAGGCTAGGAGCAGGAATACCCATATACTGCCGGCACGTTAGTCAGATGCATCTTTGTGTTGCAGATCCAGCCGGATGCCGCTTACCTGGCCCCCAACACGGGGGTATTGTCCCTTAGAATAACGCCGTCCATTACTAGGTATATGACTGCAGGAATTTGGCCCAACGCTGTTGCACATTAGCAATTTTTTCCGTATCCTCGCTCTTGTCTCACTCACGGCCCAGGAACAGTGCAATGCTGGTCAGGGTCCCAAACTCGGCCTCGAACCTCTCCATCAACGGCACCAGACACATCGTATTGAACAGCATGTGCCAAAACCCGGTATGTATCAGCACGAACGTATTTAGCCGGTACAGACTCCCGAAGTTGACCTCTTTGGGCTCTAGCCAGCCCCATTTTGTCACGCTCCATACCGTCTGCAGTTCCAGGAGCCAGAATGTTATTATCGCAAGGAGGATCACGCGCGTGAAGAGCGGGAGGCGGAAGATATATGAGCGGATTCGAGAGGGCTGAAACAGTCGAGTCGGTACAGGTAGGCTGTTGGTCGATATTCGAGGCGCCGCCGCCGGTCGTGCTGGCCCTGTCATACTAGGGCAGATGTGAAGGTGTTGGATGCTTTGTCAGAGGCCGGCTTGCGTGGGTTTGCGGCGCACTGGGTTCAGGAGGGTTATGGTAGCATTATAAGAACATATACGGCGGGATGCTGTTTGTCATCGCTCAAGGACTGCTCTGCGAGAGTGAACTCGTGGTGTCTCGTGCCCAAGGACCAGAGTGAATAGAAGTGGATTGGGACATTTGGAGACGATGGAACCTCGCAGCCAACGACAAGTTGTGGAGAAATTGCATGTTGATCCCAGCACCGAAATTGCTCTGGTAAAAGTACACAATTTTATCTCACTCAGACCATTCAAGTCATACGCGTTATAAGTTTATCTATATACAGAAAGGCTTTGGCATTGCCGATCTGAAGATTCTGTAAACATGTCAACATTTGCGTGAGCGCCACAGCCAAGGAGCTCTGCAACTGCTTGCGTCCTTATTATTGACCCAGTACCTCGGAGTGAACTCGCAAACTCCCTACTTTGACGATTATACCTCGTGAGACTGTCGCGATCACGGTACTTCTGGCAGTGAAATACGATTTTGGCATATTTGGCCACTGTTCAGTATTCAAAGCGCCGAGGATATGGCTGCCAGGCTCGACCGTCATCGCACGACGCTGGATTCAGCATCGCCTACCAGGCTTAGCCCTCTTCACGATACACTCAAATGGCAGTCATACGTCGGCATAGATGACTCGCTCCGACGAACTGCAGCTTGTCCGACTTTACCATCTGTCAAAATAGGTGTTCTCCGGTTCGACGATCTCGACGGGGGAGCCGTCTGCAAGGAAAGACCTGATGACCTATTCGGATGAAGACCAGCAGGCGACGTGTGGCATAAAGGAGGTAAGTCCATGTAAGTTGCGGTATCGCTGCATGTCCAAGTGGTGAGCGAATACTCAAGTAGCGTGCTCGAGTGAGTGCACGCTCCTGATGCAGTCGTTGGATGATTTCCTCATTAATTACTGCACAGCTATTTCTCTGGGTTGCAGTCACCCGCAGTCACCCAGCAGTGAGTGACCAAGTTGAATAATGAGGTCCATCTGCGTCGATCTCAGCGTCACAAAATTTGGAGAAAATCCGAGCGACGCGTCGCGTTTCACGCGTCCTGCTCTCAGTTTCTTCATCCTTTTCTTCAAGATGAATTCGGGCATTGCAACCTGTTACCGTAGCTACTGCGGGTAGACTCTTCCCTTCCTTTCAACTTCGGTGAAGATTGCGCTTACTCAACGACGCCATCCCCGCCTACATCTGCTGGAAGGTGCCATCAACCCTTACGGGAGTATCGTTCTAGCCCCGAGGTATGCAAGTAGAGAGCGAAACATCATGTACACCAGACGCCGCCCGAATTTATCCCAGACAGTCGCTTCGCGGTTGTAACCAAATCAACCAATGCTGACAATCTTTTGCATAGGCAGGCGCGGCAGGCAAACGTACCTTCCAACAGCCGTGCACTTGATGACGATGTCTACTTATCGAGCAAGAAAACCTCGAAGACCTCAACTGGAGTCTTCTGAGAGCAACGATCACAAACATCACAAGGTTGGCTATACATAAGCACCCGCCTCTAATCAAGCTTCGGGCAATAAGCTTGACTTTCTGGCCCCGTACCCCAAACTCCCCTGGGCGGTGTGGTACGCGGCCCTTGAAACCGAACCGCCGAGCAACGTGTCCACGGTGGTCACCGGCACTTCAAAGGTATAATCATCTCCTGGACGCGAGGTCCCCAAGGTTTCGTCGACAACACCCAGTCGAGTAAAAGAGAGATAGGCGTCGTCCCGGAACTCTCCAACATACCTAGGTACATTTCGCACATAGCAGACTTGACCTTGAAAGTGTTCTGCTGGGTATCCCACGCTCGAGTACGGAGTATGAGGCTGTCGCTGACACGTGGCACGGCAACGGGACGCATGGAAACTAGCCAGTCGTCAGTGGATGTGCGGCTTGGCACCGTTTCTCCTCAAGCTCACACTCGTCGCATCTCATCCCCGTCGTCAAGCCGGCATTCCACTTAGAAATATTGCGGCTTAAAGCGGGACAATGATTGATCACCGCTGGGCAGCTTCCTATCATTCCCAGGTGATGGGCGTTCCGGGCCGTGACTGCTGGGGCTCTCCTGCGAGGCCTCCTTTCTTGGCGGCAGCAAGGAGATAGGGCGTGGGGTCCCCCAACTTCAGGCCCCGAGGGCTAGACTGAGCATGGAAATCCTAAGCTATCCAGTCCCCAACACGGTTGATGCATTCGTTGTTCGCACCCAATAAATCACCACTTCCCGCACCTGCAGGGTCTCTTCCAATCAAAGGAACTGCTGAAAGGCAATGCGGCTTGACTTCTCGGGGGAGAATAAGAGAGCTACCACGTCGCCACAAGACCTGCCTTCTCTGCATACCACAATCCTTGCTGGATCCTGCATGGCGATTTCTTGGAATTGGTGACAATCGGCAAGCTACAAGGCTGTAACAGCGTCGGCAGCAATCTCTCCGATGGGCAGAGCGAGTCAACGTGCTGAGGATCCCCTACCAAGCAATTGAACCGTTGTGGTTTCAGCCTTACTCGGCCACTACAACATCCGAAGCACGGCGGAAGCTCTGTCTCAGACCGTCGCTTTGGTCGACGCTAGTCAGTTTCTCAGCGTCTACGAATCCCGTGTAGCAACTCATGGTCCAGTTCGCGCTTTAATAATGCAGAGCCTTGCCGGGCCAGCATGACCTCGACCGCGAAGCACGTGTCGGGGCGGTGACCGCACAGCTCACCTACCGCTACGCACATATCGTCGGGATCCTGGCCGTGTAGGGACCATGCAGGTGCCCCAGGCGAGCGTCCAAAGACGCCTTGGGCCGGTCTCTGCGACCCTTACTGTCCCTCGTGGACATGGCGGCCACCATTCGTGTCCGAGCGAGAATGGGTCCCTCTCTGAAGAGTCGCTACGGTCAGCAGATAATCAGCGGCTACGACCTACTACCTGGGACTCCGTTTCTCAGATGTCCAACGTACCCGGCAATACGTCGTCGTCAGGCTCGCCTGCATTACTGTACTTGCGAACCGCGGCTTACTCTACAACAACCACTGAGCCGGTTCCAATAGACCCCAGCAAGCTGAAGAAGCTCGGTCCCCTTCACGAGCACTTGGAGATCATCAGGCAGTACACACCTGGGCAGGTGGCAAGAGACATCTGGACTGCGTCTGCCTTGCAATTTGGTGACAATGGCCTCTTGGCCAACGAAAACGTAGACGCTGGCGAATACAGCAGTTCCTGGACATTCTGGGAGAAGATGGCCAACACTGCAGACGCCCTTGGTACAGCGCGATACCTCAACAATGCCTTTGACTTGCACTATTTGTGCTTCGTCGAGATATTTACGGACACGGGCCGGAGACTTTCCCACTGGGATACAACGCCAGAAGACGCGGGCCAAATGGATCAAGATCAAAAGGCCTCGAAAGTCATGGCTAGCACGCCTCTCCTTTTGCAGCTCCTGACCAGAGCCGTCATCGGGGCTGCGAGATCCTGCACTACGTCTGCCGACAGTAAGCTCGCTCGGGTGATGCTTGACGCAGCACACTGTGTATTTCGGCAATTGAAATATGCCACGCGAGTCCGAGCACTTCTGATCCTCTTCGACGTCTACAGAAACACCCTGATAGACCTATGGCATGGGCAAGACACTTCGGGCACTCCGAAGCCACATGACCGCGACAGTGCGTCGCCAGTATCGCCAAAGTCGTCTCGACTGGACCAGGAGTATTCGTTGGATGACCTAGTCTGGTGTATTCACCCGGCCATCTTCAATCGAGAATATTTCGTTGTCTCTACACACCTGCTCAACTTGTCGCGATACCATCGAAGCTGGCTAAGTCTGCCAGCACGCTCCACGGCATGGGAGAAGCCTGTCGCGGAGTTTGTGAGGAACTTGGCCATCCCCTCCAAAACTAGTCAAGGTATCTGTACCAGTACTACCGCCGAAGCGTTGTTGCTGACGATTGCATAGCATGGGTCCGGCTTGTACATGAGCATGAATCTTTTGAGCCACCTAATTTCCTCGACGCATACATTCAAGAAGCCAAGGCATTCCTGCAGTGGTGTACGAATGCGGTGTTCGAAGGACAAACCGTCCTGAACGGGGCCTTCACAGACCAATCGCCGTCTTCTCATGTGGTGTCGCGTGATTCTCTCAACGACGCGAGACTGACCCTATATTGGTTCTTTGTATATCGTAGGAAGACCTTGGACACTCAGCCCGTTCGACCCAGTCATTCCTCAGCAAATTCCCTGCCCAGCTTTCCGCATTCCGACAACGCTCACACCACATTTGATGCCTTTTGGGTCCTCTCCAGCTTTATCTTCGGCTTCTGCGGCCCCGAGGCTCTACTCACTTCACTGGGGTCCATCTCCGACTACACTCTTACCAAGCTGAATCGCATGTTCAAATGGCCACATGGGTTCGTATGGCACTACCTCCAGCAGACTATTTGCCATGCATCGAGACTCCACGCGGACGGCGATTTCCTGCAGCAAATGAACGTCCAGCAGAAAAACCTCGACCTCGCGATCCTTGGTGCAACACAACCGAGCAAAGCCGACGATCAACCTCTGGTCCGAATTGCTACCGAATTACATCCGCAACCGCTCCCGCAGTTCATCGACGCAACAATCCTCGAGTCCCACACTCGGAGCTCCTCGAAAGTCATGTTCACCGCATCCCCCAACTCGTACCACCCTCCAGATAAACTTCCGGTCAAACTCCCTAAACGCCGCTGGCTCCAAAGGCTCAGTCTTCCACGCATCAGCGTCACCAGCATCCAAGCCGACAGCATCAGCAAGCCTAGTATGAGCAGGAGTAGGACGGAGCCCAGAACATTGTCGACACCCACCCAGGCTAGACCACCCCGGCGGTCTGCCCACTCGTGGGACCCAGCGGTGGCGGTGGCGGCTGCCTCAGATCCATGCAAAGTTGAGGAGTTCCCGGGCGATTACTCAGCCATTGTGCCAGACTTGCTGTACACGACCTGTGGGATAGAAGAATCGTCGCGGGTCGAGAAACACCGTGCAGGGACGACAACCGCGACCGCCGCCACCACCAGACCCGCTGACGGAGGAGCCATCGCCGCAGGAACGCTACGCCTGGGCGCCGATAAGATCGCTTCGGTCGTGCATTCGACGGAGATCCTGTTGGCTGGGGGACGGCGTCCTTTCGTCGTACTACACTGAGCGGCATGTATATACGGAGTAAGAATGGCTTGTGGGAATGGCCGCAAAGGGCGGGAGGGAGCGACGACATCCTTTCATTCTTTCTTTACACGGCACATGGGCTGCCCGGGCTACCTTTGGGGAAGGATATGGTCCGGGCGCTTCCGGTGACCCATGCGAATGACGATACTGTACGAGTGATGAAGTGATGACACTTTCGCTGTGTTTCATTAAGATATCAAGCAGAAGGAGTACAATCTTTCAGGGGAATCAAAAGCACCAGGGCAGGCAGGCGAAAGGCAGGAAATCTCAAGTCTGGTGAGTATGAACGTAAATTATGACATATATGCATGTTTCCATGGCATGATGCATCCGGGCTCATAAGGAGCACCAGTCCGCTCCGCCACATCAAGTGAAAAGAAGCTATAAAGATCCGATCAATAGCTCTATCGAGTTGGGGGTATCATGAGCTCCAAGTCCTGGATCACAAAAGACGCCTTATTAGCCTGGTATGAGATGCCGTGACCCGCATGCCATGTGTTGGTCGTTAATCATGGTTCCGGTCCCAGGGGTATCATGCGGTGAAAGCAAGGGTATATAATATGAATCGACGTCGATCCCCCCCTTCGCTCGTCCGCTTCAGCCCATTATAATCTGCTCCGGTGTCGGTAATACTCCGTAATCAAGTCGTATAAACAAATAGGGATGAGGGTCAGGGTATCTTTTTCTGTCCAGCAGGCTTTGTGGTCCATAAGAGACTGTACAGTCGTGGGGTGAGATTGCCGTGACAAATGTGAGTGTGAAGTGGCGAGTTGATGTCGTTAGTCGATATTAACTCGGCTGGGTCATTGTGCGGAGTCGATCCGCGACCATCTCAGCGCTACCGATCGGCAGGTTTGAAGGATTGGGACACGGGATCTTGAGTGTCTGCGTTGGTGGCGTTGACGGCGACTCAAAACTTGGGGGATACAAGGGCCTTGCGCTCCTTCCTGGTGGCCCAGCCCTTGAGCGACAGTACGATGATCTCGTATGCCATGATAAAGGCCGTGAAACCGCAAGTGACGGTCAAGACGAACATGGCCATGAGCCCCGTCCGCTCCATGTAGTGGACGATGTCTCTGGCACTGGCACAGAAGATGATGCCGCCACTAATCAGGCAGAAAGAGGCCACCAGTTCAGTCGGTGGTCGGGCGGGATAGATGGACCTGGGAGGCGAGAGGAACATGAGGAGGTAGGTGCAGATGCGGGCCACTCCGAAGCCGACAAGCAAGATGCCCCATTGAGAGTGTACCTGGGTCGCGACCATGGAGTCTTGATGATGCGACGACATCATGACACCCAGGAGGATGATAATGAGTGCCGGCATCGGATTGAGAGACGTGGTATATTGTTTGGGCATCTCCCGCAATGCAAAGGAATCACTCTCGTGGACGTCTTTTCGCGCGGGCATCTGGTCGACGACGGTATTGAGGTACCGTCTTATCGTGGAGGACTCGGCGAGCATGCCGCACTGGACAAGGGTGTATTAGCATAGTGATCCCCCGGGGCGTATGGAAGAATCCAACTTACCAAGCCACCGCCAAAGAACATGACGGCAATCGAAACATGCTCGAAATCCTGTGCAGTCCATTCATGACCCCAGGCGGCCAGGTGCTCGAGGAAGACGTTGCTCGCGCCATACAGCCAGATGACGAAGGATTCCGTGAACTCAGCCGACGGAATCTTGGACTTCCATTGGGCCACTTCGTCGCGGCTCGGCTTGACATTCCAAGCCCAGCCTAGATCGGCAAAGCAGCCCATCCAACGTCCAAGTGTGAGCAAGCCGTACCAGAAGAAGATTCCTCCCTTGATAAAGTGGGCGAGGCCTGTGAAGACGTTGTTTGCTCTCTGTTGTGTTTGTTTGTTAGTCACTTCACTACCAAAATGGAGACTGCGCCCGACTGTGGCGGGCAGGGGCACTCACGAAAAGGCCACAGTAGGTCACGAACCCCGTCACCATGGTAATGAATCCGAGGAGCAGAATCAGTCTATCCAACACGTTGTACACGAACTTGATGGCTTGAAAGGCTTTGGTCGGAGACAGATTCAAGAGTCTCGGAGACAAGTACCTGTCGACAAACGCAATGCGGTCGATGCGCAACCACCGCAACCGTCGGCTAGGTCGCTGCGGAGTTGGCAATTCTTCGTCGTCCTCCGGCTCCGGCTCCGGCTCCGGCGCCGGCTTCTCAAATTCGTCAAACGTATCTCGTCGGCCCACAACGGTTGGGGAATCGTCACGGCTATGAAGAGTGGATGAGTCTGAGCTGTGCTGCCGGCCATGCCCGGACCAGCGGTATTCAGCATATGGCTGCGAGTTATGCTGCGCCATGTTCTCGACGGACACGGGCAAGAAGGCGGCCCTTTCATCTGCTGGATCTGTGGATTGCTTCCCTCTCCGCGAGTAGAAGAACAGCAAGTTTGTGATGACCAGAGCCGTCACCATCCACGTGGCAATCCAGCCAATTCTATGATGAGCATTATGCACATACAGGTCTGGAGTATTGATGTTGTACACGATACCAAACAGCAGTCCGAGGCCATTGACGACGAGGAACAGGAATTGGACTGGGAGAGCGTATCTCGACCGCGCAATACTGAACATGGATGCTGACTCAATCAGTGCCTGCCTCTCCCGTCCCCATGACTTCTGACTCACCTATTGGCAAGATGAAGAACCATGCTAACACCATCAGGGCGATATGCGCAAAGATCTGGGTCTGGTGTTCGCCGTGGCCAGCATAGCTAGGCATGTCATACGGATCGACCTGACCGCCCTTGTGCTGAGGTGCCTCAGGCTTCTTCACGTCCATGTCATGACCCCCATCGTGACCGTGGGCTAATGTCTGTGAGGCCAGTTGGAGCAGCACAGCTGCCACGGTCCATCTCGACACACCCATCCGGCCGCACGTTTTCTAATGTCTGCACTCTCCTTCTCTTGCACCACCAAAGCCACTCGGCTCGATGCCTCGGTCCCCGGGAAAGGAGAGTAAGAGTCAGTGGTAGAAGGGAACGCGGCTGGTCTCGCAACGGTGTCACGGCGAGTACGACAACGGCGGAGGTGACACGAGAACGAGGTGAAGATGAGGGTTGCGTGCGAAGACAGGTGATGAGGCAGGACAGAGGCAGCAGTGAGGAGTATAAGAGGACAAGAAGGGGAGGATATCATACAGACTTCGACATACACTGGTCACGGGCTAGTATTAAAATCCCGAGAGCAGCTCATCGCCAGCGCGCGAGCGATCGGAGGGGAGATGCGCCCACAGGCAGCAACGCGCGAGGCCGGACGAATAGGTCAGCAACAGCGCAACAGCTTTCGGTATGGCATCGGCGGTGGCATCAACTGGAGCATCTTGGGAATGGTCGGCCGGATTTCTCGGATGCGCGAAAGAATAGTTGCATGTGGCCTGTGCCTCTTATCGCCGACCGGCGACAGGAAGGGCAAAGCCAGAAAGGTCGGATGGACGAGGCCTGCTGCTGCATTAGCGCCCAGAGTCCTGACGCACTTGGCCACTACTGCGTATTGGCCGCAGCCCGGAACGGCAAATCATGCCAAGATCCCCACGACTTAGGCCCGCCTCTGGGCCCTACGAGTACGCACAGCAGGCGTCGGGGGTGCCCACGCCAGGCTGTCAGGCTACCAGTACGAAGTAGTTGGGGTGCACGTCAGATCGAAACTCACTCGTACGGTCGCTTAAGCCGCTGGATCTCTTCAGGCGAGGATCTCACTTCCAGCGATCGTATGGACTGACGAAGAAGTGCTTCGACTCATACCACTTGACTGTGGTACTATCCGGGAACACCTCGTCGTCGTACTCGCAACAGGTACCTGAATGCCTCGATGATGTTTCCAGGGTACTTTGAGTGAGAGTGTGACCAGGGTCCCACCACGGCTAGCTAGCGGCCGCCCATACGGAGGATCCCATAACCTCACCGAGTCACGCTGCTGTGACAGAATTTGCTCGGCTGACAAACTCGGCGGCTCAACCGGGTCCTGATTCTCCAGCGCAATCAAAGAATATTTTTGCGCTCGCGCTCCATCCTGAATAACCTGTCTCCGCAATCTGGCCCTCAAGACGAGAGTTTCCCGAATCTTCCTCCGTGTCGTTTACTCTCAGTCATCACTACCGTGTAAAGTCTCCATGACATCAGCACATGGAAGACATGGGATGCTCTCCACCATGTCCAGGAACAGGACATCCCGAACCATTCCGCAACGGCGTCGAAATTTACTGACATGATTCAATTGCTGGCAAAGCGAGCGGACATGAACAATTCTGGTCAAACAACCATGGAGCGTGCGAGGTAGATGGCTCCGGATAGTCCAGCCGGGTGCAGCATTGGGTTTGTCAATAACCACTGAAATTAGCAAGTGGTTCGAGCCCGTGGTGTGACAAGTGGTCCAATTGCTGGCAGCCTGATCTTGTGATAGATCGCGATGCTGGAGAGCCTCGATTTGGGAAACATGCGAGAGAGAGGAGAAGAGCGGTGACTCAGCGGCCGGGTATGAACGTGCGAGGTGCGAAGAGCAGTCAACCATCGACGTTGGCACGACAAGGGTTGGTGGCGGGGAGAATGCGACACATACGGAGCACATGTTCGGCGGGATCAGCAACGGATGGGTTCCCCAAATCACTTCTGCACAGTATGTACCTCGTAATGCTCTGAGTAGATCGCAACTGGCAGCCTTTCGCTCGAGGCCTTTCAAGCGCCTTCCATAAGATTGTGGCTCTTGACAACGAACAATTCATGCTCTACACATTCGTATCTGTCGTACGTCCATTCGTTTCACAGGCGTATGACCGGCCTTCTTCCCTCGCTTATTGAGGATACCGCCTGTTCCTGTCCGACTCCTTGCCGACCTATTGTAATATTCCATCATTCTCGTGCCTTTCCTCCCACAACCCACCTTTGCGTTCCCACCAATCGCTGGGCCACGTCACGGCCGCCCTGGTGTCCGACCACATCGACTCGTCGGTATACATCGGCGCACCCTAACCTCAAGTAGATATCATATTGCTCGAAGTACTCTTCTCTGCGCGCTACTTCGATAAATCAGCATTCGAAACACCTAATCGATTGCGCTAGCTGGCAGCAAAATGCCTCACTGAGTACTCCGTAGGCTTCGAAGGACATGGAATACTGACGACCAACATGATCGCCTAGGCGCTGCTTCGTTTGCACTACCGAACACGGAGTCATCACCTCCGCAGTGCCAATCTCTCGGCGGCTGGGCTCATCTTCTTGAATCCTGACGGTAACGGTGGCTGGGGCGGTCTAGCAGACCGATAGCGACTGTCGCCGCTACGAGGTGTGATTCACTCAGAGACAGTAATTGCTCGGTGCTCGTACGAAATTTCGGAGAAGAGGGTCCAGATCCATTCTTCTCGATCATGATGATTCACAGCTTGGAAGGGGCAATGGAAAAATGGTGCCGATCATCGACCACTACGATGCGATGCAGAAAGCTTCGACTTTGTCATTGGAACTCTAACAGTCAGGAGACTTTCTTAATTAGTGCAGTCTTTGTGCAGCTCTGTGCAACGTACCTTTCGGTCGAGAACATCTCCGAGGCTCCGAGCCTTGCTCATATCACCCAGTCGCAGTGCCGTCTAATCCGAGAACTGACCGCCAACTGAATTGCAGCCGCCGCATGGTCGGACGATCCCGAAGTAGTCTATCTCGAGACGCTATGGCCAGATCCTTCATCCAATACCGTGCGCCAAAATACTACGCGGCACGCATCAAGATGGTATCCAGTGTTCACCGCGGAGTAATTCAAGGGCACCAAATTCTGTTTCGGCACCGACAATCCTTGTGACTAGAGCCTCATTCGAAGACGAACACCCCCACTTCCCCTCATACCACCCTCTACCGAGTACTCCGTACGCCGTACCACACACTGATGAGGAAGTCAAAGTCTTGTTCCACCAATTCTCCTATGTGCCTGCATCGGTACCCTGCAGGTGGTCACAAGGACGCCGCCATGGCAACCAGATGTCGACGCCCCTTCACGTACATCGGCAAGCATCACATGCACAATTTTATGCAATCATTCGACATCGATCACCACCGACGAGTTTCAAGAGTCTAGAACCCCTGATCCTACACGGTCCTACGCATATGTAGGCCGGAACAAATCGGCGGCTTCAACCCTTAGCACGGTACGAACACCGATCACTACCTAGGTATGGCAACCATACCACAGTACACCCATCCCTTAGGTATCCCTTAGGCACCTCGCGTCCCTCCAACAGATGGCAGATTGCCCAGATAATCAAGGCCCGATTCGTCAGCGTATTCGGGTCTCAATTATGCACGTAATTGATGGCGGTCCACTAGTAGGAGCGCTGGGGAGACATCGAACTGTGTAACTTCAGCATGACTTCCACGCATCCATGCTTCCACACACAGTGTTGCATATAAAGTACCCTACCCAGGGCCTATCCACAGTACGTACTACGCAGGCATGAGATGCACTGTCGACCAAGGCCTTGGCGGTAGGATATCATCACTCAGGCCGCGCGTGCCGTGGGTACTTGTATGCCTGAGCATCCGGCCCAAGACCCTATCAAGGGCTCTACATGGTCTGTGGGCGACCAAGCTCCCCAGAGATATATACCGAACGCATCGAGTTTGCCCAGACCTGCAAGAAGTACTGTGGTGTACAGCTACATTAGCACAGCACACTGTCGAATGCGCAGTACCGCGACACGGCCTACTCCCCAGGATACCGAAGTCACTTTGGCGCACACGCACAGGGAAATGAACCAAAGCTCGTATGTAAGCTTACTGTGTCCTACTGTATGTACACAGTATTGTGCCAGCTGTGCCGGTTGTGTATACGAAGGGGACGCTGCGCAGGACCACGTAGCATAGCACCCATACATTACCGACTCATACCACATATGCAGGTACGTATCCTGCGTCCCTTTCTCCCCCTGTTTCGCATGTCTATGTTTCGTTTCCCATTGACGTAGCCATCCGTTCCTGTAGCAATGCGATGCGATGCCACTCCGTGCCTCGTACCTTATCAACACAATGCTTTGCCAACCTCGCGCAAATGACGAACGTCGCCCTCATACCCTCTCGAGACTCCTGAGGGAATAAAACAGCAGGTACGCCTCCTGGCGCATCACGTCCTCCGTGGTCGTGGCACTCACAATCTCATCATCGAACCGGAACCACTTGTTATCCTGCCGGCAAAAGGCAAAGTAATGCCCGTTCTGCGCGTGCTCGCCCTGATGAACCACGACGCAATCAAGATCGTACAGGAACTCGTTGTCTTTCTTGCTGCCACCGCCGCCGCCACCACTGCCACCATTCTTCGCCCGTGCGTCGCGTTTGTGCTCGCCGTTCTTGGGCGGCGGCCGGGTCGTATACGGCGCCATGTCGAGCGTGAGGCTGAAATCCATCTTGCCTTCGTACTTTTCGGGCCCAAACGTGCTGGTCATGCCGAATCGCTTGACGTGCACGCAAAGAAGGGCAGGTAATTTGCGGATACGCGTCTGTTTCTTGGCCGACCGCTTGTCGTTGCAGCTCGTGCAGTGGTACTGGTCCGGCGAGAGGGGCTCCGGCGCCGTGAACGCGCGCAGCATGTCGCGCAGGGTGGGGATCTGGATGCGCAGGTCGTCGGCGCTGGCAGTATCCTTCTTGATGTCCTTCTTCGGGGTCGCGTCGTCCTTGGTCGTTTCCTTGGCCGCGGCTGCTTCTTTCGCGGCCGCCTCCTTGGCTGCCTTTTTGCGCTTCTTGACCTGCTTCTTGAAGTCGAGGCTGATGCTGGAGAATTCGTCCTCTGTTGACGAGACCGTGTGGCACGTATCGCAGGTGATTTGGCTGTTGTAGCGGCCGTAGAAAACTTTATGGAAGAAACACACGCACTGTTTGCTGGGCGTGGAGGCGGCGTTGGCGGTTTTGTTGTCGGAGGAGGGCACGTACTGGGCGACGCCCTCGTGCAGGCGGTCGACGATGCACATGAACCACTCTTGCGCGTCTTGTTGGCCTTTGCCGGACATGTGCTGTGGAGGTGTGCGTTAGTTGCAGAGAAAATGGCACGAGAACACGCCGCTGCGCCAACTTACCTGGATGTTCTTCCAGCTCGCAAAGAGCAAGTTGACGGCCTGCGCAGGGATCGGCTGGTCCACCATCGTCACGTCGGAGAAGACTTCGGTCATCCCACACGCCACACAACTGGGCAGTTCTTTCTTCTCGTCGGAGCTAACGCCATCATCGTCCTGCTGCTCCTCCTCTGACTCGTTGCCTTTCTCCTTCTTGCCCTCCAGCTCGCGGTTGATCGGACACGTGTGGATGGAGTGGCCCATCCCCAAGAAGTAGCTGGCCAGCAGCGGGTTGTGCACCATCATCTGTAGGACGGCGTTCATGTAGCACGTCTCCCCGAGATTGTACAGTCCGCGCACTCCCGTCCGACCACACGGGCGTTGCGACGTGTTGGTCGTCAAGTAAGAGTCGTCCTCCCCGCCGTTGGACTCTACCAGTTTTCGCTTCACGCCATTGACGACTGGTTTACTGCTGATTGCGCTAACGGTCCGGCCGTTGCTGACTAATAACGCTGGATCGTAGACGAGGTCGTTGCATTGCCCACACCACACGGATCTCGTGGAGACGGAAAACTCGTGCTTCGTCTTGTTGAAATGTTTCTCCAGCATGGAGAAGCTGCCAGTAAAGCTGCACGAGAGACAGCTGTAGTTCGCAAAGTCGGCGTCGATGGCATTTGATTCGTTGCGGAAGGCCACGATTTTCTTGATTGTGGCAGGTTTGAGATGTTCGCAGCCTGTGGAGGGCATGTGATACGGGGAAGCTGTCATGGTGGATTCTGTCGGCCTGTGCACTTGGAAGGGCGTTGAACAGCGACGATACTCAAGATCCTCGTCGGTCACGCGAGGAATGAGAAAGTCGATGATGGTGTGAGCAGCTTCAGGAGAACGGGCTTTGCAAAGTGCGCTCCTAGATTGTGGGTGAGAGCGTTATTGTCCAGTATACCCCAACCCATCTAGCTCGGCGATATAAGTCTATCCATGCATAACGTAAGAACAATAGAGAATAGCCGCGCTCTTGAATAGAGGTGGCGGCGGGAAATGAGGCTCAAAATGTGAAGATTGTTCTGGGCTTATTTTTGGCCCGGTTGTATGCTCCGCCGGTGAAGCAAGGCTGAGACTACGGCGGGCCACTGCGTCTACTGGACACTCGCAGCCTCGCGATGCATCCCGCTACCGACAATGATTGGCCTCGTTAAGCGAGCACCTTGAATGCCAGGCAGGCCCGACTCGCAAGCTCGATCTTGCTGATTGGTCACCCTGAAACTCAGTACCTGTCCTGCCTCGAAGAACATAAACACGTCAGTTTGTTCTTCGGCCCTTCCTTCCCTGTATCCTCCCATTCACACGCCTGGCATTATTCAGATTGAGCGGGCTACCGTGATCATGTTGCACCGTGATTGCTAGGGATCAGATAAAGACGTCCGAAGTGACGGCCATGATCGAGAGGCACCCAGCCTTGCGAAGATGAATACCGACGCCCCAGGGTCACAGCCCCTATGGGAAGATCTCCTTCTCAGCTCGGATCCGGGAGTGAATGGCTTTTTCAACAGTCCTGCGGTCACCGTGGGTGATGTGGGTGCATTCAGCCATGCCGTGGATGCATACGCCCACAATAATGGATCGTCCGATCCATGTTCCTCGACCTATATCTCAGCCGCACAACTGCCTGATTTGCCACCTTCCCTCCCATCGCTCGAGAACACTGTTTGTGACGATGACTTCCTCATGCCAGACATTGATGACTTCCTAAACAACACAATCGCCCAACAAGACGAGTTCCTCAACGAAATGACTTTTCGTACCTATATGGAGCCTGGAAACCCTACTCCTGAGCTCTGGTCGGCAGAGCCTCAAGCTCCTCTATTGCACAGGAAGAGAACAAGACCCTGTTCTACCACGTCGCATGATACTGATTCGCCCAAAAGGAAGGTGAAAGTCGTGGGAAAGAAGTCCGCTTTTACCCAATTTCAGACGGAGGTACTTGAAGACTGGCTGTCTCGAAATTTGGCAGATCCATTTCCAAGCCCAGAAATAAAGGCGAGTCTGGCAAACTCTACTGGCTTGTCGGTCCGTCAGGTTGAAAGGTGGTTCGCGAGGACACGCCAAAGGAAGCTCACAAGGCTCAAGCTGGAAGAAGCGGGCAGCATCGGCGGCGAAGAGGTCATGGCTCCCAGTCAGGCCCATCCCCAGCAAGGACCAGAGCTAAGACGGCATGGGCCTCCGGAGCACGCTTCCTCTCATCATGAGTTCGAGATGCAAGGAAGGGCCTGTCGTTCCCTGACAGGCACAAGGACTGGCAAAATGTGGTCTTTCGGTTGCTTGAAGAAGCGCTACAGCCTTCTGAAAGATGTGTACACCCTCGGGTCTGGTTGGCGTGGAACCAGCGCAGCTGCAGCAAGTCTGAACAGACCCAGCAGCTGCCCTCCGCCCTCGAGCATGGCTGGCTTTCTCGACCTGTTTCTACCACGAAGTTGTGGCGCTCAGTCGGCTACCAACGGGAAATATTCCCTGCAGGTGGGCCTGCCAAGTCATCCCGGTAGTCCTTGGTCTATCCCAAAGTCCAACAGCAGGAACAGCAATGATGGCCGTGGAGAGACAGCGTACCTCGAGCCTATGTGGTATCTTCAAGACTGGGGCGTCGAACGATGGCTAGAGCTTTTACCCACCGATCCTTGCGGTTTTGAAGCACTGAATGAGTCTGAGCGCGACCGCGAACCAGCTCCAGACATGCAAGGTGCTGAATGCCGCCGGGGAGGAAGAGCTCTGAATGGATATGGCCACTGCGATCACTTTCTGGGCCAGCTCTCATCTGGGACTGCTGACCCTATCACTTCTCTTGATGTGCGTGGTCGATCTTCGGAACATGCTGGCTCAAATGAATCATCCTTGGCCGGAACCCATGCCAACCAGAACCGCAACACTGAAGTGAGTGCTGTCTTTACATCCCCACAGCCGTTGCAGGATGAGGCTACTGGTTCTAAAGACCCGGGAGAAGTTGCTTCTAGCCATGCGCCACCTGAACTCAATAACGCCGAGCCTCATATTTGCAGAATCTGTTCGCACTCGTTTGCAAAAATCGCGCAGTTGAAGAGGCATTGCCAGTCCCATTTCTCAAGCAAAGGGCCTTTTAAGTGCCTTTATTGTAGTCACAGCTTCACATTTTCGTACAACCTATACCGTCACCAAATTCGGCGCCACCCGAAACTGAGGCCGGCGGCCCAGCCTTCATTACAGCGCAGGAGCAGTGCTGGGAAGGTCGACAGTGGCCACCAGCAGCATAGCTATGGCGCGAGTGGATTGCAGCCGGACCAGTCGCCAGGTGCTGGAAATCAAGACTTCGGCTGGAATGGGTCAGCTGCAACTACTCAAAACGGAGCGGGAAGCCCTTACCGTTACGCAGAGTCACTTGGAGGTTCAAGTGGTGCTGCTTCTGTAGCATCCTGCTCCAGCTACCTGACGTTTGGGCCTCGGAAGGGGCGCAGAGTCGCCTATGGAGGAACATCACCAGGAGTCGCATCCACTTCTCCACCGACTGCAGCTTGGGGCCGGGATCGGCTCCCTACGCCTCCTGAAAGATCCAATGGTGGGGTTCTAGGACAGCTGCTTATGACGCCCGATAGTCAGAGTCCTTTCGATGGCGCTAACCATAACTGCAGTCGCGGGCAATGTCTTTTCGATTGTTTTGAGCCGTCCCCGGACTTCGGGGGATCTATAACTACAGATACTTGCAAGCCAGGGGAGGCCGAGTTGCGGGAAGTTTCAAAATCCAGAGTCCGTGTAAAATCTTCTGGCGACTCCTCTTATCAATGCACATTCTGCGGGATGGGTTTCTACTCGAAGTACGGATGGCTACGACATGAACAGGCTCGTCATGCACCACCAAAGGTGTGGGTGTGCGAGCCGTTGGCATTCTCCGTCGAGGGTGGCAACCGTCACTCCGATTATGGCAAATGTCCTGTATGCTGGGAGCACCTACACCTCGGCCACTGTTCGCACCGTTTCGAAGAATGCTGGGCGCGGCCCGAGAAAGACAGGACGTACTTCCGCAAGGACGCCTTGATACAGCATGTGCGTCTTGTGCATCATCCCCGTCTCACCCAGAATCTTTATGATGGCCGTGCCGTGGATGTGCCTACGGAACATTTGGTATGTCCATTTTGTGACATTGCAAACGCGACCTGGCAAGATCGTGTCGAGCACGTTGCAGGTCACTTCAAAAAGGGTGAGCGCCTTTCAGAGAGCAGATGGAACAAGACGAGAAACCAATGATGGGACGGGATGCTTCCAGCCATACCTTTTATGTTTTGACTGGAAGGGCCGGTAGACTAGGGGTATATCCCAGACACAGCCTTTTACCAATGATAATCCTTGGCGCCCTTGAGCATCTCAACTCTCTGGAACAAGGTGATCCTTATCGTCTCAGCTCATGGGAGACAGTTTTCCCTCCAAACGCGAGTTCATGGTACCCACCTTCCACTGAGCAATGTCATACGACCTTCCTCTCCCGGCACTCCAAACCCAAGAGCAACTTGTGTGGAATCATTTTCAACTGGGTGTCCCTGCTGTGGATGAGGTATCTGGGGACGACTTCCGGCAGGTTTGCAAGTACCGCTTCGGCAGCTGGGCCATTGAGGGACAGGGACCAAGCCGCCCTGCGGCTAGCTTCACCGCAGCTACGTCGAGCAGTCTGCATAGATCAATACGGTAATGACGACTAGTTGGTGGAGGGCTTGGTTGTACGTTCAGAGCAGGAAGTTCCACCCGTGACATTCGGTGACATTCGGCTCTTCAGCACGCACTCATTTGCTTTTCCGCGGTGCTGGGCCGTTCGTCTCCGAAGATGATCTAAAGGACCCGCCCTGGTCGAGGGAGCAGATGGCGCGATGGCGATACCGCCGAAGATGATACGAATTGTGACAGGGCCGTGTCCACGAAGACAAAGTTGGTTGAGCTGTCTTCCTGGCGTTACCCGCCCAAAGGACTCCATTTGCGGGGACAGACACTTCTGGCAATGTACCACACTACTCAATGACAGTGGGGGTGGCCACCCAAATTGCTTTGATGGTGAAGGGCGATTATCACTGCGTTCTGAGTGCGAAGAGACCAATCCCACGCGACTCCGTCAACCTCGACCGTCTGAGATGCTGAATGGTTAGCCCATGAGGAGCGAGAAACAAGCCAGGCGGACCGCGAGATGCCACTGTTGCCGATCTAGCTGCGCATGAACGTTTGCTTGATGTGTTCGACGGTGACTTGTGGCCGTGTATTGACCTCTCTTAAAACGCGATCCTTTCATGTTTCACCGACATTCGGAGCGAGTATTCCGCAAGGAGCTGGAGCGGAGCTGGCTGGTACGTCTCTAGGGCGCGCAAGATGGACATATCTGATTCTCTGCTCCTTCCCCCCTCTTTGGTCTTTATCCTTGCGCTCGTCTTGGTGACAGCCCCGATGCAAGAGCCCTCGTCATGTGCTTGTCCCTTTGAAATTTCTTCTATGGTCGCAGCTGGAATTACCATTGATAATATTACCACTTACCATCCATCCGCTCGTAACACATTGCCCACAGTCCAGCATGTGGCATGTTGTCCCGGGTCTGTGGTGGGACGGGGTGGAAGATAGCCACGAAGAGGGGCCAGAGATCAACATGGTCGTAAAATTTCCATGATGATTTCACAGCAGTAATCGTGACCGTCATCGTAACAGTACCGTGGGTGTCATTGTTGACCGGAATCCGTACCGTTTCATCGCATCATACCTACCGCCATTGGTACTTTATCAGCAGAGATGGGAGACGATAGTCGATTACATCTCCTGCCACCACCTTATCTCGTCTCATCTCATCCCCGTTCATCTCACTTCCCTCCCCCTACCTCTCCCTCTCGGCAGGCCAGACCCCCTGGCACCCCTCGCAGCCGGATCGCCCCTCCCGCCTCGTGAAGCGGCACCTGGCCCACCTCCACGTCTCGCTCCAGGAAGCCTACTCTGACTCTGCTGATTGACCGTCGACGTAGTCCCCGGCGTAACAGGCGGCGCCACCGTCTTCCGCCTAGGCGTGGCCTTTAAGCTCACGAAGCTGGCATCCGCATTGGTCACGAACGTGGCATCACCAGGGTTGTCCTGTGCCTGCCTCACCCCGCCGCCGCCGACAGTGAACGAATTAGAGGTAGAGTCAGGCACGGTGATGTTGGTGTTCATCGTCGTCGAATGTTCGTCCAGGCCTGCTTGCCGTCTCTGCCACCGCTTGATTGATTCCGTGATGGGAGCCTGATTTTGCCACGCACGCGTCAGCAACAGCATCGGCTTTAAGATCGAGAAGGATATCGATATTGGAATCCACAAGAAAGATGTATGGCACGTATGTCACGTCCCCTTGCCCTTTCTTTCGCGTTTTCGAGGGCAGTCCCGAAACGTGCAGGAAGATAACGGTGCGGAGTCCCCCCTTTTTACACGTTTCCGTGGGGCGACGTTCAACGCATAGGAAGATAGATGATGGCACATGGGCCCCATGCGTGCGGAGATGCTTGCTGCCTACCTCTGGGAAATCCACGACAAAAGCATTCATATTCAGCCCGTACAGAAAACTCGCAAAACTCTCGCCAAACCGACTCAGACTCTCGTGCATAAGTTGCAAGTGCATGAGGTTCGCCTCCAGGTCGGCCATGCTGTCGCTCAGTTCTGCGAACTGTGGCTCGAGGTGGTCCAGGCCTGTCGGGATCGTGTCGCTCGGAAAGGTTGTTGAAGCGCGGAAGGACGAGCGCGAGGACGCGCGGAGAGGCGTTGTTGGCCGGGATGTCGGTGAGCGGGAGCGTGTCCGGACGGGCAGCAGCGTTGTTTGGCGTGGTTGGGCCATGTTTTGAAGCATGGGAACAATGTCCGAAGCAGTACACAGTAAAGGTGAGGGTAAGTCAAGACGAGTCGACTACCTACTCCGTACTAGGTACCGAAGTACCCTATCCACGGTACTCCGTATCAAGAGACGTGTCAGACTCAGCCAATGAAGACGCGCAGCCGGGAGTTTCGGCAAAGGATAAATCAGTTTTCCCGACGAGGCTGGCTTGACAAGGCTTCGACTACCGATTGTGCTCAGCGGAGTGATTTATACCGCGTCCGTGTAGCGCTGTCGCCGCCGCCACATCACAACACAACCTCCCTTGGCTAGCCACACTCTTGCGACTATTACATTTGAACCTAGCTATCCACGCCCACTGGCCGATCACAGCCTCTAAAAGTCCGGTGAAGCATGAAGCGATCACCCACCGGCTCATACTCAAGTCTAGAGTTGAATCCTTCTGCAATCCGAAGGATGCAAGGCTGAAGACCACGGCTGAGGTCCTACATGCGCCCGGCAGGACCCTTGGCAACCGACTACCATTCCGTATGTAATACAATATGTCGTCTTCGATCAAATCCCGTCGAAATCGCCACCCGGTGCATCGTCATCGTCCATCTCTCCGTCCACAATCTCCTTCGCGAGCTCACGTTCACGCTCACGAGCCTCTTGGGCATTTTTGAGCTCTAATCGGTGTTGGTTCATGGGGAAACGCATCGCCTGTAAAAAGATCAGCACTGTGGTCGGGTAAAGAATGGAGGCTACTTGCCTTCACGCTCTCGTCGTGCAGAGCCAGGCAAGCTTGGATTCGGTCGTGGAAAGCGTCTCCGGGCTCCCCTGTAGCATAGACGTCGCCCGTCTCCTTGCTCTTCATGTACCCACGCTCATGGTCGAGACTCGCCTCAATGACTCCATCACGAATAGCCTTTGCAACGATGTACTCTGCCGATTCTTCACTGTCCAGTCCCAATCGTAGACACATGTCTCGCAGCGAGATCCTTGCATATGAAAGAGACATCATGCGGATACCTGTCCGGATGACATTTTGCCGCAGTCTCAGAATGAGAGTGTAGGTATCATCCTTTCGGAAGGTCGCGCTGTATCGCTGAACCAGGTTCTGGAAGCCAATGACATCCCCTGAGCTGACAGCTTGAACGAGCTGAAGATATGGTTGAAGCGCTTTCTCGAGGCTAGGCTGACGGAAGATTGCGCGGTCAGGGATATCGCCCATCAAGAGCTCGACTACAATGAGCAATTTGGTGGACGCCTGATAAAATCCGCTGGCCTTGTAGGCTGTTGGCGATTTCCGCGTCGCTCCAGTCAGATGATCATGGGCTTCCGTATACTGTAGCTGGATCGCTCGAATGCGACCAAGGTAGTACAAATAACGGGCTACCTGGTTGTTGGCAGCAGTATCGGGGAATTTGGTGTGTGATATCAGCAGGTCAGCCTGAGTAATATGAGAGGTGGAGAGATAGTTCCGCAGAAGTAGCGTTGTCACCGAGGCTTGTATATCTTGGTCCTTCCGTAGCGTTGCAGTTCTCAGCGCACCGAGCAGCGTTTTCCGAATGGAAATGACTGCTGCGGCGGGTGAAGGTGGCTGTGGTGCAACCTCCTCATAGAAGAGAGCGTAGTAGAAGTACACACGCGCAGACAGTGAGTCCAGTGTCCGACGATTCAAGGTGCGCAGATGTTCGACCAGCGCGCTCGAGAACTGGGCTCCGGCATTGATGGACTTTTTATCGTAGAGATGTACTTGGACTAGAATGGATAGGTAGACGTCGATTTCTGGTAGGATTTCTCTGTGCGAGTTCTTTTGAGCTGACGCATCTTTCTTGCTGTGCCATTCTTCCGCTTTCTGGGAGGGAAAGCTCGGGTCATCTTTGACGGCGCTGAGAAGCGAGACGGCGGTCGCGGTAGGGCTGGAATAAGTGTCGGTGACGACGGTGGCCAGCACGTAGGCCGTCAGATGCTTCCGGACGGAGGGTATGGACCGAAGGACTCTCAAGCTGAATCGAGGATCAAACTGACTGACGGCGCGTTCCAGTAATGGCAGACTGGCCTTTATCTCTGAAGGGAATGTCAGTAAAGCAGCTTCGATACAGGATCTTGGAAGCAGGCTGCTTACCTTGGATTGCCTTTTCTTCAGGATCGACCGGTTCTTCGGCCATTTTCTCGTCATTGCCATCAACCGCGCCATTCGTCAGATCAGCCTCAGTTGCTTTCGAAGGAGCGCTCGGCGTGTTGGAGCCTTTCGAAGGCGGAACAACAACCGTCATATCGCCGTCGCCGTCTTTATCTTTTGACCCCTTGCTGCCTTTCTTTGCATTTAGGGATTCATCCTTCATATCAATATCGTCCGCACCGTTGACGCCATTTCGAGCCGGACCAGAGCCATTAAGATTTTGCTTGTCACCACTCATGGCTTCGGCGAAGCTGGGCTAATGGTGTGGGAGGGAAGATGATCTCGACCTAAAGCGGGTATACGCGAATAATGACCTGTTGACTTGCTCCGATTTGATAGACGACTTGTTGTATCTCGCCGAGCTATTATATGGCGCTTGGTACGAAGGGAGTTGTTTCCGCAGACGCTGAGTCACTCTTCACGCTCTACGTACAAAGATCGGAAGAGACGACAAGGCCGCTTGTATGTAATGGCGTGAGGCAAGGTCGAGGCAACTGTGATTCGACTGGAGATGGCGATGGAGATGGAAATGCAAATGGAGATGCAATCACTTTCTCCTTGGGTCGGTCGTAGATTCCGTAGCGCAGCGCGGCGCAGCGCAGCCACAGCGCAAGGCAAGGCTCGGCCAGGCACAAGCACAAGACGCGTTCCCGTCACTGACTCCACTCGGCCGACCACTCACCAACAAACCAACAACTACTGTGCACTGACTCTAGACATCGAATATCGATGTGCCTATGGAAGTGCCTGCAGAAGTACTAGATGAAGAGGCTTGCATTCGGTACGGCTAGGGACTATGCAGTTTTGAGGGTGCTCAGTTGAAAGCCAACTGCAGGTGTGAGAGTGCCGACCAGGACACGTGCGCACACTTCTCTGTAAACATGACTCTCCTGGCAAGCCACCTGGAGCAAATCGCTGCGTCTGCGAAGGCCATCACCGAGTTGGAGTAGGTCGGAAAGGTTTGGGTTCTCCCACACATACACTGACCCTTCCCAGGTTCCCTCCGCCGAAAAGATTCACCAACGCCTTGCTAAGCAATTCTGAAATCACTACCTTGATTCGCGATACCGAAGCTTACGAGCGCGCACTGTTTTCCCTTGATCACAATGCTGTCGCCAGAAGTCGCCAGCAAACAAATAACCCAGACGCTGGCTCGAATGGCCACAAAAGTGGTTTTAATGCCTCTCATCCGTTGAAACAGTCAGCGGTCACTCTAGTACTCGGAACTGATATGCTGCGAGAAATAAGACTATCAAGCAATGCGCGAGCACATGGCGGAGTCAACGTTGAAGTCCTTCTCCGTGGTGCAGAAAAGCTTTGTGAGGTATACAGCGTTGCAGGAGCCTCGCAAAAGATTCGCGCACTCCGCAACCGTCATAAAGAACTCGCCGCTTCTATTACCGTGCTTGAAACGAAGGTGCTCAAGCAACAGTCACTCTTAGAGCGCAGGCATCCCACCTGGGACCCGGACAATGCAGGAGATGAGAATGATAGGGAACACGACTTTGTGAACAATGACAAGCACGCGGTCTTAACCGAGGACGATTTCCAGCTCGAAGAGGAGGAGATCCAAGAATTAGAAGCAAGGAAGAAAGCTTTAGAAGATCGTGTCTCGGGCATGGAAAGAGACCTTGGTGGACTTCTCAAATGAAATCCGCTGCTGAGTATTTACATCAAGAAAGGGGTGAACTCGCCGCAGTGCACACGGTCGGCGACTATCATGGTGACGGTCTGTCAGTCTGAACGTATTCCCCGAAACTGCGATGCATCTTCGAACGTGTGAGGTTTCACTGGCACAAAGGGTCGCCGATGCGAGTGGTCACCAGAGCGGAGGTTGTCAGAAGGCGCTGTATCACCACCCGACCGCAACTGGACGTGTGTCGCAGATTGCACAACCACATCTTGACCGCATTCTTGCCTTGATGCGATACCAGTGATCCTACCAGCATTCCCGTCTAAGCAAATAAGGTTCTCAAGTCCGATACAACGGGCATGGAGCTCTTCAGCGGTAGAAGCGCTGGAGCACATGAAGTACACGCCCAGAAAAGTCTGCTCGGCTACGGCCATGGGCCATGGTATTCACTATCACGAAAGGAGATCCCCACCGGCAGTGAGCGTTACTTTCGCCTGGAGAACTGATATGCGGCTACGAGAGCTACAAAAGCCACGTTTCTTCAGTGGGGCGGGACGACTTTAGGAGTGTACCCATTTGGTGAATGACCAACCCACAGGCTCGACTACTCCGTATGTGCTCGTAAATAGGGGCGTGGAAGTCGAGGTTGGCCATGGCCACGCGCTGCAGATACCGGGAGCCGTGGATATGTATTGCACAAAATTCTCCCATCTGCTTCGGAAGATACGACACTGGAGTGTCGTCTAAATATGATCCTGGATGCGTTGTATACGAGGAGGAGCGCCCCTTATGAGGAAGAGGTGGTGTTGATTATGGTTAGGTTGCTCGCAATGTGTACACGTTTTGCGGCGGTGGTGCTCCGTACCTAGTGACCTTCGTTAAGCATGGATGCAAGTCGCCGCCACTGACAGAGGCCAATGGCAGAGACCGTCTACCTTGCATACGCCCAGTCCGTCCGGGGCAGCTGCAAACATGTGCATTAGGCACGGCTTGTCCTCATCAGAAAGCCGCTACTGAGCATAGCACATCCGTAGCTCAGGGACCGCGATCCGCAAGTGGGCATATCTACACAGTAGGTCGCGATGGGTGTCAAACAGGAGTGGCAAGCGACCCCCAGTTGAGACTCCCACCACACCCAGCCCCGAAATGCCCAGCTTCACTGATCTGGTCGTTTCACCCGTCACCATTTTTGTTTGACCTCTGAGCTGCGCCTTACCTCTCCCACTTGCGCTATCCAGCCACCTTGGTATAGAAAGCCCCTCAAGGGCACAGGCGCAACAGGCAGCACATGTGAGGAACGCATTGACCCAGTCCGTCTCAGAATTTCTCCAAGTTTCCACTGTGGAGCGGAACCAATTGATCGTCACTCCCGGTACCTCAACTGCGATCGCCGCTTCAGTGTCGCAAGAAGTGGTTCTAATCTAACATCAAAGCTGGGAGAATCGAGGAGGCGCACACCGCCGTCGCAAGGAACTCGGGTCAACCTCAGAATCCAGCCTTTGTTCGAGCGATATCGGTGGTGAAGTCACTTCAGCCTCAGCTACGCATCAAGACACCCTCATGGAGCACTGATTGCTTCCTCACTGGTGCTACCCATTTTGCCCTCATCACCACGCATCTGCATCCGCTTCGCTTCTTCACACCCTTACAATATGGCGCAACTGCGAAGCGTGAGTTCGGGAACGGACGTCCTTTCCATGTCCGCGCGATCGACGAGAGCTACGCTTCCCCATGCAGCTGCACCGCCTGCCTACATCTCAATAGCCGAAGCCGAGAACCTAGTCTATGCAGAGATTGAGCAGGTGGTAAAGATCTCTAATAGCGCTCTGCAGTTGCTGAATGGGTTCCTCGATCAGATACTCTACGACATTTTGTCGAAATCGCAATCTATCAGCCTGACCGCAGTCCGCGCTGCGATCCCGCTAGTACTGAAACAGAGGTTGGGACGTGCTGCGGTCAAGGCCGGAGACGACGAATTGCAGGACTACTTGGAAGAATATGAGCTGGAAGAAATCCAACACACCGCACCTGTCCTTGATCCGAAATCTGAGTTCGATGTCGAGCTCGCCTGGAAACTGGCTCGACTACGATGTATGGTTTATGCCAAGCTTGGAGATATGGAAGAAGAAGATGAAGAGGATTACCTCGAAGGCGATGACGTGAGGGAACATTTAAACCAGTTGAGGGACGCGAACAAGGTTGTCGATCGCATGCTACCACCCACTGCCATCTTTCTTACCACGGTACTCGAGTTCATTGGCGAACAAGGCCTGTGCATAGCGGCTCAGCACGCGCGAAAGCGACATGCTCATCTCAACGATATCGCTCAAACACCACCAATTGGGCGAACAGACATTACTATTTTGTTGGAAGAGATAGACATGTCGGGCATAGGGAAAGAAGGACCTCTGATCCGACTCTGGCGCTCGTGGAAGGGCAGTGTCCGTTCTGGTAGCACTAATTATTCGCGTCCTACCACGCCCAACATCCTGTCGCCCACGAGCCCTGAATCACCCACGCAAGAATGGAGGTTCCCTACGGCCCCAGCGATCCCTCCTATCAAGGAAGAGAGCCGCTCTGTCACCCCGGCCAACATACCGCTACCAGCTACTGGTAAAGATGTCGAAGAGATTGAGGCGCCTGAAGGTGGTACTACTGCCAAAGCAGAGGGCAAGATTCGGCGGCCTACGGTTGGAAAGCGGAATTCTACAAATATGCTGATCATGCCTGGCCAATATCCAGATTCCAAAGCCACGAATGAGAGTGCGGAAAGGCCCCAGATGAGCAGAAGAAGATCGCGATCAGTCCCAACTTCCCCCGTGCTTTCTTCAAGCACACCATTAGACCTTCAGCGGAGAGCTGCCGGCCCCGTTGGCACTGCTAGCTCAACTGAACAACGCTCGCCTAATGGAAATACTCAGCAGCATAACGGGGAGGCCTCATCTGGGCTACGCTCAACTGCAATCGGCGCTACTGTCGCTACAATTGCCGGCGCCCTCAGCGTGGAAGCAGCCAAGGTATTTCGAAGAGATCACTCAACAGACTCGGGTTCTCCCGTATCTCCCGAGTCTGTCGTAGACCCTCATTCGTCTCATAACACGGCAAATGACTTCGAACGAATGCACATCCCTCTGCGGGCTCAAACTGCTGTCATCGATGCTGCGGAAAGAGAGATGCAGGAAGCCGCGTCCGAAGCGGAAGATCCGGCATTGGGCTCAAGTGCTGACGAGGGGACTGACGTGGGCACCGAACGAGTAAACCCCAGGGATTCTGGATTTGGGGTTGCTGGGGCCCAGGACGAAATGCCTCAGCACATAGACGGGGCAAATGCTGGCTATGAGCCATCAACAATCAACGACACACGTAACGACGAAGTTGGGGCTCAGGGTGATGCCTTTGCCCCAAGCACGCGATCTTCGAATGTTGGTTATGCGACAATCTTTCAGACTTCTGACATGAACGCCGGCTACAGCAGTTCGAACTCGACTCGCAACTCCGGTCCAGAAATGACTCGTCCCGAAGAATCCATTGCTGCGATGAGAGCAGGTACAACAGCTGGTGGACCCGTAACCTCTGCATGGCCTGCCGTGATTCCAAATCGGAGGTCCTCGTTGGAACATAGGGAAGCAGAACAGACTGACGCTCACCTCGCTAACCATTTTACACCGTCGCAGTTTCACCAGCAGGGGATGGAGCAACCGGTCCCTCGCTTCGCAACTTCAGCATATGCTCGTTCAAGGAGCGCTAGCGCGACTCAAGCGAGACCTTCAACTTCTGGTTCTTCGACAGCTCGGCGACAACACCTTCGACTTCGGTCGGAAGATACCGAGGCACGACCGCGCGAGGATCTAGACAGAGCAAAGAAGAGTCTCGATCTGCTGATTGACAGCGACGAAACGTTGCACTATACACTGACGCCCGCATCCGCTACAGTCGTAAGTGTAGCTCTCCGTGATCGTTGGCCGGCCACTGACATGTCTTCAGGGAGGCAAACTAAAGGCCAGAAGTCAAACTCAGGCATTAGCGGACTTCTTCAGAGAGACCGCACCTCCCGAACACGAAGTGCGGCCGAAGTCCTCTCGTTCCAACAAGGGTAGTCTAAACGGTCTTCGAGCGAATCCCCCAACCCCAGTCACAGTTAAAGCGCCATCAAGTCAACCACCTGTATCCTCGCCTTCTAGGCCTAAGAAGCTTGTAGGCGAGCCACGTGAGGCCAGAATGGTGCGCAATAATACTCGAGACCTTGCCGATTACGCGCGATCCACGGGTCCTGAAAATGAGGCACAGCTTCCCAAGTCGCTTGGCCCTCGCCCGTCTACCGCCCAGGGGTCAAAGACGGATTTTTCACTGAGAGAAAAGGCTCTTGCTGAGGACAATCGTCCCGACACAGCCAAGACTGCCAACCGCTTGAAATATCAGGCGCGGGACGCGAAAGTGCCCAGAACCGCTGATAGTTCGGATCTGATCGACTTTATCAGAGAAGGCCCTCCACGGGCGCCTGGAGAACATCGGATCGATCGCCATGTGGCACCATTCCGAACGACAATGGATTCTGACGATCTCAACGCGCTAGCACCTCCTCCGGAGCTTGACGCCAGGCCACGTAATTCGGAAGCGAGTGTTCCGGAGAGTGCTATAACAGCCAAGTCGATGCCATCGTCTTTGAATTCGCGCACTGGTCTACTCGACTCGACGAATCGCGTGGCTAGCAAGCCCATGAACGGCGTAAGTGCTGTGTCGAAACAACCAGCAATTCCAGAGGCAGATGGTATGCCCAAAAGAACACGAAGACGGGTTCGGGATCCATATGCCATTGATTACAGCGATGAAGAGGATGAAGTGGAACAATTTGAGGCACCACCGAGGAGGACCGACGAAGAATCACTAGTCGACTTTTTGAGGAATACCGCGCCGCCTCCGGGGATGGCCACGCTCCCAATCCTAGCTGCAGTGCCTGGTCCAACGCAACCGGACGCGTCAAATATGCTGAAACGATCGGCCAGCGGCTCCAAATTGAGAGATTTCTTACCTGGAGGCGCATCGGCCAACAAGAACATTGGGGAGGCCAACGGCAGCGGAGCAACACCTGCTTCGCGGCCTGTTAATATAGCACGAGCATCCTCTCCACATCTCACACAAGCAGGCTCGAAGCTGGACAAGTACAAACCAACAACTCCGACACACGCAGCACATGTTGACCGAAACCGCACGCAAGGCAAAGCTCGGGTTGAGCCAAGAGGTGCGTTGGGCATCTCGGACAGTGACAGCACGGCAGACCTTGCAGCTTTCCTCAAAGACTCGAGACCGCCGCCAGGAATGAATGAGAAGCCAGTGCAGAAGTTCAATACTTCCTTGCAGAGGGATCAGGCTGGGTTTATGAAGTTCTTTCAGAGGAGGGGTAGTGTCAGAAAGTGAAGGAGACACGGGAGGGACAGGATATCTGAAAGTCGTTTCTTTCCCATGTGCTGAAATGTGAGCTTTGATTGATATCCTACGACGCCAGTGCTGGAAGATACCAAATAGTAGACATTCTCAGTGGTGGAGCTTTCGTGCCCCAGCTTGGCGACGAGTTGGCTGGGTATACGGAGTACCTTGGAAAATATCTTTCCATGATAGCTGCCAGCTTCTGCAGATGCAGATCTCTATGTAAAAAGACCTGGTTTTGCTCGAATGGTCGCGTGCCTATTCCCCAGCACCCGATTTCAGGGGCTTCAAAATAGGGGTCATTCACCTCACCGCCCACGTGACATCGATCTGTCCACACTTTCTGCCACTCCTGACCACAGAACACGAACATTTCTGGCTTCATCTCCGCGACCGCGACCTGGCACCGTTTTAAGTATCTCGTATGCTTCATTCCGCCTCCGTGTGCCCATAACTTTCCGCGGATGAACTGTTGACCGGATTCTCCCTCCTGGTCCCTTCGAGCTCGGTATTCCTTCCGCGGCTCCATGAAACTCCTAGGGGCGCTGGCCCTCCTTCCCCTTCTCTCATCCGCCCTGAAATTCGAACTAGTTGCGCAACCAGGACACAGCACGAAAAACGAGAGATGCATTCGCAATTTTGTTACCCAAGATACGTTGGTTGTTGTCACAGCCATTGTGTCAGGGAACAGAGGGGACGGGATGATGGTTAATATGCACATCAAAGACGCAGTCGGCAACGACTACGGCCGACCAAAGGATGTTGCGGGCGAGAAGAGAATGGCGTTCACGAGCCTGGCGGATACCGCCTTCGATGTGTGCTTTGAGAATACACTGACTGGAAGATGTATGCGCTCTTGTCAAGTTTACAGTATGGCGAAGCGGAACTGACGCTGGTTTACAGCACACATATCCAACCCCACTCGGCATATCGAGCTGGACATTGACATCGGCGCCGACGCGCGCGACTGGTCTGCAATCCAAGCCAATGAAAAGCTCAAGCCTGTCGAAGCCGACCTGCGCAGGATAGAAGAGACTGTCAACGAGATCGTGCAGGAGATGGAGTACCTGAGGATACGGGAGCAGAAGCTACGTGATACCAATGAGAGCACGAACGAGCGAGTGAAGTGGTTTGCGTTTGGCACGATGGGCATGCTGGTGGGCTTGGGCGCCTGGCAAGTCGTTTATTTGAGGGCTTACTTCAGGTATTTATTCTCTCTTTTGCTTTTCCCCGTTGCCTGGGCGCATGCTAATGCCGGGATTGCGCAGGTCGAAGCATCTCATCTAGTGCCGTTCTCCTGGGAAACGGAAGACATACATCTCATCAATCCCGCGTGGATCACGTCAAGTAAAGCAGACACCAATGGGTTGTAGCAACGAAAGTACAAGAACCACCGGGATAGATCAAGAGACAGATACTCTGTATGGGCCCCTCAGCGGGATTGTCTGCGGGACAACGGAAAGTAGACCATACGAATCGAAGCGCCAATACAACCTTTTGCTGGAATGACACATCGGGGGACCACCAAAGGTTGACCGAAGACCGACTGCCGTTGCCCTCAAGTTGAGGAAGATGTGCTTGGTAGTAGCAACCATCAAGGCACATGGCTGATACGTCCTGCGTGTAACAGAGGACGGAAGCATGTTGACCTGTCCGTCAGCTTACCCTGTCTCATAGGTGCAAGACGTCTCAGTACCTAAGGGAGCGGATCCGTGAACCAAAGAAGGTGCGCTACAAGTATTATAACAACTGCCTTCATCGATATATGATCATCTTGCCCCTGTTCGAGCTTGCGCACGCCTTTCGATCCATCTGTGAAGACTGACTTCCGTGGAGCCAGCATTACGGGCTAATATACCGTGAATGACTCAGGGCGGTGGCCGGCAGACTCAACTGCCAGATCCTCACAGCACACAGCCTGTTTTTTCTGCGCAATTTTTGCCTCCTTCGATCACCGCAGATCCCGTATCTTTTCTCAAGCACCAGCTTTCGACGGCGCTCATCCTGGTCTTTCTGTTCGTGGGCATTTCTCCTTCGAAACCGGACCAAAATGACGGACGAGGCCACCCTCCCAGCCAACGCGGGGACAGCGACGGACATACGCACAGAGGAAGTTGAGGATGGTAACATGGTGTCTGCTAATGCGATGCCGGGAGAAGTAGATGGTGGGAAAGAGTCGGCAGACAAAGAATCTAGCAATGTGGAAGCCAAAGCGATAGTCCAGCTGTAGGTTCAGCCACCGACATCACGTTTATTAGCTTACGACCTGCCTTTCCAGCTCTACGCCATTCGCGCGCTCAGATATCATCTCAGTCATCGTGGGCAAGCAGGAGGTGGAATTTGGCATCCATAAAGGCATTCTGGCCGCAAAGAGTCCGTTCTTCGAGAAGTGCTTTGGTGTCGGTATGAAGGAAGCGAACGATAATGTGGTCAAGCTCCCCGAGGACGATCCGGAGGCCTTCGAGGCTGTGGTCGAATGGGTGTACGCAACTCGGATTCCGGCTGCCAAACCCCCGCCGCCACTCGTCCGTGACTACGTTCTCGCCGACAAACTAGGCATGACAGATCTCCAGAATGCTATTGCCGACACGATCAGACTCAAGCGTCCCCTTCCCCGCCCTGTCCACGCAAGCTGGACATGGCGCATCACTCCAGAAGGCTGTCCGCTTCGCGAACTGATCCTGGACCAGCTGCACCATCGAATCATGACAACGCCCAACAAGTTCAAGCTGGGCACGACTGGCACGGATGCCGAACTTGCTGCGGATCTGAAAGTGTTGATCCGGAAAAACCATGCCCTGACGACTGCCCTACTGTGGAAGACCATCGATCACAATCTCCAGACAGGTAGGGGCCCATTAGACCCTCGAAAGGCTCCCCCTTGCAGCTACCACATCCACAAAGACGGGAAGAAGTGTACCTGAGACACACAGGTGTATCGTTAGACCACTATGGCGTCGGTGCCATATGCTTGTGCTGGCAGTCTCCGTGTAGCTTTACGGCTGAAGCTAACTCCAGCGACTGCAGAATCGTGTGAGGTGGCAACGATGAGCAGTTGCGTATTGAATTAAGACCAACAATGGAAGCAAGCCACGCCTTCATCCGATGGAAGTGCTCTAAAACTGATCATGGACCATGCACTCCACAAACAAATCTTCCCTCCACCACGGGCTCTTCGTGTCTTCTTTCTTGTGGTAGCCACGCCTTTCCCTTCCTCTTCCTGCCGTTCGCCATTTGAGGCAGGCACGGCCATGGACAACATACGGCAGTATATATATTCATAGCCGACGATTAGCCTCACATAGACAACCAGCCTTTCTTGACACAATGGCGACGCCCTGCCACATCTCTCCCTACACACCATGTGTCTCAAGCCTGAGAACCATATCATTCAGCCCCGATGTCACCTTCAGCAGCAGCTGACAAGGTCAGGTCCGGCGGTGACAGACGCTCCCGCGAGTGAAGAGAGCCATCTTTTCCCTTCACTCGCGGACCTCTCGTGGCATTTATTTAAAAAGCCGCGGCAGCCTGTCTCTCCTCAAAATCAACCGCGCCTTACACCATGGCCAGTCGTTGACCTCAACTCAGCTCAGCCCTGACAACATGGCCGACAAAGGCCCACCCAACAAGAAGCAGAAGACCGACAATGGCGCGAGCTCGTAAGTCTCACATAATGACGATTATAACCCTAGAGCGCTTCGCCCACTGACGCAATTTCACAGTTTTGTCTTGTCCGACATTATCACCGTCGTTGTCGGCCCCGAAGCGAAGAAATTTCACTTGCACGAGAGCGTTCTGGTTTCGGAATCTCTCTTTTTCAGGGGGTGCCTCCAGTCAGGGATGAAAGAGCAGATCGAGAAAACTGTGGTCCTTCCGGAAGACGACTGGGAAATTTTCGGCATCCTCGCAGATTTGGTCTACACTAAGACAGTCTCGTCGGCAAACAATTTCCGAGCACTCCTGTCGGCCTACATACTTGCCGACAGACTTCTCATGCCGCGTCTCCAGAACGAGTTGATGTATTGCATGTGCGCAAGACTGTGTCCAGCGCATGGACAATACAAGGTCAGTGTAGAAGAAGTGAGCTGGGTATGGAACAATACTACTGAGGGCAGCAAGCTCCGTTTGTTCATGGTGGATGCTTTGCACGAGATAATGAGTTCGTTTGACTACAACGAACAGGACGGCCGGCCAATTACCGAACACTACGACTTCAAACGTGCGGCTCAGCTGAAAAAGGCCATAATGGAGAACGGCGACTTGGGATATGAACTATACTCGAAGGTCATCAACTGTGTCAGGAGTCGTCATGCGGTCTATGACTATGCCCGAAGTCCGCCCAACTATTATTACCCGTATCTTGTCCGTGACTTGGAAGAGCAGGGAGTGTCCTCACGCGGAGCTCGGCCTCTTATCACGTCTATGGACTGGATATGGGAAAGGTACGGTCCAAAGGCTTACTCTATCCCCGACTGGAGAAGTGAAAATCGCAAAGGTGGACTGGTTTGGAAGACGGTGGCATTGCAGCAAGGAGAAGTACCACTGAGAAATTCTTGAGACAACACCAGCAATGACTCATGAATCGAGTCTCCTTTGACGTTGGTAATCGAATTCTACACCACCTGTCACGACTCAACACCTCAGAGATATGTCGCTGCCCTTCAATCCACTGTCCCATTATGCAGACCGATAACTCCGCCCACGAGTCGACCGTTCTTGCGATTACTCTTCAGCCCCTGGAGATGCCGATGACGAGGATGGGATGCATACGAATATTGAGAATGGTTCGATCACGAGAGCTGTGGAGCATCTCAACCTCCGAGAAAGTGAATAGCTTAGGCAAGACTCGACACAGTTCTAGCGTTTGGCTGGTTCGGCCTTGAAACGTTTCACCGCGTGTAGGAAACATTAACAATGGGTCAAAACTGGGCACCTCGATAACACAAGCCTCTACCATGATTGCCTCTCGGACATCGGCCCAGACGATAATGGTACTTGGGGAGGTAGTGACAAGCTGCGCTTCACTGGCAGACGGGCAGTCACAGATTTTTTTCAACTCAATCAGGTTGCTCTCTCTTTGACCTCGCCCTTTCGAACTAGACCTAGCTCTAACACGAATACTTCATTCACGTCTTCTGCCTAACACCTCAAACTATCTGGGCCTATCTCGACCTTCTACTTTCAAATTGGTGGCCTAGAATGTCGTGCAAACGTCCAGCTGAAGGCGAAGCAGAGGGAGCGAACCCAAAGAAGCGCTGGTCAGTCTCAATTGCTTCTGTCTTCAGAGAGCGTTCATTGACACAAGTCAAAGTTTCACCTCGGGCTTCATCACTGTGAATGTCGGCAAAGACAAAGTCCAATTCCAGGTGCACGAAAGTGTCCTGAGGCAGTCAGCCTGGTTCCAGAGATAGCTGGACTGCGGCATGTCCGAGCGAAACTACAAGACCATTAATCTTCCTGGGGATGATTCTGACGACTTCGAGATCGTCTTCAAATGGCTCTATGGGGACAAGAAGATCATGGAAGAGAGTGTCTTACGCATAGCCACTACTTACAAGACCGCGTACAAATACTGTCTTCCCGACCTCCAACACGCTCTTGTCGAAGCCATCAAAGAGATCTCGGCGACTACCAGACTGACACCCACCGACGCTATGCAGATCTACAGAGGGAGCCCCAATGGCTGCAAACTTCGCAATGTTGTCGTAGATCGGCTGCACGACGACATTTGCAAGTGGCCGGATGAATACGGCGTCAAGGTGGACAGATCGGACCTTACAGCAGGGAGATGCGAGCATTGCAAAAAGAAGATACGGAATTGGCATGGCTCCTGTACTGGAGAATGCAAGAGCAATATTATATTGCTATAGGAAATCAATTTACACCCACTGCGCCCACCAACTCACCACATTGACACAGAAGAAAAGGACTGAACGCAGGTCTCGACCACTCGATTGCTCAGAAAATCGCGAACAATCACCCAAGAGGAGCAGAAATATTTGAAGTTTGGGCTGGACATCCTGAGAACTAGTCGTGCCCGACCCATCCGGATTTCATATCAGGGCCCTGGAAGACAGGGGAGAGTCTGGGCGGGTCAACTTCGTTGGAAGATTCGACTCGTCGCATCACAAGGTGCGTCGTCAGCAAAACAATGCACGAAGTCGGGGCGGATGTTACAAAGAGGACAAAAGTGACATACACCAAACTTAGGTTGGGCACAAAGACAGTTGCAGCGGTATTAGATGTCGAACACTGTGATACACAAAGAAACGAAGAAATTGGTCCTTTGGCTCGTCTTTGGGCTCTCTAGCTCCTTCGATAAATCTGTGATCATGACCCGGAGTATCTGTTCTTGTGACCGCACTTGGTGTGGAACAAGACCCGCGAAGGGTGTAAACTGCGCGAGTTTGCCCTCGATCATCTGCACTGTTCGCTGACGAGGGACTGGTATAGTGAGCCCCTTTTCCTGAGGGAGGAAAAGGAGGAGGAGGACTACTTAAGAGACGAGCTCCGGGAGATGATGTGTGACGCGGAAAGCGCGCTCGAGATGCTGTTCAGGTTCGCGTACCATGGACCCTACGAGGTTAGAAACCCGTGCACGCTGCCTGAGTTCCGGTGATACGTCCGGGGGGCTGTGGATGTCGTGAGCTTGGATGACGACTGAAGTACAGGCAGGATCAAGCCTTGAAAACAGCGGCGTGGGCGTCATACAGTAGTAGTGCAAGGCTTATATCATGGCATTGGATACTCGCCGACTGGCAGACAGTGTTGGCGTACGAATAGACGTCTTCGGGCATCTTTGCAGGGTAGATGAGTATTTATAATCCGCAGTCATACACATATATGAAACGATGTCAGGTGATGTTACTCCGTCCATACCGCGGGTTGCATATGAAGAACCCTTTTCAATACCTAGGTACCTAGGTACGGAGTCCTGTACGCTGGGAGCCAGATTGGGGCCAGATTGCCGTTACGAGGCTGAAGCTGGTGGCCTTGGAAAGGGGTAACGAATGCCAAGACTTGAAGACTTGGGCACGGCAAGCTCCACGGTTCAGTGACGCTGCATTCGGGTGTGCAAGGCTCACAAGGCTGGCGAGGCTAGGGAAAGGCAAGAGCAAGAGCAAGAGCAAGTCGCCCGCTGCACCTGTTATTGCTGGCATGTCAAACAAAGGCAGTCACGGTGGGCACTTAGTCACCTCTTCATCTACTCGGCACTTTGCGTCCGACTCCTTTTCTCCTCCAAACCTTGCTCTTTACAGAGGTAATTCCCTTACAGCCACACTGTAATGTCCTTGACCACTGGCAATATGTGCCCAAGCGAAGTGACTCTGGCTCCAGCTGAGTCTAAGCCTCCCGTCAAATTCAGACAACAGTAACGTTCAGACCGCAACACTGATGCAGTTCGCAGCTGATGAAATTGTCAGTTTCGCCGCATCGGCCATGATCACCGTCTCGGTGGGGACGGAACAGGTCACCTATCGAGCGCACAAGGACATCCTGGTCGACGACTCCCCCTTCTTCACGAAGATGTTCGACTCTGGCATGGCGGAGGCGCACACCGACCACGTACAACTCCCAGAAGACAGCCCCGAGGCTTTCGAGCACTTTCTGTCATGGATCTACTTTGACGAACCGCCTCCACCAGTCGACTACGGCAACCTTACCTGTGCATTGGAATGCTGGGTTCCTGGAGACAAACTCGGCATGGCAAAGTGGCAAGACAGTATCATCAGCAAGATCATGGCCTAGTGGCAGGTTTCCGATATTTGGGCAAGCGATATCGTCTGGACGTTGGAGAATGTCAGAAGCACTAGTATTCTCTTCCGGTTACTGATGGACCAGTTCGTCTACCAGGTAGGGACAACATGCGAGGTTTTGCTGAAAACCACGTTGATTCGAAAGGAGTTGAACCAAGTGTTGCTCAGAGAGGATTTCCCCGTGGTGGACTTTATTATCGACCTCACCAGCGCTTGCAAGGGGCATATGCTTAAACCCAGCGGCCTGGGGTGCAAGTATCATGTCCAGTTCACTAGTGGGAAGACGGCACAGCGTGGCAAGTCTGACAATGGGATGAAGGATGGGATGCCTGCGCAATGTTCGGGCGCCGGGGTTCAGGAACGCCAAGAGCTCAATTCAGACATGCAACGATTCTCAGTTTGTGTCAATGGAGGGAGTGAGAGAGGAATCTAAAGGGAAGGGCCAGACTGCGAGCCAAGGCTTGGTTGAGTTGTACTGTAGATTCACCCGTTCGTCTTGCAGCTTTGGCGGAGCCTTTTCACATCACTGGCCCATATTCTTCCTGTCGGTTTCACGCGGACCATGCTTACCACTTGACTGTTCATGATGAATCAATAATAATGTACCCATGTAACATACGGCCAGGGGATCCGTTGGGCCTCGACTGGGTGACAGAATTGGGGCTTACACGAACTTGTTAACCGCTTTCCTGGCCATAATTTGGTATCTCAAGGTCTGCGAAAACTTATTTGCAATATAGAAGGTTTGCGCTGAAGCGACTCTGTCGATTTCTGTCTAGCCAGCATAGACCACGCCGCCGCCTCCCCAGCATTATACATGATCCTTAAGAAGGTATACCCTAGGGCTTCACCGACCCTGAGCTCTGTGACGGCTCAAACGAGACCTTTCCATCGCGACTGATGGTTGCAGTCGACAACCGTGGCTGCGAAGATGATGTCGCAATTGGTACCGCAACCGCTGGCTTGGACGAGGCTGATCCCGTAGAAGGCACATTGGACATAGCCTCCTGGACAGCACCGGCGGGTGTATCGGCGATCTCGTTCACGTCTCGAGCGGTCAGGACATCGTTGACCCTCGCGGCCCTGCTTTGAATCAAAAGGGTGACTGGCCCTTGGAACTGTAGAAATAGCCTGTCTCCCCAGATAGTCCTCCGACTCCACGTCCGTATGCTGTACAATGCGTTTGCGACGAATTTATAGGCGCTGCTCGTTTTGAGCGTCTCGACGAATTTGGAAGACGGGAAGAAGTTCCCAAGCTGAAGGGGTATCTGAAACCGAATGTTTGTTGACTTGAACCGGAATGGTTGCGGTGCCGGTGACGGCGACGAAGCGGTATAAGCCAGTATATGTGACGGGTGCACAATGTATGTCTCCCCTGCCGAGAGTTCGACCGAGTAGACCTGCCCTTGACCCGCAAGGGCGAGCAATCCTCTCCCTGTCACGTCGGAACTTCCCCAATATGCCGGAGCAAATCGCGCATTGAGGCTCGGCTTCACGGAGAGCGTGCTTCCAGTCCATGCCAACAGGGCTTTTCTCTGGGCTAGCTTCCAATCCGTAGTTCCGTCTAGTTGGAGGATAGCGAACGTGGTCAAGGGCGATCGCGTCGATATCAGCGCATTGACGGATGAAGTCGATGTGATTTTCTGATACAGGAACGGGATGCCTACTAGGGCGCGTCGGACGGGGTTGAGGATTCGCAGGGTTGAGACAGTCCCGTTGGGATCGCCGGCAAAGGCCACCAATGTTCCGCGCCGTGCGTATAGATCTTGAGAGGGCGAGAGCGTGACAGACAAGAGCGAGTTTGGACTTCCAATGACCTCGAACGTGGCGTCTAAAGCGGTCAGTCAGCAGATACTTTGGGAAGGGCTATGATCCGAATCTAACCTGGAGATGAAGCAGACACTGATCTGCCGGCAATGTTGATTGTGCTGGTGTCCGTTGCAGGCGTGGCTTGGACCGTGATGTATTTGTACCCGCCGACTCTCCGTCCCGCGACCAGGTGAGCCGGGTAAGCCCATTTGGCGGGCAGATGGGTCAGCCGTCGCAAGCTCTGGGCCGCAACTAGAGGCATGCTGGCGCCTACAGGAATAGCGAGAGATAAGAGCACAGGTGATTGTGTGTTGATATGGTGTTTGGTAGAATATCTGCGATCATGCAAGCTCGAAATGATTCACTTCGCAGCTCCAAGCGGCTCAAAACCAACAAACATGCCAAGATCTAATCGCGCCTCGTCACGGATCGGGCCTAGCGTAACGCCGCCCTGGACTCAACTGTGTTCTCTCGTCGAGACAGTATCTACCGCGTCGCCAGTATCACCAAACTTATCACGACATTCGCAGGGCAAGGCATCCTATTTTGCGGTGATCATGTCACGTATCATGTGCGTCCACGCTTGGGTCGACGCTGCCAGGTCTTCATCTTGCCGATCACTACACGAGAAATGCCAAAATACGAACTGCAGTCGACCACTGTGAGTTCAACACCATGTACGTGCGACCAAGCCTTGACTGCTCGGCTTAAAGCTGGGCAAAACAGCCCATATGCACTACTCGTGGTGAAGAGACTTCGTGTCCACGAACCCGCTTGGCCATCAACTTTATCCTCCTCGACGGACGGGAAGCCGGAACCAAATCTCACAGGACGCCCTCGCCCGCTCCTTGTTTTCGTACAGGAAAGCGTGGCCCCTGCGTTGGAGATTGTCTTGTCTCTTGAGCTATCAGAAACGGTATGTTTGCTGCGCAACGTCTAGGCCCCAACTACCTCCTTCAGTTCCACGGACGGGCCTTCTCCCATTTTCTGTGCAATCTGCTCGGTCGCCTCTTCCGGGAGAATCTGACCGTGCTTGTACCTTGAGAAATGACGGACTGGAATCTTCTGTCTGAACAGGTGGTCAATCTCCTCGAGGGAGAAGCCGCGACACTCGGGCACGCCGAAGATGGCAAACATCAGCGTACAAAACGCGATGGGCGCGAAGACGAAGCCGATCTTGGACCCAAGGTTCGCGTAGGGCGCGTATAAGAGGTAGGGAATGCAAAAGGACACGACAAACTGGCTGACGACGGTGATGAAGCTGGCCACCGTGTACGTGACGTCTCGCATGCCTGGAGAACTGGGTCAGCACTGATGAAAGATTGTACAAGCATCGGGACTTACGGGAGCTTGGAATTTCGGACGTGAGAATGTGATAGATCGGCGCCCAGCCGAAGACAAAGGCCAGGTAGAAGACGGTGAAAAGAGCGGTGATGCCGATCTTGGTCCCTTTGCCCGGGTCGGATCTGGTCCCCAAGCCACCAATGGCGAAGTAGCTGGCACTCTGAATGGCGGATCCGATGATCAAGTTGGGCCTGCAGAGCAGAGAAAGTCAGTCTCGGAAGCACGGCGGAGGCGGAGAGGACAGAGTGGACTGACCTGCGCCCAAACCTGTCAAACATGTACATGGCACAAAGGACGACAACGATCTGCAACGCCGTGTTGATGAGAAACATCTGGAACGGGTCCGGGCCATGGAGATCCTTGAGGAAGATGGTCCCGTACTTGCTGAACAGGCCTTGGCCGCTGATCTGGATGCTGATGTTGGCGCCGATGACGATGAGGGATCTCTTGCGGTTCGTGCCCTGCCACATCTCCTTGAACGTGCCCTTGTCTTGGGTCAGAACGGCGATCATGGCCACCTGCTCATGGTATTCTTCCATGATCTGCTCCTCGGTGAATTTGCCCTTGCGGTATAGTCGGAGAGATTCTTGGGCTTCCGCCTCCCGGTGACGGAGTAGAAGCCATCGCGGAGACTGGAGGGGCACCGAAAAGAGTCAGCTGACGATGTGTTTCAAACCAGGTACAAACTAAAGCACCCAGAAGAGGGACTCACCTCCCGCATGAACCATGCACCGACGGCGACAATGCATGGGATGATGAAGAAAATGCCAAAGGGAATGCGGAACGACTGCTCGCCATCGAGTTTGCTCGTGCCGTACGTGATACAGGCCATAATGAACGCCCCGACCTATTCGACGTTTGTTAGCACTCGGCCCAAGATCTCGCCGCGTGATGGGCTGCAAAACACTCACCATGGTACCTAACTGGAAGGTGCCGACGATGATCCCTCGGATCTGCGGCGGCGCAATCTCCGCCTGGAACACGGGCACCGTGACCAGCTCTTGACCCAGATAGACGTAGTTGAGAATGCGGCCGACCAAGACCTGCTCCTTCTTCTGCGCCGTGACAAGCAGGATGGCCGACAAGGTCGCCCAGCAAGACATGACCCAGAAGGAGGCGCGGCGGCCATAGTGGCGCCCGATCCAACCTCCGGTTACCACGCCAAACGCTTGACCGACATACGTGAGGCTGTTGAGCAGCGAGAGAAAGGACGGGTCGATGGCGTAGCGCTCGAGCTTTTCATCGTAAGCCCCGAATTTCTTGTTGAAGGCATTCATTGCCTGGGTATTGGAGAAGGCCACCAGGTCCATCCCAAAGTTGATCTGGGACAGCATCATGATGGCCGATGCGAAGGCCAGACGGCCATTGACGCATCTTGTGATCCAGCTCCCGGGAAAGACCATGGTTGCAAGACGGTATGGGAGGGTGCTGGAACCAGGGGGGGGGGAAAAGAAAGGGGCCCTGACCTTGGACGCTGACAGAACTATACAGACAAGCTATGGGATCAGGGCTCTTGCACACTCTTATATCCGCATAACGGTATAGGCCAATCAATGGGCTGGGGACCCCATGGGGTCCGGGGTCTTGGTACCGAGGTGAGGAGTGGAAGGATGGCCACGTTGTTCTCCTAGCTCGACATGATTGCGAGACTCGCGATAAGTGCGGCATCGATTGGCCTCCGAAAGAATTGCGGCCTTTAGCGACGAAGAGCAATCAAGTCCCGCCTGAGCAAGCGCAAGAACGTCCACAGTACAGTATGCCTCGGGGAAGATACGGGAACTCAAGGGGGTGTCAAGAGTTCAGGTCTTTCGGATATGCAGGGGAGTAGCACCGTTGTGACGGTCTGCGATTTACTAGTGTACCCGTTTCTGCAACGACTGGCAGCTCATTGAGAGTCACTGAGGCGTCTCCCGCACCTCGAGAATCGAGACAAAGACGGCACTCTATCGAGAAGTCTCTACTTACTTCCACTGGACACACATGGGTCCCTCTGTTTTACCCTGCTTCAGGTCTTCCTTCGTCCACTTGCCAAGGCTGAGATCCTCCGCGAACGTGACCTTCTCCATGTCGGGCTGGTGAGCATGGTTGGCCCTCATGCTGATTGTGCCCTTGAGATCCTTCAAAAACCCAGTGACTAGGTCTCGCTCGAAGATGGCAATATTCTGCGTGAGCTGGTGGGAAATGGCAAGCCACTTGTTCTCTTTGTCCTTTGAAAGTGCAAACATTCGGGGATGCTTGCCGGCCAGATCTTGCGCTCCCAGATATTTCAGGTGCTGATCATCGTGCGCCGGCTCCCTGTCGACGGAATAGATGGCCACGGTGTCGAAGTCCGAGCGCGTCAGGTTTCGGTTGGACGCATACACGAATTTGCCGTCATTGCTGACCACAATCTCCCCGGCGAGGTCTTTGTGCTCATCAGGGGTGCGGCCGACGTCCTTACCCATGGTCGAGAGCACTTGTTTGAATTCCACGGTAAGGGTAGGTGATTCCGGGCTCGGGTAGCCGATGGCATAGACGCGGACGGTGTTGTCTTTCTCACTCAACACGTACAGATAGGTCTTCGAGGGACTGACTGGGTTGAACGCGGCGTGACGCGGTCCGCTCAGATCGGGCAGAGCAATACTGTGAATCAATGCAACCTGATCGGGACCGTCGACAGAATATATATCAACGCGGTCCATAGTGCGAAGTGGTACGACCAGGAGCCTTCCTGGCGGATCAAACAGAGCTTGATGGGGATGGGCCTCCTTCGGTCCCGGGTCCGACTTGTTGTAGTCGAAGATGTGCGTGGGTTTTCCGATGCTCCCAGTCTCCGACAACGCGTGGATTGACAGCGTCGAGGCAGTGATGTTCGCAGCGGCCAGCACCTTTCCATCGGGGCTCACGTCACAATGGACGCCCCCTTTCCCATTGCTGCTTGTCTGGTCGAGCAGCGTCAAGCCTGTCTCAACCGTTGCTGAGGATGAAGCTGTTGTGACCCGTTGAAACGCAGTAACACTCCCAGAGTCGGACTCGCTACCGGGATAGCCCATACGGTTGATGGTGTAGACTATGTCTCCCGACACCGTCAGCCATCCCGGCATGAAACCGGCCTTGGTGTTGATCGAAACAACAGACAAGGACTCCTTAACGCCTCTCTGGGCATCGAAAGCCAGCTCGACCACGCCGGTACTTTGCAGTGCCACATATAACCCGTTAGCGACTCCTGATGTGCCATTTTGCTGAGACGCTGCCATTGTGTCTGTCGTATCGACGTTGGATGCGCCCGTGTCAGACGAATACTATGTCTGGTTCTCGACCTGGACTTGACGAAGAATTCCCAAGAAACGAGTGATCGTATATCCACCGGGTTGTCCACGTGAATCTGGCCTCTCCTTGTGACGGAGCCGGTACCGGACCAAGCTCGTCACACCGTGGCCCTCGGAGTACGTACCCATAACGCGTAACACCTGTCCAACCCTTTGATGGAGCTCGACCGGACTGATACTGTACCTACAGTCCATCCGCCGGGCCTAGATTCGTTGGCGCGGCACATTGCCAAAACCGCAATGCCAACTCGGGTTCGGCACGAAGTCTGTCCCCTAGGTGTCCGCCCTCCCCACAAGGGGTCTCCAGGTCGTGGTTAAATACATGTGCAGTCCCGTCCAGGTCGCCCGCATTCCGTGTTTCGCAGAGCCGTCTCACCTCGCGCCCTCTGCCTGCACCGCGGTCGCTCAGCGCCACAGTCGCAATCGCCTCGCCGGGCTCTAGTTACTAGCACGCAAAGACGAGACCGTTCTATGAAAGCCAAGGCGTGCACGCGCTGCCGGCAGTGGAAAGTCGGCTGCGATGCCGACATTTCAGGGCTAGAGGGCTGCACACGGTGCCGGGACCATGGCCTACCATGCACCTTTGACAGGACCTTCCGGCGCACCGCCACCAAGAGGAAGCTGGCTGACATGCAGGCCGAGCTGGCCGAGCTCAGGAAACTAGCTAAAGTTGCTCCGGAAGGGACTTCAGCCACGACGCCAGCTGTGCCTACTGTGGCTTCGGGACAGCAGAGTTCGCTCTCTGTGCCGCCTGCCTTTGCACCAACTCCGTCGTCCTCCTGCGCCGCGGCGACAAACAACCTGCAAGGCTTGTGCATTACCGACAAGTCCATCGACGATGTGCACCTCACAGCCGCACATGTCAATGAACTGTTCCGGGTGTACTTCACCCGATGTCATCCTTACCTCCCCTTCACCATGTGTCGATCGATCGAGTCGATCTATGACCGATGTCCCATGCTATTCTGGGTGATTTGTGCAGTGGCTTCGCCCGACACGGCGCGGCCGCGCTTTGAGGCGCCCATCCGAGGGTTGATGTTGGACGTGCTCGACCCGAGCAAGGAGAGCGGCGTGGAGATGGTCCAGGCCATCCTGATCCTGTGCATGTGGCCGTTCCCGTTCAACAGCCAGAAGGCCGACTCGTCCTTCATCTACAGCGGCCTCGCGACCCAGATCAGCCTGAGCCTGGGCCTGCACCGGCCGGCCCTGGATGCCGGGTTCGGGAACGAGCCGACGGCCACTGAACGACAGGGCGACGAGGAGATTCGACGTACAACATGGCTTGCGTGCTTTGTCGTGGCGCAGATCCAGGCCAGCAGGCGCGGCGTCCCCGCCACGGTCTCCGCAGACTATTCCCTGCTATCTTCCCTCGATGACCCCGCTGTCCCGCAGGAGCTATCTCACCTGTGCTACATATCCCATCTAACCGTGGATGCCACACAGGCGCTGGGCGCGCGCGGCTCCAACGCCACCGGCCTGGTCGAGCCGTCGAGCCGGATCAGCATGATCAACGTGTTTGGCAAACAGTTCGAGGATCTGCGCCGCCAGCGCTTCCCGCAGCCCACGGACATTGTGGAGATCTTCTACCTGAACTCGAGGTTGCAGCTGTGGTCGTTTGCCTTGCACAACGACGTCCCCGTGACGGCTAACAGCGTCCAGATCATCTACCAGGCCCGCGAGGACGCCATCCGCCTCATCCAGGTCGCGTGCGAGAAGAACCTGTCCCTTGTGCCCTTCTACACCCGCCGCTCCGTCTGTTACGCGGGGCTCCTCCTCTATCGGATCAAGCTGGGCTCGTACGGGTGCCAGGACGATATGATCGAGCATCATATCGACACCGCACGGCAGGCGTTGAGCACCTCCGAAGGCCCTGGTGGGCCGAGTGTCGGCCAGTTTCTGGCGACGGTCACATTGCCCGATAACATGGATGCGTTCACGCGGGCCAGCGGAGACAAGGACTCGCCGCACCGTTCGCGCATGGGCGCATTCCTCGTGTTTGACTTTCATCGAGTCTATACGGATCTCCGACAGGCCAATGTCTTTCCGTCGACCGAGTTTCTCGATTTTGACAATCTGCCCTGGATGGAGTTTCAGTGAAAGGCAACATGGTGCGGACTGTTTCGCCTTTTATGTACTACCAGTGGCTATGATTATTTCAACGACTCACTGTGATCTCATAAGGGGTTCGAATCACGGTTTCATCCTCGCCACGTACACGGTATACTGTGGTACCACGTTCCCACGTCAACTTCTCCCGCCCTCAACCAATCCAGGCCCGTCCGTCCTGCCTTATCCGCAAATAATCTGCCTCTCCAGAATCCCTATAACCCTCCGTCCTTGGTCTACGTGTAGTGCCAGGCCCGGCTGTTCCGGACATTCGGCAATCTCCAAGTAAACCTTTCCCGCTGCGGTATCGTTAATGTCTCGCATGACAGGCAATCCGGCCGACGTGCGTTCATCCGCGTAGTAGAATCTTTTTTAATCATCAGCGTCGGTTCTTGTTCCCGCGCAATAATCAAACTGGAACCCACCTGATCCGCCCCTTTGCGTAGATCAATCGAAGCAAAGTGAATCCCATAAGCACACGCGGCCTTCGCGCGCAGCCGAAGCTGAACCGGTTCACGAACGGCGACCGGTAGAAAATGTTGCCGGTAAAAATGAACGACGCCGCCCAGTCACATCGGCGGGCAGATCGCCAAAGCAAGCAATAGCCGCGAGCCATGGCGGTCAGGGGGCGTGGTTCCGTTGACGGCCATTGCCGTGCGGAGTTGAGATTACCTTCTCCGGCATAAGACTGGCGAACGGGTTCGCGGCGTCGTCGAGGGTGTGTTGCACGGCTACGCACGCCACACAGCGTACGGAGCCAGCGGTGCCTCAATATATACCGGTACCAGGGGAGGGAATATAGGTCGACGCAACCCCACGCATCGCAGCGCAACGCACCGTTGTACACTATCACGCTGGGAATGCCGACGTGGCGTTTCACCTTGTCGGATCCTTCCGGTATGCAGTCGGGATTGCTGAGGTCTGCGCGCGTGTGGTAATACCCGCTCTGTTGAGGTCCCTTCGTCGAGCGAGCAGGCTACGAGGGGCCGAGGGCGATCTTGTAGCCTGCGTTCGAGCGAGAAGGTGTGGGCTGTTTTGGCGCCGAGGTTTGGATCCGGCGCGTAGGAGAAGGAGGACGCGAGGAGGAGAGGACATAATGAGTACCAGCGCTGGGCTTGTCTCGAGTCGAAGATCAAACGCTGGGTGACGAGTAAGGAGGTTTATAGAAAGGGGGACAGAAAACGGAACTTCAGCCTCGTTTGACGGCGTCAAGAGGTCCTATACAATCACGCATCCGCTGAGACAGGGGATAGGCTTCACGGTACAATGCGATGGCCTCGCATGATTGCGACTCTTGCCCGATACCGGTCGCTGTCTCGAGCTTGGATTCAGACATCAGGGTGGGATGACAGCATTTATGCTCGAAAGACTGTTTGAGCAATAAGTCTAGAGCCGCCAAAGGTATGGCCATACCAAGAGCTTTCAAGGTTGGGGAAGACGAAGTGGAGTGAGAAAACACTGACTACTGCGAAGTGGCGAAAGCGATCTTTGATAGAGTCGCAGCTACAAAAAATTCAAATCCCGATTCTCTATCCCGGACGCGGGCTACTCCCGACCCCAGGGAAGGCTCAAGTACAAAAGCGGAGCATGCTGTTGAGAGCCATGTGTGTCCGTTTCTTCAAAGCCAGCAGATGCGCGGTACCGAGGGATCGTGGCCTTGAACGCCCTGGCAGGATCCCACCAGAGAGCAGCGACCACATCGCTTTCGGGGATGTTGTACAGTTTCGCCACAGTATCCGGGGACAAGACATCGGCGCTCTTCACCTTGTTGTAGATCTCCTCGTCGGGGAACATGATGTCAAACGTCACTTCATATGGGCCCGCGATCTTGCTGCGCACAACGGACGCGACGTCTCCCAGATAGCAGGTTCCTGTGGCCGGCTCGGGGCGTAGGTAATACTTCTTTGGCTGGCCAGTCTTTGCCAATTGAGCGATGCTATTGGCCACGGCGGCGTCGGCTTTCACTGCAATCTTCTGACCTGTTCAACCAGTTAACACAAGCTAATCTCGGGTCGGTGGGAGCACTTCAAAACTTACCAGGTGTATGAACAAACGTGTTCGGTCCATGGAATTCCTCCACCTTGAACGGGAACAGTCCGACGGGGTCTGCTTTATGCATAAGGTGGTATATGCAAAACTCGGGCACTGGGCCGATTGCTGTTTCACATGGGGTGATCGGCCAGGCGAAGTTTCCAGCTGTTGCGAGTTGGCCTGGATACGGGGCGTGGGTGAAGCCCATCTTGGTCCGATTGGCCACTTCATTTGCCTGCTCCTGCGTCGGTGCTCTGCACTGGACCACAATGCAAACCTCCTTCGGGAGGCTCTTGTCCGGCTCAAGAGCGCCCATGACGCCGTTGATGCCGTAGGTGATGACTTTGGTGTCGTAAGGATAGTCTGAAGACATCCTACTCTTCACCGTTTCCTTGACGGCAGGAATCCAGGTGTCGAGCTGGGAGATTAGAATTGGGTCCCTGAAAGCCCCAACGAAGCTGGACTGGTATCCGTTGACCTTCGCCGCTTCCATCTTGACGGTGTACTCGCCCTCTGGCTGATGAATGAACTTGGCGCCCCGGACTCTGACAACGCGTTCGTCAACCTGCTCGTAGTTCATATCCTTTAGGTGAAGCTCTCCGCCGGGTCCCTGCAGAATATCGGGTCGACTCTTTTCATACAACAAATGCGCGGCAACCGAGACGGGAGTACACCGGGCTCCTGGTTGGAGCGGGACCAGGTCGAAACTGTCATGCCGAATAATTGCCAGGCATTCCCGGGATTTAGGGATTGCGCACTGTGCTCCACATTCCATGATCTTGCCCATGGCGTAGTTGAGAGCTGTAAGGAAGATCGCGTTAATGTTCTTGTGCAGTAATATACTAGCATGCGAGCAGTGAACACTCACCAGTGTCTTCGAAGCCATGGTGAAGGCAAAATGCCGCATACGGAGCAGGGTCGTAGGACCGACCACCGATGATGATGTCGAAGTCGGGGTTCTCTTCCATTGCTTTGACATACGGCTCCAAGCCCATTTGCGCAACGATTCTGGTTGCACTGTCGATATCATCCTCCACGAGCTCAGGGACGGAACGTCCACACGGGCTGATAAGGTTGTCTTTGAATTTCTGGCGAACAACGTCCTTCGGGATCTCGGCATAGATACTGATGACTTTCATGGGACGGTACCCTTTCTCTGCGATGATCTCTTTGATGATCTTAGTGCTCATGTCAACGAACGCGTTGGAACCAGAGCCACCAGCGGAGCCAATGAGGCAGCGAACACCGTGGGTGTGACAAGCTTTGACAAGTTCTCCGTAGTCTCTCCTGTAGCCTTGCATGGAGGCAGCGGTCTTGCCGAGCGCGAGGCGCCCGGGACCACTATCTGTGGAACCAGCATCGGCAATGATAGCGTCCACGCCAGATTCGACAGCGTCCCAGAAGACACCAGAATTCCATCCCTGACCGAACTGACCGACGGGCGTCAAGACTCGGATTTCATCCTTGGTCTTTCCAGGAGACATGCTTGTGAGAGATATCAGACTGTATAAAGGGGTAGAATTATGGGAGGTGCTCTTTCAGCTCGCTCGATGCTTGTTCCAAATCTGTAACTCACAATTGAGAGATGTTCCTCTTAAGACTTAGACCTTTCTCACTCTTGACGCTCGTTTTTATTCGTTGCCAGAAACTCCTCATCGGAGTAAATTGCAGTGCAGCCATCGCGACTCCCCAGAGAAATAGTCATGACTGCAAGCCAATCACATCTTGCAGAGGGCCCGGTGCCACATGGAACGATGAACCCGGACTGCGAACGCTCCATTGAACCAAGAGAAAAACGAGTCGTGGAGGAAGTCTTGCGGGGAAGTTGGGGATGGATGATTGCGAAATCGCAATCGGCATCGGAATCCGTCGTCTCTGATGGTTCCAGATGCCGGTGAGCTGAATTGGCCCAAGCCTGATCAGCGGTCTGGCCAGGTAGCATCGAATATGTACCCGCGTGGTGAGGTTCTCGCGTTGAAGTGGACTCAACTGGGATGGTTTGATGACGAGTGGTGGCACGGAAAGAAAGCAAGTGGTACGTAGTAGTTACCGTAGACCTAGATTTTGCTGACTCCAGAGATGGGATTTATTAACCACCAGCAGCTTTGGTCTTTAGTTTGTGGTGGTAGGGAGATATAGTCAGAGATAAATAGGCGATCTCTGATTTAGAGGGTCAATTGGTAAGGAAGTAGAAGGTGAGAAAAACGTGAGAGGAGGGTGAGTCGCGTGCATGTGGGTGTAAAAGCGGCACATTCAGGACGAGCCTGTGGGAGTAAGGTGAGCCCCCAGCAGGTTTCTATTGCTTAAGCAGGCCAAGCCACCATGGCAGAGCTTCGTCAAGGTTGACGTATTCGACTTCGACTTCGACTTCTACACGAGCCTTTGCCAATCTGCTGTGCCTTCGTAGCTCACCATACAATTTCCCTTGCAATGCGTTCAGCAGGAAGCACGAGTGGAAGATGCGCTATTGCATGGGTACTTACAGTACTTTCTATGACTGCACCAATGACATGGTGACCTATTTTGAGTGTATGTGGCTGCCATGGCCTGTTGGATACCGAAGGGCGATCCATCAAGCCATGCAGACAGGCAATAAACGGTTTGAGCCTGTCGGAGGTTTCAGAGCTAAACATGAGCAGTGAAACACTTTAGACAACGGTATGTCACCGAGGACATCCAGCGAGACCACCCCGGCATGAACGCGAATTCGTCTGTCGACATCTGATGCAGCCAGGCTTGGTCATGGTTGGTACAGGTAGGGTAGAGTGCTGAACGCATACTTTCCGATGGTGTTCGGGAACTTGCTTGTCGACCGTGTGAGAGAGCACAGCCTCGACACAGACGAGACCACCATCTTGATCTAGACGGAGAATATGTGGCCGCGAAGAACAGCGATAGTCTACAATCAGTCCTCTATAAATCACCAGCTCTGCCATCAAGTCAAAAACCCCTTTTCACCCTTGACAGAAGCTCGCGTACATCTACTCGCGAAAGCCCTTGTTTCATTGTCCAGACAGCAAGCATGCATTTTACACAGTATATCGGCTCCCCGGTTCACTGCTGTCCTAGCATTTACACTCCTGGCCAAGGCTGCTCCACAAGTCGGTTCCCTCAACAACAATACACCTGTGGCACCTTCATCTCTACCTGCGCTGTTTCCTGTCGGGGCAAACGGCTTCAATGCGCCAGTGGTGTTCCCACTGTCCAATGGCTTTCCAAAATTTCCCCAACAACACGCCTGCTTTCCAGGCATTGACGGTGCAGGCATACGGCTCAATATCAAATGCAGCACCGCTGCCTTCCCTCGCGGCGGATGACCTTCGAAGTCTTAAGGTCGTTCAGCTCCAAGTGACCTTCGAGGTGTAATATTTCACGCAACTATTGCTGAACATCACCAACAATGTTCCCGGTTTCGAGATCACCGACGCTGCCATGAACGCAGACATTGTCGCAAAGTTGACCGTAATTCAAGGTCAGGAGCAGTGGCATGCCCTTCAAGCAGGGGCGGCTTTTGAGACACTTTGATGTTTCTCAGATTCAACCTGCATGTTCAGCTACGGACCTCGTCAGCGCCATCCCGTTGGCAGCGAATTTTACGGCCGTGGTTATCAGTAGCCTGCAAGATGTTGCAGTGAGACTTGGCCAAAACGGCGACTCGAGCCTTATTCGCGACATCGTGGCTACTGTTGGCCAGGAGGGAGAGCAACTAGGCGTTTATCGCACGCTCTTCCAAGACCTCGTTCCGGCTGACCAGCCGTTCCTGACGCAGTCGACACGCGAGTTTGCCTACTTGGCACTTCAGCAAAACTTCATCGTTCCCGGCACATGTCCGAATGACAACATAATTGATGTTCCCATTTTCGGCACGCTGAGTGTCCTGACGAAGAATATCCAAGCGGTGGATCAAAACCTTACATTCAGCATACGGACGAATTCAACGGAGGGTTTCAACTTGGTGTACATCAACCAGCTGAATCTGCCCATCGTGCAGGCAATCAGCAACGCTACTTCGAGCAACGGGATGTTCACCTTTCAAGCCGACTTCCCTTTCACCAAGAACAACTTGAATGGCCTTATCATCGTGGCGGTCACGAATTCCAGTGCAGCGTTCATCAACACCAATGATGTTGCAAACAAAACGCTCTTCGGGCCTGGCTTGATCTACCCGAATTAGCGGTTAGATATCCTGTCTGCGTAAAAGGAAGATTGAAGTGATCGTGGAATGGAATAGCATTTCAGGCACGTTAGCTTAATTGGAAATGTGACCTAGTCACTACCTATGACTGTGGCTGATTTTCTTGTTTCGCTTGTGGTACTAACCTTGAATCCGAGAAGGAGCTATACAGTGACAGCCGCTGATGACGTGCAATAATGTGCTTTGCGCAGCTCCATTGGGTGGTCAGTTGGCAGCAACCACCAAATGTCAGGGCCAACACTCGTCTTCCTTTTGGGGTTCAGGCCTCTTTCGCCCAATCATTCCTTCCTTCTTCCGCTTTTCCAGCTTTAACATCCGCTTAAATTTGCCTTTGACAGCTGCTCACATCTAGATGTCTCTTTTCCAGTCACGTCAACGTCATCTACTTGACAGCTTCGACCACGATTCTGTGACACGGCGGTGAGGAAACACATAGTTGACCTGTGCGACTCGGCAACGATCATTGTGATTGACAGGCCCATGGAAGGGTGTCGAATCACTGGCCCGTGCACCAATCGACGATTCAACGACCCGTGCGCGGGTTGCACCAAGCTCAGTATCTGCATGACAACGTGCATGGCACCACGAGAAGAGCGTAGTTTCTATGCACTTGCAACTGTCACCAGTCTTCATTAAGCACAGCCGCGTGTGGAAGCCTGCTACACACCTGCAACGGCGGTCATCTGTTGCGTTGTTGGTTTCTGTTTCCAAACGCAGCCGCATTTGTACGGTGTATCCAAGCGAGAATCCTGCCTGCAATGGAAGTGTTCAGGTGATACGGAGTATGCCTTTAGCTCACCTCCGGGACTCCGCACGTTCATCGCACTATGGATGATCGCACTCGTACGAGTCATGCCATGGTTTGAGGCGGGAGAAAATGCGTGGGAATCAACCGAAGAACAGCCTAAGTCACCACTGAGCAGGCGGTAAACAGCATCCGGAATGCGCATCTTGGCACAATTATGTATGCCGCCCACAACGGGCATCGTACAGCATCGTTCCCCACAGGAACCAAAGCTCAACGACACAAGATCCTGCTAACAGACGTCGATCTGAGATCTAACCGAAGTAGCCCGCTGCGTGAAATTTGACTGGCGAATCCAGGACTAAACCCTGCATGAAGGCGGTGCGGCGAGTAATTAAGGTTCCCCTCAATTTCAAGGCTGGAGCTGATGAAGGCCTCATGTCCCGTATGTGAGGCCCGAGGACAGTCGCTGATCCCCGCCACTCTTTGACGCGAAGACTCTTCACAGATGTGTGTGCGTGTGTGAGTGTGTGTGGCCTCTGGCTCTTGGACCATTTCTTTCTCCTGGGTACGTCTTATTGTGGTTGTTCTCCTTCGTGTAGGCTTGGGTGAAATTTTGAAATTTGAGTTGCGGGAGTTTATCGTCTTTCATTCTGCTGCCGGCCGTGAATTCATCCGGCCAGACCAGACATTCCAGACTCCAGAGTCGAAGGTCATGCCGGCACAACATGAACGAGCCGTCCCGCCACCGCGAGATGGTGATGATGCTTATCCTTACAAACAGCTCACGGTCTTGGGTATGTTGTTGTCCCGTCTATCAGATTATTCGCCCCGTTTCATCACCTTCCTGGGCCAAATTGCTGACCGTTGATCACCATGTATAGCATTATGTCGGCTGGCAGAGCCCATTGCCTTCTGCTCAATCACGGCCTACACGTTCGTGATGGTCGAGGACATCAAAGGCGAGGAAGATGCATCCTTCTACGCCGGTCTTCTGGTTTCAGCCTTCGCCATGGCTGAAGCCTGCACCGCGATGATTTGGGGCAGAATCTCAGATCGTTATGGCAGGAAGCCAATAGTACTCTTTGGCCTCGTGGGAGTCGCTCTTTCGAGCTTGATCTTCGGCTTCGCCAAGAGATATTGGGTGGCCTTGCTGGCGAGGGTAGTCGGTGGACTCCTGAACGGTAACGTTGCTGTTATGCAGACCATGGTGGCTGAGATGGTGAAGAGGCCGGAGCACGAGCGTAAGTCTTCTCATCCTATGATCCTGGTGGCCATTCAGATGCGGTTGTATGTATCAATGCGGACTACAACTGACATTCATGCATTCCAGCATCCGCATATGCAGTGCAGCCCTTCGTCTGGAGTCTGGGCTCAATCGCCGGTTCAGCACTGGGAGGTTTCCTGGCACAACCTGCGCGCTTCTACCCTGACGTGTTCTCCCCAGAGGGCATCTTCGGCCAATACCCCTACTTGCTGCCGAATCTGGTCTCGGTGGTCGTCATCGTCATCGCCATCATCCAAGGCGTCATATTCCTTGAAGAGACGAATCCGAGGTCACCTGCCCCAAGCCGAGTCCCAAGCTTTGCGCACATCCCACCGAGCGGTGTCGACGTTGCTAATGAGACGACGTCTTTGCTGCCACCAAGGCGGCGAAGGGCATCGGCAGTCAGTGCCTTTTCAAACGCCCCCGGTGGAGTGACTTACGTGGCGGAATCAATGCCCTTGCCCGTTGACCCGGCGTTCGATCTCCGGCGCGGCTCGTTGGCTTCTCTCGGCTCGCTTCGGCTTCATCACAAGTCAAGCACGGTGGCGCGGCCTGCCCTCCCCCGCGTTGAGACAGGGGTTGAAACTGGATTCGACTCCGCGGTGGTTGAGGATGACATGACTGAGCACACCATCAAGCCCGAAAAGATCAAAGCCTTCAACAAGGGCGTCATCATGTGGACCATCGCGCTGATATTTCAATCCTACCATTCCATGGGGTTCTATTCACTGCTGCCCATTTATCTCCTCGACGACGCACGGCGAGGCTCGCGCGAGCTTGATTTAAAAGGCGGCCTCGGCATGACCTTGCACGATGTCGGAGCCTATCTCGCCACCGGCAGCCTTATGTCGCTGTTTTTCCAAGGCGTGGTCTTCACCTTCTTCGTCGCGAGATTGGGCGTCTGGAAGGCTGTGCTGTCAGTCACAATCCTGAGCCCCTTCATCTACCTCATTGTGCCGTTTCTCTCCCTGTTGCCCAACCCGGGGGCTGGCGTCTACGGCATCCTCGCCTTGACGAGTTTCACCGGTGTGGTTTCATTCCCAGCATTCTTGATCCTGCTGAAGAACGCGACTCCCTCGCCATCGGTGTTGGGCGAAGTGAACGGGCTCGCAATGTCAGCCTGCTCAGCCGCCCGGACAGTGGCGCCACCGCTCGTTGGCATCTTCTACAGCAGCTTTGGCTCGGCAGGCGCGTGGTGGAGCTGCGCAGTCGTGGCCATGGCGGCCATCTTTCAGTTCCTGCTGGCCCCGAGGCCGAAGGACGACGAGGAGGAAATCTTGCGGAAGGCCGAGACGCCGGCGGTGGACCTCCCGCCGACGGCTGAGGCACATGTACAATAAGTAGTAAGATGAGCATGGAGAGGCGTTGCCGGTTTTGCAGGCCGTGTCCAAGGAGGCAAGGACCTGTGGGGCCGTGTCATTGTGGCTGCTTTCTGAGGAACAGACACACTCTCGAGAGGCAGAGTGGTGCTTGAGAATAACTCAGAGTGGTAAAGCGCTATAATCTCGCCGATAATCTACATACAGTACCAGTAATGTGTCTCAGAATCGCAAATTGTCCTCAGTGATTATCAAAGTCTCCCTATTCCATGCACTACTTTGCTGGAAATCGCATTCATGCCATGTCGCTACACCGAACCTCAGCGAGCTAGCCAATCTTTCCAGTTGGTCTCGGGTGAATGACAACAACTGCGCTGACATGAAAATGAATGGCCACATCCTCGTCGTCGCTTTGCGCCACTGTTTCTGCAATGATCCCGCCTAAGATCCACCGTAGAAGCGGCTCCGCGTAGAACTGCATATCGAGTCTGTATGCTCCGTCTCCAAAATCCACAAGGCTCAAGATTCGCGGGCCCAAATTTCGCAGCCCGCACCGCAACCACCGGCCGCCTACCCTCCGTTGATTCAGTCTAGAGCGTTTGTTTTTGGGTGTCCTTGGTTCTTATTGTTCTTGTCAAGATGGCAGCATTCGGGGGTCAAACCCCCACGATCATCGTGCTGAAAGAAGGTCAGTCATTGCACCCAACTTCCGCAAGAATATTGTCCTGCAAAGACTCCTGCGGAGATTCTTGACAACCGATTGAGTCATCTAACTTGCCTGACCAGGGACCGACGCCTCACAGGGAAAGGGTCAAATTCTGTCAAACATCTCCGCCTGCCTCGCCGTCCAATCTACGATTAAATCCACGCTGGGCCCCTACGGCGGGGATCTGTTACTCGTCGACCAAGGTGGGAAGCAGACGATCACGAACGACGGTGCCACCGTCATGCGACTACTGGACATTGTACACCCCGCGGCGCGCATCCTCACGGACATCGCTAGGTCGCAGGACGCCGAGGTCGGCGATGGTACGACTTCGGTGGTTGTCCTTGCTGGGGAGATTCTCAAGGAGGTCAAAGAATTGGTCGAGCAGGGCGTGAGTACCCAGACGATTGTGAAGGGGCTGAGGCGCTCGAGCCAGATGGCAATCAACAAGATCAAGGAGATTGCCGTGAATGTGGATGACACCAAGGACAAGAGGGAGACGCTACGGAAGTTGGCGGCCACGGCGATGAGCAGCAAGCTGATTCATCGCAATGCCGGGTTTTTCACCAAGAGTATGTTCTTCCCCCCAAACCATTTCTTTCGGGTGGGGTATGGTCAGGATTGAACTAATTGTGACGAATGTAGTGGTTGTCGACGCAGTCCTCTCGCTCGACCAAGAAGACCTGAATGAGAAACTCATCGGAATCAAGAAGATCACGGGCGGTGCGCTGGAAGATTCGCTATTCGTCGATGGGGTAGCGTTCAAAAAGACGTTCTCCTACGCTGGATTCGAGCAACAGCCAAAGTCGTTCAAAAATCCCAAGATCGTCTGTCTAAACGTGGAACTGGAGTTAAAGGCAGAGAAAGACAACGCAGAGGTGCGGATCGACCAGGTATCCGAATACCAAGCGATTGTGGATGCGGAGTGGCAGATCATCTATGACAAGATGGAGGCACTGTACAAGACGGGCGCCAAAGTGGTGCTCAGCAAACTGCCCATTGGCGATTTGGCGACACAGTACTTTGCAGACCGGGACATTTTCTGCGCTGGTCGTGTGTCAAGCGATGACCTGGAAAGGGTATGCCAGGCCACCGGTGCAGTCACGCAGAGCACATGCAGCGACATTCTCCCTCAACATCTCGGGACGTGTGGGCTGTTTGAAGAGCGGCAGATTGGTGGCGAGCGGTATAACCTGTTCAGTCAATGCCCCGAAGCGAAAACCTGCACCTTGGTGCTGAGAGGTGGCGCCGAACAGTTCATTGCCGAAGTTGAGCGATCATTACACGACGCCATCATGATTGTCAAGCGCGCACTGACGAACCACACCATTGTGGCCGGTGGTGGCGCCATCGAAATGGAGGTTTCAGGGTACCTCCACCGGTATGCTGATAAGAATGTCCCACACAAGCAGCAGGCCGTCGTGAAAGCTTTCGCAAAGGCTCTCGAGGTCATACCACGCCAATTATGCGACAATGCCGGTTTCGACGCGACAGACATCCTCAATCGTCTGCGGGTGGAGCATCGAAAGGGACACATCTGGGCGGGCGTCGACTTTGATCACGAAGGTGTGCGGAACAACATGGATGCGTTCGTGTGGGAACCGGCGCTTGTAAAGGTCAACGCCATCTCTGCGGCCGTCGAGGCGGCGTGTCTGATCCTGAGTGTCGACGAGACGATCAAGAACGAGGAGAGTCAAGGTCCGCAGGCGCCGCCCAGGGGCTTGCCTCCAGGTGCCGCTCAGCGGGCCTTGAGGGGCAGAGGAAGGGGAATGCCCAGACGGTGAAGAAGATAGTATGAAACGATATTGCCCGCAGCGGGCATACAAACGTTCTCGGAGAACAGTCTGCGGCCCAGGCTATGAATACCCATAACGCCTCAGAATGTGATGAATGACACCATGGCTAGCCGGGTCGGAGTAAAGATGGAGAGAGAAGACAGTGTCGAAACCGGACGGGGCGATCTGTCAAGTCGATGAATGAGTGGTGTCACCATGGCTGTGTCTGAAGAGCTCTGGCTATCGGAAGGATATCCTGTGGCAGACGTCTGTGGACGTGCGAACCCGGATCACCCTACGAAAGAGTCAAGGCTGGCGAGGGAGAGCGTTCGCAGTCAATCCTGCTTCTCCTGGTGGAGAGCAGAGCCTACAAAAGGTATTGCTGAAATTGCCACAACGACGGGTCGGTCGAGGAGAGCCTTAAGCCCCCGCGCGTCCCGCGACCTTCGCAGAAAAATAGATCCAGCCCAAAGGCTGCCCGTGACTCAAAGATTCAGCCTCATAGGTGTGCAATATCCTATGCGAGCGACAGTGAGCCAAGGACCCCTTGCCAGTACTGTATAGTCAGCCATCCGGCACCGGAGAGCGTTCCCGCAATGCCGCTTGTGTCCACGTGCCCGCCGTGATAAGCCACCTGCAGGGGGTGAATATGTCCTTTTGTCCACCGCGTCGTATCGGCAGCCACAGAATTGGAGCTCTGGTCCGGCGCCACAGGAGTCAGGACATACGTGTGTCCTTGGGTTAGCGTGTGGACGGTACAGCGTCCCGAAATCGACACGAAGGTCAGACGAGGATTGAATGCCACGAGATCCGGGGTCAATTCCCTACAGTTCTGACTGGCTGAGCACTTCCCAGGCGGGATCTTTGAGCAATCGTGCCTGTGCGGGGTTGGCAGATTACGGCGATCTCCTGCATACTTGTCGAAGCTATCAGAGGTCAAAGGTCTGTCTCGAATAGGCATACCGTTGTGACAAGCAGCCGCAGACACTGCCGACGACTGCCAGGACACTGAAGTGGCTGCTGCGGAGTGATCGGTCAAGGCTGTAGCTTCCCAATCTGGTGGCGCGTAACAGCTCTTTGCGGTTCACCAACTGCTGTTTAAGGGTAGGTGCAAGCGGTTGGAGCTCGATTGGGCCAGACGCTGGTGTGGCAGATACGGGAGCCCGATGATTGATGGACGTTGTAGGACAGCTGGTGTCCCGCACTTCAGCCCTGGAGCGCGGAACCAATGGAGCGGGAATGTTCTTGAAAGGTGTGGCGGAGCCGTTCTTGAAGTACCAGTAGCCGTTTCAGCATGGGATCCAGACACGTGCAAATCGCTGATGCTCACTTTGTGATGGATCTGGTGGTTAGTGACACCACAGATAATCCTGAAGCAAAGCAAGGAATGCCACGTGGATCCAGGGTGACGAGATAGAGCTACGTCCCTGTAAAGACACGCTGCCGCGCGCAGCAGCGCCCTGGCTCGGGTCAGATAGTATCCGTGATGAATGCTGTGTCCAGTTCAATTTTTGTGTAATTGCTGCTGAACCTGACGAACGAAGCGTGTTGCCAGATGGAGTATCGCTGGAACGCCAGTGCTCGGCCAGCATCGTCATCGTGGGCTGATGAGCGCAGGACAAGCTTGCAGCAGCACAAACAGCAACATTTGAAGGACGGCTACACAGCACGTACAGTACTGTGTATGTCGACAAATCTATTTAGGCGAACGGTTTCTCGATCAGGCGCTGGATCCGGCCGGGCCATTGCTTCATTCGACCAAGACGTAATGGGCAAGCGACAGGGCAGAGACCCTTGGGAAAGCAGGTGCCAAATCCCCCGGCTACGCGAGGAGATGTAAGACAGATGCGCGAATCAGAGGCGATGCCTGATCTGATCACGAAGCTAAAGCGCCGGAGGAAAAGCCTGAGCCAGCGCATTCGTCAGCTCTTCCTGCAGCTTCTGGTGCTTGCGCGTTTGTCGTCGGTCGAGAACAAGAGACCAAGAAGTCAGTCGGGCTTCAAGAGTTACAACTGCAGCATTTCAGGTCGTCGCTGCCACTGCCTCATTCCACCTTCGCCCGTCGTACAACGTAGAACATATCACTCTTGTCTTCCCTATATCTTTGTCGTCGCGCCAGCGACACAGGTTAAGATTCTCGCTAAGCACGTCAACTGCATTTCTCCACCTCGGATAGACGTGGATAGGCTCCCAGACCCTTGTTTTTCTGGCCCCGAAACAACAGCCCCGACCCTGGCGCGGCCCAACTTGTTCTCGACTTCAACCTGTTGACTTACGAATCACCTCCACACACTTTCCTCCGTGCAACTGAAAATATCCCCTTCGGACACTGCGGGAATCACCCGGCGCTTGAGACTTGCTTGGGTCGTGCACATCATCCGGGCAGCGCGGTTGCGATCGTTTGTGCCCTTCCACCGGCTTTGGTGCAAGGGAAGAAGAACAGCTTATAAGGATGTCGTACTATCCTGGTCAAGGGTATGGCGGCGCGCAGGTGAGCAAGCAAACAGACATGGAATGAGAGCGCCATGTTAACAGCAGCCAGCAACACAGTGGCTATGGCTATCCGCCCGCGAACTCGCCGCAGCCCTATCCTCCCCAAGGATACAACCCACCGTCCTACAATCAACAATCCTATAATCAACCGGGCTACGCACCACAAGGAGGCTGGCAACCGCCTCCGCAGAACGTTGCACCCTACGGATATGTAAGATAGACTGTTACTCGGCAGGATGCCACTCGTGTGAGCACAGGCTAACAGACATTTCAGAACAACCCTCCCCCTCCATCCCAAGGCGGCTACGGCCAATGGAACTCGCCGCCGCCACAACCGAATGGCTACCCAGGCCCGCGACCGGGAATGCCAGCGTACAACAACAGCCATGGATATGGCTCCCAGAACCCTCCCCCACCTCCTACAGCACCTCAGCAGTTTGGCCACGGCGCGCCCGCCGGTTATGCCTTCCAATACTCCAACTGTACTGGGAAGCGCAAGGCCTTGTTGATCGGCATCAACTATTTTGGTCAGAGAGGGCAACTTCGGGGCTGCATCAACGACGTGAAAAACATGTCAACCTATTTGAACCAAAACTTTGGATATGCAAGAGAAGACATGGTTATCTTGACGGACGATCAGCAGAACCCCATGTCACAGCCCACAAAGGCCAACATTCTCCGAGCCATGCACTGGCTGGTCAAGGATGCGCAACCCAATGACTCCCTATTCTTCCACTACAGTGGTCATGGTGGGCAGACGCCGGATCTAGACGGAGACGAAGAAGACGGCTATGACGAAGTCATCTACCCGGTCGATTTCCGGTCGGCCGGCCACATTGTAGACGACGAGATGCACCGGATCATGGTCAAGCCTCTGAAGCCCGGAGTGAGACTGACAGCCATCTTCGACTCTTGCCACTCCGGATCCGCCCTCGACTTGCCGTACATCTACTCCACCCAAGGAGTACTCAAGGAGCCCAACTTGGCAAAGGAGGCTGGCCAAGGTTTGCTGTCTATTGTGTCGTCTTATGCCCGAGGCGATTTGAGCGGCATGGCGTCATCGGCAATGGGACTGTTCAAGAAAGTGGGTGGAAACTCCACATACGAACGGAACAAGCAGACGAAGACAAGCCCCGCCGATGTGATAATGTGGTCGGGCAGCAAAGACGCACAGACCAGCCAAGATGCCAATATCGGAGGAGAAGCAACCGGGGCAATGAGCTGGGCCTTCGTGACCGCCCTGAAGAAGAACCCGCATCAGAGCTACGTGCAACTTCTAAACAGCATTCGGGACGAGTTGGCCTCGAAATATACGCAGAAGCCGCAGCTGAGTTGTTCGCACCCGTTGAGTAAGTTTTCTGTCGCCTTGCTATTGGGTTCTCACGCTAATCCGATTCTTTACAGACACTGATCTGCTGTACGTGATGTGAGGACGTCATGAGAAGATGATAGTGATACCCAAGGAGAGCTTGACACCAACACTTTGAGAGACGCTGTATTTCTGTGGCTTAATGCCTTTTGGGGGATGTACAGCTGAACGGACTGGTCCTATAGCGGAGCACCTGCGCAGCCGGGGTGTTAAGTAGGATAACGGAGGAAAAGCACCCGTTCAACGTTCCGTCTCCCTTCCTCGCCACGATCAGTGATATGTAAATGTCGTAGTCGTACGCAGTCACAACTCAGACAAGAACTCTGTCCTAGCCTACGGCGCACCATCTCACGCGCCCGGCGAAACCTGGTTGCCTGACACAGTACGTGATGACGCAGGTGCCACGTGATCCATGCCCTACGGTGTGCTAGCGAAGGTGTTAGGGGCCGTTAGTGGTGGTCGGTGGCAGTGATTGGTGGTCTCGAGGACTTATTCCGCCTGTGTCTGCTAACTGGCAAATGCAGGAGCCAAGTCAACTGCGCCGCCATCATGTGGTATACACAGTCCTGCTCTGCCTATCCATGCAATTGCCGTTGCTCTCCACTGTCTCTGTTGGTTCACGTACCGGACATCATGTTACGCAGTGACCTTCGTCCGCCGCGATGAAGCCCGATGTCCCTCCATCCTACGAAAGCGCCGTCAGTCGTGAAGCATGGACCATCATCGCGCCCTGGATCTCCTCCCGTGATCTGTGTGCTGCCTGCCTAGTCTGTCAGAAATGGTACGCGATCTTCGTGCCATTTCTTTGGGGCGACCCTGCTTCGCACTTTGGCATTGAGAACGACGCCGTCTATGTCGCCCTGACCCGGTTTAAGCGTATCCTGCGCAAAGCGAGGTTGACCGTGAGGAACCTCACACATACCTTGCATCTTCCTCCAGCTCTGAGCGAGATCTACGGCGGTCCCAACCCGAGCTGGTTGCGCGACGTTCTCGAATACCTTCCCAACCTCCAAAGCCTGATTGTGACGAAGTTACCTTTCTTCGACCATCACAGTCTCAACGCGTTGCGAACCACAAGCGCGGGAAGAAGACTGTCAAGTGAAGATGTGGAGAGATTGCCAGCGTTCGGGCTGAAGTTGCTGTTGGCGTCTAGCGAACCGAATACTACGTCTTCTTCGCTGGCAGGCGCTTTACCACGATTCGCCAGTCTGGTCTACCTGGATTTGTCATATACCTCACCCGCTCGAGACGCCGCAGTTCTAGCAGCCCTTTCGTATCTGCAAGACCTTCAGGTGCTCAAGTTACGTGGTGTCGGCCTTAAAGATGGAGAGGCTGAGGTGCTGGCCAATGCAATCGGCATACGTGTAAGGCTGTTGGATCTGAGCGACAATCTTCTGACTGATATGGCCGTGCGATCGTTGATGCAAGCGTGCTTTTTGCCTTCAGATGTCACACAACGAGGCACCTTGAATGTCGAGGACTGGCCTGTAGGCATGGCGCCCGGCCCCGATTTCTTCAGCCTGGATACTCTACGGAGTGAAGAGCTCGATCACGAGCTCCTCAAGCAGCTGACGAAACCACTTACCGGCAGGCTAGCATTCGAGGACATCCCGCATCGCGGTCTAACTCATCTCTACATTTCTGGCAATCGTCTCTCTGTCGAAGGTCTATCAAGTCTACTAAAGTCGGAAAGGCTCCATATCCTGGACGGCGGTTCGGTCGACACCGTCAAAACCATTGCACGGACCCAGTCCCTTGCTTCGCCTACAGGCTACATCGACGAAGTACGATTCCCAGGCGCCGAGAAATTGATTCCTGTGCTTGCTCGTTCAGCCAGCAAGAATCTAACATACCTTCGCGTCGATCATGCATTGATCACAGCAAAGCTTGACGCACCACATGAGGTCGTCAAGCCGAAAGCAGCTTCTGTCGAGCTTGCTGGGTCTGAGCCACTGGCAGCGGAGCTACCCCCCGAAGCCAGGCGGCTGGCCGAAGCGCCGGCGCCCGCCCATTATGCCGTAGAGCTTCCGGCTAATGAGGAGATCTTTGAGCTGGATGCCACCCCTGCCCAGCCCAGGGTTGAACTGGTAGGTGATCTGATATACTTTGCCCTCAGCCCGCCGGTTGGAGACAAACCCGAAGTCGCAAGTCCGGCCACCGAAACACAGAGTCCTATTCGTGGGGAAGGACCCTATGCACCGGAGGTAATAGTGAACGACAAGTCCCGTGGAGATGGAGAATACGATGATCGCGGAACAGTGGTTGAATCCGAGATCTCCGATGAGACAGGCACTCACAGTACCACGAGATCGATCCTGTCGCCGGTATCCCCACTATCGTCACATCCCAACAACATGACATTCCAGCCGCTGGTCGCTCCGCCTCTGCCCAATAATAAACCGCCACCAACTTCTGTTCCACAGAGGACGAACGGGACAGTGTTATCTCCGAAGACGTCAAATGAGACAGCGTCAACCCCGAAGACGTCCCGCCCCCTACCCCCACCACCCCAAAGTCTATCGCCGTCCATACCAGCGGCCGCTTTGCAGCACCGTCAAGCACGAATAGAGGCCTTGTTAGCCAAAAGGCCTCCTGGACTGTCCTCCAGAGGTGTACGAGTGAACTCAAAGATCACTGTTCAAAACCTAACATTTTTACATCCTGCCGTGCTTCCCAACCTGCGAACCCTAGTCCTGACGAACGTGCCCACCACGGTCCCCAAATCGTCGCCGGTTGTGTTTGCGCTCAAGTCTTTCATATCTGCTTGTGCTGACGAAGCTGCACTCGCTCGTCTCCTCGCGCGGACGGACTACTCCCTTCCACCTGGTCCGGCTCGACACGTTGCCGAGCTTGAACAGGCCCGGTCACTCTTTGCGCTTAGGACGATCGTACTCGAGATGGAGCAGCCGGTCTCCAAGGATGCCGTCGTCCAGCGCGGGTGGCAGCACACTCGCCAGCGCATCAGCATGAGCAAATCATCGACTGGGGACCGGGATAGTGAGAATCTATGGTCGGCCGCCGAGAACGACTTCAGCTTCTTTGGGGAGGAAGGCGAAGAGCAAGACGAGTGTGGAATCTATCAACATGACCCAGAAAAGTACTTCCCAACTGCACATTTCGACGACAAGATCCTGCTAGGCCCGGAAGACAACCCACCGGAAAGCGGCTCCAACAGTCCCCACGGCAGCTTTCACGGGCAGGGGACGCTGTCGCCCTTCTCGATGAATTACTCGAACGCGACGCTGAGAAGCCCAAGGCATCTGCCACTGGGACGAAACAGGCGAAGTTCGAACGAATCTCAGCGTTCCGGCGTCCCTAGAAATGTGCTAGCCGAGATCCAGGGTAGTCCAGTCTCGCCGAAATTCATAAACGGCCAGTATCGACCGCGGTCGCGGGATTCCATCCCTGTGCCGACATCGAATCCCATGGAGCGAAAGGAGGAAGAAGCGACAGTGGATGTCATCGCCGAAGTGGCGGCGTGGAGGAAAGAGAGGAAGAAAGCCTACGAGGAAGAGTTGGCGCGGTATAGAATGAGCCGTGCAGGTCACGGGCGTTCCAACAGTAGCTCCGCCCCAAGAGGCTACGGATACGGGTTTGACCACGGTGCAGGGCCGGGGTCGTTGTCATACGCGAATGGAAATGGGAGTGCTGCTTCAGCACATAATCCTGCGACTCAAATACCAGCAGCAGCAGCAGGTGATGTTAATGACATTGATATGCGATACGTCGAGGGCCATTGGAAGGGCGAGATCAAGGTCATCCGCAACGCGATACCCAAGGGTCGGACCGGCGTTGTGGACATGTACGGCAACTATTTTGAGAAGGGTTATTTGTACCCTTGACACGAAGCATAGAGACCTTTACACGAAGCCTTGAGATATTAGCACGAAGCATGGAGATGTTAGCACAAAGCGTTGAGATGTTAGCACGAAGCATTGAGATACCAACATGAAACATTGAGATGTTAACACGAAGCATTCAAGATATGGGCTTCCTCCTCTGGTTGGTTGTCTTTGTTCTTGCAGGCCTACTGTATACGGCGAAGAGACGATTCACCACAAGGTACTTGGCACTTGCGATACCTGTTATATCATGATTCTGGCGTATAACGAAGACCACAGTATCACTTCCCGTGCTTGCTCCCGCTGCCTGTTCCCTGCTGCAGGCCATCTTACATGGACTCGGCTGCCGGAAGGGGTTTTTATCTCCCATCAACGGATCCTGGGGTAGCTAATTAATTAGTACACTCTGCGAAATCTGTCGTAAGAAAGAGGATTTGCCATTCTTGCCAACTCTCCCCGGGGCATGGGCGGCGTTGACCCCTCTGGCAGCTCCGCCAGTCTGTCGGCGAGTCGAGGTCCTGATCATCCGAATTTGATTTGACGGGCGTGCGGAATGGCTGGCTGGCTGGCTGGCTGGCTGTTTGTTGTTGTGGCATGTCATGTCATGTCATGTCAATCTAATCTGTGCGCTCTGCTCTGCTCTGCCTGAGGCAGCAAACCGTGCCACCACCGCCCGGTCCAGCCTACTTCCTGGTCGAACCTCTCACTTACTTGATCGCAAAGAATGGAGACGAATATATGAGAGCGAAACTGCTCAGACTGGTCGACAGCGCCAATGTTCCGGGTCGGCCCTTTGGGCACTACAGCTTAATTACAGGGCTATCGTCAGCAGCACGGCTACGTTGAACTTCCGTCGCCAGCCCAAAGTAAGTGATGACCGAAGCACAGTCAGGTTGCCAGGCCGTGGTCCAAGAGCGTGACGACGCGTGATGCCCACGTTTCTTTGGCCGACAAGTCAACGATTCCTCGAGACCCGACTGGGAAAGAAGAGAAGTCGGTCGCTATGCCCCACATGCTTGTTTGATCGACATGTCAACGATTCCTCGAGATCCGGCTAACAGGAGGAGATGTCGGTCGTCGCGTCTTATGCCCTTGGTTGATTGACGGGCTGATATGTAGAAAACACACTCTTGAGACCCGGACTGGAAAGAAGAGATGGCGGTCAAAGATGCTTCGGCTAGACACTGCCGCACGTCCAAAGGTCTCAATGCCATTCATTCACACTCACCTCGATTCATTTCATTGCAGCCCCCACTATCCTGTCTCATCTCATCGGCCGAGTCTCAGTGTATCGCACAGCGACGCCAACCTACAGTGTTACAATACAAGCACCTATGACCTCAGTACTGCTTCGCCGCGAAATGCTCATACCGCCCAGCCAACCTCGCCCGCCACTCCCGGCCCCAGATGATCAAGGGAACACAGGTCAGCGCCACAGCGACGCTCAGACACCCCAGCAACACAAACATGTCGTAAACGCCCATTCCCGCCATCCAGGGCGTCACGGCAAACACCAGGCCCGTGGAGATGATGTTGCGCACGAAGACCACGCCGGTGAGGGCGTCGCCGAGGACCTAGACGCGAAGGTCGTTAGCGCCGCGTTAGAAAATTTGGATCAACTCCATTGCATTCAGATATGGTTCGGCAGGGTAAGGCAGGGCAAGGCAGTGCATGATAGCGCAAGGCAGTGCATGATAGCGCAAGGCAGTGCATGATAGCCCAAGATAGGGCAGGGCAAGGCAAGGTAGGGCAAGATAGGGCAAGGTAGGGCAAGGTAGGGCACTCGACTCCGTCCTCCACCCTCCGTACTCCGTGCTGCGCACTCCGTTACTCCGTGACTCACATATTGATAACAATCCTGACAATACGTCAAACTTATATCGCCGCACCCGCCGATGGCCGCGCCGATGAATCCCGCGCCCACGGCGTTGATCGGCCAGCTCATGCCCCGCGAGATGGTCAGGCCGTACATGAACAGTCCCACGGGCATGCACGCGCCGGGGATCAGAAACAGCCACAGCCGCGTCTCGGGCTCGTAGATGCCGCCTCGGCGTTTCGCGACTTGGAGGATGAAGTAGTCGTTGAGGGGTCCGCCGAAGAGGGAGCCGAGGATCGCGCCGATAGCTGGGCGTATGTATCCATGTTAGCTGATGACTTTGATATGTACAATATAAGCGGGAGCAGATCCCCAATCTCATATCGCTGGGTCGCACTCACCAGGCGGCAGATTCATATTCCCCACGCCGATCGGCGTAAAGTTGTACGGCGGAAACGGGTACAACGTCGCCTGCGTGACAGCCAGGATCGCCAACATGGCAATCAAAAACCCATACTGCAGCGCCGTGAACATGACGGCCGGAAACGTCACGAGGATCTGAAACGGCTGGACAAAGTGCATCCACAGGGACCGCTGCGCAGACGTCACCTGCTTGTCGAGAGACCAGAGGGCGTGCCGTTGCCGGTACGACTTGAGCGGGATCGAGTGGTCGATCTCCACCACGCGGCGGCGTTCGGTGTTTTGCGCGGCCTCGGTCGCATCGACTGAAATGGAGCCTAGCCGTGTAGTGGTGGGAGTTTTGGTGGTGCTGTGGACTTTGGCGAGCATGTCGCCGTGGCCGTCGCCGTGGCCTCCTTGATCAATCGCCATGTCACGACCGTCCGTCACCAGAGGGGTGTATTTAGTTTCTTCGAGGAAGAAGAACATGACCACCGCCACGATGGCCATGAAGATGGTGCAGTACCAGAAGACCCATCTCCAGTTCTGCGAGACGGCCACATACCCTGCTGCGACAGGGCCGAGGTAGTTCCCGACGATGACGATGGCCAGATAAATCCCGTTCATGGTCCCGCGTTGGTGGACGAAGAAGAGGTCGGAGACCTAAGTCGCGCGCAATCAGTTCCGGGGTCGACTGTACAGACGCCACGGGATAGACGGAACCTACCGTGACTTGAAAGACCGCCTCGTTGACCGCGCCAGCAAGTCCCGAAATGACGTTCGCCCCAATCATATCGCCGACCGTGTGCATCTTCGCCTGCCAGATCGCCGCGGCCAGCATGATGAGCGCGGTGGCGAGATAGACGGGCCGGCGTCCAACGCGCAGCGCGATTGGCACGAAGATGATACACCCGACTGACAGGGCGGCCATATTCGTCGCGTACCCGTCGTTTAGCACGGCGTAGCTCATGCCGAGCTCGGTGTTGAAGTCCTGCCATAGCGGGACGGCGACGCAGAGACTGAGTACGTAGAAGGAGTGTCAGCGATCCAGCCAGGCGGAGATGTAGCGTAAGGCTTAACCGAGGGGAGGTTGAGGGAGAGTCCTGAAACGAATAGACTCGCACCCAGACCCATACTCAGACTACACGTATGTACTCACATCGCAAAGACCATGAGCGCGTAGAAACACAGAATCGTCATCTGTAGCGACTTGCGGAATGGCGACCAGTTCTGTTGATCGAGGGACTTGGGGTTAGCATGTTGCTCTGCATATTGATGGACTGGACTGGACACGAAGAAAGGAGTGAAGTGCCACTCTGGTTTCGTGGACAGGGACATCGTCATATCGAACGTACCAAAGGCTGGTTGGGGTCCGCATTCGGCTGAGGCGCAAGAAGAATCTTCTGCCCGGTTTTATCCTCAATCCTTTGCGTCCCGGGCGGGAGTCTGTCGTATGCCATTGTGACTTTGGTATTGATCTAGCCGTGCGTGACGACGGTATATTGGTGAAGGAGGGACTCGAAGGTCCGAAAGAGTGCGTTGTACAAATCACAACGCGAAATCCGCCGAATACAGTATACCGTGTATATCAAGCACAGAAGCGATCAATCAATCAGTCAGTCCATGATAGCTAGAGCTCTGCTCAGGAAAGGAACGACCTTTTTGTAGCTCTGGTGACTTGTCGCGACCCGGCCGTACACCATGATGCACCGATGAGGCAGGGTCGAGCCGTTATCATTGAAGTGCTGAAATGCTAGAGAGCTTGTTTAGTCTTTGCCACCATCCACTCACTTAGCGGCCTAGTTATCTGTCTGGTGGCAGCTAGGGCAGCCTAGGCCAGAAGATCGCGTGGTCGGCAACCCGTTGTGCGAGAGGGAACGCGGAGAAGGAAGACCGACGAGAGGCCATATCCGCAGGTCTGGCGCGGAAGGCCGATGCAGCGGCGCCGAATCATATCGATATGCGCAATCCAGCGGCACGTGGTCGCTAGTTGCTGCCTCGAACGATGCAGTCAAATGGACAAGGCCGCTTCTCATGCTCCAGCATCTCGAACGACCGGGATGAGCTGGCTGGAGTTGCCTAATCTGGTGGTTTACAACCACCTTCCTCGTCCGCCTCGTCGTCAGATTCGAACGCATGCTTGCAGTCACGTCAGGCTTCTGAACCTGGACGCATGATACCTTCACTCTCATGATTGTCGCCCATATCATTCCTGTTGCCGCAGTTCCTTATCAATCTAGCAAGCCGAGAAAACGGGCGAGTGCGCTTTCCGGGCTCATCTTCTCTAAACGATCTTGCGTGCAACGGAACTCGTGCCTTGGAAACCAGTCGAGAACCTGCTCCTCGCGGCCCGCCACCATACATGCAAGGGCTTTGCCCGCAAGCCAGCAATGGACCATGCCGTATCCGTCCCAGCCAGCGGCGATCCATTCACCACCATCCTGGGAATGGCATTCTTCTCGCCCGGACATGAAGCTGCGGACACGGTCGACCAGGGGGAGTCCATCTCCTGTGAAGCCCATGATGCCGGTCCATTTCTTGTCTATCTGGACACCTGTGCCGTGGACAAACGCTTTGCGTGCCACGGTCTCGAGGTGCACAAGGCACTGAGCACTCAACTGGCTGTCATCAGTATTGCCGAGATCCTCGTCCTTTTCTGGACCACCTTGGAAGAAGCCGCCACCGAGATAGAGCGAACCGTCATCGCCCGGGGATTGCGTGATATAGTCGAATCCTTTCGCCCACATCGTGCTCCACGACCTGGAGCCGCCCAGTCGTGGAAAGTCCTGAGGCACCGACTGGACTGTCATCTGACCCCTCAGTGGCCAGAGTCTTCCTCTCAAATAGGGAAGCAGGTGAGCAGCGTGCCCGTTCGTACAGTGAATGACTTGCTTCGTGGATATGGTGCCTCTGCTTGTGACTACTTCATATGGGTGGCTGGAAGATTGGCTCCGACGTATTTCTGTTACGGGGGTGTGAGTCTCGAGCGTCAGCTGTCCGCTCTCGAGTAATTTCGACATCACCACGCCTAGAAATCGATATGGCCACGCAGCCCCAGCAGGGCCTTTTATGCATCCGTAGGCAGTGGCAATGCCGAGATTCTGACTTAGATCAGCAAGCGAGCACAAGCCATGCAGTGGCCCAAGGCTGATCGCACCTTCAATTCCACTTCTCCTTCGTGGATAGTCCACCGCTCGCGCTCCTCAGGAAAGTCCTCAAGCCAGGCCTCCAGCTTGAGCTTGGCCGCTTGCCACGCTTCCAGATCAAAGATGGCGCTCACCCCTTCCACGCGGCGCACCAAGCCCACCTCGCCCGCGTCGCCCAATGCTGCCGCCTCATTGACAAGAGCATCCAGATGTGCTAACCGGAATTTCGTGATCTTCATTGCACTTTCTTTCCCCATCGCGTTTTTGAGGGCGTAGTAGTCTGCCCATGGAACAGCCTTGATGTGTCCCCCATTACGACCCGTGGCTCCTGATATCGCCGAGCGAGCTTCAAGCATGGTGATCTTCGACGAGGCTAGGAGCCTGAGCAGATGCTGTGCTATGCTGATACCCGTGATGCCTGAGCCAATGATGACGACATCGGTCTCCTTGGGAAGAGTCTCTGACTGCTGGTCTGCAAATTCGTGGCGGGGTACTTGCCAGAATGACTCGGTCGGACTTTCAACTGGAGTTCCTGGATCACGATCAAGCCTCGAGGCTAACTTGTGCAGCATTGCACTACCCCCAGAGTCGCCCATGTCAGATCCTATCAGGCTGAGACCAGATATAGGAGTGGCCAGGTAGCTCCAAAGGCAGGTCGATGTCCACGCGACTATTGCCAGCCAGAAAGTAGTTATATCGAGGGATTCTCAAGTGATGGACTCGAGAAGTCAGAGCCGCCGCGTACGGTATTTCGGATCAAAGTGCAAGCGGCAGCGGTCTTCTGTGTAGATTTTGGATTTCTTTTGCGGTGGCAGCCGGGAAATCCAGTGCCGGACATGAGCATGTATTTTCTTGCCAGCGGCAGAAGGACTCTCCACCAGAGAGCGAGCAAATCCGGGGGCGATGCCAATCATGGCGCATAGACTTGCGATTGGCGCGCCAAAGCTGCAGGGCGCAACGAGATGTGATTGGGTTACCGGACCTGTGCCGCTGTGCGGACAACAGCGATGGGAATTAGGTCTTTCCAACAGACTGCTCATGCGGTATAGAACCAGCCAAGGCCTTATCAGCCAATGAACGCAAGTCTTGCATAACCATCTCGTTGCCGAAAGGCGGGATAGGTACCGTCCTCCGTTCGCAAACCCGAAATATAACGACGGCACGTGAATAATTCACCGCAGTGCTTCTCTTCGCTCGTTCTGGCACACCAAATACTCGAGAGGCGCTCACTGGCAATACTCGCCTGTTAAAACAAATAGCCACCATGGGGAGCTTGGGTCCTGACACTGGAGCAAGCGACAGCCTGACAGACTGGAAGACAAAGGTCGCACACAAGCAAAAGCAATGCCGCGATGCTATTCCGAGCGAATGGCAAGTGCACCCCAAGGTGTTGGAGCTCCTCGATTTGCCGCTCGAGAAGAAACCCAACCGACTCATCGACCTTGACGTGGTCAGGAAGACGGGCATCCTGTCCGACCGTGAACTTGCGATTACCGAGAATTATACCGTGCAAGAGTTGCTGGCAGAACTTGCTTCGGGCCAATTCACCTCTGTCGAGGTCACGACAGCGTTCTCAAAGAGGGCAGCGATTGCTCAGCAGCTGATCTCCTGTCTTACAGAGACATTCTTCGATCAAGCCCTCGAGAGAGCGAGGTATCTTGATCAGCGAAGAAGCGAGGGCAAGCTGGTTGGGCCTTTGCATGGGCTTCCAATCAGTCTCAAGGACTCGTTCCAGGTTGCTGGCACTGAGGCCTCAATCGGATTCGTATCATTCCTGGGGAAGAAGTCCACCGAGAATTCGCCAATTGTCGACATCTTGCTAAGCCTCGGGGCTGTACTATATGTGAAGACCAACATTCCAATGACGCTGATGACGGCGGACTCCCACAACAACATCTTTGGTCGAACGCTAAATCCTCTCAACACAGCGCTGAGCGCTGGAGGGTCGAGTGGAGGTGAAGGAGCACTAGTCGCGTTCCGAGGCTCTCCTCTCGGCGTAGGGACGGACGTCGCTGGATCGGTGCGCATCCCGGCACTATGTTGCGGCACATATGGATTCAAGCCAACGTCCTCCCGGATTCCGTATGGGGGCCAAGCAAACCCTGGATTACCGGGGTGGAAACCCATAACTGCATGCGCTGGACCACTTGCGAATGATTTTGAGGCAATGGAGATTTTCACCAAGGCAGTCATTGGCTCCGTTCCTGGAGCCTTGGACTCGACTGCGATAGACGTGCCCTGGCGGCAATTGGACCCGATCGCTATGTCCAAGCTGCGAGTCGGAGCTCTGGCTGAAGATCCCTCCTACCCGTTACACCCACCAGTCAAGCGAGCACTTGATGAAGCAATCAAGAGAGTCCAGGCGGATGGTCACGAAGTGATTCAGCTGAGCGCCGAACAAGGGCATGTCGCTGACGCCACCGAGGTCGCTGCCTTACTCTTCACCCTCGAGACAGAAACTCCCGTTGGAAACATCAAAGCGAGCGGCGAGCCTCCTGTCCCTTCAGTCGCGGCGCAGCACCAGCCGGCCAACCGCGGTGAGAGGAGGTTCGTGCCGGAGATCAGCAAGCTTGGTAAACTGCAGCAATACGCAGCTTTGACAGTCAAACGTCAAGAATTGTCTGAGGATTGGCGAAAGTTATGGTCAGACTTGAGATTGGACGCGGTCCTTGGGCCTCCAGCGCAGAACACGGCAGTGCCACATGACACATACGGCTGGCCTCCTTACACTGCTCACCTCAATTTACTCGACGTGGGTCTCGGCCATAGGGTCGTTGGAAAGGCAAGTGCTGACATTGACAGTATCCGGCCTGTGTCATTCCCTTCTCCAAAACTTCGAAGCAGCTCGACCGCGCGCCATTCACAGTGCAGCCACATCAGGCTGGCCCTGCTTGTCAGTGACCCATCCCTCACGCCGACAACCTGCTAACAGGATGTGCCAGATGACCCGGAAGTGCAGGATGGGGCGCCATGCTCCATCCAGGTTTTCACAAGCCGTATGCGTGACGAGGAGTGCCTGAGGGTGGCTCGAATCATTGACAGATGCTTAAAAGCATGAGTGCGGGCAAAAGCGTCTTCTATCTCCATCTCTGGAATTGCCTGCGGGAAAGGCGACTCCAAGGCCATTTTTGGAAAGCAGTGCCTGGAGTCCGTCATATACCACTTCTACGCCGCGAAGTTGAGACCCAGTTGTAGGTGTCCGCGCAATGATACTGGGCAGCTTCCAGACCTTTTCGAGGGCGCCCAAGGTTCTCTGCACATAGCCTGAATATGAGACATTCCAGATCTGCTGGAGTCTTTCCCGGATAAGACGTCGCATCTGCCCACGGTGGACCTCAAGCTCATCGCCACATTGTACAGCTTCTGAACCGGTTGTTGCACATGCTGCACAGCCCAAGATTAACAGAGGCCAGCAAATGAATTGTCCGCAAGACACAGTCGTATCGAACAGTTCCAGCAAGGCCATTCCCTTCACAAGCAAAGTCTGGATTTGGAGTGACGTAGAAGTGGTTCCCTTGGGATTAACGACCTTGGCCACAAATATTCTGGCGGCGAGGAAGTAGAGCTTCGCCGCAAGCTCGGTGTTATGAGAAGCGGCGGTCCCATGAGCGTCCCAGGCCGTATTTGCATCGCTGCGGACAATAGGGTAGCTATCTTGGATGCGGTCTAGTTCGATCAAGTAGTGGAAAGCGTGCCCGTGGTGCTCATCCCCAGGAGCCGGGAGTTGGCGGCTCAGCAAGGTGACCTGGAAGATTAGGACGAATAAAGCGGGCGGTGTCCTACCGAGCACGGGTAAGATTGGTCGCTGGCCGTGGACATCTCTCGCTTCACGTTCATGTCCCTCGATGTATTTGCGGACCGTTGCTGACGGGAAGGCGTCCCAGATAGCATCAATGTCTTTCTCCAGAATCAGTCTGGTGGAGAGGTGATATAAGGTCGCGTCGAGTAGACTCAAGTGCAGGATCGACAGCGACTTGATGTCGAGGCGAGACGAAGCAGCAAACTGGGCCTCCAGTATCTGCGCTATGGCTTGAAAGTGCGTCAAGCCCGCATTGAAGGGCGACGAATAGAAATCCTAGCTGAAGTCAGCAATAGAACAATCTCGAATATGATGGGAGGACCTCCCTCAAAGACAGCGAGGAACAAAGAGGTCGCAAGACAGGGATCCCGACGAAGAGTTGCAGGTCCCGATGGCAGGAGAGACTGTCGTAGCCCCCGAATGGCACTCTGGGAGTAGAGCACGGCGTCCTCTTTGGTGATCAAGGAAGAGAATGAGGCGTGGAGCGCGGCGGGTGCAAGGGCGGCATGCACGACCCATGGCTTGTCGTAGCCGACAACGAAGACGAAGGACAAGTCTCGAAACTTGGCTCGAGATTCTGGTGACGTTATCACGTTCATGTACTTGGTCGCACAATAGTGGAACACGTTCCAGTCGCGCTCCGTTCTCAGTCCCTCGGGTCGGATGCTCAATGAGGCTGTCAGAGGTAAAAGCACGGGCGGATTCGCCCCTACACCGGATACAGCTTGCGCCCTTACTCGGACAAGGTCAGTCGCCGCGGGCGGTGCTGACTCCCGGTAGACACAAGGGAGATGGAGCCGTTCACAAGTTGCACATACCGGTCGGTTCTCGGGGCATTTCTTGCGGCGCTTGAGGCACGTTTGACAGCCGGTCTTGACGCGCAAACGAGGCGGCGGACGCGGCGGACGCGTCGGCCGGGGAGCCTGCTTCACGTCCATGTTCGCGTGTGCATGATCAGGAAGGGTAGTCGCAGCATTTCCAGCGATGGGAGAAGCCAGTGGAGGACTTAGTAATCGAGAGATGGAGGAATGTCAAAGTCTGACGCGGGCATATGGCACCTGCATTTGTGGCGCATTCACGCGCATCGAGGGGGAGCGGTTCGTCAGACTTGTCTCTTGCAGCCCTGACAACAGAACGGAGTGAGAGATGAAGCAGCACGTCAGCTGGACGACTTCAAGTCAATCTCCTATGCATGTCACTTCATCGATTGAGGTCAAGCCGTTCGCGTTTCCACCATGTTATCCACAGCTTCGCATCTTTGATCTATCACTGGCGGGCCTTTTTATGTATCCAAGCACCGGGGGTAGTTGTCAAAAGCATGCACCCCGTCCTGACCGTAACCTCCCAACTCCGCACTCCTCGTTGCCAGTTCTAGCAATTGCTAACAGGAGTCAGTAGTCCTGCTTTATTGTCGTCGTGTTCACATGATGGTGACATCGACCTTACTCCACAGACACCAAACGCCAGTACCCAATTTACTGCTCCAGCTTGAATCGTGCTTGATTCCCAGGCTCGATGTAGTCCATGGGCAAGACATGCTGCATTGGCTGCATATCATTCAGTCCAGGACCTGGCCCGCTACCATCGTCCATCACGTGATCGTGTGCCATTAGTTGCTGATCGGCACCAGGGATGAAGTGATGCTCTGGTGGTCGGTCAAAGTCATTGGGTTCATGGTGTGGCGGGAGATGCGGCGTGTTTGCGAACGACGACAATCCAGTTGGGTCGTACGCATGGCCGTTCGGATCATAGGCTCCAGCCAGCTGTGCCTGTATTTGTTCCATGATCTGCGGGTCAATTGCCATTTCGTCGTACGGATCCAGGTGAGGATCATGGTCTGCCACTAGGTGGTCATGATCACTAGACAGGTCCATAGGCTGCTGTATGGCTGCGAAATCGTGCTCTGACATGTGACTGGCCGGGAGATCTCGAGCGTCCTGTGGCAAGCGCTGCAGGTCTGGTGGCGGTGGCGGCGGAGGCGCTGGTGCTGGTGCTTGGACTTGGGGCAGATTGGGCGGCGCTTCATCAATCGTCTTGCTTCGGCCAGGCCGGTTCTCCGACCGCAAAATCGGGGGCTTGTTCACGTCTTTGCATTCCGGGCAATTCTTGATGACGTGGCTGACGGTTTCTTTGATCCGGATCCAATGATATTTGGTCGCGATGATGGCCGTTGTCTTGTTGATCCCGGCGTGCGACTGGAGATGAATCCGCTTGGCTATCTCGTACTGTGCGTTCGAGTCGGAGATGACCTCCTTGTCCTTCAAAAAGAGCTTCTCGGCGCCACCGTCCTCACCCGGCACCAGTTTGTAGTGGGTGGCCGCGCTTCGAAGACGACTTTTCTCGGAACGATCCGCCCCCTGAGGGTACAGTAAATGTCTCAGGTAGTAGCGTATTTTATCGAAGCGTTCTTCCGAGACGTCACTCTCGCCCTCAGATTTGAGGTCTCTGCCATATATGATGGCATCAACGGGTTCGTCCGAGGATTTCAAGTGGCCACACCCAGGGACTCGACCAATGCGCTTGAAACCGAGCGAGTCCCAAATCTTTGTAGAAGCCGTATTGGATTCGTAAACCAGGTTGAAGACCGAATAGGTGTATCCCTGGTGACTATCAGCTTTCTCTGCTTCAGGCTGTCTCCATCGACGCCAAACCTACCAACCCGGGTGCCCAATCCAGGTAGCATTGGCCCATAGACTTTCCGACGCCCTTGTTGCGAGCCGCAGGCGTTACCAGAAACCCACCGTTGCAAACATGGCTGCTTCGACCAGGGTAGTTTGGCTTGATGTAGAAGCTCCCCAGGCATTTCTTGTTCCAGTCAACGCCGTTCGTATCCATCTCCGCCACTGCCTCGATTCCCCCAATATCACCGAGGACCATCACAGCGCCAAAGTTCCCAAACCAATACGGGCCGAAGGTCTCCAGTGGCAATGGATCGATCATTGGATACGTGTCGCCGCCTTCGATTTCCTTATTGAGCTGCTCCGAGAGGTATGCGAGAAGCCTCTTGGGCACGGCATCTGGGGAGAAGAACGGTACCAGGGTTGCAACGGTGACACGATCCCGAAGGGTGACAGGCCTTGGGAATATCGACGATGGTATTTGCGGGTTATCTGAGGTGGGATATGGCTCTTGTCCCGAGGCCCGATAGATCACGGGCGCTTCGGGATCCTCCAGTAGAGCCGGCATCGTTAACCATCAGGCGCAAAAGTGGTAGAGCAGGCCAATTAGCAGGTCGCAACTGGTTCTCATAAACAAGCCAAAGTCAGGCAGCGGACTTCACTGCATACACCCGGGCGTGAAGTGAAGAAGAGAGAAAACTCGGGACGACGTTCGGAGCGCTTCGCCCCATTTAGACGCCAACTCACATCACGTGATCTGCTTGGCAGGCACGGTGACGCGAGGCTTGGCACTGATTACATAACGACCCATGCTGCTGGTTACCACCACTCGCACCCAGGTGCCTACCTAGGTAGCATATACACAGTAGGTGGTAGAGGTTGGGTGTTTCTGGTGCTTCCATGGCCGTACAGGTTGAACAACCAAGCAAACAAAGCAGTGGAATTCAGATCCAAGTGATGCTGGGGAGGCGGTAGCCCTGCCAAAGGATTGGAATTACACACTACATATTACGGACTGGACAACGGCCCTTGTGTACCTATGTTCTGTTTTCCGAGGCGACCAAGGTGTACCCCGACAGTGCGTAAAAAGCCACGTACTCGAGCTGTGATCTCATTTCCGCGGAAGTGCCCACCAAGTTGAAGCGGCCATGCCCATTACGTTGACGGAAGTTGATAGGCCTGTGGTGAAATGAATGTGCTGTTAGGACCCGACTCCGGGTTGTGTAGCTCGGCTAGGGCCACCCTTGATCCAAGGTATAAGCAAAATCAGGGCGAGGCGTCGTTCTAGGTTTGGATCCTCGGGGGGATGCCGATGCTATGCCTGGCGAGAGGCAGTAACCAGCTCCGGACTTGATTGCCGTGGTGAGGCTTCTCAGGATGGGGACTTCTTGGTGACCTCCACATTCTTGAGATATCTGCTCGGCGGAACAGGGATGAACTGCGATGGAGACCTTGTGTATCCGCTTGATTATCATAACACCATTGGATCCTTCACTTCATGAATTCTTTCATACTCCAACGTTTCGAGCCTGACATGTGGGCAGGAACCCCGACATACATTTGGCTGTCTTCGTTCGTGATTGGCGGAAGGGCTGATAGTTCTGAATCTTCGTAACGATGTTCCCTTGGAGGTGAACCCGGGTTGTGGTAGGAACGCCCACTTACGGGCGGAGAACCGCTCCCAACTGCCGTAGTATTCGTGGAATAGGCATTCGTTTTATCACTAGTGTGTGCGGACGAAGCGGCGTGAGGGCCAGTGGTCTCGTAAGGGCGTCCGGCCTGGAATGTGTCCTTTTCGTCGACAGAGTCTTCATCAGGCGTGACTCTCGAGATATTGTTGCGACGACGCGTACAACGCTGGCCCAGAAAGAAGGATAGAACAACCAAAAGAATAACTAGCAGGGCAACGGCAATGCCAATTCCGGCCTTGGCACCGGTAGAAAGGCCCCCATTATGAGACGACGGGGTCGATGTAGATGACGGATTGTTGTCACCAATTGTGGATGCACTGGACGCATTCCTCGATGTAGTCGCGGCCAAAGAAGGAGTAGTAGAAGCTGTAAGGCTAGTGGTGTGGTAGGATGATGAGGTCGTCGACACTGGCTCCGAAGCAATCGGTGCAGTCGACCCAGCTATTGCTGAGGTAGATATAGCTGTCTCAGATATGCTAGGGACAGCTGCTGTTGTTTGATCTGGACCATAGATTGTTGAATAGCCAACAGTACTGACAACAATTTGACTCGTTGTAAAAGAGATGGTCGAAACGATAGTGCTAGTGACAGAGCCGGCAACGACTGCCGCAGAAGTTATAGTTGTCGCGGTGCCATCGATCGTTGTTGTAACGATCGTCACTTGGTTCGGCGCGGCATCGGTTGCAGGCACGACAGAATAGACCGTGACGAATGAGGGCAGGACTGTTGGCACCGTTGCTGTCACCAGGATCGGTTCAGTCGCAATGGGAACTGAAGACTGTGCATCGGCGAAGGCAAGGCAGACAGCCACAGCCAAAGCCCAGAATCCACGGCGCTGGCACATCGTGCCACGGCACTGAAGACGACGAGCAAGGCGAGATCTGTGTTGGAAATGGATGGAAGGTGGTCCAAGTCATGGAGTTATGGGGGGCCGTGTCAAGTCATGGAGTTATGGGGGGGCGTGTCAAGTCATGGAGTTATGGGGGGGCGTGTCAAACCTGGTCAGGTGCTGCCTCGGGAGATATGCGAGCGCCTTGTCGAGAAGTTCATGTCTCTCGAGCGCAAATCCGATGTCATCTCCCCTATGCGGATTCTGTGGCTTTGTACTAAACGCGCCGAGAGTCAGGGTCACCACAGCTCTTGAGCCAGCGTGGACCATGGTTCGTGGAAGGCTGAAGAAGACGTGATTTTATTGGCCAGGCTGGTGAGGCTTGAAGTTGACATCTAGCCACTTTCAGCCAGGGGAAATTGGCCTGAGCTGCCACATTCGCTTCGCTCCGCCAGAGTCGGAAGAGCTTCCGGGGTTGACAGCCTGAGGACGCGTTTCAGGCCCAGAGCGCGTCCTTTGAGATGATGTTGCCCTGATAGCCGAGAGATGAATAGATCTAGCAACAAGACGCTCACATAGCCACTACTCCGCCCTCAAGAACTGCGATCCGAATGGAAAGGTAGAGTAACCCAGTGGTGGGAGGCTACGGTAGCAGCTGGTAGCACCCAGGTAGAGAGTCCGCGCAGCCGGTACCTAGATTACCGGTCTCCTCCAACAGCTCCCCTTTGAAGCTGAGCTGATTTTCTTCTGCTGTGATCTGAGAAGAAGGCCCAATACAATACCGAGAGTCTGAATTAGCGAACCGGAGGCGAACTCTCTGCAAGGATTTGTCGCATTCTGCTGGTAGGGCAGTTGCTCGTCTTGTTTGAAACCGGCAACCGGATGCATGTCTCAAGGGATGTTGCGCAGTTCCTCTGGCGGATTGATGCATGACTTCCTGCGGTCCCGCACCCGGAGGCTAGCGGCGTCCCCATACAACTCACCACACAGCTCTATTGGAAAAGGTGGACTCGTGTCAAGCACGACGCACGCCTCTGGTAAGTACCCGTGCCAGACTTCAAGTGCCCAGCCCGACTCGCTCCAGGGTTTTTTCAACTACAGGCAAGAGGTCGGCCATCTGATTTGGGTCGCGGAGCACAGCAGTGACATCGTCTCTTCTGCTTGCCAAACCGTCACAAATTTTGCTGTATGCCTCTTCCTTCGCTATGTATTCTCTGATTACCTCTTTCTTCCCAAAGTCGACGTATACTCTGGTATCTCGCAACCTGACAAGAACATTATCAAGTCTCATAAAGAAGCGGCAGAGGAGGAGTAATCGTGCAGGCATGACTCGGATTTTGCAGGAGAGCATCGTAATGCCGTTATCAGCGAGCTCGTCCTCGTAAAGTACCACGTCGTCGAAGAACAAAATGGGGTCCGGTCGCTTGAGTAATTCGAGTGGGATGGGGTCTTCAGAAGCCTGGAATTCCCGGCTCCCCGGAGCAAGGTCACCTTTGTAGTCAGTGGTGTAGGACCAATCGAATGGCTTTACGACTTCTTTGATATCATGTTGATCTTCCCTGCTCTGTTGCCATTCCTGGGAGTAGGCCACCTTCAACCGTCGCTCGCCGGTCCTGTCAACACGATCTAGAGCTCCGAACGCGTCAAACTTGATTCCCCATTGGGAGGCCGAATGCTCGATCGTGACGAGGTTGTCACCAAAGATCATCTCAGGCGGCGCAATCCCCAACATTTTAGTCATCTCTTCAATGGGTCCGGCCTTCAAGATCGGTAACTTCTGGGTCTGGACACGAAATCCCTCGATCGAGAATGCCCGTGGAGGAGCAGCGGTAGGCGAGGGAAAGGTCGTGTTAATGCCATTAGGCGCCCGATGGCCATTGACCGCCATGATGACGAGGCAGATGAACACGTCGCTCCAAGCCGGTAGGAGTTGAAGAGCGACACAAAGCCGTGGGAGGAAGCTGATTTGACGTCGGCGCTGAGCAAATGTAGAAGACCAGAACAAAGCGCAGGGCCAATTAAGGGTCTGTGCCATCCTCAGTACTATGGAAAAGTGTCAGTGCGGGGACATCTCAGCCTCGTGGCAAAAGCGGCGTGGCGAGGCTGTGGTTGCTATGACGCCCAACATTGTTTACTGCTGTGTCTCTTCCGTTCATCACCGAACGCCGAAACCCGCCGACTACGATATAACGAGCACACCTCCCTTTCCCTTATTCGCCATCCGCAGATCTGATCAGCGACTGCTAACACCTGTCTGATTATTGTCCCTTCTGACAACTTCTGCATCATGGCCACGAAAACACTAGAGTCTCGCTTCGAGCACCTTACCGTCAATGATGAGAATGAAGCTCCAACTGCGACAATTCTCAAATCCAAGGTAGCTTCCCTCATTGCACACAGCGTACCATTGCGGTGCTGACAGTAGGGTCACAGACGGCGCCTGCAGGTGCTATACCGACGTTATCATCAACGCAAGCACGAACGAACCTCGTCAAATACCCTCTCCAAGTGACCGGGGACTCTAAACAGAACGTAGCCTCCATTGCAACCATCACAACAACCACGACCGTTCCTACCCATCCTCCTTCACCGGTCAGAGTCGCACTGCAAGCAGCCAGGGAGTCGGACGAGAGCGATGAGTCGATCCGGAGCAGAGCCACTGCCAAGTATTTCTTCGATCAACCACAAGCACCCAAACAGTTCCACCTTGGCATGTTTGAGATTGGGAAGCCCCTTGGGAAAGGAAAGTTCGGACGAGTCTACCTCGCCCGGGAAAGATCGTCGGGATTCGTGTGCGCGCTCAAGGTTCTTCACAAGTCGGAACTGCAGCAAGGCAAAGTCGAGAAGCAAGTCCGACGAGAAATCGAGATCCAGTCCAACCTGAGACATCCCAACATCCTAAGGCTGTTTGGTCATTTCCATGACAGCAAGCGAGTGTTTCTGATCCTCGAGTTTGCCGGCAAGGGTGAGTTGTACAAGCACCTCCGGAAGGAAGGTCGGTTCCCAGAATGGAAGGCGGCACAATATATTGCCCAGATGGCTGCTGCCCTAAAGTATCTGCACAAGAAGCATGTCATGCATCGGGACATCAAGCCTGAAAATATCCTCGTCGGTATCCACGGCGAAATCAAGATCTCCGATTTCGGCTGGTCAGTTCACGCTCCCAATAACAGGAGACAGACCATGTGCGGTACACTGGATTACCTACCACCAGAGATGCTCAAACCCGGCAGCTCTGACAATTTCTACAACGAGAAGGTCGACCTGTGGAGTCTGGGTGTCCTTACGTACGAGTTTCTTGTCGGTGAAGCGCCCTTCGAGGACACAACCATTATGACACAGCGGAGAATTGCGCGGTGTGACATGAAAGTTCCAAGCTTCGTGAGCTCTGAGGCCAGAGATCTCATCATGCGGGTGAGTCTTTTCCTGTTGTTGACCTGATGCAAATGGAGGCCGCTAATATCTATTGCACAGCTCTTGGTGCTGGATCCTGAAAAGCGTATCCCACTCGAAGACGTCCTCCAGCATCCCTGGATTGTCAAACACTGCGTAACAAAAGGTGGCGAACGTGCTTTTGAGAGAGCATCGAGTAGTAGCAGCAGAGGGTCAAGCTCAGAGTGATGAGTGGTCCTTCGGCTCGACTGAGATGTGGACGGCCTGATGGCCGCAGCGGGATTATGAATTTATTGACGGGTCCTTTTCACGAAGCATGAGCGACGGACTTGGATCGGTATCAGGCAGGCAACAGATATGGCGTTCATCTTTGAAAGGAATGGCCGATCATGTTTATTCAAAGACAACTGTTGGAGAGGGGCATCTTCCATAGGACTCAGCTGCTTCTGTCTGTGTGTAAGAAAGCAGACACTTTCAATGCTACGGTTGGCTCACTATAATTCCGCCGTATTGATCCGGTGAAGTCCAACAGCATCAAGCACCGTGACTATGACGCAACTCTGACCTCGGATCTCACAGAACTTTTCTGCCCACCCACCAATGCAGATCTAACTGTCTTGAAGCTTGTGTTCTTCTTGCTTGCTGTCGAGTGAGCTATCTGTTGTCACCGAGGAAGTCTATAAAGTACACAGAGACATCAGACTTTGCACAGGGTGAAGTGCCACTAGTACGACGTCTTCTGTGTAGCATTCCTACTGGACTGTCGGCAAGTGGAGGCCGATTATTATTGATGCGGACTTCTCCTCCTTGAGGAACCCGTGAGGCTCTCGCGACACTGTCCGAGCAGGTAGAAGGCTCCCAGAGGGCATATGAAACCTGGAGAGGATAAATTCATTTCCTTTGCATCTCTTACGGCATCTCTTGTCTGTGTGAGTATCCTGATCTGCAGTAATCATGGGAGACGCCGGAAGAGGTGAGGGAGGCATTCGCATTGCCATTGACGTAAGTCTGAATCATGCACAAAGTTTGTCGTTACCAAGTCTCACCCATTGACTTGAACAGCGAGGGGGCACCTTCACCGACTGTGTCGGTAATCCGGGCACAGGGCGTATGGAAGATGACATCGTCATTAAACTGCTCTCAGAGGATCCATCGAACTACGAAGATGCTCCCCTGGAAGGCATTCGACGGCTCATGTCGAAGTTCACGAGGCGTGAAATCCCCAGAGGTGAGCCTCTCGACACGAGTAAGATCGAGAGTATCCGTATGGGAACGACAGTCGCTACCAATGCCTTGCTTGAGCGGAAGGGAGAGAAGATGGCCATGGTGGTCACCCGCGGGTTCAAGGACTGCTTGGAGATCGGTAACCAGTCCAGGCCAAAGATCTTTGATTTGGCCATCCGGAGGCCCGACGTCCTGTATCAGAAGGTGGTCGAGGTCGACGAGCGAGTCACACTAGAAGACTATGCCGAGGATCCTGAGAGACACCAGACCAAAGCGGAAGCCAAGCATGAGGACTTTAAGAACCACGACCTTGTGGAAGGCCTCTCGGGTGAAGCTGTCCGGATACTGCGGCGGCCAGAGGAAGGTAAGATCAAGGAGCAGCTCAAACAGCTTTACGAGGAGGGATTCCGAAGCATCGCTGTATGCTTGATGCACGGGTATACATTCCCCGATCATGAAGCCTTGGTCGGCAAGCTCGCCCACGAGATTGGCTTCCAGCACGTCAGTCTGAGCCACGCGCTGATGCCCATGATCAAGCTGGTACCTCGAGCAACGTCGGCGTGCGCAGATGCGTACCTCACTCCCGCCATCAAGAAGTACATCGCGGGATTTCAAGCCGGGTTCGAAGGTGGCCTCGGCACCGAGAGTGTGAAGAAGGAAGAAGGCGAGAAAGGCGCCAGATGCGAGTTCATGCAGTCTGACGGCGGCCTCGTCGATGTCGACCAATTCTCCGGCCTGCGTGCCATCCTGTCCGGGCCGGCGGGTGGCGTGGTCGGCTACGCGCTGACGTCCTATGACCGAGAGACCAAGACGCCCGTCATCGGCTTCGACATGGGCGGCACAAGCACAGACGTCAGTCGGTATGGGCAAGGCCGCTACGAGCACGTCTTCGAAACCACCACAGCGGGAGTGACAATCCAATCACCCCAGCTGGACATCAACACCGTCGCAGCAGGCGGCGGGTCCCGGCTCTTCTTCAGAAACGGCCTCTTCGTCGTCGGCCCCGAGTCCGCGGGCGCGCATCCCGGGCCAGCATGCTACAGAAAAGGCGGCCCCTTGACCGTCACAGACGCCAATCTCTTCCTTGGTCGTCTGTTACCAGAGTTCTTCCCCAAGATCTTCGGCAAGAACGAAGACGAGGGCCTCGACCCGGAAGCCAGCAGGAAGCTTTTCGAAGAACTCACCAACGAGATCAACAGCCAGACGGACACGCACATGACCGCCGACGAAGTTGCCTACGGCTTCATCAAGATCGCCAACGAGACCATGACCCGCCCCATCCGGTCCCTCACCGAAGCCAAAGGACACGACACATCACAACATCGCCTGGCCACGTTCGGCGGCGCAGGTGGCCAACACGCCGTCGCGATCGCCGAGTCCTTGGGAATACGACAGATCCTCGTGCACAGATACTCCTCGGTGCTGTCCGCCTACGGCATGGCCCTCGCCGACGTGGTCGATGAGTCCCAAGTCCCGGAGTCCCACGTGTGGGACGACTCCTCGTCGCACGACGATCTCAAAAAGAAAATGGCCGAGTTGAAGGAACGGTCCCGCACACGGCTCAACGACCAGGGCTTCGCCGACGACGCGATCGAGTTCGAAGAATACCTGAACATGCGGTACCGCGGGACGGAATCCGCATTGATGGTCATCAAGCCTACCCAGTCGGAATCCGAGGAGCTGTACGACGGCGACGACTGGGCCTTCGGCGCTGCCTTCGTTCGTCAGCACGAACAGGAATTCGGCTTCACGCTGCCCGACCGGGACACCATTGTCGACGACGTCCGTGTGCGCGGCATCGGCAAGTCCTTCCGCGGCATGTCCAAGACGGCGGACCAGCAGCTCAAAGAGATCAAACCGCAGGACGTGGCGCCCGAAAAGGCCCACAGTACCGCCAAGGTGTACTTTGAAGGCGGACGGCAGGATACCAGGATCTACAAACTCGAGGATCTGGAGGTCGGGTCCCGCGTGGCGGGACCGGCAATCATCGCCGACGGGACGCAGACCATCGTCGTCACGCCGGGGGCGTCGGCCCTGGTCATCGAGACCCACGTGATGATCAACATTGGCGAGGAAGGGACGAGCAAGAAGGCCAACGCCGAAGAAGTCGATCCGATCCTGCTCTCCATCTTCGCCCACCGATTCATGGCCATCGCCGAACAGATGGGCCGCGCTCTGCAGAAAACGTCCGTCAGCACCAACGTCAAGGAGCGCCTCGATTACAGCTGTGCGCTGTTCGACGAGCAGGGTGGCCTTGTCGCGAATGCACCCCACTTGCCAGTCCATCTAGGGAGTATGTCGACGTGTGTGCGCACGCAGGCGGAAATCTGGCGCGGCAAGCTCAAGAAGGGCGATGTCGTCGTCTCGAACCACCCGGAATACGGGGGCACGCACTTGCCGGACATCACGGTCGTGACGCCCGCTTTCAGTGGGGACAAGATCATCTTCTACGTCGCCAGCCGGGCGCATCATGCTGATATTGGCGGCATCCTGCCGGGGAGCATGCCTCCTCATAGCCGCGAACTCTACCAGGAAGGCGCGGCGATCAAGTCGGAGAAGTTGGTGTCAGAGGGCAAGTTCGATGAGAAGAAAATCACCGAACTGCTGTACGATGAGCCGGCGCAATACCCCGATTGTAGCGGCACTCGATGTCTCGCGGACAACTTGAACGACCTGAAAGCTCAGATCGCAGCAAATCAGAAGGGTATCAACTTGATCTCGGCGTTGATTGAAGACTACGGCGAGGATGTCGTGCAGTTCTACATGCAGAACATCCAGAACAATGCAGAGAAGTCTGTGCGCGAGCTGTTGAAAGAGGTGTCCAAGAGATTCGAGGGCAAGGACTTGCAGGCCGTGGATTACATGGATGATGGCTCCCCCATAGCCCTGAAAATCAGTATTGACGCCGAGAAGGGGGAGGCGGTATTCGACTTTGAGGGAACCGGTCCAGAAGTTTACGGCAACATCAATGCACCAGAGGCGGTGACGTATTCGGCCATCATTTACTGTCTGAGGTGTCTGATCGATCAGGACATTCCGCTGAACCAGGGATGTCTGAAGCCCGTTGACGTGCGCATCCCGCCCGGCAGCTTCTTGTCTCCGAGTGAAAAGGCCGCGGTGGTGGGTGGGAATGTACTGACCAGTCAGAGGGTAACGGACGTGGTGTTCAAATGCTTCGAAGCGTGTGCCGCGAGTCAGGGTGATTGCAACAATTTAACGTTCGGGTTTGGCGGAAATCTGAAGGGAGGGACCGAGACGAAAGGCTTCGGGTATTATGAGACGATTGCGGGAGGCAGTGGCGCGGGAAAGGATTGGGAGGGCACAAGCGGTGTGCATACGCACATGACTAATACCAGGATCACGGACGCAGAGGTGTTCGAGAGGAGATATCCTGTCATATTGAGGGAGTTCAGCCTCAGAGCGGGAAGTGGGGGCGTTGGACAACACAGGGGCGGTGATGGGGTCGTTCGGGACATTGAATTCCGCATTCCTGTGCAGGTCAGTATCCTGAGTGAGAGGAGAGTGTACAGGCCATATGGTTTGCACGGTGGTGGTGATGCACAGTGCGGGAAGAACATCTGGGTAAGGAAGGTCAAGAAGGTCAAGAGCAAGGGAACGGGCGGTGAACACGAGGGGAAGAGGAGGGATGACGGAGGTGAAGAGGAGTATGAAAAGCGGTTCATCAGCATGGGAGCGAAGAACACAGCCAGCATGCAGCCTGGAGAGCGAATCATTGTGGTAAGTGTCATCTCTCGTTCTTCTCACAGTATGCTGACTCGTGTTCTCCCAGATGACGCCGGGTGGTGGAGGCTATGGCAAACCTGGAGAGAAGTCTCAGGTCGATCTGAAAGAGGACTTTGAGAAGCATTGGAAGAAGGGTAGCCTGGCTTCCAGGTTGGCAGAGTGGGAGTCCAGCTCATGATGATGCCTGCGACCACTTGGTAAACATCCTTCTCGACTTCACTGGGTGTGTGCAAGACATACCTTAATGCTTCTGACACAGTACTCTGTTGGCCCTTAGTTCCCTCTCGTCCTTTCAGGGTATGGCGAGTGGGAAGCAGTCTGTTTCTGCTTGGACTTCGATCAAGGAAGATCTCATGGTAGTTTTGTTATCACTCTGCTCATTCATCTTCATCACTCGTAGCATCGATGTTCGGCTTCGCGTCTCTTTGCTCCCCTTCGTTGTCATCTTGCTCGTCATCCTCTGCCGGCGCATTCCCACTGTAATTCGGTCGTGGCACTTTCTCGCCTTGCGACTTGAGCAGGTCCTCAATCTGCGGCGTGATTTGGATGAGAGCGGAGTATTGGTCAAGGGTCAAGGAAATGCCCTGCATGATCGTGAGCAAGTCACCTGATAGTCAGAAAGTGGTGTGACGGTACCTTCTTGCCTGGCAACCACTGGCCATCCTTTTCGTAGTACTCTCTGATCCCGACCATGGTTTGTCCTTTGTACTCGGAAAGGGTCACTCGCCGGGCCTTTGCGATTTCCCAGTACTTGTTTCCGTCCGCATCGACCTGGACTTTGGACGATGGTCGAAAGGCATTACCCGAGGTACCTTTGCCGCGTTTCGAGGTGGGGACGTCGTCAACATCTGAGTCGGCTGCGGACTTCCTCTTCTTGGTAAACGGCATGGTATTGCCGTGTGAGAGAGAAGTGATGTAGGCGTTATGGAGGTGCTCAAAGGTGTAGGGGTGTGACCGATTCTTGAGGTGATCTTTCTTGGGTGTCGAGGTGCTCGGCGATGAGGCAGCCTTGTCTTTGGCTTTGCTCTTGTTCTTGGTCTTCATCTCGGTCGGGTCGACCGCGTTCCCCAGCTTACGTCAAGCGCGTCGCTGTGCGTCGGTGGTTTTTGCTCGATTAGGGACCGAGTGGCACCAATTGACAAACGGAAAGCGCGACCGAGTTGAGTAACGTCATCTTCAGAAAAGGGTTTAGCGCCATGGTCACGAGCCAGACAGCCAATGAGCGGTTGCTTGCTGGACCCCTCAACGCCATCGATCATCGACATCTTTCGTCAATTCACTTTTGACGCAGGCCACTCCACCATTTCAAACAATCAACTCAACACCTTACACTCTCTTCACGAATTTGATTCTTACAGTCAAACCCCTCGTCCATCCAAATACTACTCACAGATAGTCACGACTGATTACCCACGATGTCGCAACGAGCTTTCCTCGCCATTCCACGCGCCCTGCGCACCTCGGCCCAGATCTCCGCTCTACGACCGAGTCTCGCCTCCTCTTCATCAACCATCAGACCTGCCGCCGCCGGCTTACAGCAGAGACGGGGTTATCACGAGAAGGTCCTGGATCATTACTCGAATCCCAGAAATGTCGGTTCGATGGATAAGAAGGCGGTGGACGTTGGTACAGGTGAGTTAAACTTGAGATGGCCAATGACCGAAGCTCGGCCTTTCCCAGAGGGAGATAGAGAGCATGAGGCAACAGCACATTCGTCGGTTACGATTACTGACGCATTGCCGGTTTAACAGGTCTCGTCGGTGCACCAGCCTGCGGTGATGTGATGAAACTCCAAATCAAGGTCGACCCCGAGACGCAAACGATCGCAGATGTCAAGTTCAAGACTTTTGGCTGCGGCTCCGCCATCGCTTCCTCATCATATCTCACCGAGCTTGTGAGAGGAATGACGTTGGAGCAGGCAGGCAAGATCCGCAACACTGAGATTGCGAAGGAGCTGTGCTTGCCTCCAGTAAAGCTACATTGTTCCATGCTGGCGGAGGATGCCATCAAGTCTGCCATCGGGGACTATTACAAGAAGAGTAAGTTGCAATTGCGGAGACAGGCTATATTTGCAGGCAGAAACTGACTGTATTTGCATTAGACCCGAAGGCGAAGACGACTGATCTGGGTGCTGGCTCGCAAGGAATGCCCAAGATCGAAATCGAAACAGTGACCACAACCACAGATACAGGAGCGAGCGCAACGGCATGAATTTCCCATTGATGAAATTGTGAATGAAGCAGCAAGTGGGAGGATGAAATTGTGTCAATAAGGCAAATACCCGTCTTCATAGCTTGCAGGAGTATAGGTCAATTTGGAACGCAACGCCCCCAACCATGATCTCTCGTCCAAGAAACTGCTGGAAGGAGTCTGCGAACTTGGTTCGTTTTCTTGCGTGGTGGACGGGGTAAAGACCGTCCAGCTCTTTCGCCTTTTGACTGCTTCACCTTGGCCCTGTAAATTGCTCTCATCATGACAGCAGGCGTGAGTGTTGGTTGCGTGATTCATGGCAGACCATAGCATCAAGAGGTCTGGCCCTTACCGTTCAGGTGCCTTTCCATGAGTTTCTATGTCTGAAGAAGGTTCCACGAGCAAGAGCTTACCTACCTAGGTACATAGGCATGGAGCACTTGTCTGCCAATGTAATGTCCGCACTTCGTAAGGTGTTCTTTGCGGGCCTGGGTCCCTGCAATCCGCTCCGCTCCGCTCCAGCCTCAGCCTTGGCCCGCCTTTCAACCGAACAACCACAGCGTGGCCTGCATTCAATCTGGCTTCATCTGAGCTTCTACATCTACGAATTACTCAGCCGCGCAACCTTTGCCCTCGACAAGACAACACAGCATGTCAGGCACAGGACCAGTCAGTGAGGACACAGAGCCATGGCATAATTACGCACACGAGAGGCATCAATCTCAGGCTAGAGGCCCTTCTTAAATGCGCTCTTCCTCTCGCACTTCCTCTATCCAATTGCATTCTCACGTCCAGAAGCTTTCTTCATCTGCTTGCTTGCTGGCTCGCCATCAACCCGGCCTTCGTTGTTTTCGCGCTTGATGACCTATATTCACCAAACACCCCATAACGGTGCATTGATTGGTTTTCTGGAGGGAATTCTTCTTCTTACTGTGTTAGGGGTAGTGGACTTGTCGTCAAAGCTGAAAGTAAAATATGAGCTTCGGATTCCCATTCCCAATAGGTGGCTTCATCGCTGTCCTGTCGTTGGCTGATGATGTGAGGTTCTTTCTGCGCTGTTTGAACCACGCCGTCGCTTCCGATGCGGTGTTTGTCAAGATACATGCACCCTTTCCGGTCACGCGTATCAGCGATGCAGAGCGTCAACGAGTCAATTCAAGGACATTAGGAAAGACGTCAGAAGACACACGTCGGCCCAGGAACATCCGCGTTTTCTCGGAATCGGAAAACGGCCGTGGACGTCCTTCTACTGATACCCCAGCAGGAAGAGCTCGAGGAGTATACGGGAAATTGCGCAACAGAGCTGCAGCGACTTGAGGCCATACTCAAGCAAATGGAAGAAATGAACTGCGGCACGTTGAGGGCTCGCGCGCGATATATGTGAAGAGACTTCCTCTATATTTTTGCGTCTGTCCGCGCTCAGCTGCAAGTTGCTACGGGGGCTTTGGCAGTTTTCAATTCTATGCCCACGTCGGTAAAAGAACCTCCCCTCGAAGGCATTGCCCTATGCTTGAGCCTGACAGCTGACATGTACAACTGGCGACGCTCTAGCGCGATATTCACACGACCAGACCACGCTTCTCAAACAAGCGACATTCCTACGTGGATTTAAGGAGAATGCGGATATTCTGGAATTCTTCGTGCGAAGCTATCAAGACTTGCAGAACGGTACCAAAGCTGAGCGGGCGTGTTCGAAAGCATCAATGGGAGCGGGTCAACCAGCCAGAAAAAGGTTACGAGCTTGCCAGTGGAAAGCTTCATGCTGGGTAAATCACGGGCTCGACCATCAGGGCCAACCAGCTCACCATCAAAGAGTAGTTAGATGCGGTCATCCTAGCACCCGCTGCGGCCGATGAAGACGAGAATGAGACGTCAATGGATTCTGTGACCGTCCCTGAGGGCAGTGTGAGGCCAGGCCATCGTGAGCAGATGGGCAGTACTGCCCACCAACAACTTGCTAGGACGGGAAACGTTACTGGGAGCTCGAGAAGCTCTGCACGGTCAAGACGTTACCAAAGTCGTCATGCAGGAGGATGGCAAGGATGGCAAGCCTGATCACTGCATCGACCCGAATGAGTTCTTCCACATTATTACTACAATCGGGTCACTGATTCAAGACGCTACCGTCCGTGAAGCTGTCAGAAGCGGGTTGGGTGGTGCAGGAGGACTAGTCCCAAATGCCGCTCTCGGACCTGTGACACCTCGAACATCGCACGATGGATGGAGAGCCAGCCTTCCTAAAACACATGTGGCTCTGTCATATCGGCAGAAACCCCCGAGGTAGGCAGTCTTCTTCAGCAAATGGATTTCTCTAAACGCTGCAGTCATCTATTCAAGGCCGCTTCGTGGCGGCAAGGCGTCTTCGCTGACAGCCAAAATTCAGATACAGCCTATTGCAAACATATTTTGCGGAAAACCTGGACGAATGCGAAAACCTCTCCCAGCTGCATCCGTACGCATCCCTTTCCATTCACCTGATTCGACGCTACGATCAGAAAAATGAGCTGCTGACAGCCGTGTCTACTTTCGCAATTTTCAGACAGAGCAGAATACCGCCATGCTCTGATGCGGTCAAATGGCTTCTGATTGTCCTAACAGACCCTTGAATAACTGCCTCATAGATGGACGTGAGGAACAAAAGAAGGCAAGGTAGCCTATCGCAACGCTGCAGGGGCATTTACCGACTTGCCAACGACTCCACCAGGTCAAAACCCTTTAACATTGTCCTGCAGTTGGCGGCACTCGGTGAGGCGGGATATTTCAATCAGAGGAGGTACGTGGGGAGGAGTCCTATACGCCATTTCGACGTGTCATCCGTGTGGTGACTCGAATCTACAAGAGCCTAGTACTGCGACGTTCACAACACCTGTACGGAGTATCACCATCCTATTCGGCTCTACTTACCACACATATTCCTCCACAGAACCCCGACCGGGCCGCTCCATCCTATTTGGCTCGCGGCGAAATGCCGGCGGTGTCGAAGCCGATGTGGACGGAAGGTGACGAATGACACAATCATGCCGTTCTGCTTTAGGCTGATATGTGCAAACACGGCAGAACTGCGGCAGGACAGTCGATGAAGTCAAATGCCAAAGCCATTATTCCCATATCTTTTGCTGACCATGCAAATAGTTGTGCCGTTCTTCTCAAGTTCTTCAGTCCGGATTGTATCTCGGGGGAAAGTCGCGTCCTGCCTTCCGCACGTTCGCCCACGCCCACCCAATAGCACCACTTCATCTGAATACTGATCTACACCCCAACCATGCCCGTCTACGTAGTGACCGGCGCAAACCGAGGCCTAGGGCTCGAGTTCGTCCGCCAAATCACCCAGGACAGCTCCAACACTGTCATCGCCGCGGTCCGCAGCCTGCAAGGCGAGCTCGACGACCTGAAGGATCTCGCCTCCAAGGCTGCCGGCAAAGTGCACGTCCTAGAATGCAACACCGGCGACATCGGCTCGATCCACGCTTTTGGGGATGCCATCAAAGGACCCCTGGGCGGCCAGCAGATCGACTACCTGCTCAACAACGCGGGTATCAACGCCACGGCCGAGCAGACAAGCTTGGACATGACGCCCGAGAGTCTCAGGCAGCACATTGACATCAACGTCATGGGCCCCGCCGAGACGGTCAAAGTGCTGTTACCGTACTTGGGCAAAGGCAGTATCGTGCTGAACATGACGAGCGGGCTGGGGAGTTGTGGGAAGAAGTTGTATGATTGCCCCTGATCGTGTCCTGGACCAGAGACCAGAGCGAAGCCAAAGCGGAGCATGGGGTGCTGACATCAGTTCACCGCAGACCGAAATGCACGACGTACTCGATCTCCAAGGCCGCGGTGAACATGTTGACGGTGCACCAGAGCGAGCAGCTGAAGGATCGGGGCATCAAAGTCATCTGCATGGACCCAGGTGCGTGCATCCCTCACTGTTGGAGGACTATGGTTCCCTGGCTTGCTTCTTTGCTTATTTTCCTGCTGTCCCGTCGAGGTCGACGAGCTGAGCTAACGCGTCATGCGAAACCGTACAGGCTGGGTCAAGACACGTATGGGCGGCGACGGCGCGATCCTCGAGCCCGAGGACAGTATTGGCGGGGTGAGTTCGACTGAGTGTTTTTATCTCCCTTTTCCCTCTGCGGCTGCCTCTGTTTCTACCGCTGCCTCTCTTCCCGCGCTCTCTTTGCGCGAAAGTTGCGGAAGCGAGCGAGAATGCGTCGATCGCCCGAGTACTGATGACTGACTAACGGCGGACATGTCTGCAGATGTTAAAGGTCGTGCATGGTGTGAAGAACGAGGACACGGGCAAGTTCTACACATATACCGGCGAGGAGGTTCCCTGGTGAGGTACAGTAAAGTACAGGAGGGAGAAGGGTCGCTGGTGAGGTCAAGAACAGGAGGGGAGGGGTGCCCTGGTGAGGTGGGGAAGTCAAGTATCTAGGTAAGGAGGGTGGAAAGGTACTCGTACTACAGGAATACACCAGTGCTTCTGCGGAGACTGTTCGAGAGTGGAAGGAATAAGACCCCGGGATTTGGGTCTGCCCCTTGTACCTTTGGTCGCCCTCCACACAGAGAGGAACCCGTCGGACACGGCTGAACAGAGTTACTCGCCGAAGCGCGTCGGCGTCTTTTGCCGCGTAAAGCTGCAGACTCGGCATGGGCATGGGCATTGTGAACAGTATATACTGTGGTACACTTTGCATGTCGAATGATTATACACATGCACATAATTGAGGTTGTACAACGTCCGCCGTACTTCAGGGCGTTCTTTCCATTCCCGGTCTTCTTCTCTCGCAATCTTGTCGAATCCGGACCAGAACACTCCGTGTGTAACCCGCTTTGGTAGGTGTCGACGGTTGTGGGCAAGATAATGTTTGCTGTATCTCTAGTCTCGTCAAGCTCAACTTCGACTAGGTTACTTAAACCCGCTTCATTGAAGATAGAGCTCGCTACAAGGACAAGGCGCTGAACGGCTACCGGACACGCCTTTGCGTCTGTACCATACGCGCTACTCCATGGCTCTTGATTTACGTATGCACAACGTATGGATCAAAAAGAAAGTATGTCATCTCCACCGGAGATCCCGACTGTAAGCTGCTCAGTATTGGAGACCGTGCACGAAAGCTTCGTACAACCATCATGAACATGCTCGTCTTCTGAGATCCAAAAGAACTCTCCGCCAAGTACGATCTGCCTGCTTGGGAACCGTTCGCGGACGCGCTCGATCATTATTGGAACACCTACAGCGGCCCGTGGAACGCTCCTGCATCTGTCTTCCTCGGTGCTGGGAGGAGATGCCTGTCGCGAGCAGCTGTAAGTTGAGAGCTTTCCGTGAGCATGCGCACAGGGGTCGCGCTCTTTGCTCTTAGAATCCTGGATGAGATACCCTCTGTGACTGATGTATCTGACGGGGCTTGCGTCAGTCCGCCCCGACCGGCAATACATCAGCGCACGCTTTCTCCAACGATCAGATGCCGCAGAAATAGCGAATGGGATGTAACGGTCCGAAGCCCCGACCCACGATGGGCCATAGGAGCGCCGTCTGAAGCCGCTAATGGGAGTTCCCGGGTTGTTCTTCCTAGTGTGGCGCGTGAGTGTAATCCACACCTTGTGTTGGTTCGGCACGGATCCTCACCCCACACATGCTGGACCGGAACACCCGGGCTGATTTCCCCAATCGTGTCGACTGATGGTCAACGCACATGGGACTGCTCAATCACTCCGGATTAAAGGAGAATTCGGCAAAGTCGAGGTTGAACATCTGTTCGAACGCACCATAAGCTTCGTCGAGATGCTCCATGTCGTGAGGGTCCATCCTGTCGTTGTGACGAAGTGATTCAAATTGGAGATAGGAGACCACGGGTTCCTCCCGCGGTTCATCAGTCAGGCGGGCATGGGAGTCAAACCCTCCAAGAGTCCCGCTGTATTCGGTGGCAGCAGTCGGGCTGACCATATCCACATGGGTACGCGAAGTCGGCTCGGACACGAGAGCCGGTGCTCGCCGCGGTTGAGGATCCTCTGCGGTGTCTGGCGATCGCTTCACGGAGACCGGTACGCTTCTTCGATCCCTGGACGCGCCTTTGTCCACATTCCGTAAGGCATTGTCCATCTCTCGCTGCATTGTCTTCTTGTAAAGCCTTGTCAGCATCTGATCTGTGTGTCTGGCGATCTTACTCTCGTCCTCAATCGCCCTGCAGGCTGCAATGATTCTCAACACCCCAGCCTTTGCGTCGGACGCCATCTGACTGTATGGCTGGCAGGTCGGCGCGATGCAGAGGATTATTCCGGCGGTGAAAAGATGCATCAAGGCAAAGGATTGAGCGAGGTGGCCGCCGAATTCGTCCACTGGGACGCGGGACATCCGCAGCGCAGCCTGTACTGAAGTCCCCAGTGAATCTGGAACATCGTCGAGAGGTATCTTCGAGATATCCGCTTTGGGTGAAAGAGCTACGCGGAGCTTGAGCAGAGGTCGATGAGCCCAGACTCTGGCGGCATCGTATAGAAGCTGGAGAATGAGGCCTTGCAGTCCAATTTTCCTCCGGACACTGTGTTCTTCTGGGGTGCATTGGTCAAGCTCAAGAACGTTCCAGGGATTACCTGCAGGCCACTGCGACGGCTTGAACACTGCTGGCAGATGGTCGTGCCATTGCTGCAGCATCATTTCTGTGGTGTTGACGACTTGAATGAGAGCCCTCAGATCCTGGACAGAGACCGGGCTCTGCAATTGCATGACCCTGAAGCTCTGTAATGTCTGGCGAATGATGTGATACAGCTCGAACTTCAGGGTGTGGTAGGTCAGAAATGAAATGTGAGCACCTCGCCCTTGGAAGATGGGCAAATTTGCCGTGCTTTCGGGAAGCATGGTATCGTCCAAGTCCTTGAGCTTCTTCAATTGAGCGAATGCGGGATCAAGCGCTGCTGGACGTCCAAATATCATTGACGAGAACTGATCAGACACCACCAAGTGATTCCAACACCGGTTGCTGACTTCGCGAGCAATCTCATTGTTGTTTCGGGTTTTGTCGCAATGGAGCGCCAGCGCATATGCCGTTCGCGTCGAAACGCCAGAAACATTCCAGGCAAAGTTTGACGATCCAAAGTACACATGGTAAGTGGTCAGTAGCATGCAGATCTGATATGCTTCGATTCGCGATTCCAGCATCACTTCGTAAAAGCGCGAGCCAATTTGAGACATCAAGTCCGAGCTGAGTGACTCTGCTGTAATCGAGTAGGACTCCAACAACTGGTGTCCTTGCCACGTCTTGTCATGTTGGACACATCGCAAGCCGACGCTCGCGACCGTAGCCACCAGCAGCACATCCACCAGTTCATCACGTCTCCATGCAGCTCGTTGCAGAATGCCTTGTGCACGGAGCGTGAATGAAGGCTGATGGAATAGCATGATGTACCAGTTGACCCTGTCGAAGTAGGCGTCGACCGCGGCTTGGAGGATGTTCAGCGAGGGCAATGGTGTTGAGATCCAGGGAAAGAACTGTGTGTCCATGGTCGACCGGCCAGCGTCACCGGGAATGGTTCCGGTGGCAGGAGAGTCGCTTTCGTCGTCCTCACCGAGTACGATTTTGGCGAAACCCATCGTGGAGTCGTTGGCGCCATACTGGTGGCTTTCTGCGGGACTCGGCCTGGTTATGTCCGTGGCATCTGGACTGAGACCATCGAAATGGGAGGATCGCGCTGGATGCTGCACGTTCTGTGTCGGGCTGAGAGCGGCGGTCGGCTCCTGTAGACCACGATGTGGGACACAGCTTGAGGTAGGTGATGGCAATGCCGCTTTTGCGTGGCTGGTCGAGTCTGAATGAAGGGATCTCTTGCGCTTGAGAGAAGGCGACGGAGCCGACTGCCGCGATTCGCACGTGGCACCGGCTCTGACACATAAAATGCACGGCTTCTCGATATCACACTGCGTACTTTGGTCAGCCACCCTTCAGAAGTTTGAGGAAGCAGGCATACCCTGAGCTTTTGACGGCGACATCGGTCGCATGCCCATCCATGCCTGCTGGAGCGTTGTGTATGATCCATGGGCAAGAACGAGTGCGGTGCTCAAGCGGTGCAAGAGTGGACAGCTCCGATGGGGTTGACGGACGAGGTTAACAATTCCTGGAGCTTCAGTGAGCCTTGAGCACGAGGTCACGTTCGGAGGAATCCGGCTGGGGAAGCGGACGCGGCGCTACTGTGTATGCGACTTGCGCCGAGGAAATTGCGGGGATGCGGGGTCACGTGGAGGCCCGCAACGACGCGCCCAACAACCTCGGATCCGAAGAACATTTATATCTCAACGTGCACACGACTGTACGACCAAGCCTGGCAGGAAGATTAATGCGATGCCGCGAAGGTTCCATGATTGTGCGTGCATCTAGAACCTGGTTTCAATGTAGACATGTGTCCGGTGGAGGGCAAGGCTCGATCTCTTATCCATCCACTGACACACCCACTGAGTGTCTCCTCAACAGCCTCCAGGGACCACGCAGTTCCTTGACTGCAGCTCTTGCTGCAAACAGCAGGAACACTTGGCAATACCAAGTCGCTCTACAGCATTTTCAATAAGTCTACAGGGTATATTTGAACCCTTCCAGCCCTTCGATCGGCTTCCCACCACTGTCCACCCTCTTGTTGGCCCGGTGAAACTTGAAACTCAAGGCGGCCACGATCAACACGATCAACACATTGGCGAGCAGACAAGTCAAGATACCTGGGCGATAGTTGGGGGCGTCTTGAGCTCGAAAGACTGTTGTGCCAATGATGCCGCCGATACTGCCGCCGCCGACAAGAGTGGCAGATGTCAATGCTCTTTTCCATTGACCGCGGACGTTGTTCCTGAGATACATTGTCAGCCAACCCGTATCGGTATCATACTGTAAGACGTGCCGACTTACCCCTGGTAGGTGATCAAGGCTGGACAGTTCGCATTACCTGAGAACCCCTGTCAGTCAAGAGTGCAGAGGATGCCTCGGTGGCACATCACTTACATGCTGTGGTTGCCAGGAAGACTCCGAAATACCGGACACCGTTGTTCTGAACGTATCCCAATAAGCCCAGACCGAGAATGCCTGAAAAGAGTGAGCCACTGCATGTAACCGTGAAATAGCAACCTACCCATAAGCGCATTTCCGACAACCACCGGTCCACGCACCCGCCACTTGTCGGCATAGTAAGACTCGATGAACATGACAATGGCCGCGGCCACATAAGGAGGTGCCGTGAGACACTGGGCGGCTGCCACGGAGAAGTTCATTCCACTGCGGAGGATGATCGGCAGGAAGTAGGCGATGGCGTACGAATTGGTTGTCGTCAGCATATAGAGCCAGGCAAATGCCCAGACCTTGCTGTCCAACGCGTTCCGGAGGTATTTGCCGACGGAGAACTCGTCAGGGAAGGTGTCTGAGCGATCTTTTTCGATGCGTGCAACAACCCAACTCGCTTCGGCCTCGTTGAGGAAGTGCCAGGATTTCGGCGAATCCTCTGGGAAGTCAACAATGATGAACCAAGCACCCACTGCGAGCACACATGTCAAGACGCCCTCCATCTGAACAAGGTCAGCATCTATGCTCGAGTACAAGCGATGTTATACTCACGATGAATATCCAACGCCAACCTGAGAGGCCCGAAAGTCCGTCCATTTGCATGAGCCCGTATGCTAAAATTCCACCAAACCCTGATGCCATACTACCAATCAAATAGAAAAGGGCATTGCGCTTTTGCAGATCGAAACGAGGGTACCACGTGCTGAGGAGATAGACACATCCCGGATAGACTAACATTTCTGTCAGCAGGCGGATCTGAAGGACATGCATGTTGCCTGCGGAGAAGGCGCTGGGAGCTGTGAGGAAGAGCCTGCTACTTACACCCCGCTTCAAGTGCGCCGAGTATGACTCGAAGGACGCACATGACCTCCCAGCTCGGTACGAAGCCGAATCCCTGTTCTAAGGTAAGGCGAGAGCTTGTTGGACGTGGTTCTTGACTTACGATCATGACGGCTCCCCAAGCGAGGACGATGGCAGCAAGGAAGTTGCGAGGTCCGAGTTTGCGGATAAAGACGACTGCGGGCGCCTGGAAAATCGTGTACGAAATGAAGAAGACAAGCGACACAATTGTATAGGCGTTGTTGTCTTTGTTCATGTTCAGACTCTTCTGCATCCTGGCCCACAGTCAGCGAACAGAAGTCACCACAGACATGCACATACCCTGCCACCGACGCGGCTCCCAAATTAGTTCTGTCAAGCAGGCTGATACAGTAGAGACATCCGAGCGTCACTGCGAGGCGCAAGTCGATCCTTCGGACGATTCTTCTCTGCTGTTTAGCAGTAAATGCGGCGCCTCCTTCTTCTGTTGAAAGCTCCTTCATGGCGGCCTCGACCTGGTCCGCTGTGACATGGTCCGCACCTTTGGTGTCCAGTGAATGAGCTGTCATGCTGACGGTGTGAAATCAGGTTGTCTGTGACGAGAGAGGATCTTGAGAACAATCTGCGAGTCCGGGGCAGGGGTCACCATCTTTAAATACATGCGGGTTGTACGGCAACGTGGGCCTGACCATGGATCTCATGATTCCACCGAGCATGTTCCTCTTAGAGACGAACCTTATGCGAACTGATTCTTCACCGGCGGCGAGTAGAACTCGATATCTAGGTACATAGTGCGAACCGCCATACCGAACTTGTGGGCAGAATCCACTGGAGCCCACCACATCCACCGGGCCTCCACCGGAGACGAATATTGACCTCCACGTGTGCCGCTTCGTCCCCGTAATCTGTGGAGTCCGGGGTGTTTCTTCAGCGCCGACGGAGGCTAGAAGCCTCGGTGCTGCACAGGATCCGCAATTTGCAGAGTTCCAAGTGTGCAACCAGGGATGACAGGTTGCGAAAGAACTGGGCGTGAGAAAAACGAGGGATCTCAGAAGACACGAGTACGCGTAGTGTGAGCTAAGCCTTCATAGGCAAGGTTCAACGGGGACGTGCCCTGACCAAGCTGTCATTGGAAGAGTTATCCGTGCTAGAGGAAGTCTAGTTCAATGAGGAAGGTATGCCTCCCGTGGGTTGGTGTTCCGCTGCGCTGCTTCCAACTTTCATGAAGAGATAGAAGAGATATATCCGGTTGGAACGACAAGGTTGGATGCTGCGCTTACCATGGGCTCGGGTCCATCTTTGGCTTTGGAGCCCATTACACAAAGTATGGACGACCCGTCTTGCGGTGCGGTGCGCGGATGTCTACGATGGCCGTGCGCTGTACGGAATATCATGTCTCATTTGTCATTCGTGGTCCACAGCTTCTCGCATGTGGTCGAGGTACCTGGCCTCCCGTCCAACCGATATTGCGGCTCCCATCCTGTTGTTCCCTGGATACGCGACCAGACCGGTCGTCCACCCAAAGCTGTTTGAGGGTCAACCGACGCTGTCACTCGCTCCATGGGCAACCATAAGGAGCCTGCGCCTATGAGGTCCGCGTATCTTGTATCGGGTGTTGGCTTGACTATCCTCGATCGGGGTTCTCACCCTCACCCATGGGGGTTGGGCTCTCAGAATTCCTCCATCATGTCCTCGTCAACATCCTCCACAGCTGCCGACCGTCCAACGCCCGTCCCGCTACTTTTCTTGTCGTCTTCTTTCAGTTTCTTCAGTTTCCTCAGGTAGTCGACGTACTCTCTGCTCACTTCGAGGCGATGTTCCGTGTCTTGGATATGCTGTAGCAGAACTTGCAAATCTTGCGCCTGAGCTGCCTGAGCCGACTCGAGTTGTGCTTCTGATTTTGCTGATGTCGATGAAGACAGAAAACGCAATGTCTGACTGCCATTGCTCCCATCTGTGATGACCGCGTTCAATGAGCCACTCGCAATCAGTGCTCCAAGGTATGCCTTCGTTTCACCCAGATTGGCAGCATCTGGTGAGGTTCTTCTAGCAACCTCCGCTATTGATAGCGCAGCAAAAGTTCGGCCCAGTCTCAGAACTGCAAACTTTCGGAAAGCTTGGTAGACCTCCACCATGAGCCCGTAGTTGTTGTCGTCTTGCCAGATGAGATTTCCCGCCTCGATTTCCGCGCGCAGCCGCTCAATATTCCCATTTTTGAAAGCCTCCGCTACACACTCGTACGGCCGTGCTAGTGCACGAATATGCTTAATGGCGTTCTGACCGACGTTCTTTGGTATCGTGGGAGTGGCTCCACGTATCAACAGTCCAACAAGCAACCATTTCTTGTACGCCTCTACCATGATTGCACTTGCCACGTTCTGGACGGCCGGTGCCGTAAGAACAACCTCCAGGAAGAGCATAGCGTCTTTATACCGCCTCAGAGCCATGTAGCACATGCTGCCCAACAAATAGTACTCAAGGTATGTCCGACTGGTGATTTGGTGCGACAGACCCGTGGCTGGGCTGAGGAACAGGTATAGTCGGTCTGAATCTGAACAGAGGTACCTGTTCGTCCTGGTGTCGGGCAGTAGTGACGGAATATGGTAGATAGGCTTGTCTAGAACCTGGGCAGCTTCGGCGTAGGCTTGAGACAGCAGACATAGCCGGACGAACGTTCGATGAGTGGAGGTGAGGGTCGAGGATGTGCTGTCTAGTCGGAGAATGAAATGATGGAGCATTTGGATAGCAGGCACATAGTTCGTGGTCTGCTCGGCGCCCAAGGACACGTAGTCGACGATTCTCAGCAGGTGGCTGCCGCAATATCGCGCTTGGATCGGATCGAACTCGAAGAGGAGATGGGCCATGTAGCGCCATAGTGCACCTTCAGGAAGGACACTCGGAGGTACCTGTCTCGGGGCAGCTTTGCCGCTTGCTGCGGAGACCTCAATGTTCGCTAGGAGGATGTACGTGTAGAGAATTGTGTGGTGCGATGAAGATAGTTCCTGGTAGTCGTCAGTATTGACCGACTCCAAGACGAGGAGAGCATACGTCTAGAGCTGATCGGGCAGATGCCAGGTCTGGCGCTGTGAGTTTGTTCAGTGCTGACACGAGTCCTTTCGCAGTCTGATCGTAGTGACCCTCAGCCTGTGGTAGAGGTGTCGAGAGGAGAGCAGCACTCTCCGCCAGGAACTGATCCATGGTCGCAGACAAGGTTGGTGGGGAACGCCAGTCGGCTCACGAGGCTGCCATGTGAGAGGATCGATCACAGTCGGGGATTCGGGACCAGCTCGCAATAGTGGTGTCGCGCCGAAGTTGTGGTTGTACCGAAGATATTATATGTTGTGCGCACACCTTCTTGCTCGGAGAGGAAGTTAGTAGCCGTCACCAGGACAGAAGTGAAGCGCAGGTGAAGGCAGATTGATTGCTCTTTCATTCAAGTCGAACTGCGGCGTCATTGAATGGGCAGCCTTGTCGGCCTTGGCATTCAGCCTTGCGGAGTACATGGAGCCTGGATCGATTGTCCACCAACCGGGGACATCATTTCTTGCTTCTGAGGCGGTTAACACACATGATACTGGGCACGAGAAGGAATTGGAATCTACAAGACAAGGTCTGACAGTTCGTTCCTTCTCCCTGCTCCAAACCTATGCTTGCCGTGGCTCAGCTCCGCGAAGCAGCGAACAATGCTTCCCATGGTGGCCTCAGACTGTATGCCCAGCATTTCAACCTTGGGAAGAATATCTCAGATCCGGTTAGAGTGATTGTGGTGGATACATGATCTCGCTCTGGGTATGATCCATGATACGTCGGAGTCATCAACAGCTTTAATCTTATCTCATCTTCTCGTAAAATCATGCTTCTTGTAACTCGACAGTGCCACCTTCTCCAAGCTGTCTCTCGACGCCTCAAGCAAAAGGAAAGGCACAGTGTTGGTCACCCTAGAAAAGGCGAACTCCCGCCCGAACCAGTCAAGACCTCCACATCCTCGAAATCCATATCCCAAGCATCTATATCCGCCCATTTGCTTTTACTCCCCCACTGCTTACTTTGTGCGTTTTCACGATCTTGCCCAGCTTCAGCAAATGCATCACTTGAGTCTGGCTCTCGTGAGACGTGATTCTCTTTGTCTCCTCCGTGCGCCGTGGTACCACGCCCTTGCCCGGGCGGGTGGGAACCACCATATGGCTTCGACGTGCGTGTGCTGAGCTTTCCATTTGTATTGAGCAACACGCTTGTAGTAGAACGCTGCTGTGAGGGAGACTTAGTTTCGCGATTCGATGTGAGTGTAGAGGGCGTCAGGATTGGCGCAGTGGTAGAAGTGGTGAGAAGATGGTTCGTACTTGTTTTTGAGGCTACTTGCTTTTGTTTGGCAGTGCCAGCAGCTTTGCCAGACTTAGGTTTAGCCTTTGTCCTTGTCCACGCGCCGCTTGGCTTGGAGAGTGGCTCTTTCCGCCTGCTCTTGCCACCATTTCTGGTGGGCAGGAAATTCGACTCGTCCCCTTCGTCTGTTGCTGCGGAGTCTGACTCTGCAGGTATATCGAAATCATTCCGATTTCGTGTCTTTTCTCGGATGGCCTTGCGGCGTTTCGACGGCATGGCGGCTTCGAGTAGCTGTTTCGTCGTGATCGTGGCGGCCGGCTTCGTAGCTTGCGTCTTCGACTTGGCCGTTGATGCAGGAGTTTTCGTCTTGGCCGGAGATGATGATGCTGAGGAACTGCTTTCGGGAGGTGCCATGATATCGTCTGCGTCACGGAGGCCTTCGCGCTGTTTTCGCCCTGATTGACGCAAGGTAGACACCGGGATTGCAGGAAGCGAGGGTTCAGGGGTATTTCGAGACCGTGGAGCAGAGGATAGTGGCGAGGTGGTTGGGATCCGGTGTCTCTCACTTTCTTTCGGAACAAGCGGATCCGAGGCACCAAACTTCCGTTTCCGTGACGAGGATGAGAGCAAGGGCGACAGAGGGTCTGAAGTCGAGATTGGGCGTTGAGGATTGGATGGATTGAAGGGAGTAGATTCATCGTCGGGTAAGAATTGCTCTTCGTCTTCAACATCGAAGCTCGAGGAGTCCTGGTCAATATTTTGCAGAATACTAGGCTGCCGTCGTCTGGGCTTCAGCGTCCCAAGAATCGAATTCTCCCGCGTCGGTGTCGGTTGTACTGGCCTTAGAGCAGATCCAAGCGGTATCACAACTGAAGATGCAACAGTTGCAGGAAGCGGTGCATCTTTCTTTGCGGCCGTGGGTTTCTTTATGATTCCGTTCATCTGAGGGGATTTCTCAACTGGCTTCTCTTGAACATGAGTACGTGATCTGCCACCGTTCGCTGCCACCAACTCTTTCCCCTTCCGCACATCCTTCGCTCCATTCCCGAGAATCTCCCTTGTCGCATCCGTCAGACTCTTCCTCCTTTGCGCCCTTGTGGGATAATTGCCTGGCTTGTCACCCTTTCCCACGGCGCCCGAAGCGTAAATTTCTTGGCTTGCGACATTCCTCCCTCTCCTCCCATTGCCTTTGACAACGAGCCTATCGCTGTCGTCGCTATCGGTCGGCCGAACGCCAATGGGTTTATGCGCAAGTTTCTTCGCTAGTTCTGCCTTGGCGGGACTGCTGCTAGGGATCTTCTTGAAGCGCGGACTGCGCGGAGTCGGCCCATTTCGGTTGAGCTGGCGACGCCGGAGGGGTGCGCGTGGCATTGCGCGGCAAGAGCTACGGAGGCAGCTCCAAAGGATCGTTGCGATCTTCTGTTGAGTGCTAAATAGGCCGCGATATTTCCTAAAGATATCTGTAAGAGTGGCGCGTCTGAGATTCGTGGACGATGTTTTGCGACGCGGTGCGGAGGTGTACGCCCGGGGATCGTCGTACTGGGCAATCACCGTGTCACCTAGATGTCCAGGTTTGGCCATGTTGTGGTTTTGTTTATGAGGTCATCTTGGCGAACTTTGCCCCACGTGCACCGCCTAAATGCCGTCCCGGCTCGACTCACCTAAAACTCAAGCTCACCTCACCTTCATCCTCACCATCGCTCTTGCTGTGAACAGATGTCTAATACCAATATGAGGCTACTGTAGAATGCCTCCACTGGCGCTCTGCCTCTTCTGCTAGAAAGACTGGCACCTACCATTACGCTGCAACTCTTGGTCTTCTTGGTGCTGGAGAGGACGGGTCGGACAGTCCAACCAAACTGATGCAATATGAACTCGTGAAATCGAGTCTTGACGTCGGCAATGAAGAGCCCGGCATGTGGTTCTTAGCGTGATATGTACGGAGCCATATGTATTGTGTACTGTGCACGGTACATGTATGCGCTCTTCATTGTCAGCCAGCCTTCTGGGTGACCTATCCGTAACTGGTGTTAGCAGAACAGCTTTCACCAATGCTGTTCATTCAAGCGCTCATGCGGACATATGCCACGGGTCCCACATAGTGATGTCGTGCCCAAAATATGTAGTATCCACCCCCAATGATGAGCACCCCCCCGTAAGCCAAGGACGACCAATTCATGGTCTGAGGTCTCGGATGTGCCATCCCTGGGAAGAAACTCATGACAAAGGTCAAGAGGAGGAAGGCAATGGAGGCTAAGTTAATGGGAAGTCCCAATGGTCCGAGGTTGAAAGCGCGGGCGAGAAGCGGTTGCTTACGGATGCGGCGAAGGGCGACGCAGGCGATTGAGACAAGGTAGGAGGAGAGTAGTGCCGCGACGCCGAGCGATAGGATCTGATTGAAGGCTACGGTCGAGCCCATGTTGATCAGAGAAAACAGGGTGGAAAATCCAATGGTAAAAATCACAGCTAGACATGCGTTAAACAACGGACGAAATCAGTAGGTGGCCAGCAACTCACCGTTGGTTGGAATCTCGATCCGATTGCCGACTTTGGCGAACCATGTATGGAATGGCAAGCCCCCGTCGCGAGCGAACGCAAACAGTTGCCGAGACGCAGTCGCCATGTTTGTCATGCCGTTTGCGATGGACGAAAGAACGAGGATGCATGACATTGCAGTAGCGCCGCCCTTCGATCCTGTAGCGTTGTAGAAGACTTGAATGAAAGGATAACGGGTCGGCGTCGCGAGGACGCTATCTAGGTCGCCCAACGTGTCTATGAGACGTTGGTACTCGTGGGCGACAGAAGAGATGCCCTCATATGCGTGGATAGGCGTCTTACAGCAAAAGGTCCTGGATGGTCCGTCAGTAACGGCTGGTAATCTAGCGATGGGCCATCTTACACAAGCATAACAAAACCCAACGCGCCGTTGACGACCGACGTCCATATCATGACTCTTGGGAGCGTCTTGGAGGCGTTCCTCAGTTCTTCGGCCATATGCACAGCAGCGTCGGCACCAAGAAAAGCAGTGGTAGGTGTGATCAAGCCGACAAGCGTTGCGAGACCGGCTGAGGGCAGTCAGCAGGACTCGGACCAGTTGACATTCTGAACATACTCGAACCCCATCCACCGCCATCTTCGAAGACAGTCCAAATCTGATGGGAGTTTCCTCGTGGACCCAGAGCCCATAGTGGGACAAGTATGCAAAGAAACCCTCCGAGGTGCAGACCGAGAACAAATCGCTCAACGAGTGGAAGATACTTTGCAAAGAAGGTGTTGAAGAAGGCGACGAAGAGTACAATTGCTATAGTGAGGAGAGTTCCATGCCATCGTTCGTAGCTGTAATTGTCGTTGTTGAGGACTATGAGCCCTTGGATCTCAGTGGCTGCGAGAAAGCATCCTATTGAAACTCCGCTTTGCCAGCCGAGGGTACAAAGCCAACCCACGACGAAGGAAAGAAGCTTCTGTTGGCTTGGCGGTGCAAATTCGGAGATCCAGTGGTATTGACCACCTGTGCCAGAGTGAGTGCGGAAGATCTCGAACAGCCATAGAGGGCAAAATGAACACACCTGCCGTAGGCGCCATGGAGGCCATCTCAGCCATGGAAATGTTGACGAGGCTGAAGAAGAAAACAACGATGATGTACATATATATCAGGCCAGCTGTACCACCATTACCGAGACCAAAGACGATGGTCCTACAGCGCTCGCCATCATTAGACGTCCAGCGAGCCCAGATCAGGACACGTGCAGACTCACCCTAGTAAAGCTTGCCATGTCTGCATCAGGATCATGGCGAAGCCGAAGATGGACAAGAACCCAAAGTTTCGCTACGGTGCTATCGTCAACCTCCCGGTTCTCTCAACGTCGACGGCACCCTGAATTACCTTAAACAGCTGTTCTTTGCCCATACGTTTCATATCTTCGACATCTCGTGCCGTCCCCAGCCTCTCACCCACAAAGACATCATCGCTATCCCTCGGCGAAACTTCCTCACCACGGGCTGCAACTTCAGCTACTTTGCTCATGTTGAGGATGGGGCCAACAACAGAAATCAAAGGCAGAGATGGGTAACAAAAGTGAATGGATGGTGCCGAAGAGCGTGATGGGAGGTGCCAACTAATGCTCCGACGCTTTCAAACCTTGGGAAGACGATGGTCATTTCGTGACCGCTTTATATGCGAATGAGGGGCTGGAGCTGCAGGCAGATGGTCTCATGCCTACTCGTACCTGTCCTGACCTAGCGGCGTGATAACAGCTCGTGACAGGGCCCAGACCGTAGGGACGGAACGGCACGCCGCCCGTTGTATGGACCTTGTAGAAGCTTGGGAGGCCGATGCTTGTCGGCAGTTGGGCGTAAAGGAGGAAAAAGAGGAAGGTGAGGACAAGGAGATTAGGCCCAATTGTCCATCGAGGAATGTTTGCCGGGCGAACCCCCGCTAGTACCAACTAGCCTCATACGGCAGGTCGGGCTTTTCTAAACCAGCAACAGACATCAATTGACCTGTACGCGTATTTCTTTCCTCTTCAAGTGAGAAGCTGGTCATGGACTGTCAGGAACTACCTCGACCTCGACCTCAACATCAGCGCCAACTTTTCCACTTCGCTACCCTCCACATTAATTCCACCGTTTCTCTTTAGGCAGACTGGAAAAGAACGCAAGAAGACCATGGGTCATCCCTGGCTGTTAGTCCGCCATCCTTCACCCAGTCTCAGCTCTCTTTCATTTGTGCTCTAGTCATGGCGACTTGATGATATAACTCGTCGCACCGCCACCGGCCGTTTCGATCAACACACCACCATAGCTGCCCTGGCTCGTGAAACATGCAGCCAACAGCTTCTGGAAATCCCCAACGACCTCTCCGCAATCTGGCGGAGTAGCCACCTCGGTCAAGGTGTTCTGAAAGATGATTGTGCCGGAAGGGTCATGGACGGCGACGCCCTCGAGCCCGTTCAGCGAGATGGCTGCATTGGGGTTTGACTGGCAGATCAGGCGATTGAACTCGTTGACGAGATCGTTCGCCTGGGCGGTGTTGACAAATCCACTGCCCTGCTGAAAGCAGGTGATTTTGTCGGTGTTGTCTGGGCTTCGCGGAGCGGAATATGGCCACCCGAGGACAAGTGTCGGGACGAGGAAAAGAGCGGGAAGGAGCACTTTGAAGGCCGGCATGTTGGCAGAACAACCAATGATGCTGGGAGGATGGTCGAAAGGATAGGACAGTTGGCGTGCTCTCGAGAAGGTGAGTGCTCTCACTCTGGTTTTCATATATGTTCTTCCAGGTGTCGAGCTTGAGGATGTCTTCCCAATATGGGAGCACCGTAGCGGGACTGGACGGCCTCGTTGGTTATTGGCTTCTGTGAAGAGCCTCACTCACGAGGCTGACCTGACCTTACGTCAGCCATTCAGGCTTCAACAACAAGGGTGGTGGACCTGTTTTCTTACAGGCGGCAATTCAGCGGCATGCGTATTCTGTCGTTTACAGAACAGCTTGATCCGAGGAAAGCTCTAAAGACTTCCTTATGGGTTTCTGCCGGTAATCGTGTCGACTTATATTTAGGTTATCCATGTCCGAAGATCTAACTACTTCACTGCCTCCCGTATTCAAGACAAAAACCTCAAACGACTTCATTGAGACTCACCGCGGGCGACAGCCGCTGATCTTACGGACGTCGTGTTCGCTGTACGCGAGTCAGTGGTGCTCTGCACGGCAAGATCCTTCTGGCCAGTGAAGAGGGGTGGACTTTTCAAACCTCCTCGCTGTGGCCACAGCAGTATACTCCCCAAACCGGCCACGCTTCCTCAACGCTTGTTTTTCCCACAATCACGTTCCGAAGAGGAAGCCAGATACCGCTTACAGCCATCTTGCTATGAGGTCTTTCAAAGCTCGTTTAAGCATGTCTCACAGAACACCGACATGTCGGAGGTTGACTTGTAATTCGGGTCAAAACATCCCAACCTCTACTGTGATCCATAACTGCTCCACCAGCTCCGTGATGTTTCTGGGTCGGAGATAGAGCAGTCCAGATCGATATACTGGTTTCAACCGATCGATCCCTCAACCCGATTTACCCGTTCTGGCTGGTGTAAAGTTCTCTCCCTCTGGAGCAAGGGCGGAATCGGACACAACCTCAACATCCGCAAATAGTGAAATGGTGGATACGAAAGTTGAACACCCACAGCATACTAGATGCATGCCATCGAGCGTCGACAATTGCGCCTTCCCAGCTTGTACTCTCGCTTTTTGTCACCCGACTGGCGATTCTGTGCCTCTAGCCATCGCCGTCCGTGACGACGATTCGCCATCCTCCCTGTTGAATCGAAAGATAAGGAGCTCGGATGACGGCCACGACAAGAGACGAGCAGAAGTAAGTAAAGCAATACGATCGGAGCTTGTGTGCACACTTGCAGTTCCTACCAACCCAGAGAACATCCGTAGACGGCGGTGCAGCTACCACGATGTGTGATGATGCCCTCATCTGGTGTGGCGGAGCGAACAGTGTGGACCACGCCTCATAAGGCTGCCTCCCCTAAGTCAACATCAGTCGCCGTTCCATCAACGCAGATGGACTATCCAGTTTGCAGCCTCCAGTCCCACGTCCGCAGCTGGCCAGCTGTGCCAGGGTCTTTGAAAGCATGGAAACCACAGATAGTACGGCGATGCCGCGAGGTTTCAGTTGATTTCGAATGCACATTTTCCGCCCTGAACTATCAGACCACACCCTCCTCCATGCCTGTTGCCTGTTGCCTGTCCTTGCCCTCCATTACCCTTTCAATTTTCGCAACCGCTTGACCCCCCCTTTATTTCCCTGACCCCGCCATGCTACCCTGCCCTATCCAACCAAATCCCCCAGCACATCCGCCGTACTCAGCACGTCGGCAAACTCGCCCTCCAAACTCGCAAGACTGACCCTCTGTACCACCTCGGCACCCACTCCGCCCTTGCCAAAACAAGCCGTCGCATCCCTCACGACCACGATCGTACCTTCGTTGTCCATCTCCATCTCTACCTGCATCTCCGCCTCTCCATTGGCCGCACCACCACCACCACCATCACCATGCGAGACGCGATCCCAATTCCGCTTCACGACGCCTAAATCCTTCGCCCACCTCACGCTCGAGGAGACGCAATGATCCGTCGCGATCCCCACAACAACAAGCTGTCCGACCTTCTTCGCCGCCAGCAGAGACTGGAGCCTCCCGCCGTCCGCGAACGCCGAGTTCGCCGTCTTGCCCAGCACGGTCTCAAAGGCCGAGGACGAGGGCTCGTCCGGCGCCGCGCACGGCATGAATTCCATGCCGTCCTTTTGCGTCCTGCCGCTCACGTGCAGCGGACTGGCGGGGTTGTTGCTCTGGTGGAACACGTGGATGATCTGGATGGGATAGTTCCCAGTCGAGTCCACGTCTGCCGCGCGGGCATGCGCGTTGGCATTGGCATTATACTCACGACATCGGCCTAGCAGGGTCGCGACGTTGCCTTCGAGCGTCGGAGTTGAGCGGTCGGTGCCGTAATAGCCGTGCGAGGTGTTGAGGCCGCGCTGGATGTCGATCAGGAGGAGGGCCGTGCGGGTGTGAGCGGCGGGGAGGAGCGAGCGTCGGCGGTCGCTGTTGTTGGCAGAATCCACGACCAGCAGCGGGCCGGGAAAGGCTGGCGCGTTGGAGGTTTGGCATGTCGTGGTGGTCGTCTGCTCTTGTCGTGGGTGCGCTTGTGATGAGGAAGAAGGAGGAGGAGGCAACCACATGATGACATCGGCTGGATCGGTCTTGCTGGCCGTGCTGTGGGGTTGGACGAGGCGGGAGATGTCCATATTGGTCCTTGGTGTAGCTATCTGTTTGGTGGCGAGTCAATGCCCTGTAGCAGTTGAAGGCTTCGTGGGATTACTTTGTTTCTTGTGTTCCGAGGCTCACTGAATGTCGTGTAATCTGTATAGTCAATCAATCGAAAGTAGAATAACCATTTTATATACTCGTCAGGTTCAAGGTACATTGCTCAAGAAACGGAGATATGCTTCTGCCTGCAACGCTGGAAACATTTCGAAATCCACCAATGAGGAAAATCAGAGGAGAATGCGAATGCCGATGTTTCAGAGCGCGCTGCAAAGACGCCTTCTACATACAGAAACTGAAGCCATGTTCTAACGACCTAAGATTGAATCGTAAATGCTTGAGTGGTGCGTTACCGAAGAATTAGTGCCGAAACTTCAGAGCTGAACCCAGCTGAAGAAGCTTGACTGAGCCTAAAGTCAGCCTCATTCTGGCCGCGCACTCAGCTAGGCCATGGAAAGACAGTTGTACACATTTCCAGTACAGCCATTGTTGGCTCACTTGATATTGTCCTCTTCGGCACTATATGTGGCCTGCGAGTCAGGAGCTGCCAGTAGCATAGTCTCGGTTCGAGGGCGGAAAGGCCACCTCTCGTACGCCAATGCAATCTCAACAAACATATCTGCGGGTAGAGCTCTCAACCTCAATTGCGTCAAACCATACCATCCTCCCATGGTAGGATCATGTATGCCATGGATTGTCTTGAGGAAATCTTCGACACCGGCATCGTGGACCAGCATTTTCGCCGCCTGGGGTATTGAATATGAGAGGCAATTGGAGAGTGTGGCCATGACGTGTCGGAAGCACACCATCTTGTCGTGCGTATCGAGCTTCGTCAGCAGGTTGGAGTGTGGGACCACGTCCAAGAGGGCCATGTGTCGGCTTGATGGCTCAAACTCGCCGTCACGCACGATTAGGGGATTTGTTTCCCGTCGAGACCAGAAAAGTATAGGTGGCGACATGTCGGCAGCTCGGCAGTCGTCAAGAGCTTTCTGAGCCCAGATCCTATTTGTCTCAAACATGGCTTGTATTTTCTGGTGATTCTCATCGCCACGGCGTCGAAGCTGTTGTTCAAGAGCCGGGTCGAGGGGTTGACCATGGGCATCCTGCACAGCAGCCTTCCAATCGCTAATCAGCTGCCTTCCCTCATTGACGACCTCGACTGCTCTCATATGCGTCCTATGTTTGGTACTGGCTTCTCTCAGGTAGGCTGCCCATTGTCTTTGCAATGGAGTTTTATAGCGCATTTCACCAGGTATCCGTCCATGGGCATGAGTGCGATAGAAGGCCGGCTCTTCCTTCTTCAGGCGCTCTAATATCCGAAGGAAATCAGGGATCCAGAGTGCATCGGTTGAGAAGGGCAAGTTCTTGAGATTGTGCGGCGTGGGGTTAATGCTACGGAGATCTGGGGCAGGCGGCTTATCCTGTCTCGACTTTGGTATCTGAAGGGCAGGATTCTCTCTTGTGCGGGCATTTATGGCAGCATGCTCTTCCAGCTCGAGTTCAGGCCATCTTCTGTACCTGGTGGTACCAAAGCCTCCGGGAACACCGGCGACCTCGGTGATGTCTGCCATTGCTTCGAGTATGATTGTTTGCTTGAAACGACGATAGACGGTCCGCGGAACAAATGGTTCCTTACCCATCTCCTCAGGGATCCATGCCAATATCCGAATCAGACCATAACGGAAGAGACTGCGGCCAGCCTGATTTGAGAAGAGGGAGAAAAACAAATCGTCAAAGAACTTCTTGCCAAGAGAGCCGAAGTAAGCGCCTTGGGATACTCTCCGGCTAGAGAAATTGACCGTCATCAACAGCGACTCATTGAATTCGGGGAGTTTTCCCGGTGAAGCAGCTTTCCCCGTGGCATATTCGGAGAGGAGTCCCTTCTCAGAATCAAACGCTTCCTCAAGGTTGGTAGCATGTCGATACCTTGACCCGGCGCCGTGGAGCAGAGGCCCTAGGCTATCTGTGTATTGTTTCAACTCAGGTTCGACAAGGACGTGTCGTCGCGGTTGGAGGATCTGGTGCAGGGCCTTGGACCAGAGGCCCATACCAGGATTTATGTCGATCACATCGCACGTCGAGGGAGGGGGGAGACTAGGACGTAGTCTCTTGAGAACGTCGTCTAAAAGAAGGTCAACCAAGGAGTAGCGCACGCAACAGAGTCGACTCACTACATAGGCTCTGACTGGTTATCTCATAGCGGCCAGGAGCGCGCCGAGGAGTCCTCTTTGCAACAGTAGATGCATGCCGGACACAAAGTCGACAGACCATACGCAAAAGAAGCGAGCAAACAGGCTGGCCTGGCCAGGGAGGACACGGACAGATGGAAGAGGAGGAATGGTAAGTGGTGGATTCGAAGAATTAAGCCTGCAAAAGCGCAGGCGCGCCGTCGGGAATTGACAGGCACAGCCGCGAACACCTACTGAACTCGGTTTAGGCGGCTGCTGTTGGCTCCTTAGGCCCGCCCCGCCGATCGGTATCTGAATCGGCCATCCCATTGCCCATCATTGTCCATCGCGTCCCCCACGGCCACCCCCGCATTGTGGTGCTGAAGCTCGACTCATGATCCCTTCATCCATGCTTCTCCATAGTCACAGCTGTGGTTAAGCTGTGCTCGTGTGACAGACTCTGTTTGCTTCTTTTCCACACTCATTCTGCTGGAGGACTTCTGCTTGACGCATATAGCACTCGTTTGGCAAGAAAATGGCAACAGACACGTCTACATCGTCCAGTATGGCAGCTTCTGCTCCCGAACTCTCGCACCAGCAGCGTTTCTTCCAATTCTTCCAACACGAGATCACAGCCTTGCAGGAACAGATGGACCGACTCGCAGATACAGCGTTGATTGGTGGCGAGCGCACTGATGCAATGGACCACTGTCTCGCCGGCATAACTCGCCTGTCTGCTGAGCTAAAAGACGCAGCAGGATACCTGCCGCCGTACGATCAGAGGACCTATGGTGAAGCCGTCAAAGCTCTGCAAGAGAAACTTGAAGAGACCAGGAGATCCCATGCTCCAAAGCCCAAGTTCTCGTTCAAGTCAAAAAGCCCCTCAGCTCTGTCGTTGAGTGACGCTGCAGAGCTGGCCGCCCAGAAACGCAAAGTGGGAGGACCTGGGTTCGCGTCCCCGTCAACGAATACCTCCTTCGCAAACACCCCGAGCTACATCAATACACCTGCCAATGAAGTCGAGCAAGATGAACAGAAGACTATAGAGGAGAAGGAAGCCGAAGAGAGCGCCGAGCGAGCGACTCAGGCCTCGGTCAACACAGAAACAAAACTACAACCGCCGCCCGCAGATCCAGCAAAGAACATCGACCGGCCGTCCTTGACCACAACGACGACCTCTACCGCGATATCCAATCAATCCAACACCCATATCATCCTCCCTTCGTTTGCGAAAAACGCCCGCACGCCCTGTTCCCTCTCGAAGCTCTCTAGATGTGTAGTCGATCTCTCCGTTCCCACGACAGCAAATTCTCCATTTGCGTCCATAACAATCACGTCTGTCACCTCTTCATTGCTGCTATGTGGCTCAGTCTCCGGCCCCGCGCACATCACTGGGGTGAAGAACTCCGTACTGGTGATCAAATGCCGCCAGTTCCGCATGCACGACTGCGAAAACGTGGATGTCTATCTACACTGCACAAGTCGACCTATCATTGAAGACTGCAAGGGCATCCGCTTTGCGGAATTGCCAAAATTCCATGTGAGTGCGAGCACGACTCAGCCTAGGTATCTGTTACTGACTTTGTCTTCATAGAGTGATCTCATCTCCGCCTTGCAAGAAGACCCTACCGCTGTGCCGAATCAATGGAACCAGATCGACGACTTCAAACACCTAGACGCCTCGAGACCATCTCCAAACTGGTCGTTACTTCCTGCTGAGAACAGCGTCCCTGACGAGTCGTGGCGTGAGATTGTGCCCGGCGGACCCGGGTGGAGCGTGAGCGATATACTGAAAGCCGTGCACATTGCCGTCGCCAAGAGCTAAAGCGAACCATAGAAGTGGTGATGCCGGACTCGCTCATTTTCGCCATGGCCGCTGCAACCGCCTCGCGGTTAGACTCTGGCTCATCCGATTCGCAAGCTCGAACGCGTCGTCACGAAGAAAGTCCGACCCGAACTGCGCACCATATGAATTCAACTCGCGTGCGATCCCACAGATCGCTCTCAGGTCATACTTCCCGGAAAGATCTGTCAGAATTACATGGCCGTGCCACGTCAGTTGGCCCGCGGCATGTATGACACCCCAGGCCAAGCTCCCGAGAACCTGAGGAGGCTCTCTTGCACACACATACACACACACAATGGCCTTGTAATTTAGTGAGCTAGCAAGTCAACAGTGCCAACTTGATGGATCAGGACCATCACGATTACCGCGACCAGACTGCAGCTCAACACCGCCTCAGCAGCCGTAGGAAAGTGAAAGCACGATGCAGTATTGGGCAGGACCACAAGGGATGGATATCCGAAGTACAGGGCAATCAACAGAACAGACATCCATACATCCATACATCCATACATCCATACATCCATACATCCATACATCCATACATCCATACATCCATACATCCATACATCCATACATCCA